GTTATTATGCGCTCGAATCGCGAAACTATTGATGACTCTGCCAGACAGACCTTAACTCAAGAGGAAATTGAAACCTTAAAAAGGGACGGCGCAGCAGCGGGAAAGGATCTCATTGCCAAACTAATGCTATCGCACACTGCCCTCGACGAGAAGACTTCTTTCTCGTTAGCAAAATATAAGCTGCTGAAAACAAGAAAATACCTGCGGCAATTCACAATTCTACCAATGGATGTGGCTATGATGGATTACTGGATGATGAAAGAGAAAGATGCCAGCAAGATCATGGAATGCAGAGATGAAATGCTCGCTTTGGCTGGAAGCTGGGCAAATGTACATTTCTCCGAGGATCCAGAAAGCGAGAATACCGACGACCCTCTCAATACAAGTGGTGGCGGGCGACTATTGGTTGTGGATGAGACCGGTGGTTTACTGGTTGCAGCTATGGCCGAGAGGATGGGCCTACTGTACCCAGAAGAAGATCAAGATTTACCCACGGAATTCACAGGGGCGTCAGAAGAAGCTCAAGCTGATAAAGAACCAGCTCCTCGACATCAGCACGATCGTCAATATCGACCTTATGCCAGTACTAACACCTTGACTCTAATACACACCAACTCTCAACCCAATCTTGCACTCCTGAAATACTTCAATTTCAATATTGATAGTCCTGCAGCATCGCACCCTCTGACTAGACGACTCCTACCTATATCCTGGCTTCAACTCATTTCGCCAGAAAGCGATAGCTTGTACTCATCTCCACCTCCTTCGGCAACTCCAGAGGAATTATCAAAATGGAGTTCGGGCAAAAGAGGAACCCATTATCGAAAGAAGCGTCGCTGGGAGAGAATTAGACATATAGTGTCGACTACACAACATGGCGACTTCACCGGCTTAGTAGTAGCTTCCAACATGGACCCTATATCTATTATCCGCCGCACCATTCACCTTCTACGACCTAGTGCTACCATTACCATATATTCTCCCACTATTGAACCCCTAGTCGCCCTCGCAGATCTTTACAGCACGAGCAGAAGAACAGCATTCATTCAATCACCCCCAGAAGAGTTAAAGAGACTGTCACAAGCAGAAATAGCCACATGGCAAGGAAATGAAGATTTCCCTCTCAACCCCTCGCTTATCTTGAATACATCGGTACAGAGCTGCAGAAAACGTGAATGGCAAGTTCTGCCAGGAAGAACTCATCCTTTGATGACGAGCAAGGGTGGTGCTGAGGGATATCTGTTTACGGGGACGAGAGTTGTGCCCGCGGAGGGAAAAGTATCGGCCAGGGGGAAGTTTTCGAAAAGACCGAAGGTAGTCGAAGGAGAGAAAACTAGTACGGGAGCTACGGAGGATATTGAAGGGAGTGCAAATAAAAGAATCAAATTAGAACCCGGAAGTTTGGAGGTTCAAACAAATGGTGAACAGGATGTAAATATGGGAATATAGAGCTAGACTCCAATGCACTTAATATATCGCACTTTCCTTGCAGTGCACGTATTTAGTGAAGTATAGAATCGATATTGTATTTGGTAGAGTAGTCTGGAAGATTGGTGGACTTCGTTTGCCTATCCTTCTCTCTTGGCCATCCACCTCCACCTAGCTTCATTTCGTAACCACAACTGTATCTTTGTATCGCCCATAATAACACCGCCAACTCCCTAATAAATGCATGCTCCCGACTTGCAACGTCATCTTCCTTTTTTTAAGCAGCTTATATTCATATCTACAGACCCCCTCACAGACTCTTTCCCATAAACTTCCTCTTCGTGAAGCTCAACCACCATTTACTTGGCATCCTATCCTCAGTATCGTAAATGCGTGCCAACAATCTACTTGCCAATTCCTGACGCACTTGTCCTAGATACTGTCGAAGGGTCTCGGCTTCTTGTCTTGAGGCGGGCGCTTCGAACATCTATTTCGGAGTGCCTGTTAGCTTCCCTTGTTTCATTTCGACTCCTATTTCAATACACAATTTCCAACTCCAAGCCCACACCCAGAAACCCATTAGCAGAAATAAAACAGAAACCAAACCCACCTGATTCAAAGGAAACCCTGGCTCTCCGGGAATGGCAAAATTGCTATCCAGCGCAATATTCTGAACCTCCTTCTGCGCCTCCCTAAACTCCATCTTTGGTCTCACTTTCCCAATACACTCGCTAACCCATAAAATTCCATAAATCAAGAGACGGTCTGGGGGCCCTTGGATTTCAAAATTGCGGAAAAATGTGTTGGCGCGAAAGAGCGAAAGTACTTCGTCTAATGCATCGTAGGATTCGGAATCGGGCTCTGGGGAGAGATGTGCTGGGAGAGAGGGATCGAGAGGGAGTGTGTAGGCGGGTCCGCGGACCTTTGTGCGGAGGGGAAGGAGAGGGAAGTTTCCAATTAGGTGGAGAGGAGTAGAGGAGTCTTCGTTGAATATGCTGTTGTAGGCCTGGGAGAGGTGGTGTGTTAGCTTTGTCCACGGTATGACGGGTGAGGTGTTTGAAGATTAGAGTAGTTCTGAAATGTTGATCCCGAGAGTATATCTCGATTGAAAGAATTGAAACATAGAATTATATCAGATACTTACGGGCATATTGAACAATTTGCCTTTGTAAATATGGGAAAAGGTGTACGAGTTGTTAATGTAGAGGGGCTTGAAGCTGCGTCAGTTCAAGGAGAGGTGTCGGCTGGTTAAGCTATCTGTTGGCCTGAGGCTGACGTAGCTACGCTTTTGATCCACCTCGCTGTGGAGCTGAACCGACAACTTTATATCCACTTCAACGGCATTTCATTAGCGCATGAAGTTATTTCGGAAGACTCTTGTGAGTGAAAGGGACTTGAAGAATTTGATGAAGTTTCCATTGTAATGTCTGAAGTTATCCAATGCCGAGAGCGGGAGTGGGAAGTTCTGCTATCTTCTCTCCTGCTTAGCATGTGGTGCAGAATTTGGCACTGGCAATCTGAGTCTGTCCAATTTGTTCACTACTGCTCACGCGTTCAAACCAAGCATGTTTGTGAGCTTTCTGTTTCTCTTGTAGTTTTCTAGGCGAGGAACAGACCAGTCTACCAGCCCTTGAAACATACACATGCGCGAGATGCTAAAACTTTCACGAAAAGCTGGAACATCAGCGAATCAAGACTTCAATCTGTTTCAACCACCTGGAAAAGTCCTCCATGTGAATATGCGTAAAGTCAAGTTGTGTAGATTTATGCAGTATTCTTACCGCTGAACCTTGTCCATCGCAATTTGAAAAGCACTTGCTACTAGGAACCTTTGCTACAGACTCACGCCGACTCGGCGAAGAAACGTGAATAGATGGCGTTCTTAAGAATGGATGCATATGTTACATTTCGATTTGAAGTTGAGGTTGAGGGCTAGTTCATGTCACCACAAACTCCGTCTCAGTCAAACTCCAGGTCCCGGTTTATTTGAGTTAAGCTAGCAGCATCAGTTTTATATTTCCACTTTGTTCCTATGCATGTATTTCTTATTTCGCAACCAGATTATCAACTTAAGAGCTGAGTATTTAGTAGTCCAGACTACAATCATTCTTGATACCCTACTTAAAAAAAATGATAACAATCAAACCGTTCCGGCAGATAGATTGTTTGAATCAATGACCGTCTCAATTTCTGGAATAGTCTTAGTATTGGTGTATTTTTCTTACAATCCAAAGTCTGTGGCCGGTCTCTTAGACACCGCAACAGCATCTTAGATGTCGAGCCATGACAACTTTTGATACTGAGCACTAGATACGTTTATATCACACCCAATCTCATGGTCGAATATGTAGAAGATTTCCTGATCTAACTCCAGATACGCACTGCTTTGTTCAGATTCATCCAGACTGACTGGTAACTTGTGTTCATCCTCTACTCTGACAAATAAGCTTGAGATTTCGCAGAAATTTGTTGCACTACTTAAACCCACGAAGGAGCTTGCCCACCCCCGGATTTTGGTGGGGCTTTTACTCTTGCAGTGATTTGTGAGTCTTCCTAAACTTGGGTATCAATACTTTTCCATGCGGGCTTTAGATTATGATATTACTCGTCTGCGAACCCTGTTGATATTTGAGCTAGATTAGCAAGCATCGTTGTAGTAAGACAACGAATCCAAACAAATATTGGTGTTCGTGAAATTGAATGGACAAATCAAAGTGCTATCCTTCAATGATGATTGGTTGTCATATATTTGGAAGTGCATCTGACTTGGAAGAGTTGCATTTTCAATAATTCAGTGACTCGCAGCTCCTCTCTGTTCTACACTACTTAGTTTCAATAATGGCAAAGTCATCGTAAGAGCATTTCACACCTGGTGCCAAATGAAATCAATCGAAAGTCTTGCAAAGTTTTTCGAAGAATTGCTCCCATCCCAGCAAACTCTCCCTCACAAATTTGTTACCATATACGCCATGTTTACTCCAATACAGTAGACACATGCTATTCTTCGCCTTTCCATTTGTTATCGACCAAAGATCATGAGATATCATTATCACCCAAATGCACATACTCCCTTTTACTCGCACGCCTGCATGACCTATACTCCGGATAAATGTGAACATACACTTCCCGACGGCTCGCCGGGAAATTGAAATTCGTTAAATGAAAATCCGGGGTATGTGGCAACACTGCCGAAGGAACACCGCATGTGGGGCGTTTCAAGGCAAGATTCAAGGAGGGTCGCTCAAGATTTGCAATCTCATAGGCGGAGTTTATATGACGACTAATACTCAATATATTAATATAGAGTCGATCTGCTTCACATAGAGACTTTCAATATCGATCATAAGACGACTCATTTGCTCCTGTGACCAGAAGCTTTAATGCCAATGTTTCTGTCATCGTTGTAGTTTCATTTGTACATCTGTAAGATTGAACTGCCGTGTTCGCTTCTGTCATCCAGGAAAGGGAGGAGATATCGATGCTTGGCAGTCGAAGTATAAATCGACCACCAAATTCCTAGATGCAGTCTGAGTATACAACCACCCAAATTCTTTTCCATCAAGACAGTGATCATGTTTTCCAAGCAGCTCACAGCTTTAGTACTCGTTTCAGCCGTGAAAGCCCATGGCACAGTCTCTGGAATCGTCGCGGATGGAATATAGTAAGATTTCCCCTCCTTAAAAACGCTACATCTCTCCAAAAACCGAGCTAACAATATCAAGCTACAATGGGTACAATCCAAGCTATCAATATACCTCACCCGCCCCCGTAACCGTCGGCTGGCTGATACCCAAAGACCTCGACAACGGTTTCATCTCTCCGGCTGCGTACACCACTTCCGATATCATCTGCCACGTTGGCGCAACACCAGCCCAAATTGAGGCTCCCGTTAAGGCAGGTGGAAAGGTTGAGCTTCAGTGGACACCATGGCCCGTATCTCATAAGGGTCCAGTCATCGATTACCTAGCCAACTGCAATGGTCCATGCGAGACTGTCGACAAAACAACACTTAAATGGTTTAAGATTGATCAAGTTGGATTGATCAGTCCAACGGCAGAGACCAGTGGGTTATGGGGCACAGATGTATTGATTGCCAATAACAATAGCTGGACTGTCACAATTCCCTCAAACATCGCGACTGGAAACTATGTTCTCCGCCACGAGATCATCGCTCTCCATGCTGCTGGCTCTACAAATGGCGCTCAAAGTTATCCACAGTGTGTCAATCTTGCAATCAAGGGTACTGGAACAGCAAAACCAGCCGGTGTACCCGCGACTAGCTTTTACACTCCTACCGATCCGGGTATCCTGTTCAGTATTTATGGGACTCTTTCGACTTATACTGTTCCTGGTCCTGCTCTCTACAGTGGTGCAATCTCAGTTACGCAAACACTCCCTGCTGCACCAACCGCCAGCGCAAGTGGTGTTTACACTGTTTCATGATGGAGTTGAAAGCATATATGTGCTTGGGATTTGGGAGTGAGGAAGACTTCAGGAATTGAAGTTGATATGATGGATCTCGGAATGTGTGATATGTTTTGGTGAATGATTGGACTCGTGTAGCAAAGAATGAAAAGTAGTTCCCAAGACACAGTGCGCCTTTGAACTTCAACGTCCACCTTGCGGGGATGATGTTCTTATTATGACACAATCGTAGTCAAAAGAAGATAAATCCATTATATAAAAGCCCTAGTACGGCGCATTAAGCTTCAAATGTTTCCAATTCCTCTAAACCTTAATACAACCTCAACATCGACCACCTCAAGATCTTGCACAGTTCTCTTTACCTTATCAAATGCGATAAATAACCTTAAACGGCTATATATACCGCAATAACTGACTCTCCTACATCCAGATCGCAAAGGCGACAAACAGTCCTGTTTGTTCAGGTCAAATGCGGTCTGGTGGTGGAGTGGTAATACGCCTGGTTCGAATCGGAAAAAATCCCGTCGCGGGGTTTCTCCTCACGCCCCTCTAATGGGGCGGAAAGGTTTTGCCATTTCTGACTGCTTTTTCTTCTTGTGTCATGGCTTCAAAAAAAAAAAGTATCACTATCATTTAATATTGAAAGAAGTGCTTGTTTTCGTCCTCTTTTGGTTCCTGTTGTTGTGTGGCAAGCGAGTGGTTGAATTTTTGAGTGGGGAAATGAAGCGAAGGGGAGTGAATGAGGTTATTGTGGACTTGGAGATGAAGGCGAGGTGATCGAGAAATATATTGAGCTTGGAAGCGATGGATGGAAGCTGTAAAAAGCAGCAAGATATCTAAAACAATGCGTCAGGTCACAAAATACAAAAGGTTGCATTCTGCAGCAACTGTTATCATATTGCTAACTTCTGCCCGTCGAGGGTCACAACCTGTGATGTGAAAGTTTGTTTCATCTGAAACTCTTGGGATTAAAACATTAAAACGTTTGTTGTGAAACTGAGTAATGTTTATTTCAATGAGCCTGTGTGAGTTATGCTCATCTGAATTCTCATAAGATTTCTTTGAGCGAGTTGTATTGTCCAGTAATGATGCCAATGCAAAGACCATATATTTTCAAGGTCTCTGGATTCTGATCCTGTCAAACAGCAAAGCGCCCAAGCTAGCATAAAACTGCTAATATCTTACATACGTTACCGAATCATCAAGGTTTCCACGTTATTCGCATTGTACAAGCATGGCACAAAGTAGTCAGATCCGAATCTGCGAATATTGCTGCTGGATTCATGCTATGAAGGTTAGTAAAGTAAAGTGTGAGAACAGAAAAAGATCCTCCAGCAATTCTGATTAATATGTTATTTATACTTCTCCTTCCCGTCAAATCTTAATCTATTAAAGTGAAGTCTTCATGGTAAACCTCCCAGTTACTCACAATCGAACGGCATGCTATTGAGCAATGAAAGGAGTTCAAGCCGCTGGCATCACTCTGAGCCACAAATGCAATAAATTGCCAAAATTCTTGTGATGTTATTTTATTGAACTCGTTATTCTATCTGCGTAACTCTACAGTTATTTTGCTCCTACAAATTCCACGTGGACTCCACGTGACTATAACCCATTCTTGTGAATCTCGGCATGTCTGACTCACATAATGCGGCTTTGCTATCTTTATTTTCTGATGCAATAAATATTTCCGACTCGAATTATAACAGAATCTGATCAACAAAAGCAAGTATGGTCTTTTCACCCACAAAGTCGCCTCTTCTCCTCGTCGTCGACCTCCATCAAATTTTGGTCGATCCACCATCTTCTTGGGGTCCGCGCTCTACCGCCAACCTCACTTCAAATGTGACCGCAATTATCAGCGCCTTCCGCAAACAATCTTTCCCGGTACTTCATGTTCATCACCACTCGCCTGATCCGACCGATGAACTGTACCCGATCGAGGCCAACGCTAGCTTCATCGCACCACATGCTTGCGCCGTTCCTTTCCCTGATGAGCCAGTCTTTATCAAGAACACTGGAAGTGCATTTGCATCTAGTAAACTAAAGGAAAGTCTTTCGGAATTTGACTGTGGGGACAGAGAGATTGTGGTTATTGGCATGGAAAGTGCAAAATGCATCAACAGCACCGTGAGAAGTGCAAAGGATTTAGGGTTAAATATGGTGGTTGTCGTAGATGCATGTGCTTCTTTTGGACTAGATTACTTCAAGAAAGACAAGATAGGAGCGGAGGAAGTACATAAAGTAGCGATGGGGATCTTGGATGGTTCCTATGCTAGGCTGGTTGAAACCGACGATATGGTCAAAGAATTGGAAAAATGGGACAACGCGAGCAGCATTGGCTCGTGAGTCATGTATAGATCAGTGGTAGAGATGTGAATAGTTTTTGCCTCATAGGCTTTGCTTTATAGCCACACACCTATAGTTCAGCTTAACATAAATCGAGCATCTGCCATCCCAAACAATCAGTAAATAATAATAAGAGAATATATTACAGAGTTCTCTATCCACATAGTGCTGTAGATAATATGATCTCTGCTCCAGTAGCTATTTGCTGCTCCCACTCATTACTTCCAGAATCACATTAACCAATATTCAACATCACTCCACCAAGACAAAATCCATTTTAACGACCATCCAAGAACAATGCAATATCCTCGACTCTCTTGCAAAGGAGCTCCTTCGTCATCAACCTCATTCTTTAGATACAGAAGGTGACTTTCAGCAATCTTCAATAAAGAGAGCGATTTGTATCGACCAAGCTATCTTCTCATTTCGCCGGAAAAACGACTTGTTTGATGCCCCATATCATATCTTCAAACATGCCGAGGAACCTCGTCACACTATCAGTCCTGCAACTGAAAATCATCCACTTGATGTTCGCCTCAATTTGTTAGAGATCGTATTGGTACCAGTGTTTCGCGCTGTACTCCGTAGAGACCTCAAGCAAAGCAGCGACGGTAATAAAGGAACTAAGACGTCTACTAAAGGAAATATACAAGAGAGAAACCAGGTGATGCAGAGTTTGGAACGACGTCTAACTTTTCGACGTCTCCAGCTGCCACTGAATGACCTTCTTTGTACAAGTAGATTGAACTTTTATCTCCTGGCAATAAGAGTTGAATTTCTTTGGTGGAAGGGAACCGGGATTGTTTTGTAATAAAATGATTTCCAATGGCCTTCATGATATCATTTCTTGCATCTAAATCTATTCCGCTTAATGATAGCGATAGATATGAAACAGGAGCAGGTAGAAGCTCATTGATGAATATTTCAAAGTTTCTGGGCCCTTGTTTGGCTAAAATGCGTGCTGAATTTGTTGTTTGAAATGCGGCATTGGCATGATCACAGATCGCAATTTCCAAAGGCAATGCAAGCTTGCGGAGACACTTAAAGCCACGCATGAATGTCTTGCCCGGGGCGATTGAAACTATTGGTCTGTCTTTGAGAGAGGTATCCTCAGTGGAAGTTGACGCGCAAATCTTGATAGAAAGTTCCTCAAGGTAAGTTCCTGCCTCGCCTTCGATTGCTGCGATGAATTTGAAAATGTTCCAGGCCTCATCATCGCTTTCCCTATCAGGCGAATGGGCATATTTAAAACTCCTAAGATGGGGGGCATGTTTGAGAAGATTGGCAATGGCTACGTCACTGATACAGCAGTTTTTAAGATAGACTGTTTCGAGACTCTGACCACAATGAAAATCCGATATGGGTCTGGAAGGGAGTGCAACGGATAAGGCACCTCTCGCTACAAAGTTGGGGCCCCGGCATGACCGCATGTTTGGCAGTGCTAACAATGGAAAGTTATTCCACCAGTCAAATTTGAGTCTAGTGTAGGTTGATATCTTGATATGAGTAAGTTGAGTGAGACTAAGATCTTCACATGGGAGCGTCGATAGCTTGTTTTCGGCAACAATGGCCTCAAGAAGTGCTTTGGAGGCTTCGACCGGCTGCCAAGGAGATAACACGAGAGTCTTGACGTTGGGGAGCAGTGTCAAGACAAAAGCAGTGACATGTTGTGAGTAGTTGTTAGAGTACCGATTCCGCCTCAGATCCGCTTTAATTAAATCATGATACTCCTCCCAGTCCAATCCTGCTTTCTTTAAATAATGAGAAGCAGCGAGTAGCTTTTTCAGAGGTCCATGATGTCTACGGTAGAAATCCTGAACATAAGAATGATATTTGTCAATGCCAAAGTCTGCGTGTACAATATAACGGGCAATTATAGGCTCGCATTCGATCCGTAGGATGAGATCTAGCAATGTCTTGATTGATGACGATGGTCCTAATGCTAGTCTATGGTATTGTGACCGAAACTGATTGTGAGATTCGAGGAATGGTATGCATAATGAGTGAGTTTCTTGGCAGGTCAAAGCCAGACTCTCAAATCCTTCTGGCAATACAAGCGTTACGATTTTTTCGAAGATTTCGGTAGGTAGATCGAGGAGTGACATCTTGTAAGTAATGCATCAAGATTACAGAGAAGATCTTGTGATGTTTGAGAATACATAAGCCTATTTGAGAATATATAAGCCTAGCCTTGGTCCTGCAGATCATGCTAAGCGCAGCGCCTAAACGTAATCACGTGACTATAGTCTCTGGGTTTCTTATTAGCTCTAAGAGAACATGTTGTTCTTTGTGTTTCGTTGCGTGAGCTTGAAAAATGAGCTTATCTTTCCGAGGGAAAATTCTAGTAGAGAGTAATATTTTTGAAAGTTGGTCAGGCGGAAAGCTCAAATGTTTATATTGTCCAAACACGTAGCTTGTGTACATCGAATTCTCTTTTATTGGAAGGAGAGACAGAATTATGCCCTAGATAAGCGCACCAGCTCTTTCCCATACAAGCTTTATTTCACTGTTATTTCTATTCTCACGTTTCTTATAGTATATATCATATTTTAATTACAAGGAAAATGTATTTTTTATTGTATTTTAGTGTTTTTCAATTACGTCAAGAACAATCATCGACAAAGGAAAGTGCAAACATACCTGCTTGAGGACCAGCTTTCGGGTTGAGTCTCGAGTCTCATGTGTCTCTACTGATGAAGTTCTCGAAAGCATCATACTCCTCGAGTAATTCGCGACGTTCCTTTCTCGAGTTTATGAGTGCCTGTTGTGTGTTTCTTCTGATTTCAAGCGAATCGATGTGTTCTTCTTTGAGGTCGTTGAAACAGTACTCGCATTCACAGATTTTACCCCCAGGACTATAATGCGACCAATTGTCAAAAAGATATCCCTTCTTCACCTTGGGTGGAAGAGAAAGTCGTGAGAGGCCGGGAGTTTGGTGGACCAAAGCTTCGTACTTCTCGCGAAGTTTCTGGTTTTCTCTACCCAGCGCAACGAGTTCGGAATGGAGAGCATGTTGAACTTTGACGATTTCAAATTGATGTTCTAACATATACTTGTGTCCATGGTGGTTATCGTAGCAGTCAAGTAGACTACAATTGCTATCGGATTCGTGATCCAATTTGTCTTCGTTGGATTCAGATACTGCAGTTGGTGTGATCTCTGCACCGGAAGTGACAATGCTCAAGTTGTCAACGATATCCGAAATGTCTCCCCCATTTGACTCAAGATCCAGATATGTCTCTTGGGTTGGTGTATTTTCTCCTTCGCGTTCGAAGGCTATTTCCACGATGTCTGCAATGGTTTTATCAATAAGATCAATAATTCCATCAATCTCCGGAGTCACTGTGATCTCCTCGAGTCTCTCAACTACTTCAGCAAGGTCTCTATCGATTATCATCAAAATTTGATCCATGTTAACGGGTTTGATTGTCTAAACCTCAACGATTCGCTGGATTATTTCTGTTAAGACTGGATTGCGAAGCTGTAAGTCTAAAGAAGAGTGGTGCTATTGGTACTTATGAAATGTGATAGGCGATCAATGGCGAGTATGAGGATGGAATGTTGCTTACAAGGTAGATATTGCTTGATCTTATAGTTTAAGAATTACAATTGTTTAGATTCTGTTATCTTGGACCTTTGTGGCTCACCCTCTAAAGAAATTCTATTCACACGGCTGAGTTTATAAGACAAATTTCTCTATTATCTAGCCAGCATATGAGCTATTCAATGTTGTTTCATACTATTCGAGCTTTGCCTTGTTGTTGTACCCGGGATGGAAGAATGCAGGTCCAAGTTCTTTGTTAGAGAGACACAACTCTTTATCTCCATCACAATCCTTTGTCTGACCTGTATTTCTGACTCCAAGTGACACAGCAGCCGAGACCTCACACTCTTTCTCATATTCTGTCAAACTACAATTTTTTTTTTACTCCGATCTATCGACAGACTCTCAAGAATTACTAGATTAGCGTGCAGAATAACAGCCAGAAGAATTCCGCCACACCTGTCAATTGTGTACGCGCTGATAATGCTTGGTGTGCTCCTGAAATAATCATCTATCCAATGTCTTCATATACACTCAACTGCTACTCGGGATCAACTCTACAGTGTATCGTAGGCTATTCAAATTATCGATGCATTTAGCAGACTCATGAAGAAAACAAATTTCTCGTTGATTCGATGTCTACGAAGATACAAGTCGCCTGTATGATATGTTAGCTGCATAAAGGGGTCACTACCACTGGCCTAAAGCCACACAGAAGAAGCATGTAGAGCCACATAAACTCTGATACCTCAGAATGGCTAGTATTTTCGCGGCCTCAAATTATATGCCGACCTTCTTCTCAATACAATCATTGTCATTTCTATTTCACAAGGTTGCAGTTCATACAAATATCTAACTTTTTTTATAAATTGTAAATTAATTCATGATCTCGCAACTCCTAGATATCAACAAAGGGAAACTAGAAAGAAAACCAAACATACGCGCGAAGACCAGCTTCTACCAATCTCCTATGAGTCTATTCCGGAAATTTGAATACTCCTCGAGTAAATCGCTGTATTCCTGATCGAAGTCGAATAATGCACGAAAAATGGGGATGACTTTGGCAGAATTGATGAGTTTCAGCTCGAGAGCACAGTAAGAACACGAACCACAACGATCGCGAGGTGTATTCGAATTTTCGTCTGAGTGAGGAAGGAAGTCTCCGTATTCCTCCGCGAGATATTCATCTGGTTCAACTCTGAGATGAACGTAATCATCATACTGCTCGTAAACATCATCGTTCGTACCACGAGAGATTTCGAATCTTGAAGAGTTCGTAGCCCGAAGAATTAGAGCCTTGTATTTTTCATCGAGCTCTGTGTATTCTTTCATCGTGTTTCTGCACTCAATATTGTATTCGGATCTTTCTCGGCTGAGCACCTCGATTTGTCCTTCTATCATCTCTTTGCAGTCGCTGCAGTTGTGATGACAGGGGCAAGACTCCTCAGGATCGTATTTGTACTGTTTATCGAATGCTTCTGAATTGGCCGAAAGCTTCTCTTGCATAATCGCAAACAGCCGATCGCATTTATCAAGTAAGTCTTCATTCATGACAGTCATGGTATTGATTTGTTGACGTAAAGTATCTTTAGCCTCAACAATTTTGACATGGCAAGCTTCCAGGTTTTCATAACAACGACGGAAGTGGCAGATTCCCATTACCAGAGGGCTAGGACGCTGGTAATCGTAGCAAGAATTATCAATGATTGGTAAATCAAAAGTCATATCCGAAAATTTGACACTGAAGCCTGTGAGTTGGTGGTACAGTGTTGAATATCTCTCGCGATACTTCAAATTGTTCTTGGCTAAAGTAACAAGCTTGCGATACAATATATTCCGAGTCTTGACAACGTTAAAGTGGGCCATTTCCAAATACCCGAGACAGCGAGGGCAATAGCAGTGATTACCAGAAGTGGAAGCTTTGTATTTATATGCTAAATAGTGCTCAAAGTTGGAGTATTCTGGGACTAGTTTAAGGTCAGTTTCTATCTCCACGCACTCTTTATGAGCTGAAGAGATCAATTTGCCGAAAATCACTAACCTCTCTACCGAATCTATTTCGGCACTCGTGCCAGGGCCGGCTTCTCCGGCAAAAACACCTTCTGTGTTTGCTGATGCGGTTACTGACTGGAAGGTGTCTTGAGTGTAATCCAATTGACTTCTATCACTGGTTTCCCAGTCAATCAAAATTGGTGTCCACTTCATCTTGAGGATTGTAATCTGAGTCTTGAATATGTAATGGAAGATTTAGATTGAAAACTAGATATTTGAAGTATTGAATGAGGATGGGAAGCTGTACTGAAATGTGACAAATGAGTCGAACCAGAAGTATAATATAGTTGAAAAATGAGCTTTATTCAAAGTCTGTTCCATGTATGCCATGCATATTTTTCTTCTTCAGGAATAACAAAGGTAACAATTTCATTGTCCTCAAAGTATCTGTCAAAGGAGAAACTGCCACGACGAATCAATTGTCAAGATCCTCTTTTCATGAACCTTCATATCCTATGCATTGAGAACAAACACGAGAAAAGGCGCAATCTACACTCAACATATTATAAGATGATACTGTGGATTCAAAACACATGGATTGCTATGCCAGAAGAAAGATAATATACAACCTCCACCAAATACCTCTTCAACCAACCCCCACTACCAACAGACTCATCACTCATCACTCATCAACCATCCAGCCAACCACCATTCACGAACCAACAAAAGAAATCAGCCATTTGCTCATCCCATCATAATCCTCATCATCATGCCCCATCACCGTCACCAAAATAACCAGATCGAACCAAAACAATTTAAAGAAACCAATTTGCACGTTCACCCCCACTAAAAGTAGCTGACCCTACATCTTTCCCATTGGCTTTCTAGCCCATCCATTCACAGTTCTCCATCCAGCACCACAAGCTCTACCCTCTTCAATGAGATTCTGTACACCCTCCAACGTGCCCTCATCACCCACTGTCTGAACTCTACATCTCAACAACCATTTTTCCCAAGCCCAGCCACCGACTAATCCAGTAACACAAGCTGCATCTCCTGTGTTTCCGCTGACCATCGCTTCCATTTCCAATGGATCACCTACACTGTTTCTCTCCACATCTACTCTATGCTCAGCATCTGCACCCATGGGCAAAAATACCCACGCGCGCTTGATACCTACGAAGCCCGCCCGTTTGAGACGCCCAAGCCAGAGTTTGGTGGGAGAGGGGTCGTAACCGAGGGTCTTGAGATTGAATCCAAACTCGACGCTTTTGGCCAAGCCCATTGGGCCCGCGTTGACGATATCCGAATCCATAATGGAGAAGTCGAGATATCCGCCTGGCTTAAGAATACGCATGCATTCATTAAGACAAGCTTCCCATTCGTCTTCACCGTTCTCACCGCGCTCCTTGAGAATCATGTAGATTTCGCGAGCGGAGACGAGATCGAATTGGTTGTCTTTCCATGGAAGCTTAACGAGACGTTCTACAGCTACCTGGCGAAGATTCTTAGGACCGCGAATGTTGGAGTTTGAGAGTTGACGAAGAGCCTTGGTGGTTACAGTGTAGACTTTGCAGTTGGGATATTCAGTAGCACAATGCCATGCCCAATCACATGTGGCTTGTCCCCCCAGATCGAGAATGCGAGCACGGTCTCGAGGGGTACCGTTGATCGTGGGACCCATTGAGGAAAGTCTTGCAAGTCGCTTGGCAACCGGAGCTGCGATTAAGCGACCTCCGTTAAGCATTTTAGTTGCTGTGACGTTCCAGGCTGCAGGTGACATTTGCTCAAGAGCTTCAGCTTCTTTGTCATGCTGGAGCTTTTCGGGATCTTCAAATGGGGTATCATCGCCACGAGCCACGTTGGAAGACATGCGACGCTTTGGGGACATTGGAAGAACGCTCAATTGGTACTTACCGAGAAGACTGGCACGATGAGCTGCTGGAAAGGATACGCGTTGAGATTGCATAGCTTCAAACCTGGGCACCCGATGCACGAAGACATCACGACGACGGGTTTTACGAACTGAGCGTTTGAAGGCACGATGGTATGTCGATTCTTGAGGAAGGGCTTTGGGTAACGGACAGGCATGTCCAGCTAGTGCGGCAAGCGTAGCAGTAGCGGCTTCTGGAGTAGAAACATCATGATTGATTGGGTCTGTAGAAAATCGAACGATCTTTTTCCGCTGCAAAGGCAGTTGCTCAGGCTCAATTGGTGAGATATTCATTTCTGCTACTGAAAGTCTTACACTGGCAGCTCGCTTCAACAAAGCAACTTCATCATCACGAGCCTCTGTAGGATTGATCAGTTCCGAGAGGTAGTCATGCTGAGCTGCAAGCCATAATGCTGTCCGGTCAACATTGGCATTTGCAGTATCCTCAAGCTTGTTGATATATCCAGGTGCGTAATCCGTTAAGATCTCGTCAGCTACAATTTCTTCATCAAAATGAGTTTTGTTCGGTGGTGGAGAGCTGACAGGGACAATTGTTTCATCAGAATTGTCATGGCGGATCTCCGGCCGAATAAATTTAGCAGTCGGTGGCCCATCTGTATCAGCAGGCTCTGGAAGTTCGATGATTCGCTCAACTGGATGAGGTGCCCACGGAGTGTTGTAAAAGTTTTCGGCGGTAGTTGACGAAGGCGGAAGAGGTTCGTCTGGCGTAATAGGCACAAGGTGCCAGGTATGTCTTGCGCCATGGCCCAAAGATGCAAAGAAGCCACCAGGAGATGGGATCTCCAGATTTGTTAAACTCTCCATAGCTCGCTGTTGACTTGGAGTAAGGACTAGCGAGTTAGCGCGATGGATGTTTGTATTCAACGGTGGCAAGCTTTGCTGCATCTCTTGGCCAGGTATAGTTTCTTGCGGTGCGGTACTCAAATCAATGACTTGTTCCGGCTGCTGTTCATCAAAGTAGTCATTTGAAGGTCCCGAGATCGCCTCTAACGTGGCCATAGCAGCAGGTTGCAATTGAACACCCCAGCTAGCCCGAGGACCATCTTCTTCACTATCATAACCGACATCTGGAGTTGGTGGAGCAGATATTTGGGCCATCTGCTCTGAATCCATGCTTCCATCCAACGAAGGTGGAGTCGATGATGATGGAATTGATAGATTTTCTTGATTCTTGAGGAACGTGAGAACAGCGGGAGACATTGCTACTCTCGGAGGTGGTGTTGGTGGTACTGGAGAGGCTAGTTGTCGTTTGAAAGCGGTAACTTCCGCCCATGGATCTTCACTTGACGGAATCACAAGTGAAGGCAATGAGCTTAGGGAGTTTCTGCTCCGAGTAGAGCCCATAGATGATCTGTTCGACCCGTTTGACCTTAAAAACTGCCCAACGCTAGTTCTTTGCCTCATAGTGCTGCTCCTTTGATTATCGTCGTCGGATGAAGCATCATAGAGATCATCGAAGTCTGTAGCATCGGTTGTAAAACTTGTCCTTGTCCATGGTGCTGATGAAGGAGCGGAAGAAGAGTCTTTGCTCGAGTCTGAACAGGATGGTGAAGCTGGACGATATTGTTGCATGAATTGATTGGCTCGAGGCGTTGGGAAGTGGTCGCTGAGGGGAGAAAGGAAGTCTGCCTTCAAGGGGGATCTATCTCGACCTCGCATTTCCATGTGTTTTGAACCCCTTACAGATTCTTCTTCATCTTCCATTATTGTATTAAGTGGCCGTCTTCTTGCCTGTGCCTGCACAGGCGAAGTTGGCGGCCGGTATGTTGTGGCAGGTAAATAATCTAGAGTTGCCATTTCGTAGACCTAGAAAACGTGACCTTTTTGTTTTACGTTCCTTGTCGACTGGGTATCGTGAATTAATTTTCGAAAACGCGCTGCGTCCCGTGAGGCAAGGAAAATGAGATATTAAAAGATAGTATGCTTCGATCAACGAAGACTTTGTAACAATACCAGGAAAAAAAGAGAGGAATTAACAACAAGAAAAATGCACCTCCTACACTACAAAAAAAGAATGAGACGAGAAGAACTTGTGTTTGGTAACTGGGCCACTCAAGGGTTTATACTGACGATACCTGTATTGCCTGTACAATCGTCACGGGATAGCGTCAAAAGTCGACCAGGGGAGCAAGCAGGTGTGGCACCAATGGAAAACTATTTTTATTGAAGAACCGACCAAAAGGGACTCACAAGCTTCTCCAAGCGTCAAGACCAATGTGATCTCCACTAGTCAAGAGATTCATCCAAAATGAGGATAAAAAATTGAGATTGACTAAGATACTACAACGTCGGTTCACGACCGTATAGCCAATAGAACATGTGGCTGTTCAACCACAATGCATGGCAATGACGGCTCAGCAGCGAATCGTTGGCAAGTAGGGACTGAAATGGGAAGAAAATCAATTTTTCTAGCAAATTGCGCGCGCAACAATTAATTGAGGAGGTAGGTTTTCCGTTAGCGCTTGCATACAACATCTACCAATGAAAGTGCTCATCGACTGCAGAACCTTGCTGATTCATGGGAACACCACAAGTTGGGCGCGTAAAAATAGAAATGGTTAAAAGACTGACCTATGGGGATGGATTTCAATGCACCACGAGTTAGACTGGGTTTGACTTGATCGTGGTTCAACTTCGCACGACTGGATGTGATGTTCTGATTTATACAATTGATTCGTGAAGTACCCATGTAGAAATGAGGACAGAAATAGGTGACGGGTGGGCTCCCTATATAGGTATACTTTGACTTTCTGTAAGTAGAGATATCCGCCGATGAATATTGCCAACCAGTCATGCTAACCTGATTGTGTGAAGCACAAATATAGGTACAGTGTATGAGCTCATATCTGCTGGCGGTATGATCAATATCGAGGTACCTGCATTAACAAATTGCCAGCTAAGCAGTCTCGGGTGAAGATTCATATGCTTTGTATACATATATATATATATATATCGGCGTCTGAATATTGCATCATTACTGTATCTTTGATCCTCTGTTTTCGAAAGATGCTTGGGGTGTCATTGACAGTCGAATGAATGAGAGATCTTGAACACCTGAGAGTTTCCACAAACCAAGTGTAAGCTCCTGTCACGTGCTATTACCGTGGTCCGTGCTTTCTCTGTCCGTTGTCTTGGCGAGCTTGGTCAATCAATTCTCGTTCGTGCTGCTGCCAAATGAACTACCTACACCACTTGAACCAAAATCTCTTCCTCCGACTCATTCATCCACAACCCATCTATACAGTCTCACTCAAACCGGTCTCGTTGATACCATCTATCGGGAATGTTGCATATTTTAGCAACCAGGTTTTTCGACAAGGTTACATCCGATTGCTGAATACCATTTTCAATCTACCCCGAATCTCTCTAGTCAAGCACCATCTCATGTGGATGGGTAACTATATATTCTCTCAGAAGGAAATCATACTCCAACATTCTGCACTCCTTGTTCCATCGATTGTCAACCACTTTGCTTCAATACGCTTCCACAAATTCACAATTACCAGAAGAATCCAAACCTTTGCATCGAGCTACGTCGAATAGAGATGGTACTACTCATACTCACCTATATGATTTGATTTCTGTGGTTCACGACATTAATCTCTCGAGTTGCTTTAACTTCACATTGAAAATGTAGAGTACTTGTAGACTCCCACGCGGTGTATCCTGTATGCCCGGCTATGCGTTCATCCAAGTAATATTGATGCATGCACGACTAACCCTGAATAGGCAGAAAGCTCGACTGATACTTGAATACATGGAACACAAATGCTTTCACGTGGTAGTCAGATGCTTCTGAGACCTCATGTATCGCACTTAAGTCTTGTTCTTTATAATCGGGAATATTTGTCATCTTCTTGAGTTCCGACCTCTCATCTGACCGGGCCAACAGATTATGTCCAGTTTTATAGACTCAGCCTGCCAGTCCTCAGACACTAGTCTGGTGTTGTCCTATCAAAATTACCCATTCTCTTGATGACAGGCGGCAACACAGACTCCAAAAGTTTCACAAGTTTCTAATTTTCATATACTTCGAGAGATCCTAAGAATCTCAGCATCATCAAAGCCAGCATGAAATACTTCAGAACACGTTTCTAACCATTTTAGACAGGCCACTGAAACGCGGCCGGACGGAATTGGGTGCACTTTACATACATCAATCAAAATGAATCAGTCTATTATTATATAGATACACCAATATCCTGGGACCAGCTAACGGCAGAATGTTCTTTCTCATTAAAGGGAACTAGATGTTGAATGTGCATTCAGTTTCATTCTCACTCGGTGGTGCTAGAAGAGAATGCTCTTTCGAGTGTATCGAGATCCTCTACCAATTCAGTTGTTGTTTGAGGATCCATATGACCGGTGCAATATACCCAAGTGTGATAATGCTATAATTCCTAATATTGGTATACAGTTTTGATGGCCTCATACGCAGAAAGGTCTGTTGATAAAAAGAGGAAATATATACGACGAAACAACGAATGCACAATTTATCGGTAAACGGACCCAGCAAGCGTCGATACATAATGATCATTTCTCGGCTCAAGAGATTTATCTAGTCCCTCCCCCTCCCCCAAAAACTGATGATATAAGCCGGGCTTCAATCTATTGATATTGACGATGCACGACTTGCTGATCTTGACGATATAGTCCCTGGATTCTCTAATTCTCCTGTATCATTCACCGGATAAACAAGCGCACGCATCAGTGACTCCACCTCTTGTCTTCCACTCAACTTTAAGGCTGAACTTGGAGTAGTCGGTTCTACAGCTCTATTCCAGATTTCTAAGATCTGTTGCTGATCTGAAGTATCAGGGATAATACTGTCAAGGAATCCACGAAAATCCCGGATGATGAATTTCGGAACATATGAGTCTAGAGTCGAATCTTCAGTATCTGTTGGAGGAGCAGCGCTCACAAAAGCGTATCGCACTTTTGCACATTCCTCCCTTGGGCCGTCCCAACTAGCAGTTTCCCCAATCACAGCTAAAGTCCATTCACCTGGAACAATTTTAGAATATTTCTTCCACCACCCTCCAATATGGGATAGAGACCAACTGTCGTTTGGCGTACGGTAGAGATAGTCAGAGATAGTATTAACTGCAAATGAATTCTCGTTATCTTCAAAACTATGAGGCATTGCTAATTGCTTTGCGATATTCGATGCTGGAGCATTCATCACTGCAATATCGAGATACGGCTGTTGCTTCATCACATAATGGACGTATTGAGCAATCCCGGCTATCAACGCAGACAGCTTGAGATTTACTCCTCCAAAAGGTATACAAACATGATCGCGACCAAAATTGTTTAATAAAATGCCTTTATCGAACATGGAATCGATATTGAGGCCTCCATCTGTGTCGCGCGGAGCCAGTTTTGTATCACAATATGCCATTATGATCATTTGGTTGATGACTGGTTTGATGTAACCATAGAGCGGAATCAATCTTAGCTCAAATTTATTGAAGCCGTGCCTCATCCCGTCATCTTCCTTCACAAATGGCAATGCAAGAAGCTCTGTGTCGTAAAGTTGAATTGTAGTTCCTCTTAGTAGCCCTATCTTCTTCTCCAAAGAAATTTGTGGGGTGTTTAAGAGATACAATGTTTCAAGTCTAGGAAACTTGATGAAGATTTCCTTGAGAAATGATTCGGTGATGTTGAGGTTTCCAGAAAAGTTCAAACTAATAACATCTATGGAATCTTGAGATGCTTCTTCCAATACTTCTAGAATTTGCTCGGTAGTCAATTCGAAGGGACCAAGGTCAATTATATTTTCTTTTCTAAAAATACTGCTCAAAGTCCGACGTGCCGACGAAGAATTCGACACATCAATAGGATCAGCATATAGCTTTGACTTGGCGGCAAGATAGAAGTCCGAAAGGAGCGATGCCCTTTCAAGAATCTGCGGAAGTTAGGAAGGTGAATTTGCAATTGCTGAGTTTGGAACCTTGACAAGAGAGGATGCTCTAAGGCTGGAAATTTCAGAATCTACAAAATTCGATTCTTTCTGCCCAGAAATTTCTCCCTCTGTAATCAAAGGATCAGCCGAAAGCATCAAGTGACGCGGATTATCAAATGATGGAGACGTCTCAACCTAGACCTACCTGCCACGACCTGTTCAACACGGGTCCATTTACTCTCCCCACCATCCTGTACCGTTATCCTCCACGAATTGTCAGGCCATGCACTATGCAAAGCTCTGCCATCAATCAGCGGCAAAGCTTGAAAGTTTTTAACCAGATTTTTAAAACTTTCTTGATTCGATTGGTCATCTTTTCTATAATATCCCCAAAGATATTGGGGTCCAGTAAGTGGGGTCATGGCAGGGGGCTTTGGAGGAGCCCCGCCTTCCTCTTCGTCGCTATCAGATGAATCAAGACTGACGAAGCAATATCGCACTTGCGTCACTTCAGTGACATCAAATACCGTAATTCCGTCGTTGTTATCGCTCCCATCAAACGATAGATTGAAAGGAAGATTGTGGATTCGAGCATGATAACTATCCTTTGCTCTGAGGCCAGCTCCGATAACCAAACACGTAAGAATGAAAGGAAATGGGATATCAGCCACAGAAACTTTTGCGAATCCAATTTTTCGCGACCAATCTTCCTCTTTAAGGCGAGCTGCATGGCGAAGTTCATGCGATAACGCGATTCTGTTGGCCGGAGATTGCAAGATTCTGAGGATGTTTATGCAGGCTTCGAGGGCGGTAACGCCGTAAAGCGATTCTGACGAGTTGTTCTTTAGTATGTAGGTGAATATAAAGGGTAAAATTGACCAAAGAGAGAAACTCACGGTGGTGTATTGCTGCTGGTCCACCGTTACCGCCCATTTACCTTGGCAATAACGAATAGTTGATGTCTTTGCCCCATATTGAGCGAATTTTCTATCTTCTCTCGAACAACTTTATCCAATGATTATCGCACGTAAGTAAGTGTATTGCAAGGGATCTACACAAGTACATGTGAAGAAGAATACTTAGTAAGAAAAGGGGAAGAGGTTGCTTTATATATTGATCACGACAATTCGCCTCAATTCGTGGCTTTACAAACAGTTGAGGTCCAGCTTTCTCATTAGCCAATAATACGGAAGCGCATATGCACAGTGCCTAGAGATGCCTAAAATCCACAAAAGCAAGGGAAATATCAATTTTTCCTACCGCGATCAATTATCCGAAGGAATTGTCTTCAAAATTCTGATTTGGTGGGAAAGTGTGACATCACGAAGCCACTTGTTTCGGGAAGACAAGGGGTTTACACATCGGCCGAGTGGCATAGAGCATACACATCTCGGCTATCGTTGTTGGGGTTTACCGCGATACGAAGAGGGTTGGATATTAGGTACAATTGGTATTCCTTTCGATATTCATCAGGGCAAACATAGAAGTCAAGAAATTTAGCAATATTTCGGCGCTTGATAAATCCGAGTCGATTTTTTTTTCACCGAATTTTGAAGTTCTAAGCTTCGATTCTTCCTGGCTGTTTTCACAAAGAAGAGCCATTCTAAAGCTCGAGGTAACTAACAAATTCAATCAAGTTACTTCAAAGAATCGTAGGTTCAAAGTACAATAGGATTGTGGTGAAGAAAACAACACCATAACAGTCCAGCTGATACGTACAGAGATGTTGGAACAATTTGCAGTGTGGGAACTAGATACTACTAAACTTCAAAGTTCAGCTGCACAACATTCAAGTAACAATTCCTGAACATTTCCAATTTCAGGCTATTTATTCAAGAAATGATTCACACATTAATTATAATCCAGTTCATTCACCTCTAGCTTTCTAACACCTACATAAGCATTAACAATCTCAACTTAGATCTTCTCTACAGAAAGAATTCAGCTAGTACAGAAGATCAAGATAGAGACCACTAATATGGAGCGAACAACTATGTCATGCTTTCCTGAATATTCATTTGAAGATCCCTATTATGACGAAGAGGAGCAACAGGGAGACTACAATGATCCAACACAGATCGATTACAATCCTTCTGACCACCTACATTGTTTCGAAAGCTGCGACCACTCAGACCGTTACATGTCCTTTCTGGATTTTATGGAGCCTCTCCACGAGGTGCAACTCAAAATAGACGAGGAATACGCAAATTTGACACGAGAGTACGTGAGGGTAAATCGAATCTACGCGAGGTCACTCAACGAATTCATCGGCTCATCCATTAAATTCTCGGCACCGAAACGTCGAAACTGGTTGTGCACTGATTATCTGAGCGTTGCCCCTCCTGATTCATCTGATTTATGCGTCTGCTGCGATTGTTTTCAAGAGCTCCTTGCAAGTTACCTCGAATTAGTGAATGACATAGAATTCCAGCAGAAATACATCGAAATCTTCGAGGTCGAGTACTGGGAATTGGTTGAGAGAACCATCGCTCTCGTTTGGAAAATCGACAACAACCAAGTTCATGCTGATGAATTGGCGGCGACGCTGGATGCGGAAGATCGTAAAGGTAAGAGGAATCGTAGGAGACGCTGTTGTTAGGTGGAGAGGAACGATGGAGAGAATCCTCTCTCTCTCTCCTACAAACCATCTCATACATACTCACGGGCGACAACGACCTGGAGGCTTGTTCTCGCACAGGTTAGCTGGTGTTTCCTTTGTTGGCTCTCGTTCTAGTTTTTTATGAACAGATAAGTAGAATTTTTTCTTTGTATCAAGTTCTTGACCTTTCAATCACGCAACAAAAACAACAATAAATATAAAAATAGATATTTCTTTTACTAAAAAAAATGACCGATACAATGCAACCTTTATGCCATTATGATACAGACACCAAAATGAAGATGAACAATGTGACTAAATACTAATATGAAGAAAAATAAAAAAATCACTGCACTTTGGGTAGCCTGCATGGAGGTTGGTGGCATAAGGAGGTTCCTCAGACATGAGTTGCCATCTTCTTTTGAATCTTATTGAACAGGAACCCTTTCATAGATTCAGATTTTGTTTCAGTACAAGATCATCTGAAATCACGTTCATGTGGCTAAAACCTATACTAATGTAACTAAGTTAGATGCTCACTGTCACCTAATCAATATTTATCAAATCTAAAACTTGATGTTAAAATCTTCTTAAGATACATTTCCTTGTATCATTTCTGTGTGTAATTCATACAGGAAGTCTTTATAATCAATTAAATCTAATTGCCAGTAAACCATGTTGTTTGCATGCAACTACGTAAGTCCAAACACTTTAGTTGCCCCTGACATGAAATTCGGCTAACTTTCTCCAACCTTTTGTGACTCCATTACAACAACAAGAACATTCTTTAACCTCCCAGCCATATCTGTACTAGGTCTAAAACAAGAACTCAAGAACAGGAAAATTAAGACGGTCACCGTCAAGACTATCCGAAGAGCCAATTGTGGCTTGAGCTTTCTCTATTTATAACTCGAGTACCTGTGAATTTTTCCCCACTCCACCTTCTACTTCCACAACCACAACCATAAAAATATCAAAGCCTTCCAGATTTTCCAAGGGACCGGAGTAAGCATTCAACATGAACGTTGTAGTAATTGCTAGGACTAGTCTGGGCTACCTCCAGCTAGCCAGCATTCAAAACCGCGATGGTGAGTAACTTCCATCTTCATTAATATCCATCTCTTTTCTTCAATACCCAAACCTGATTTTTGGTCATGAGATTAAATACTAATTCAGATCCTACCATATAGGTCTCATCCACGACGTCTTATTCAAACTTTGCGCCAATATCATCAAGATATATTCATCATCGACAAACAGAATCCCGATCCAGCACGAACTTGGATCTGCGACACGCATTGGATCCAGAGATAATCTTACAATCAACCATCGGCGTGAGACTATGTTTCCTTTCATTCAAACTTGTCTCGCTGTCGGCTTCACATTCATACCTTCCACTGGTTACGAGGCCGTAAATAACACGATTTCAATGAAAAAATTTGATCCCGAGTTGGATAGATCAACCTTATCTTGTCTTTGACATCACAAACCTCAAGGATATTGGTTATTGCTTCTTCCACGTGGATTCATTCAAATGGAAGTCTCTCGATCAGTTGCATGCGCCGCGTATGACGCCTTTGTCGGCAAATATCTTTTTTGATGGAGGACACCATGCCAGTAAAAGAAGACGAATCATGTCACCTTATCAGAATTATGATAGTTATCTTGACCAATTTAGAGTCATTGATGCCTATACACTCAGAGATGCTTGGCCTCATGAAATTTGAATGGTGCTCGTTGGAGATACTTATGATCTCTTGTCGAATCATCCCCAAGGTTTGTATTCTCTTTCCACTGAACTTCATCAAGCAGTCCGGGCTCAATAATTTGACTGATCATGTTTTCAGTCAACCAAACACAATCTGTCACTGGAGCGCTTTCTCTACAGATCCTAGCCGAAACGAAATTATTTAACGAGTTGCACCTACAAACACCCGCGAACTTCCGACTACTACTAGACGGAGCATCAGTGATGCCCAACTTCTTCTTGAAAACAATCTCTAAGAGCCGTGAGAAGCCTTTAAGGTTATCGAGGTACTATAATTCGAGAGAGTTATTGGGCGAGGCTTTGAAAACTCAGTCTGTTATAGACCTTGGCCACCCATATAATCTGAGCTCAGGTCATATTTTTCATATCTTGAAAAGAGCAATGGGCTCTTCAAACCGAGGAAATTTCACTGCGTTGAGTCTGTGCGCCAATAACTTAATCAGCCCGGATGCCCTTGAAACGATTCTCGCTGCGTTGCCAAATCTCGAAGATATCTACCTGCTGGACACTTCTGGGATACCACTTTGGAAAAAGATGCAGGTTTTCCAGGGAACAAAGGTATCGGGCTTACATGATTCGGAGTTATATTCCATGGCTTTCAAGCCAGCCACGGGTGGTCTTGGCTACAACCATATTGACCCACCACACTTTCTGGTTTCTCAAGTCATTTACGTACTATCATCTGATGAAAATATATCGGGCTTGAGTTCCAGGAGCGAAACTGTTTCCTGGCCATTTAAGGAAGGTGTGTATGCTCCAAGTCTCCGAGAGGTCAACCTCAAACTTCCGTTTCTCATCAATGGATTTGCCAATTTCCTTCGAGTACTCTCTAATCCAGATACGAATCGGAGACATGTAGCACATGGCACGCGGATTCTGGCGAAGACTATGGCAATATCGGAGATGGACGACGAGATGAAAATTGCACCAATAGCTAATAATCTGTCCGAGTTCAACTTGACAAGAGATGAGAAGAAGGGCGATACTTGGGTAAACTCTGCCCGACAGGAGCCCAGGGCAACTCCTCTAGGTAAATGGAATCTAGTGGTTATTTCCCAGCCGTACAAGCAGTTCCCAGAAGCAGTCAAGCATTCTTTCCGTCATAAATACGCATTTACCAAGGCGAAAGAAGACGGTACACATGCCGAGGCGAGCGCCGGTCAGGAACGTACAAGTTATGTCGCATTTGTCGAGAACTATGAGCCGCAATTAGTCGTGAATGACATTGATCAGTTTCTTCAACAGGCTGTTACAGGCGAGGAAGACGACAGGATTACAGAAAGAGCACGAGATTTCTGGAAGAGAGGTACTGCCCCTCTGGATTTGCAGAGATGCAGCGAGGCGGAAGTAGAAGTAATTGCAAAAGAGGCCAAACTTTTATTTAGGATTAAAGATGACAACGGTAGGGTAATGTTGAAAGTTCTTGAGCAGGAGACTTAGGCTGTGATTGGGGAAACTCGTACAGCTTGCTTTTCAATGTTGAAAGCTCTGTATCACGGTTCAACTTCGACAGAAGATTGTTTTCTGGGCCTAATGAAATGACTTTAGGGAGGTAGTGGTACAAGCTCGTAAAGTTAGAGAGAGAGAATACATATGGGGAGACTTCAGACCATGGACGGGAATGTGGCATTCATCTAACATGAATGTTTCGGGGTGCAGTCACTCTCAATAGCCAAGAGTGCCCCACTCTACACAGAAGAGCTACTCAGTTAGTAAGCAATATAAAGAATTATGACAACATTATAAATTAGCTGCGGTAATGCTGGGATTTTGTGTCCGTGATAGAATTTAACATTGTTGAAGCTAATGACAGGAAGGCTTCAAACGGGAGTCATTCTTTTATGCTGAAATTCTTGTTCTCAAATCGACATTGTTAGTACAGAATCGCTCTGAGATCCTTCTGGTTGCAATGAGATAATGGGATGGTCACCGGCCACCATGACTAACGGAAGTAGTACCTCCCATACGACTCTCTTTCAATCTTCACCACAGATTCGCTAGAACGCACAAAGAGAAGATGGAGAGATCTCAACTCTTTGTTAGCGGGAATATTCAATGCAAAACATAGCATCGAGTTGTATATAATCTTACATTCATCGTGGAAAAGAGAGGACTTCATGCTTAATGGCTCAAATTCGAAATCGAAATAATCGTCAGTGTTTGAAAACTGCTTGGGAAGTACTTGTTTCTTAGATATTCGGGTGTGCATCTATTTCCCTCGAGGTCAAGAGGCAAGAGATCACAGCTTATGTTCCTTTCTCCTTCATTCAGCTCGCTTGGTCCAATGATTTCGTTCAATTTCATGTTTTCACAACTAGACATTTATCTAACTCATTATGTAACCACATACTGACATCAAATATTCGAAATTGGACTTGATCCGTCTCGTTTGATGTACGGTAGTCCGTATTGTGTACCCCAAATCGCTCTGAAGATCACAACATAGCCAGCCCTCCATATTAACACTATCACGATCACGTGCACATGCGAAGGAAACAAACAAAACCGATGTGTGGAATCACACAATCTTTTTAGTGCGTGTTTGGACTTTTAGAGGTATGCTGGTATCGAAAAATCTTTATATTATGGTCCTTGGGTCCTTGGGATCGTGATATGCTGACCGTAGGATAGTGCGGGGTTAGTCCTGCGAATGGTGTGTTGAGGTAAGACAACCTTTCGTCCACCACTAGCATGTCACGTTTCTTCGTGCTGCCTTTTGAGGCGTGTAAATGATCCCACGCGTCGCCTTCTTTCTAACACCTCAACTAAACATTAAAAAAAAGTAGTTTTTAACCATCATCGCTTCCATCCCAAACCATGGGTAATAGGTGAGTGCATATTACATTTATTTCATGCTTTACTGAAAAGCATATCATTTTCAGAATATCGATTTCCTTTCGTCTCTTAACCTTTCTCTCCCATTGAAACAGTGACTGACAGCTATTGGAAAGACACCAAGTCTATGTGATTTCCAAAATCGGAAGCCGATATCGAACGCTTGCAACAGTTCATCATCGTAATAAATTTCCCATCATCATTTACTTTTCGTTGAAAGCTTACTTTGTAATAGAATACGTGTTCGGACCAGATGCTATCGAACTGCTTTCCAACGCGGTACACTTGTTTCAGAGCCCTGAGAACAGAATCGGCTTTGAGCATGAAAAGCGTTGGGCTACACGTCTCCGAGAGTTCGTAATCAATTCCCTATTCGCACACTGACCTTGTGCCAGATTTTATCTTGTTATCTCTGACCCTTTCATATCCATTCTCCCCAAGCATTTACCTTCGCAAGTACTGACTGACATCCTGTCTTTCCCGCCGCCCAACAGATCCGATTGGTGTATACGGAAAGAAACCAACCCATTTCCTTTTACGTTGACGTGTCTGTTCATGGGGTATTCGTTCAAGGAGGAGGATGGTTATTCGACTTCCTCTTGTCACCCGCAAACTTTCAATCAGGAATTTGATAAAGCCGACAATAATGAAAGGATCACCGTTTTGGATATAACAGACATCGACAAAATCCGCTATTGTTTCGTCAATATTCATTGCAAATCGAACCGTAGAGCATGGGAAATAGTTAATGATTTTGGTGTTCCAAGTATGGTTCCTCTGAGTGCTACTGAGTATTTGAAGTCCTACGGCCACGAACAGGAGCAGTTTAAAGAGGCTTGGAAAGAGTGGATTCATCATTTGAGCAAGCTAGATCTTATTGACACTGGTGCACTAAACAGCGTCTGGCCAAGGAATACATGGAAATTACGTGTTGGTGCAGAGATTGTACCACTATCGGATTCTGGTCAAGGTCTGTCATTCCATACTACCCGCAATCTTTGTAAAGTTCTAATTCATATCAGAGCCAATTAACGTCGCCTTGCCAGTTTTTTCTCCGCCATTGACACTACGCAAAGCTTGCATGGAGAAGTTCTTGAAGGAGGTTTTCAACTGTCCAATCAAGGAGCTTCCTGCCAAATTTGAACGTGCGACGCTCCTGTCTGATTTTCGACCTGCCTTGAAATCAGCCATATTCTCGACACCGACGATTCTTACAAGTTCCGCTGCTGCACGATATATTTTCAGTCAACTACTAGAAAGTGAGAAAAGCATTGACTTGGGTCCGTTTGATCTCTCGCCTGATCATATAATAGAGGTACTGGAACAGCCCAGGAAAGCTGGAGTGTTGAAGATCTTAAGTCTTTGTGGCAATCAAAAGATAAATGATGCCTCTCTAGTCAAGCTTATTGATGACTTTCCGCGTCTTCAATCTTTGTATTTACTGGATACCCCTCAGATTCCACTTGCGACAAAGATAAAGATACTTAGAGGCCAATCATTGAGGGAATTTTTCGACACAGACCTGTATGCACTGCCATTCGCGTATCGCGAAAAATTCTACAACGATCGAAGCTCTCGTAATTACAATAGTGGGCCCATTCGAGCGCGCCGTCCAAAGCTCGGCCCTGAGAACGAAGAAGCAAGTCGAACTATCGATATCAGTAAAGAACCCCAAAGCTTCATGAATGATATGAGCAGATTTTGCCATCTTCTCGAAAACGGAATGCCACCGTTTTGCGGTTTGAGTTATATCTCGCCTGTAATTGAACAGATGATATACATTACCTGTGGTAAGACTGACAAGAATAGCATACGTGATAGTGAAGGGGGCCTTGATATAATTAATTTATTTCAGAGACCATCAACACACTCGGGGATTAGTGATCCTGGGTATCATGCTATGTCGTTCAAAGAAGCGAACCGACGCCCTTCACTACTTTTGCAGAGCTTAGCCCGCTTTATTGCAATTTCTTTCCGCAAGAGACACATATGGCTCTCAGAGTTGAGAATGACTCTGGCGATGATCCTCGCTATGGAACCAAATGACGGCCCAGGATACAAGGTTTTACCACTCTGCGCAGGTCTTTTTAGCGACGACATGGGCGTTGGCATTTCAAAGAAAAATGGAATCTTTCAAATCACTAGAGAGATTATTCCGAATGAGTGGACTTTTGTCATGATTGCTGAAGAAGAATCCTACAAGCTCATAGAGAAAGAAAAGGCAAGAACTGATACTCGGTCCCTTACCCGCTATGCTTTTTTATCGGCTGAGCGTAGTCCCGCTAGCTCAGCATCGGGTGATATACTTTCAACCCTGATTGTTGCCGATGTAAAGCAGTTTTTAGAGAGCAATTTTTCCAAACACGGTCAGGAATGGCGCGAAGGGTTCTTGGAGTGGTGGGATGACCAGGTTGTCAATTGCTGGAAATACCCCTTAAAGTTTTGTGGCAGGAAAGAGATCGAGTCTGTCGTCAAATCAATAAAGTTTACTCCAGTCGCCGAACACTCAAACGCCGCATATGAAATTGGATTGGGGCGGGATAAGAGGTTTATCAATTGTATGGAAAAGAACATAGATCGCAATTGAGTTCTATGCTTAAATTCGGAATGGCGATATGCTCGAGCTTTGTCCAGTCATGGCAGTGGTCTTTTCCGAATCTCACGAGCCGTCCTACTTCAGAGTCCACCTTCACCCCACTTTGCCCTCAGGAATTCGTTCTTCCCTTGCGCTTGCCAAAGTTTTTCTTTTATCCACTTCTCCACATTCTTCTTTTTCTTTCGACAACGATAGTTACTTCAGCTACATTCATCATGAAACAAAAGTCTTGACTCCTATGCTTACTAGCTAGTATGTCAGTCTGCCATATCATCGGTCGACATCCCTTTAAGTGATATCGGCAAGGAAGGAAATCGAGAAAGTATTAGGACCAAATGGTGCCTTAAGTCTGGTACCTGCAGTGAGGTCTGTTGATCTTGGGGACCAATCCAAACAAGTTTCTTATAATCGTTCGAGAAAATGTGAGGCTTTGATGAGTGAAAACTGTTTATGATCTTAAGGATCCATTGAGAAAAATTTCGAAACGCTCAAGAAAAACTTCTTTTCATCAATGAAGCAATCCCCTTCACGAACAATCTAACCATCGCTTCTTCAGCAGCAGAGCGAATTCGAAGAAGTAACTCTTAGAGCCCTACGATATCCATTATGGACCTACTTCACCTAGGCTTAAACCCTTATCAAACATTAATAAGTACCCCTCTTGCCCCTCACCACACACGCCACCGATCCATTATAATGCGGATCCCATCCACGCACAGACATGCTATGCATCAAACTTTTCCGACCTCTCCTCTCTCTCCAGCTTCTCACTATAGAGACCTCAAAATAGATAAAACTGCTCCCTCCCATCTCTTTCTTCTCTTGCCCAAAAGACAGAGAATAAAAAACTACAAAATCAACATCCGCACCAAAAGATAAAAAAGCAAAATTATATTTTCCGAATCCGGGAATCGAACCCGGGGCTACTCGGCTCCAGATCGCATGAGTTGATGATCATATAATAATGAAAGCGAGTTATGTTAACCCCTACACTAATTCGGATGGTTGTTCGATGTGAGGGAAGCAAGTTTTAAGTATCTATTCTATGACCTAGGGAGTGATCTTTTTTGATGCTCATCTTTGGGAGGAATATGGAAAAGAGGTATGTATCTATGTATGTATCTACGGGTGAAGGAAGAATCCAATTATGGGAAATATAAGATTACGATATTTTACTGCGATTTGGTTGTGTGAGTCAACTTGTTCATCAGAATTTTACTATGCAATTCTTTTTAGAATAACTTACTTGCACATTTGTAGACCAAAAAAACTGCATGCATGCACTTGAGCAAATGTATTCCTCAAAGATCTCTCCAATGTTCATGAATGAATACAATTTTCCAATAATATACAACAGATGACAGTTAATCCTATCCTGGAATGCAAGACGAAAAGCTAAACATACACAAACCCCTCCTACCACTACCCCCCCATCAAATATTTGCCCTCTTCTTAATCCCCACCATGCACTCCAGCGGTTTTCTCAAAAATCCCTCTCTGGTCTCCAATACATCCTGATACAGATCAAATTCATATCTCCTGAATGTCGTCGCGACAATAAGTGCCAATTCCATTTCCGCCACATTTCTTCCTACACAACTTCTTGGTCCATAACTGAAAGGAATGAAAGCGTTCTTCTGTCTCTCCGTCAAATTGTACCATCTGTCTGGTACAAATTCATCTGCATCACTTCCCCAAATCTCTTTAGAGTGATGAATTGTGTACGCTGGTACGGAAAGGACAGTATATCCGGGGAAGAATTTTCCACATACTTCCGCTCCTCCAGGTGGGACGATACGTGGGAGACCAAGAGAAGAGGTAGAGTGAATGCGGAGTGTCTCCTGGATGACACTATTCATGTATTTCAAATCCTTTACCATGTCGAAAGTGGGAACATCGACGCCTGCAGGAATAGCATCGTCTAACTCCTTTTGGAGCTTTTGAAGAACACCTGGAGTTTTGCAAATCCAATAGAGAATTGCACAGGATGTGTTGGATGTAGTGTCTGAGCCAGCGATAAGCTGAGTGAGCGCCTCTGCTGTTAATTCTGCCCGGCAAAGTTTGGCACCTGTATCGTCTCTTCCTTCCATAAGTCTTGCGAGTAAGTCAACGCGACCATCTTCCTTCTCACGATCAAGACGTTGGCTCACACGAGCAACAGCAATACCAGCCAAGTTTTCTACTGCAGCAAGACCTTGACTAAAGAAAGGATCTGGAAGGTATTTGGCGTATGGTTTAAGTTGTGGTAAACAACCAAGTGTACCGGAAACTTCACCTCGACGATTAAGAACCTCGACAGCTGGGGCGTAAGTGATTGGCGCATCAGGTGTTTTTCTGATTTCCGTGATATCCTTTCCTTTTTCAAGCATGCCGAATGGAGCTCCAAATGCAAGGTCGCCAATAATATCGAAAGCGAGATAGTTGAACCACTACAAAAACAAACTTGTTAGTATATGGCAACATAGCTTACACTGGAGAATCAAACATACGTGAAGACAGTCAATTTTTGCGAATTGGCCATGAGCATTATCTGACAGTGCATCCCATCGATTCACAAACAAATCCAAATTTCCATGCATATATTGTTCGAATTGGCCAATACTCTTCGTGGAAAAAGTATGCGAAATGGTCTTGCGCTTTCTCGTATGTTCGACACGATCTCGAGTATTGAATAGACCTCTCTGAATAGAGACAAAAGCATCATAGTAATCTCTGCAAAGAAGCAAATTAGCAATTGAAATTTTTACAGACTATTCAACAACTTACGACTTCAAGAACCCGTTACCATGACCATAAACTTGCTGGATAGCAGCATCGTCTGCGATACTAACATGATCCGGTTGGATCCTAACCATCTTTCCATATTTGGCATGCGCATCGTGAACACTCAGATATCGATAGCCCAATCGAGCTTGTAGCAGTAGCCATAATCTTGTGAATTTCGCTGCGAAGGGTCCGGGGACATCTCTGATAGCTGTGTTGGATGTGAAATATGGAACAGCAAAGAAGAGCACCAATGCGATTGGAATCGTATAAGGCGTGAGAAGAAAATCGATAACGGCCATTGTGTACTAGAGCGATGATCAATTATCGGTTCTTTTGCCGGAAGGATGTGCTGCAGGGTCCAGTGCAAGATTTGAACACCGGGGAAAAAGGATAACAATAGCTTCAGGGGTATCTCGCAACACTAAAAAGAATTTTGCTTCTTTACACCTCAATTAAAATATGAAGATAACTTCAACCAACATAAAACATCCAGCGACATCGAGTTCAATTATAGTTGGAGTTTCAAAACTGCCGACTGTGGAATCCGTCTTCACCCCGCAATTTTGATTCTGGCACATCCGCATCCCCATGTTCTCGGGTCCACGCTAAATCTGGCAAATCGACTCACGCAGCCAATAATGAGGGGGCATAAGTCATCAGCCGGCGAACTCTCGGAATCTCTATACTTATTTTGCTTCAAGTGGATGTCCAAAAGTGGTATTCGACTATGAGATTATTCTCTTTAACTCCCTTTTTTCGAAGCCGAAAGGATTTGCGTTGCATGGCATTCATATGTGGAACTCCTTTTGTTAAATTTCTGGAAGTTGAAGGTCACATTGGACGGATATGGCTGGGAATCTATCTCTATTTTTCTATTTGAATGTCCGCTTGGTTTGAAGTTTGGGCGTTTGCGATACGATCGAACACGTATATCGACTTCTGTGTATCCGCTCATGTCCCGTTATAACCGCCGTGTACGAACTTACATGTCACATTGCATTGTCATTACAACTTTTCCCTTCTGCTATCAACAGCCTGTCTGAGCTTGGCAATAACTTCAGATGGGTCCTTAGCTCCAAAAACAGCACTACCCGCAACAATCACATTTGCGCCAGCATCTGCGGCTTGATCAATTGTTCCGGGACCTAATCCACCATCAACTTCGATATTGAGGTCTGGGTATCGTTTTCTGAGTTCAGCGACCTTGGGTAATTCAGATGCCATAAACTTTTGTCCGCCAAACCCGGGGTGGACCGTCATGATCAATACCATCTACAATTATCAGCGATTTATTCCCTTATGTTTGTGTCATCAAAATGCTCACATCAGGTCTTTCCTTTTCTTCGGGGTTTTCGAGAATATCCCATAGCACATCAACTTTTGTATCTGGTTTGATTGCTATTCCTGCTAACATTCCGTTGTCATGAATATATCTGATTAATTCTTTTGGGTTTGTCTTCGATTCGCTCGTCGATTCCGGACTTTCTGCTGCAGTGCTTGAAATTGCAGCTTCGTAGTGAAAGCAGTAAAGATCGCATCCGGCCTTTTGGAATTCCTTTACCCATTTCTTAGGCTCAGCAATCATCATATGACAATCGAATGTTCCCTTTCCATGTTTCGCCGTTGGTCGGTCGACATGACTTCTGATCTTCGTCACGACAGGTGCTCCAAAAGTAATGTTTGGCACAAAGTGACCATCCATAATATCTACCTGCAAATCACAAAATCACCAATTAGCATGAATTCAACATTGTGGACTGATATTCAATTACATGGAGCCAATCTGCTCCTTGGCCGATTGTATCAGAGCATGCTTTCCCCAATTCTGCAAAATCTGCAGATAGAATAGATGGAGCAATAATAGCTTGAGGTGACATTTTGATAACAATCTTTCGGCAGATATGCTGACAGAAAGAGTCAAAAAATAGAAATAAGTCTTGCAGATTTGGATCTTGAAAGTACGTCAGACAAAGTTGTATTTATGGTGGGGGTATTTGTTTTATTCGTACTCGTCCCCCCTCACCGAGAGCTCAACTCAATACCTAGGTAAGCAACTGAAATATCAGGCATCCAACATCTTGAGTTGAAGGTGGGTTTTTCTTTTTTGATCATGCCATCATCAATCCATCATCAACCCACAAATCATGCGCTAAGATAAGAGATAAGAAATGCGGGGAAATTTAATCAAGCAACTCTTCTCTTGTCTCACCTGGGCATAAACATGAACCTTCGGAATTCCGATTACCGGTCAAAAAAACCTTATAAAATACACCAGACCCTATCTATAAATCTTGATTTTCTACGTCTAGACTCTTAGTGATTTCTTGTGTATCTTATTTTCATCACATTTTCGGGGAATACAAATTGTCAATATAACCTCAATAACCGCATGTTTGTGTCGACATCTTGTGATTGATCATATATTCATTACCGATCGATCAATCAACCGACGAAAAGTATCTCGAGGGAGTGAAAGATCGTGGCCACTCAGTCGTACAATGTGATTCCGGATGAGGGCATAAATTGCTCAACCGCCTCTTCATCTAGGTCATTTTGAATAGCCTTGGAGCTTCCGGGACCGTTGTCGGCCTCTTTATTGTAGGGAGTCCTACCAGAAACCTCTTTCTTTACTTATTTGAAGGCTTTCGCCAGTCTTCTCGATAATCGTTTGACTCATCGACCATGATGGCTGCCGCTCCAATACTTCTATACTATCGATCCCCAACCGACCTCGTTGCGCCTGGTCAGCGTTACAATTCCGCTACATATCCTTCTGCCAATCTCTATGAGTAAGTGCTCACTTCCATTCTCCTTCATACTTTATCTTAGTAAAGACAAGATCCTCACTACTCATCTCCAATATCGTCATAAATCAGAACTTCTTTGAAATGAAAGAAAGAATCTACATACATTTTTCAACTTCCAAACTAACAATTTCTCCCTATCACTAGCTCCGATAACGAGCCTCTTCTTCCCCATTCTCATCGTCTTTCCGCCCTCTCAGGTTCTCCTTATACCGCAAATACTTACTCGGAACATATGTATGCGGCCCCCTCCTTTCACAATACCCCCGTAAGCGAAGATTCTATCATCCCCGCCATCGTCATCGATGTTATTCCCGCCGAAAGACGTGATTCTTCTGGCTCAGACAGTAGCCACAACGATACCATTCCACAGAAAAGCAAGACAGGTTTAGTCTCAAGACTTGTTAAGAAGAAAAAGGACAAGGGCAAAAATGGAGATGATAAGGAAAAGAAGTTAACGAAAGTAGTTTATATGCCGAGGAAAGAGTATGCTATTCATTTCTCAAGTTATACTTCCTTTCTCCTCGTTATTTGTCGAGCACGGATTTCGGACTATGAATCATGCGTTAACAACTTTCTACAAGGTATCTAAAACATTTTGCTCGAGGTCACAGTGGTGAATACATGGGCACCGAGCCTCATCGCCGCTGGTCTGAAGAAGAATTGGAGCAAACTTTTGGTAAATTCAGGCCACCGAAAAGAAATAATGGAATGTTCTGGGAACGAGGTTGATATTTCTTTTGCGCATATCATTTTTTGCCTTTTTTGTTTTTGAAGTTTTGTTATTGGTGATCGGGGAAGGTCAAGGAAAGGAAACCTTTCGTGCGTTGAATGGGTCAATTAAATCAGCACGGAGTACTATACCTGGACTTGAATTGGAATCTGCAACTGAATATTTTATATTAATGAGAGAGACGGAGATCGGGAAGCAGGAATTCAGTGGTTGGGCATTAATGGTCGGTATTTCAGAGGATTTTGCTATCGAGTTTTTGAATTTCTTATTTAGCGTGCAAGCAAGCGCAATAAATTGTTTTCCAAGCGTATATACGTGGATATATCTATGCTTTCCCAAGAATCTCATCAAAAATGCCAATCAATCGGTTTACTTCTTCCACTGAAACCACATATATTAGCACCACTAGTTTCCCCCAACTAGAACGAAAATCAAAAGGAAAGCAAAAACTTACAGCTATTGTAATGCACGAAACTAACTCTCACCACTCCCTGATCTCCACATCCCAACACGTCTTTACACAATCGATTACTATAAAACATTCCCCATCTAATTCCCACTTCTCCCATACTTTTCTCATCCACCTTTTCCACAAATTCCCGGCTTCCGAATCCTTCCACGAGAAAACTGATCGTACAAACTCTCTTTTTCGTATCCCAAGATTGTTCACCGAGAATCTCGATTTCGGATCTAGATAGAAGATACTGAAGGAGAGTTTTCTGAAGCGATTCTTCATGAAGACAGATTGCCTCCCAAGATTGATTTTCAAAATATTCGACAACTTTTGGGATGGAGCCTGTGAGCTCGTAGTTTGAGCCTGCGAGAGCGAGTTTATCGGCGAGGGTCTTGCTGGGGTTGAAGTAGTGGCCGAGGGATTTTAGGGAGGAGAGAGTGGAAGGAGAGGCATAGAGGAGGGAAATGTGGGGGCCGTAGACTTTGTACCAGCTGAAGGCGTAGAAGTCTACGCCGAGGGCTTGGACGTCGAGAGGACGGTGAGGAGAGTAAGCTACGCCGTCGACGCAGAGGAGTGCGCCTGGGATGGTGTGCACGAGGTCGGAAACTGGAGAAGAATTTAGTGAGAAGGAAGTGTGAAATGGGAACCCTTGGGGAGGAAGTTGCGTTGGATGGGGGGAAATATGATCAATTCGAGATTGGTTTTAGATTCCCGTATTCTGCATGAGAAGAATGAGATTGCTTACTGCCGCGAATATCGTGGATGGTACCAAGAATGTTGGAGGCGTGAGTGAGGGTTACAAGAGCGGTCTTTGAGGAGAGAAGGGGGCGACTAGAATGCGGGTCAATCAGCTGTCTAGTCGGGATGGACTACAAGAAAAACACATGCTTATGGCATCGATTGCGCAGCAAAAGGAGTTCACCAGGCAGTACAAATGCGCAGCCAGGGTTGGCTCCTTGAAAATACGAAGCCAAAAGAGAATTAAACACACAGTGATTCAGGAGTCAGAATTGGGTTACTTGACGCAGGTGGAGTCCACCATTTGATAGTAAACTTTTGAGATGCAGCGAGAGCGACCCAGGACGCAATGTTTGATTCATGATCAATGGATGATATGATCAACTCAGAATCCGGTGGAAAGTCAAAAGCCTGGGAAAGATTTCGGAAATTTTGAGTTGTGCTTGAACCGAGGACTAAGAGGTAGCGCCAAAGATCAGATCACTCAACGGGCGAGGAGAATGAGGAAAAGGGGATTACCAATATTGGATGGGGGTGCATTGATGTATTTTGCCGCTGCTTCATATCCTGCAGAGTAACTTGTATTTGCTTTCTTGCCGACATTGTATGAACCACCGAGTTGAACATTGGAATTGATGAGGTAATCATGGATCCTTTGTGTGTGTGAGATTATCTGTTGTACATCCCATAGACCAAGACAATGTAGTAGAGAGGTGCACTATACCTGTCTATGACAGTCCCTAAGGTTTGACTACCACCGGCATTGTCAAAATACACTTGCTTCTTGTCCAATGATGGGAAGCTCTTTCTTGTAGCTGTGATATCGAAGGAGCTCATTGTCGTTGTGGTATGGTTTCAGTAGGTGATCTTGTAGGTGTGACAGTAGAAGAAGTGACTTGGAATGGGAAGAAGATTGTTGACTTGTCCTTATTACTTCATGATAACATGGTTATCATCGGCATGGATAGCAACGTGGGGTTGAGGGGCCGTAATCAGGGATTGCCCAATAGAGCTTCCTCTTCAGAAATAGCGGACGAAAATAACCCGAATGCAGTCTCGAGGCACTTGCGCTTCCATACTGACCAATCTATCAAAATCGTTGAATCTCGCAAGCCAATTGACGTGAGGTATCTTCTCACTGCTTTTCCTGACACAATGCAGGAGTATTGATGGACGTATTGATATCCAATCTCAAACTTGAGACTATTTTCATCTCAAAGAGATGTTCCTGCAATGTGTCCACGGCGCGTAGATTCGAATCTTTATATAGTAAGTACACATGGTCAATATACGCATTCTGTAAATACCAGTGAAGTTGTGCAAGTGTCAAAACTCCTTCTTTTCTAACCCCAACCTCAGCGTTTCGAGCTGGTAGCCCCACAAATAAGTAAATTCACCGCCCTGGCAAAATCGTCATTGGAGAAGCAAGCTTCAAATTAATTATGAACTGATAATCCCGAAAATCTTTTAATTTTCTCAATCCAGAATTCTTATTCTGATACCTTTCATCAACACATTATTACAGTTTTAATGATGAAGCGTAAGGCAGATACTCAATCTAATGGCCAGAATGGCAAAAGTATCTTGAAGAAACGTGCAAAGAAGGGTATATATTTCCGTCAACTATTCTTCATCTGCCACACAAACTGACCCAATCTTGTAACAGCACTGTCGGATGAAGATGCAAGGAAGTCTTTTAGAAAAGGTCTCTTCGACAAGGAGGTCCTCAAGAAATATACCAAAGAATATGCCAACTCGGAACCATATAAACATCAAGTTATCAGCCCATTAATCGACGATGCTTTGCTCCGCGCTGTTCGCAACGAAATTCGAGAAAACGTGCATTTCACACCAAAGGAAACGGATATCTATAAAATTCATCAATCTGGAGATTTGGCAAATCTGGATGGGTTGGATGATGGTGCGCTGGAAAAATTGCCTTCTTTACTCAGGCTACGAGATGCATTGTACTCGTCTCCGTTTCGAAAATACGTTGCCGAGATTACAGGCTCTGGAGAATTGAGCGGAAGGAAAACGGATATGGCTATCAATGTTTATACTCCAGGTTGCCATCTCTTGTGTCACGATGATGTGATTGGAAGTCGGAAAGTCAGCTACATTTTGTATTTAACTGATCCGGATGTGGCTTGGAAGGAAGAATGGGGTGGAGCTTTGAGATTGTTCCCTACCAAAGAGTTTGAGGATGATGGGGTGACAACTATTACTCCTAGTCCTGACACCTCGAAGATTATTCCACCAGCTTGGAATCAATTGAGTTTTTTTGCTGTTCAACCAGGTCAGAGTTTCCACGATGTTGAAGAAGTATATCATGCCGCAAACAAAGAAGAATTGGAAAAAGATGGTGGTAGAGTTAGGATGGCTGTTAGTGGATGGTTTCACATCCCTCAAATTGGAGAAGAAGGATATGTCAAGGGGGCTGAGGAGAAATGGGGGAAGAATAGCAGTTTGATGCAATTGCAGGGCAACCCAGATAAATATGACTTCCCGAAGGAAGAGCCAGTTACTGTGACGGAACCTACGGTTGAAGATGCTGATGAGAATGGTCTGGAAGAGGCAGATTTGGATTTCTTACTCAAATACATGGCGCCCACCTACTTAACACCGGATACCTTGGAGCAAATTGCCGAACGTTTCGAGGAGGAGTCGAATGTTACTCTTGATGGTCTTCTATCTGTCAAATTTTCAACCAAAGTACGAGAATACGTCGAAGCGCAAGAAGCTGCAGGTCTACCAGATAGCAGCGTTGAAATCGAGAAGGGTTCTTGGAAGGTTGCTAAGCCACCTCACAAACATCGTTTCCTCTATCAAAAGCCATCCAGTGAAGTTTCAGGTGGTCAAGATGAATTGAACCCAATCGAAGAAATTCTTAATGTTTTACTTCCAAGCCCTCAATTCCGCAAATGGCTTGAGATTGCTACATCATGTCAAATTGAGAATTATGACCTTTTGGCACGTAGATTTCGCAAAGGTTCAGATTATGCTCTTGCTAAGAATTACGAAGGAGAACCAAGATTAGAGGTTGACTTGGGATTGACGCCTACAAGTGGGTGGGGCGACGATGCTAACGATGAAGAAGAAAATGAAGATAATGGGGAGGAAAATGAGGAGGAGGAAGAGGATGAGCCTAAACAAAAATCCAAAAAGTCAAAGGGCAAAGAAAAGTCAAATGGCAAGAAGAAGGCACCAGAGCCCAAAAAGGAACCTACACCAGACCCCGAGGAAGAAGATGATGTTGGAGGCCATTTAGTGTTCATGGCAGGCGATGATGAGAATGACGAAGATGCAGCAATTTACAAAGCTGCAGGAGAGGAAGAAGATGATGGAGTACTTTTCACTATGCCAGCCTCGTGGAATAAGATGAGCATTGTCTTGAGGGACAGTGGTGTGTTGAAATTCGTCAAATACGTTAGTAAAAACGCAAAAGGCGATCGATGGGACATCAGCGGTGCTTTCGGTGTTAAAGATGACGAGGATGATGATGAGGAAGAAGAGGAAGATTCAGGGAAAGCATCACAGGAGTCAAAAGTCTCATTGGAAGATTCGGATGAAGAAGGCACCTTTAATGGATTCCCTGACTCGGACCCTGACAGCGACTCGGATTAGTTTAATAAGGACTATACAACTGACCATTTTATTTCTTCGGAAAAGAAATACCCATCACTGGTCTAGGCCACCACATCTTGGAATGTTGCAGTCATATGTGGGGTCATATATGGATAATTGTACTCTACTGCGGATACAAGATTCGTGTCAACTTTAGCAATGATATTTTCAGCGTATCATATGAATGGAAATGTTGTCTCAACCTTTTTTGTTGCACGTCGAGATGCATTTCGCATTCGTTTATTTGAGCTACGTGGATTCTAATAACTCTATTTGGGAAGTGACTAAACTAGTATGTCCTAGGCTGGTGTAAACGCCGAAACAGGTGAGTTTTTAGGTTTCATTGAGGAGGATGGTTCTTCAGCTGAGGGTATCTGCATGGGATCTGTAAACTTTAAGATTTGTGCGAGCAGTTCATGTATGTTGATGCTGGTATCCGTGAGTGGTGAAGCACCGCATGCTGTACAATACTATGATTGCTCCTTTGCTAACCAGTCTATCTATTAGTTTCTCTCTATGCAAACAAAAACAGGAGGAAAATGAATGCCATTTTTCTTATCTTACATTGCCTCCTAATTCTCATTCTTCATCCCTTCTTCCATATCCACACCGTTTTTAATGCATACCCACTAACATTGGCATCTTTACGAATATCTTCATTTACCCTTCCCATTTATTTCATCACTAGCAATTGTATGTCCAATCAAAATCATGAAATTTAGCGAATGCGAAGGGGCCGGCAATGTCCTAAATTAGTTGTTTATGAGCGAATATCACGTGAAGGTGATGAGTGACAAAATTGTTTTGTTGCATATCGGTTACACGAACGAGAATGAGCGAAATTTGATCGACATAAGTGAAGAAGGAAATATGGAAAAGTGGGGAACTTAGAGAGACTAGCTCGGAATGAGTGTGATTTTGGAAAATGTTACTTCCGAGGTGTTTATTTCTGGCTGGAGGAGAGAAAATGGGAAATGTCCGGGAGGGGGCACGGATTCCTCGCTCTTAGACAGAATGTTCTTTTATACTTCAGGGTACCGGTGGGTAAGATGTGATGGGTAATCGTTTACATTGCGTTCTCAAAAAATGGAAGACCGTAATTGAGATTGTATGGATGAGAGGTGTTGACAGTTCGACCGATTCAGTGGTGTATTAAATATGCACATTGCATCGGAAGCATTGCTCCAAAACAAATAAGACTACGATTTGCGACGGAGCTTTGACTAGGGATACGTTACAGCCCTAGGAACTTTTTTGAAAATATAAGGAATGCGACGAGTATATCAGCGGCGGCAGCAGCGGGAACGGGAACGGACCCAATATTCATTCCTTTTCCGCTTATGAAGGACATTTTACAGTCTTGATTCCGCTTCGCATTCGGATTGTTCTGACATTTCTCTCTCCGTCGGCGTGGTGAGATTGTACAGAGAGATGAATATTGGGTGAGAAGTGGAGACGAGTAATCTGTAGGAGAGGGAAGGATTCTTTATGCGTGGGGTCTACATATTGGTGAGATGATTATTGAAGCAAGGACGTTAGATTGTGGCGTTCAGTTGGCGTATAAAAATCATACAAGAAAGCAGTGGTTCATTCTTTTTGTTGCCTAGCACAATAGTTTTTGGTTTCTTTGTCTTGTTGCTTATTGTATGCTTTTTGTCTTTTTGATATTGAGAATCGCCTAAACATTGAAGGACAATGTCAATATCGTATTTGAGCGGCACGGTTCTGTTTCTGACGGCATGGATAGTATATGCGTGGGTCAAAAATGAAGTGACTTGGATGAAATTGAGGAGGTTTGGGGGAAAGCATGGATGTGAAGAACCGAAAGTATTGAAAAATCGATTTCCTGGGGGAATAGAAAGATATTGGGGAATGTTGAAGCTTAAGAAGGGTATGTGTACTGTGATCTTTCTCATGCTTCAGAAAGTATAAGTGGTGTAGAATGGGAATGGAAGAGACTGCATACATCTCTTTCACTTTGAAGTCGAAGTTTCTCTGGATGCCATTGGACGACTGTCTGTATTTCTTCAGGAGAATAGGGCGGGCATTTTAAGAAGTCTAGTTTTCTTCTATACAATGCATGGATTTCCATACGTCTGACCTTTTATTCATCAACCAGTCCATAAGCCTAACTATGCACAGGCATGGACATCCTCGAAGACGACGTTCGCGCGCGCTATCTCAAGATGGGGGTCGGCACCTACCGAATCTTCAACCCCTTCCACTCCCTAATATCAACCTCCGACCCCCAAAACATGCAGGCAATCCTCGCCACCAACTTTGCCGATTTCGAGCTCGGCCCCAGCAGAAGTCAAAACATGTTTGAATTACTCGGCCACGGCATCTTCACCGCGGATGGCGAAGCATGGGCGTACTACCGTCAACAACTCAAGCCTCAGTTCTCCAGAGATCAAATAAGTGATCTAGAGGCTGCAGATCATCATCTCCAGATTCTCTGTCGAGCACTTCCTCAAACAAGTTCAGAGGAGGTAGATCTACTTCCTCTTCTGCTGCGTTTCACAATGGACGTCAGCACAGAATTCCTCTTTGGAAAATCAGTCAATAGTCAAACGACCGCTCTGCAATCCAGTGACTCAGGAAATAATACAGAATTGCAAGCCGAGGAGAAATTCGTACAAGCGATGTCTTATTCCCAAGACTATATTATCTTCCGCGTGCGATTCTTTAAATTATGGTGGCTGGCGCGCTCTCAGAAATTTCTGGACGCCTGTCAGATCTGTAAAGATTATTCCGCCGGTTTTGTACAGAAGGCTCTTTCTTCTACTTCTCCAAAATCTTCCTCATTTGTATCTGCATCTTCCAACAACTCCTTACCGGAACCCCACCCCGAGAAAAAAGAAAAATACATCCTCCTCAACGCTCTCGCCACCCAAACCCGTGACCCCACCGAACTCCGCGATCAGATGCTCCACCTCCTCCTCGCCGGCCGCGACACCACCGCCGCGCTCCTCGCGTGGACACTTCTCCTCCTCTCGCGCAATCCTGCACGCTACGCCAAATACCGTTCTATAATCCTCTCGCACTTCGGCCCCCTATCTTCCTCCTCCCCTCTCTCTTTCACGTCCCTCAAAAGCTGTAAAATACTAACCCACATTCTCTACGAGACTCTCCGGCTGTATCCTCTCGTACCCATGAACTCGCGCATCGCGATCCGCGATACCGTGTTACCCGTTGGTGGCGGGAATGATGGGAAAAAACCGATAGTGGTTAGGCGGGGTGAGAGGGTTAGTTATAGTACGTATGTGATGCATCGACGGGTGGATATATGGGGGGAAGATGTGTTGGAGTGGCGACCTGAGAGGTGGGAGGGGAGGCGCTTGGGATGGGAGTTTGGGGGTTTTAGCGGAGGGGCGAGAGTGTGTATTGGTCGTGAGTATTTTTTTCTCTCTTTTCATGTTTTGGGTTATAAGGATGATGCGGATTCTCTGGATTGATTGTGGTGTATTGGATTCGTTTGTATAGTTATACATGAGAAGATCACGAAATAGAGCACAACGCAACAGGAAACGCAGGAAGGTACAGAACAGGACAGGATATCCAGCTAACACCCACCTCTCCACAGAACAATACGCACTCAACGAAGCCAGTTTCGTGATCGCGCATTTTCTTCAAAAATACGAAAGAATCGAGGCGGTTGATATGAGTGGAGAAGATGGGATGTTGGGGAAGAAACTGAGTTTGACTATGTCCCCTTATGAGGTGAAGGTAAGATTGTTTGCTGCTGAGGAGTAGGGTTTCCTTGGACTTTGGGGTTTGGAAGGAAGAGGGAGAGATGGGGTAGGGGAGGACGACGTTCATAGATGGCGGAATAAGAGTTGGTGGGAATTGGAAGTGAAAGAATGTGGACGGACTGAGATAGAAGAGAAGGAAAGAAATGGAGACGTGTCAATGTAAAGGGAGAAATGAAATAATGAATGAATGAATAAATGCCCGAAGTGTTATTTACGCTGATTAGAAGAATAAGAGTGAGTAGCTTGGCCAGCCATTCGTATGAAACTAGCCACGCAACCCAAATTTAGTCAATATACAGAGAGAGAGAGAGAGAGAGAGAGAGAGAATCCCACAGCTGCTAAGCATCTGCTACCTGACCAAAACGCCACGCTATACCATCTCCAATCCTAAAATCCATTCATAACCTCGTATTCATAATGTCATATGTTCTAAGACCCGCCCCAATCCCGATACCGAAATGTATAGAAATCAAAACTCCTTCCCATGTGATATGTTTCTTGTTTACGATTGAATCTTGTATCGTGTCTGCTCAATCTTTTTTACTAGCAGGGGATCTTTTTTTCTTCGGTTTCACGTCGTTTAGTCCGAGTGGTTTCTGCATCACGTATTCCTCCTTCGTTCCATCTCCATATTTGTGCGTCGTGCTCCAGTCCGCATTAATGGTAGCCGGTATTCCTTGACTTGGTTCTCGTATTTGATCTGCGTGTAGCCTATCTAGACTCTCTCCCATGACTCCATATTTCGCCCAGTTAACCGGTGGACAACGTACTACGTTCTGGGGTTTTGGTAGAGTCTCCCACTTTAGATTTTGGGCCTGCGCTCCATTGATCTGTTGGCCCTCCTGAGACTCCTCATCTTCATCCTCATCACTACTACTTTCCGCATCCACGACCATTCTTCCCCTGCTCCTCGCATTTTCCTCCCTCTCCCTCTGTTCCCCTTCCTTTAGACTTTCCACAAATCCCTCCGGATCCTCCATCGCCCTCTCTTTAATCCTCTGCAACGTAACCATGTCCCTTTTCGCATTTCTCATCTGCAGCTGTAATATCGAAATCGCACTTTTTACAGCCAGAGCATCTGGATTCTGACTCAAATCGATCGTTTGTGGCGACGGTTTCGGTTGCGGCATCGATACTTGTGGCGCTTGTTGTGTATGGGTATATGTTTCTCTGAGCGCATGGGCTTGCGCTTGCATGGCTGGATGGGTTGGCATTTGCTGAGGAGTACTATTCTGAGCTGCGATCGTATTATTCATGATTGCGATATTCTTTCCTCCGACATGACTTCGTTGCGCGTAACCCGATGATTGCGATTCCAATACCGCCTTTCCATTTTTCGCGGCGACTCCTAGGTTCGCATTCGTATTTACATGGGAGGTTGAGGCTAGCCTTGCGGCCGATAATGTGGGAGTGATGGGAGAAACAGGAGGACGTTCGGGACTGGCAGATCTCGAAGTGGATGATTTGTGAGTATGTGAAGGGTGAGACTTTCCTTGAATGGGAGTCGGAGTCGAAGTATAATGTGCGGGAGTTGGCGCTGTAGAGGGAGGAGAATTTGAAGTTGACGCTGTAGGATGAGGCATTTTAATCTTGAGGATGGGCATTGTGAATTGCTTGCGCCCGCGCGCGTTGGAGATATGAGGCTGCGGAGTCGGATTACTTTTGTCCGTGATTTTGGGTTTGTTCCTTTCTAAACACGGGAGGTCGGGATGTTTGAATGGAATGTAACTTTGAAGTTGTGTGGGGGCTCGAGGGGGGCAATGATTGGCGGGGTATTTGAATATGATTGGTTATAATTATGATTTGCTTGGCTGAAATATTTAGTCTGAAATGTTTTGAATTATAATTGATCGATTTGGGTTGGGTTGAGTTGTTTTTGTTGAAAGAGTATGGACGTAGTAAATAAAGTACTCGGTACGTGTTTGAACTTTGGACAAACGATAGTACGGGCGGAGTAGGTGGGTTGTAGGAAATAAATATATGTAAGTAACTTTTAAGTCTTTACGACTTTTATTGGATCTTTTTATGAGTCAGGGGAAATGGGGTAAATATGGAATCAATAGATTATGAAATTACCTAAAGGTTATTCTTTTATTAGGTAGTATTTACGGTATTTATGGTATGTATATCTCTCTTCGCTTACAAAAGTGGTTCGGATGGAGATTCACGTGTTTATGTCACTCCGTGGCTCTTGCTTAAGCTTGAGCTGTCTTTAAAAGTGGCCAAGCAACCAAGGAGCTAGGTATCTAATTGGTATTCATTGCTATTCTATCTAATGGGTAGCTCTGGTTATGTATTTCCTTCTGAATCCTAGAATTCTTGAAGTGTATCACAGTCTAATAGCAAGCCCGAATAAAGAAAAGAAGTAAGTATACTATTGCTTACTGACTTCTCAAATACCGTTGTTGCATTGTGCCTTCTTATAAAACCAGAAATATTCCAAAAGTCATGTCGTCATAGCGGAAACTTGAAGATAAGTAGAATAACTCCACAAATCTAGCATTCCCCCCCCCTTTCTCTTCATTTCCTAATCTTCCTGCCATTATACAATGGATATTAGCCCTCTTGGAATTGCCAAGGCTGTCATTCCTAATTTACCTCTAGTAATAATGACCGCCGTTTTGGCATTGCTTTCTCGGTCCCCGAATGCTTCAGTCCAGGATGTCATCACTGAAGTCATAGTAGTGACTGCAAGACCTATGCTTAGCACTCCGGCGGCTATATTGGAATCTCAAATACGATCTCAAATAGACTGGGGAGTATGGGGACCAATGTGGATTGCCAAGTATGCCATACCAAGACCTCAAGATGATTGCCATGACAACGAAAGAGTTTATGGTGTTAGAAATGCTTTAGTGAAAGCAATAAAAGAGCTTGGGACCGATGATAATGCTTTCGATCTGCCAGAAATTGTCGATGTGCAAGCTGAGTGGACAGGCTATCGTAGTGGAGCCTCAACTATTGCTCGCCGACTAGATATACCTGAGTGTAAACAGTATGAGATGATGATGAAAGAAGTGGCTCCGAACAGTCCCACGATTCTTTATTTTTCATGGCGGAGCTTTCTGGTAAGGAGATCATGATGTTGGATGTCTCAAACTGAACTCAACGTCTAGTCTTATGGATCCTGTCACTCACCGACCGGCAACATCTGCGTTGGCTCAACAAACTGGTGGCCGTTGCTTTTCAGTTCGCTATCGACTGGCACCCCAAGATCCATTTCCATCGGCACTTTTAGATGCGTTCATCGCTTATCTGTCATTGATCTCGCCTCCGCCTGGCTCTTTCCATGAACCTATTTCTGCCAAGAATATTATTTTCTCGGGTGACTCATCAGGGGCAGGATTAGCGACATCGCTTTTACTACTATTGACAACTTTGAATCGTATGGGGATTGACCAAATTCGTTTCCATGGCGTGAATGTGCCAATCGATGCAACCAAAGTTGCTGGCCTTGCCATTACTTCGCCTTGGCTCGATATTTCCCGATCCCTCCCTTCCGTATTGAGGAACATTCAGTACGATATAATAGCACCACCTTCATCAGATTATACAATGCCTCATCCCAGATTTCCTCACGATTCGGTCTGGCCAGCCCGATCACCTCGTGTTGAGACCTATTGCGAGTCATCAATGGTCACACATCCACTTGTCAGTCCGCTTGCGGCTAAGAGAGAGCACTGGCGTGGTGTAGCACCAGTCTACGTTAGTGTAGGTTGGGAGAGTATGCAAGATGAAGCAGAGGTTTTTACCCGTAGATTGCACGAGGTCGGAGGGACAGTCATATTCGATGGGTACGTGGGAATGCCGCATTGCTTTGCTCTCATGCCATGGAATCAAGCTGGAAGAACTGCTTTCAAGAATTGCGCGAATTTTTGTGTAGCGGCGGTTCAAGGTAAAGTAAAGAGCAATAACTTCGGTTCATGGACAGATAAAGATGGAATCGTCGAGACGGTTGAGCTGGAAAAACTAGGAATGAGGACCAATGAACGGAAAATTGACCTTGACGACGTCCTCGTAAATAAACTTCTAGCAAAGCAAAGAAGGTGGAGGGTCGACTTGGAAAAGAAGTTAAGGAACTGCGAAAAGGGCGAAACAATAAAGATAAATTCAATCAGGAATGGCAAGTAACGTTAAAGATAAAAAGCTTTAATTGAGTTTGAAGTACAACATGCTTTTCATAGCCTCGGATAAGCTCGAATCTTCACCTGCTGCTCGTACTGGTAAAGAGTTAAGAATTTAAAATGTGCTAGAAAGAGGGATGAGAAAGGATTTTGTGTAGTGAATACTCCGTCTAGTTTGACTGCTCATCTCAGCAGAGTTTACCTTTGTCACACAAACATCCGTGAAGGGTCTTTGAACAGAATGGTGGGATGTGTGGAATCTCGGCAAGACACAGATCTCGTGTGATATGAGTAACGATCGAGTCACAGGTCTCAAACACTGTGTCACTCTATTTGATGAGTCGAATAGCTTCCATAAGAGCAAGCAACAATACTGACTTCTATGACATTCTCGCGGCGCATCATTTGATACTTATCGTTCACACTTACACTTGATCGCATGGCGCGCCTCGTGATATATATTCCAAGGTGGGTGTGTCTTGGGTAGGGGATAACATTCTGACATCCACAGTAACCTCAGACCTTAACGGCGCCCCACTTCTGGAATACATTTCGAAGATATAATCAAACTCAAAAAAAAAAGATGGAATTCTGATGAAGAATGGGGAAAATGCACGGCAAAATGCTGTATTATGGTGTGGAACTGATGCAATGCACGTAATAGATGAAATGCATATAATTGGAGAAGATGGTGGGAGGGTGGATGGGACCTGAGAAAAAAAGGAGACACGAGCCAAAACCCCCACTGACGCTAAATCGTTTTCAGTATAGCGTGTCATGGCATAAGTTAATCCGTTCCGAAAGCTTCGAGGTATGTAACGACTGAAGGAAAATGTCTAGAACTTTTCGTATCATGACCTTATGAACCATCTTATGAGCCAACTATCTATATAAATGAATGAAGATTTGTTAACATCCTCGATTGATCTACGGAATACTGGTGGGCCCTCGAAGGGCAGGCGAGTCTTGAGTACGGCTATGTAAGGTTATCGACATGTTCATGTGTTTGTTGTGAGAGATGTTTACTAATGTTCGAGTCCTTTCAGAATACCTACGAACCATTCATTATCACCATAGTCAAGCTTCACTATCTGCGAATATTATGAGGTTATGTGAATATTAGAAGAATTTATATTATTTTGTCATTCATTAAAACCCTATCGTCTGATCTTTATCCTTCATTTGATCTCCAAGCTGGAGAAAAGCATCGGAACCTGATTATTGCTCTTCTGTTCACCACTTGGACACCTCATATCATAAAAGAGACGAACTTGATTGCATGGCAGAGAAAGATAATCAATATTGAAGATTTGAAAGAAATAATTGGTGTGGTTTGCGCAAATTTACATTAGATGATATACCCCTCTTAAAGTACCGTTGCCTGGCAAACATTCTCGGCATACTTCACCTATACCACCGTCGTTGGACAATTGATTCTTCTTCTTCCTCTTCCTCTCCTCAAAGTCTGTCAAAAACAACTTTGCTGCTGAATCGATCGTTTTCTCCGCACTCTTTCAAAAATGGAGGAATATGCAACTCAGCCCTGTAAAGATCCCTTCTTCATTCCTTCTACTTATCCTCCTCCTCCCAAGACTCCAGCATTTGTTTTTAGCTCAATCACTGATGATCCTGATTATGAAGCTACTCAACCTACCGACGAAGCAATTCGCCTTGCTAACAGAAATTCTGGCTTGACCGACGAAGATGCTTCAGATATTGTTTGCATTCTCCATCCTGATTCCGATCTGGCGCGCGAAGCTTGTGCCGAAATCAACAAACTACACCCCAAGAATACAATCAGCCTTGAAGGTGGTAATTCTTACTTGACAGCAGAAGGTCAGGTTCCCTGCGACCTGGCACTTCGACTATCAGCCAATCTGAAAGATGAAAATCTGGGCTGGATTTTTGGCCGAAGTGAAGAACGATGCGACTTTATGATAAGAGATGGCACACCTCCTCAGATAAGCAATCAACACTTCCGCATTTATCTCAATGAACATGGCTTCCTCATGGTAGAAGATATGTCTACTAATGGTATCTCTGTTGATGGTACTATACTCCGACTCAAGAAGAAAAACAATGGGAAACCTTATCGACAAACTATCGAAAACGGGACTATTATATCCCTTGCTTTGAACAAGCCTGTTGCCCTCAGTATCAATTTTGTTGTTCGGATACCACGACGTAGTGATGAGGCTCAAGAGGCGTTTGAAACAAACTTCGCCATTCACGTTCGTCGAATTCAAGAAAGGCAAATTCGGCGTCGTGTGGCGGGTGGTGTGGAGAGACAGCCAGTAAGTTATTGTTCTGCTCTTGAAGAAAGGGCAACTACTAAAGGATTGCAGCTTAATCTCTTCCCCAATGCTGCCAATCGAGGTAGTGCGGAGTCTTCATCGATCTTCAGAAAACGAGAATGGAGAGGTGGTTCAAAGTACAACAAGCTCGACATGATTGGCAAAGGCGCTTTTGCTGTTGTTTATAGAGTGACTGATAAACGAACTGGAGTTCCATTCGCTGCCAAGGAGCTTGACAAGAAAAAGTTTTTGAAGAATGGAGCCAAAAATATTGATTCAGAGATCAAGATCATGAGCAAGATTCATCATGTAAGTTCATTTTCGTCCCTTTGGTAAGTCACGCACACGCTCACATACTTCAGGATAATGTGGTTTCGTTTGTCGAATGTATCGACTGGGATGATTATCTATACATCATCATGGAGTTTGTTCCCGAAGGGGACCTAACATCCCTCGTTACAATGTGCCATTTCCTTCCGGAACATGCAGTCAAGGGTATGACCATTCAACTACTAAGCGCATTGAAATATCTCCATTCGATAAATGTCACCCATCGCGATATCAAGCCCGACAATATTCTTTGCCAAAGTCGAAATCCACTGCACGTTAAACTGACTGATTTTGGTCTGTCAAAAATGATTGATACGGAAGACACATTTCTACACACTTTTTGTGGCACATTGCTATATTGTGCGCCAGAAGTTTATAACGAATATCCCCAATATGATCGTACAGGTCGAAGAACCAATCGACGTAGTGACGATTCAACAACACAACAGAGATATGATCACGCTGTCGACGTCTGGTCGCTAGCTGGTGTACTTTTTTATTCGTTTTGTGGAACTCCGCCATTTCCCGTTGGAGCTGCCTCGCATCATACACAAATACTTCAAAGAATAATGACGGTTCCTTTGGATGTTAGGCCCTTGCAGCGTTGTGGAGTATCACCTAATGCAATTAGGTTTGTCATAAAAATGCTTCATACAGATCCAGAGCATCGTGCTACTATCGAGGATCTAGAGCAAAGTCCTTGGTTGACGGGAAATGACCCAGATCTTGATGAAACAGAGGATGAAGACGTTGGACAGCTCGAGGTACCCGCTTCTCAGTTGAGTTTGCTGGATGCTTCCGAAAACAATGGTGAAAATGACGAGTTCGGTGAGGAGACGATTCAATTCCAACCTCGTGAGATGCCGGCCAGCTTCAGCACTAATGAGTCGGATGATGAGAGATCTTTGGAGCTCGCAAGCTCAATTCCGAGTGACTTTGGTAAAGGAACAGAACTCACAACCGCCGATCAAATCGAAGGAGATGAAAGCTATGAGTTCATCCGGAACCCTGCAAACGTTGGTCGCTTGTTTGGCGAAGTTAATGTAAACTCTTCTGCCTTGGGAAGTTCTGGAGCTGTTCCAGTGGATCTCCCAACTCCGATCCAGCACATCGGAAATAATAAACATCAGCAGGTTTCGAAGCAGGACGACACACTTCCAGTCGCAAAATTCAGGAGTCGTCTTGAAGCTGCGAGCGCTATGCCAAAGACCCCGCTCCCACCTCCACCTGCAACTCACCCTCGCTTTGTGACTCCGGCAGCGAAGCATTTCGAAAATGGAGTTGCTCCAAATCACTCAAGCCTTTTGGGTGCTGTATCCCAACTAGGTCATCTGCAGATGAATTCTCCTTTGATTTCACCAACCGATATTATAACACCCCATTTGTCAACTCTGTCGCATGCTCAGGCTGCCAATATTAGCCTTCGAAGACCTCGAGAAGTTGGTGGCTGGCAACCTGAGCTTCCACCGCAAAAACGCCGAAAGTCTGCGCGAACAATTGATGTCATGGTACCCCCAGAAACATTTTGGAATCCTAGAGATAAGTCGACTCATCATGAACATTATCCACCGATGTCAGCAGCGGATTGGAATCGATATGTTGAGCTTGCTAAATCCAAAGGAGAGAAATTTCAGCATGGCTGTACAATATTTGAGAATGTGATGGTTAGCTTCAGAAGCAATAGTAAAACTCCTTCAATTGGCTCGAATTTATCGTTTCGAGCGCAGTCCGAACCATTGGTTGAAGGGAAGAAAAGATATATACCATTGGCGCGCGATGAACGAAGGCTCAGTGACGACGCTTCTGTTCAACAGAGCATAGCTTCTAGGGAAAATCTTTCCATCACCACCGATGCCCTTGTGCCTGAAGTGGCTCAGAATTCTGAACCTTCTTCACCAGTCAAATTAGACGCAACAAATGATAATGAAATAATTTCTTCTATTGAAGCCGCGACGGAAGGTACATCAGCTATAATCCCAAAAATCGATGCATCTGCAGGAGATAATTTTCAGGTCCCTAAGCGAGTACTTGCCAAGTTTTCTGCAACTCCGGATTCTTGTTTACCAACCATTGCTTTCAATATCACGGAAGCTTTCACGTCTTGGGGCCGCGGCTTTTCCAACACTATCCGATACGCAACTCGTGAAGATGTCCGAATAGGTGTTCCTAGATACGCATTCAAGCTGATACTATTCAAAAATGACTTCTATCACCCCGGTGAAAAGTATACGGAAGTATGGAATAAGAGCCATAGTGAAGAAGAAGAGCAAGGCTTCAGATTCTTGATCTCTACCAAGTCCTCGGCAGGTCTCAAGATCAATGGTCATAAACTTCCAAGTCACAATATCAGTGAGACATCGGGCGACTCCAAATTTTGGGGAGAAATTCGTAATGGCGACATCATCACGATTAGTACGACAAAGAACATGTTCTTGAAACTCAAATTCGACTGTTTCTGGGGTATGGGTAAATATAATCGCCACGAGTCGAAATTCTTCCTATACAAAGAAGAAGATCATATCGCAAAGGTCGACAGAGTATGCACCATGCTCGAAACTGCCTTTATTGAGGAGCGCACCAAAAAGTTGATTGAGGAGCAAAAATTGGCCAAGGAGTTAAAACGTCAAAGGACGCAATCTGTAGACATCTGATCTCCATTGGTTTTTTGCAATTCAACTCCACAACACTTCCTCAGGGACACCTTGACGGAATATTTCTCCAACACAACCTTTTGTACTCTTATGAACACGAGACCTATTTTTTCCTTTTGTACTATCATCTTCTACTTACACATACCACACGAGAGTTTTCTGACTGCTTTAGCTTAGCTTTTCTTTTCTTTTCTTTTCTTTTCTTTTCTTTTCTTTTCTTTTCTTTTCTTTTCTTTTCTTTTCTTTTCTTTTCTTTTCTTTTCTTTTCTTTTCTCCTTTTACTATTTGCTTGCTGCTTCTTTAGCTGAATTGCTTTACTTCTTTGCTTGTTTACATACGAGCTAATTTTTTCTTCTGGAGTGAGGTTTAGATGTGGTCAAGAATTTATTCATGTGCTTTAAGAGAGTGGGGCGGATAATTTGATATCATGATAGATGGATGTATGGGGGGGGGGGGGTGAATGAATGATATTGGGTGGAATGAATATTAGTGGGATCACGAAAAGACAGTCACACTGGGCCGAATTTGCAGGTTGCTAATATGAACGGAAATATGAATGATGTGTACCATGGGCGAACTCAGTACACTGTAGTAGAGAAAAATATCGTTTAGATCATTCGAGAAAATACAAAGACATGTTAAATAAAGTATTGATTCGGCAAACTATGAAGTAGCTAGCTTCTTAGTGTATTTTGCTTTCCATTTAGCTTTGCCTCTATTTTTACTAAATTGTTGACAGCTGTTGCTATCCATAAGTGCGGCACTATACCTCATTAGTTATTAGCAGAAAAACTATTTTCTTACCGAGGAGTCCCCCTATTTCTTACAGCCTATAGCTTTCTAAATGGATGTATACCACTACATTAAATCCAAGCTGACACTCAAACTAAACACACGGATACGCAATTGGGAACGATGTTTTGGGATATATCATATATTATACGAGTATATTATATGGATTCATGGATTCCCTGTAACAATATCTTTACAATTCCTCGTATAACTTTCACGACATTTTTAGGCTGGGATACGGTAGTTGATGATGAATGGTGGATCGTGAGTGGAAAACTTTAATAGAGTATTGATTTAGGTACCTTGTAGATGTTATTGCGGATATACTGTTAACACCGAGCGAGCCGAGATCAATGGTAAATTGAGTGATTGATTGAGTGATTGATTGAGTTCTAGGTTTTATTAAGGTAGTTGAGGTGTGCTGAAGGGGGGGGGGGAGGAAGGAGGAGAGGAGGAGAGGAGGATTATGAAGAATCGAGTATGCACTGAAAAATAGGCACGGAGTGTAAATGGGAGAAGATTGGTGGTATGGGATACTATTTGATATATATACTAACTAGTAGTATGTGAGATACTAGGTCGATAGATATCTAGGTTCGTCAGTGTGGATGATTGATTAGCGATACGGATATAGATTCAGATTTAGATTTGGATTTAAATTTAGATTTAGATTTATATCCAGAATTAGATTTAATAGATTTAAAGCCGAGTTATAACATATAAAACCAGCTGTTAGAGACAGAACACAGATCTGAAGATCAGGTTTGTATATCATCGAGTTTTCAATCTTGAGAAGCTTATATAGAGTACCTAGATCCATATTGTAGCATTAGAGCATGCATTAGAGTATTATAACCACCCGAATTACAAATTCCAAGTATTTCATTCATTCTATTATATTTCCTCCATCCTCGACATCCACCTCCCAAATACCAATTACCAACTACCAAGTCCTATTTACCTCTCGACTCCCTCCTCCAAGCTTTCTTCCAAGATTCCTTAATATTTTGGTGTATATTACCTAGTATATATATCACATCATATCTATCACATTACCTACCCACCTACCCATTTCCAAACCACTCGAACCTCGGAATTGTATCAAGTCTGATATTTGATTACTTATGTATTTATTCATGTATTCATCTATAAAATACATTTCAACAAAGTTGTTGTAGCAATTATCTTTAATCATAGGTAAGAACCTAAGCTAGATTTTCCCATCCCATCACATCTTTCCATCCTCAAAAATTCAAATCATCTGATCTATTGATCCATACCTAGGAATTCGAATTTCGAATGCGTGGATTGCAAAGTGCAAAGCTGGGGGGTTGTTTGTTTATTTACCTAGATATCTATCATCTTATCATACCTACCTACCTACCTACCTACCTACCTCTCTACTCTACCCTAATATCTTCAATCTTCAATCTTCAATCCATTTATCCACCCATCCACCCATCCACCCATCCACCCAAACCAAACGCTCCCCCTCATTTCCATCTCCATCTCCATCTCCATCTCCATCTCCATCTTCCATCTTCCATCTATACACCCAAATTCACCCAGCCCATCGTCGTACAAACACCCCAAACTCGCACGCTGTGCATCTGCATCTGCAGACGCGAGTACTCATTCATCCATGACCCAATCACCCCATAAGCATCCATACGCATACCCATCGCATTGCATCGCATAGCATCACATGAGCACGAGGGAAATTTCAACACCAATCTCAATCCCAGCTGACAGATGGACTGATCTTGGATAACCACTGACTGACGAACCTGTAGTGAAACTATTGTGTAAGCTTACTTTTTGGAGGCTCAAACACCTACGTACGTACTCTGTAATATCGTAATCCGGTACAAAAATGATGTCAGATCTATCAAAATTCACGAGTCATGATTATTGTCAATCCAGTAAAAGTATGGCCGTATTGATGAACATCTCTATTCCATTAATCTATTGTCTTCGAAACGCGAAGTCTCAAATCACTGTTCGACTCTCTCCAACCGCTGTATAAACTCTACTCTTCTTTCTCAAAAACTCAATAATCCGCTACTGTAGAAGATGAAAATAAACGCCTTATAAACGCTGTGTCTTTTCGGACCAATCATACATGATGTATTTTCAATGTAAAGTAAGAATCAAGAATCCTCATGACCATACTCATTCACTCATGCTATCTTCCTCTTCTCAGCAAAAAATCATCCCAAAAAATTAAACCTCCAAACCATCATCGTTCATGCGTAAAATACATTATAGGAATTAAAATAAAACTTTCGAAAATTTAAATTGAATCGAAAGTAGTCGGGTACGAAGTGAAAAATCATACATCCATAACTTAAAGATTGTATTCTTAGTTAAGGGTGACGATGGCTGCAAATGCAAGGAAGATGAATGCGAGTGGGGAAGCAAACTCAGCAGCTGCTGAGGTTGGGGCGGAGGTTGCTGATGCAGTGCCACCAGTGGAGCTGGATGAGGCAGTTCTGGATGATGCACCTATGGTTTGTTAGTTACAGTTCATTGCTTAAGTCAATTCAGAGGAAACATACTGGTTCTTGAGGCAGAGCTGGACCCGCTGAGAGTGGTGCTGCTGTTGCCGCTAGCAGTAGGAGAAGAAGAAGCAGAAGTTGAGGTACCGTTTGAAGTAGAAGAGCCAGTAGAAGAGGCAGTTGAAGAACTGGTGGAAGAACCAGTGGAGGAACCAGTGGAAGATCCGGTGGAAGTGCCAGAGGTGGAAGAAGTGGAAGATCCTGAAGCGGAAGAAGCACTTGTGGAAGAAGCAGTAACAGTTGAAGCAACGGCAGTAGCACCTGAAACTTGGAATTGTTGACTGTAGTTTGGTGTGCCGGTGGAATCTTGGATCTCAATGGCATAAAGATCGGTGTCAAGGCTGGAAGATGGAGTCCAGGAATAGGATGTTCCGGTCAATCCACTTCCGATGGTGGAGACAGTGGTGAGGGCAGTGGAGGGGCCACTCTTGAGGACAAGAGTGACAGGTCCCTCGGCTTCTGACCAAGTGATGTTGAAAGGGGATCCGGCGGTGACAGCGAAGTTGGAGTTGGTCAATTTGACAGCGCTGGCAAGAGTTGATGCAGCAGCGGCGAGGAAGAGAGTGCTGAATTGCATCTTGATTATTTGGGTATTCTTGAAGACGATTGATTGAGTGTAAAAGACTATACGTAGAGAAGAAACCGGTCAGTTTGTTGGTTATAAGGATCGACCAGGTATATATGTAACAAGGTCGTATTCGAAAGTGTAGATGGAAGAGTGCGTGATGGGGGATAGATATGTATTACTTACTTTGCGAGGTGAATGAACTTGGGGAATTTCCGAAATATAAGATTGTATGATAATTTGATAAAGTTGTTGTGTTGTTGATGAACGACAGTGAATATCCAAGAAGGAATATATATAATGAGAGGAAATGATGGAATTTTTGTTTCCGGTAAAGATGAAGATGAAGGAATTGAGAAGGAACGAAGATGGGTTGGAAGATGGGTTGATTGCTCTTCTTATTGTTATGGAAATTCTGGGTAAGCAATTTATTATTACGATGGTATGGTATGGTACTACTAACGGCTACTACACAGTACAGAGTAGGCAGACAGGCGGGGCAGGGTTATGTTTATTTGATAATCAACAGGGGAATCGATAGGTAAACAAGGATAATAATGCTTATGCTCATTTTATTTCACTCTAGTTTTTCACGCTAAGCTCTCATTTCCTCTAATCTCATACTTGTATAGGTTTAGCCTACTTTAATTGAGTTCTTTCTACATGGTTATATGCATGAGGTCGATGGTTAGTGAAATTGAAAAAAATACGGGGAAAAATTGGCTCAGGGGGTTATTTGATCCAATTGAACCAATCATCAATTGATATTCCATTCCTTCTTTTCTAATTCTATTCTTCACTTCACTTCTTCCCTTATTACCTTCACCTACTTTTACCCTTCACTTAATCGTCACCCTTCACTTCGAACTTCACTCCACACAATAAAGGAAAGAGCTTTACTTACCAAGACTCCAAGTCTATACATACCGATTCCACTCCACGATACATGAGGAGACATTCAAGAAGAAGTCCAATGAGATCCTTCTTTTCTGATATATCGCATTCCTTCGCATTCCCAAGGAAATTTGTTGTAGTTTGTAGGAAAATGTAAGATCGTGGCGTTTTGTTGTCTTTTCTCCGTCGCCCAAGGAACCCCAGGTCCGAAAAAGGAGTAATTCATAATATCCATAGTTATCCATATCCAAAAATAACGTCAACAATTCGGACTTCTATCTCGATTCTCGTCCCGTCTCCATTCATTGACAAGTCGTCTAGATCGAAAAGGGGTGTCCCTCTTATACTCCGTCGATAGATTCCATTGAATAATAATTCGATACTCGAAACCACAGACTGTTCAAAGTCTAAAATAGTATAGAAGTTTCAACTAATTATTAACCTCGCGGCTCGAGATTGAAATATGATTCGATATAAAGTTTGAGCGCTTTCCAAAAGGTTCCATGCGGTAATTTTTAGCTACCTATCATGATTCATTATTAAGGTTTCTTTCGTTCCTGTCTAGCAATTACTAAAGCCATAGCGGTAGTCCGGCGTATCACACAAAGGCTTGATTATTGAATTTGCTTTCGTTGCTACAAGAAATTTGACAACAACATTCTTCGTAAATCACCGACCAGACTCATCAACAAAAAAAAAGATGATGATTTTTGCAGAGTCTCTTCTTTCTCAAACATAGATCCATCAAACTCCGCAATAATTGCATCATCAAGAAGTTCAACACAGATCTTTGAGAGGTCCTTCTCGCAGTCATACACACACTACTGTAACACATCCTCCGCACTGTGTCTTGCATTTACAATATCTGCGAATGTCCATCAATGTTTCGGAAGAGTGACTAGTTCTGCTTCAGTGGCGAATACGAGGTCTTGGAGCTTCAAGGTTGAGCAATTATGCCAACTCACGTGATCACAGAACTGTTCCAGGGTCGACGTTATTTGTTGTTGGACTGGCTATATTTGTTCGCTGAGATATCCACATTCGGATATGGTGAGTGGGAAGAGAAAAGGGTGTATCGAAGAGGAAGCTTAATTCAAGGTATTCGGGAACCGTTCGCTCTTACTAAATATCACGAAGAAAAGAAAATGAATACGCCGAAGATGAGGTTTCTTTTCCGCGTTAACATTTCAATTGGCACTTCAAGTTAAATAGCAGTCCTGGGATACTGGTAGAAAACCACCTGTCTGGTATTTTCCAAGATGCTCTGGCATGTGAGATAATCGGAAGCTAACATTGTAATATTGTAGGTATGGACAGCATCATCGTTCTGGTAAGGAAAATGGTAGTAATGATTACTTTCAAGCTGGAATATGAATATTCAATACTAGTTGAAAAATCCATTTGAACCGTCTTTCCGGGGAAAGTGCATGAAGGTACTCAAGGGACATCGAGCTGAAGTGGACAGATTCAGGAGTATGTTTTCCTCCAGCATCCAGAACAAAAGAACACTCATCGGGGAGAACAAATATGCATCCACCAAACATTTGAAAGCACAACCAGCTTTGGTGCATCTTAACAGAATGTGCTTGTTGCGCAGCTTACGCTACCGCGCTTGTATCAAGCATAGAGGCTTGATGTACAAAAGGGTATCTCTAATAGATATGAGCATCAACTTTTTGGGGTATCGTTGTAAAATACTTGTTGCTTTTATCTCTGGGGTACCTTTGAGTATGTGTACACACCCCACGACTGGTGGAAATACCACATCGAACAACTACATGTGTGTGGATCAGGAATCCGAGGTGGTGGTGAGGTTAAGTTTGGCATATACGAGCAAACGATCAAATGTTGATTTACATTGCCCATGGCTTTATGGTTTATGAAAAATTCTTAGATCTTAAGAGACCACTCAAAGTTCGAACTTTGATTCCTAAGTCAGGACATTAAATACTTCCTAACACTTAAACATTGCTCCAGTGTGGTATTTTGTTGCGTAGAAGTTGTTTGTGTTCAAATACAGAAGGAAGGAAGGAAGGAGGGAAGGAAGCGCCGACCTCTTAGTTACGCTACCTTATTTTCCTTTCCACCTTCATTCGCTTTCATATATTAATCGAAACCCACGCAAAATACCAAATCGCGTTCTATTGTTTACCTCTCACCAAATTTCTGTTCTCAATATAGATACCGAAATGGAGGATATCCACAATATCATTGTAAGTGTTGCTAACTTAAAATACACAAATTTGTTGTTACTCAGTACGTATTGCTTAGGATTCGGGTGTCTCTAAAGGACTTGAGTATTGTGGGATGAGAAAAGAAGGATTGGAGAAGGGAGAGTTGATAGAATCACCGCCGCAGATACAACTTTTCAAAGCATTCAATCTCGCTACATCTGAAGCAAAGGATAAAGCAGATCGTCTTGCCAGGATAAGGGAGGAGACCATGAACAGGGAGAAAACACGGAAGCATTTTATGGAGAGTGTGGAAGGAGTGGCATGTACACGAAAGGCTCAAACGAAAGTACCTCTTGTATCGTCCACATTCTCGCCGCTGCCCCAGGACTCAACGCATAATACTCCTCGGCAGGGCTCTATGGATTCTGAGATGAGTGATAGGACAGAAGAAGACAGAGAGCAGCCTATCCATAATGGTATGTATGGGGATGCGTACGTGGACATATATAGCGATGTTTACTGGGACACAAATGTGGATATACATGAAGAGAATCTCGTTTCAGAAAAGCTCTCGCGTAAAAGACGAAAGAAATCAACCCGAAGTAAACAAAGGAAGAAGGCTGCAGAACTTCAAGCTTCGCTGCAAATTCATGGATTACTTCCTGTTCCCCCGCAAGCTTTACAGGAGCAATCCGATCAAACAGTTTCGCGGCGTGATGCCGCAGCTCTTCGTCCCAAATCAAATAATAACCAGCAGGAATTAAGAGAGCAGGAAGGCAGTAGAGGGTTGACTATGGAGCGAACTAATCCTGGAGTGTTTACTCTGCAGCAAGCGCGCCTGGAAAAAATAGCTAACCTACGTGAGAGAACAATGGCACGCAAAATTTTGCTGCAAGCACAGGGTCTTTTCCCAGTGTCCCCTTCTCGGCAAAATGTGAAAGGGAACTCAATTCGAACTCTCCCAGATGGTAACCTCGAGGCTAATATCTCTAAGCCTCATGACATGCAGGAAAAGGAAAATAGACAGGAAACTTTCGGAATTATGGAAATCGAGAATATTGGTTCTGGAGCCAGCCCGCAGAAGAAGGATTCAAGTCAGCATGTCACCAATAGCCCGAAAACATATCAAGTCAGGCTGAGAGAGCAGAGGGATAAGATGAGAGCACAGACACAACAAAGCACATTGGATCGACAGAAATCATATGGAATGGCAGCCTCCCCTGCTCAGCCTACGCAAAACTATCCCACGATTATTCGTAAAAGTTACGAAAACGATGTTGAAACTCCGCTCCAGCAGGAGCAAGAATTGAGCACTTCAATACTAGGTGAAATTAGAGTGTTATTACAGAGGGAGAAGGAACGAAGACAAAGACTATCAGCACTAGATGACGTTGATTTGGTGGAAAAAAGGACAGAAGAACAGGAGCAAGAGATTTTGGTACTGGAACGGATTAGATTATCGATAGAGGATACTGAGTCGAGGGGTGTACCTGCCAAGATTTACGATGTCTCGGAGAAGATCAGTTTGGAGATGGCGAAAGAACGAGCTGCACTTCCAGATCAAGATTCATCATTACACGCACAATCTACTCATCAGAAGCCGTGGCAGGAAAATTCTTCTGTAATTAGTACTGGAAGTCGAGAAGGGTCACAACTTGAGCGTGAGCAAGGAGATCGCGCTACGGGAGGGACAGGAGACGGGGAACTCCTTCCAGCGCTGAAAGATGCTGGATTTCTACAAGAGAACTTGGACATGAAAATCGATACTGTTGTTGAATATAGAAACAAAGAGGACGTTGCAAAAACTTTTTCAATACATCAAAACATTGGAGATGTATCAGACGATGCGAGGCGGCACGGCACAAAGATTGGAGAAGTAATTCAAGAGACTCCACTAAGATCTGGCGCGATGGTTGAGCATCCATCAAAAGATATCTGGCCTAGATCCATTCCCGAAATGCTTTCACAGCTTTTTTACCTGTCAGAAGAAGTGGAAGAAATCATAAAAATGGAGAATGGATGGCTTGGGTGGCTAGGAATTGATACTGATATTGACGAAGACATTAAACATTTCATCAATGTAACGAAACCCTCACTCAATACCACTATCAAGTACCCATCAGAACCAGAAGATACCAGAGCCACTCCCGATATCTTATCAGAATTATTCGATATATCAGAAGATATCGAAGATATGATAGACACGGAGAATAAGTGGTTTGGCTGGCTGGGAATGGATATCGATGTTCAAGATTTCGCAGATGTATCCGCTGGGTGTTAACACCAAGATCGACGACTTCCAAGTATCTATATTTGTTGAAATTCAATTATAGATTTACTCTCTGTCTGTGGATGTTCTGAAGATATTCTGCGTAGGTCTTGAAGCATCGGAGGACAGGAGATTTATGGCGGTTCATAAATCTAGATGTAAAGAAAAGGCGATTTGCCTTTTTCGTGGAATGGAATGTTGGAAGTATGCTCAATTGCTAGAATGTTGTTGATATATGTGCTGAAGTAAATTGATTTGCTACAGAGATCGCTCAGATGTATAGTAGCAAACTTACATATCAACAAACTCCGGAATTATTGTCAAAAGCCTGGGCGTGTTCAACGCTGCGTTCTATCTAGTATTGCTCAAGGCTCTTCACACTACCTACCTAGGTACCTACAGATATAGCTCACTCGCATGATATGATGCAAAAATCGATACGGAAAACACATCATTTTAATCTTTTTTATTAGTGTTTTTCAATTTTTCTATTTCATCTCATACCACAAAGTTTCTTGCTAAGCAAATCGTAGCAATTCTCAAAATAACCCAAGTAATGACAGCCATCTGCCAGCAGTACTGCATGCGTGCATCGTATTAATCCCCAAGTCTTTGTATCCATATCCCTAGTAATTATCCCATAAGTGTATCCCATAAGTGTTACCCAACCCCTGAAGTGTCCCAGAGATTAAGTCAAATAACGAAGTAAGTAATCTCATAAAGTATTCCCCACGCATCCCGTCATATCCCCGATCAAGATCTCTCGTGAATTACTGGATGTGGTGAACGACGGGTTCTTGTAATCTGTAGTCTGTAGTGTTGGTACTGGTACTGTGTTCCGATGTCTTGATTGTATGTATCCGTTCAATTTGAGTGAGAGAGAGAAAACGAAATGAAGGAAAGAAATAAAAGAACCAACTCCGTCAACCTCGCGTGTGAGAAGAAAAGATGATGAATGCAGATCAAATCGACAACGAATGTAACTCCTTCAAAGCCGGCATTCCTGTCTCCATTCAAATTAGAACCTAAGCCAATGAAACATAACCCAAAGAAAAGTAAAGGAAAAAAATCAAAGCAAAAAGTAATATTGAAAGAAAACTCGAGGATAAATCAAAAGAATGTGAGTGATTGATTGATAGTGAACAATTACACATCCAAACATCTTTTGTTTGTATATCTTTTGTAAACATGTGTATGCGTAAGTAGCATAGTATGAGTGATAGCCGTGCGCCGTTGATCGATTCCCCAGTTCGCCGAACCATCTGTTTGTGCTGTAGTATCTTGAAATGAAAAGTGCTTGGTCCATTGCTGAAGTAACATTGGAAGTAAGCGGATGAAGAAATGCCGAGAAGAGCTCAAAGTTTGAGAGAAGAAAATGTAGGGATGGGACCCCAGCCATCATTATCATCATCAGCTTGCTTCTTATTTTTATTACTGTCATCACCGTCGGTATTACCATTCCCTCCCGTACCGGATTTAGACTTGGGTGTAGGAGTAGAGGCATAACCGTCTCCGCTGAAATCCAAGGGATTACATTTGGCACCTGCCCCACCGCTATAGCCGCCTATGTCTGGAAGGACGGTTTCGGTATCTGTTGGGCTCGACCAGAAATTGTTGCCAGTAGTCTTGGTGTTGGTACCCCGAGAGATATCTTCGGCGGCTTCAGCTCCCCATGATTGATACCTGTTACTAGTAGCACTATAAGATCGATCTGCATTGGCATCCCAAGATTGATCGTTGGTATAGGTATTGCCACCATATGATTGCTCCGCATCATAATTGGTATTCTCGGCCCAAGAATTTTCTCTAGATGGTTTAGGAGTAGCCGAATACTCAGGGTTCTCTTGAAAAGATACCCGGCGTCGAAGCTTGACACGATCAAGAACAGCAGCCTTAGAACGAGCTGTTCGGAGAGTGAGATCGGTAGCGTCGTCAAAGATGGTAGCATTATCATCTCTGCCTGCAACGTCTCGAGTGCGACCACTAGCGGTAAGATGATTTGTTTCGTTGGGAGCTACTGCTGCTTTACCGTACTCAACATAGGCTGTATAGCTTCCAATTTGATCCCTGTATTTCTGGGAAGTGGAACGGACAGCATGAATATTGGCGTCAACTTTGGACTTTGTAATTTCAGCACATTCATAACGACGACGGCTAGTTTCAACAACTGGCTTCTTTTTAAGAATTGCCTTTATACTCGGTGCGGCGAGAGTTGATTCAACTTCATTCCCACTGTCTGTGGTGTCACGAATAGAAACTGGTAGAGGGACCATGGAAAGGCGTGTAGAATCCGAAACGCTGGGTTCATATAAGCCTGCTGATGTTGATGTTGTTGTGAAAGAATCGGATTGGGTGACCATTGAGCCGGAAGATTGAGAACCAGATGATCGAGAATGGACACGTGATTTTCGATTCTGTTCCAAGCGGTGATCAAGCTGATCGATTGTCGATGCATTCATCCATGTCTGATTTTTTCGAGGAGTGCTCTGATGTTGAGGAACTTTAGGTGGATTGCTCTGAGAAGTTGAACGATCTCTATTTCTGGGCACATATCTAGGGTCCCAACTACCGTTCATAGTTGGTGGGTCTGGTGCTCGAGGAGGTGTCCTAGTGCCATCCATAAAGCTTCCATAACTTTTGAATGAGCTACGTTGACGACGACGAGGTCCTGGGTTTGGCAAGTTCTGATGAGCCATTTCATCTAGATAAAATTAGTCAATATTATTGGGGATGTCATAAGAGAGATAATCTGGTACTTACAAGCTCTATTAAACTCTTCGCTAGAATCTGAAGAACGACGAACAGTTGAAGTATGGTAGAGATCTGAAGAAGTACGCCGATTACTTGGCACGAAACTTCTCAGAGAGCTTAAGCTTGAACTTGTTCGGCTTGTAGTAGTCCACTTATACTGCGTCTCATTGCCATGTTGATCGACTTCAGAAGTGATATACGTTTCGCGAGTCCTGATGGGGGCACGTGGAGGACTGTGACGTCTTGCTTGTGGTCTTCTTAGATTATGTCTAGACTCAGTTCGAGATCTGGGTAATTCATGTTCGGTCTCGACAACGATGAAGTCTTCGTCAGAGGAGCGCGAGCGATGGCGAGGCAAGTGCCTTGGCTCATTTCGTGACTCAGGGTGTTCGTGTTCTGTTTCAACCACGATAATATCTTCATCGGAGCGACGACGAGGAACATTTTCATGTACTTGCTCATGAATATCATGATCATAAGAACGCTCAGGATGTGTACGCTCAGAACGTCTCCGCTGAGCATGATCTTTCATACGTAAGCTTGGAAGAGACTCTTTTGAGAAGCGAACAGATCTTGGCAGATATTCGAATGGAGTAGCAGAGTGAAGTGGCTCAATGTATCTGTATGATTTATAAAGATCTTGTCGAGAGGCGGCTTGAGAAGTGGCGTTTGCTTTCCTAGTCTGCTGGTCAAAGCGGACTGGCTTTTCTCCGAGGTCATCAACGATTGATGGTGGACTGACCGATAAGGATCGATTTGTGATATTAATTCTCACTTTTGGCTCTTCTCGGGCAGTGGTGTTGTCTTCAATGGGATCGCTTTCATCAGTACGAGTGTAGCTTCTGGATGCTGACTGTCTTGAGTTGTCCTCACTTCGTCTAGCTGGGTCTTTGGGTGCGGTTTTGCGTTCGCGTGTAACTTCCTCCTCAACGATAATTTCATGCCGATGGTCATTAGAGTGGGTATTGTCTCTTCTATCATCATCTCGGCTCAGAAATTCAATAGAGCGAACTCGAGACATGGGTTTGCGTCTGTAATTCTTCTGAAAGATATTAGTGACGAAACCTCAAAAATCAATGAGGAATCAAATTCACCTTTGAGCTTTTCTCCTTTGTTCTTCTTCTTCCTCTTCCTCTATATCCATGAATCTTTGAACGACTGTCATCGCTGTCATCGCTACTTGAACCGCTAGTAGAGGTAGCGTTTCTGCGACACCTGCGACAAAACCCAGGGGTAGGAATCTCACCAGTCTTGATTGGATTATCAAGATGATATTTGGAAGAGCGATCTCTTTGGCAGCTGACACAGACATGCTTGGTGATGACGGTCGTTGTAGTTTTCTTTATCTCTGTATGGTCATCAATATTTCCTTCTCTTTTTGACTTTGACTTCGACTTCGTTCTCTTAAGAAAGTCAGATTCAACTTTTCGAAGTTCTTCAAAATTTGGTGGCTTTGACGCTTTTGGTGGAAACGCCCATCGCATGGGTTGCTGTGCTGTTGCCGATGCTGGCACCGGTACAGGTGCAGGTGCAGCAGAAAATCCAGGAACAGGGTAGAAAGGAGGAAATCCAGGGTTTGTTTGAGGAAAGAAATTTGGATTCGGAAAAGGCTGTTGAGGGATGGCTGGCGCATAAGGAATTGGCGGTGGTGCGAAAGCGGAAAAGTGTTGTGGTGGGTGCGCTGTCGAATAAGGAGGTCGTGGGATAGGAAAACGCGCCAGTTTCTTCTTCTTCCTCAAGGTTTCCATAGAAGTCTTTCTCTTTGGTTCGTGAATTCCGAAAGTTTGACCTAGCAAACTGAAATTTTTCTTTGCACGATTTGTAGGAATCTTTCTCGCCATTACCATGCGGCCATTATTCTTCTTAAAATAATATGGATATCCGTCTCTTACAATCTCCTCGGTAGTATCAGAGCCGTCATCGCTCCGAGAGCCAGCTCGCAACCTGATGCCATTGATTAGAACCAAGAACGTTGAGAAAGAAACTCAATCGAATTGCTTAAATCGAATAAAGGAGAAAATACTTACATGGTAAGCATTTTGGCAACCGAATTAGGGGATTGTTATTAGTTCACCACCCGAGGACCGTCCTAGGATAGTTGTATATGGATTGTATGTTGTCTTTTTACTGTTCGGACATAAAGTAAACGAATTGAAATCCTGTAAAAACGTCGGAAAGTAGATGAAAAAAAAGTTGAGTAAAAAAATGGTAGCACAAAATCATACGATTCTTGCCTACCATTAAGCAATTAATATTAAAATTTGAATACAAAGCCGACTCAATGAAAGAAGTAGAAGGGAATTTGAAGTGCAATTTTGTCTTAAGAAACTTGGTTGTATAGATGTGCAAAAGAAGATGGGAGAAACAAGATATTCAATCTGTGTTATGATGGTGTCTCGGGCTCTCCCTATTCGGCTATCATCAACATCACTGGCATTGACCAACCAGATGTCTCATCAATGAATAGATACATTAAGAGAGATAGTTCAAAAGCTGTCATTCACTGTTATCGACCCATAATCAAGAAAGGTGGTGGGCAATGTTTCTTCGGGCTCTTATCGGTTATTAAAAAGTCTCATCTCGACCTTTGAAGGTGATGTGAGGGAGCTCTCTTGTCCAAAGCTTGAACAACGTGGGATAGAAAAGTGAAGGGAACAGCGAAGGGAAACAGCCTTCAAGCTGTATGATAGGAAAGAGCAGGTGTCTTGTTCCAGCTAACATTAATTAGTAATGACTTTTTATGTAGGTAGGTAGGTGGTATATTATAATAGAGTGAATTGTTACTCTAAGTAAACCACAATGTTGAAAGAATCTCTCAGCTTTACCCTGAAAGGTTTATATTGAGGGCTATGAAATAAAGGAACTGAATGTCAAATGGATCTCATACCTGTCACATCAATGCCTGAAGTCAATTGAGCCTAACGCAGGGCCATATTTACGAGTACATTTTGTCTTCTATACATAACATTGGACTCGCGCTATTTTTCAATGCGCCCAACCCAGGATAAGGAAATATGATACAAAGCAAAGTTCATCTCTTTATTCAACTCTCAAAACTTTTGGCCCTCTCTTCTTCAATGTCTTCTTCTTCTTGTTTCCTCTATCGAAGGATGCTGCCGATGCATGGTCTCGGCCAACATTGTCAAGGTCTTTCACCTTGTAGATTCGGATGATCCAATTCTCACTAGTGAATGCTTCTTCAACAGTGTTAAGAACTGGCCCAACTTCTGGCATCTTTACGCCACGAACTCTATCTTGGGCTTGTCCAGGTGGAAAGAGGGAGTTGTAGTTGTAGTATGACATTTTATACCTGTTGAATAATTAGCAAATTTTCAAAAGTAACGTGATCAGCGTTGCTTACATCAAGCTGTCCTTCATGGTTTGTGTGGCACCATCATCAACTCTGTATTCTCCACGCTCAGTGAAAAAGTCACGTTCCTTAACCTCATCTGGCCAGATTCCTTCGGCAATTCTGACCATCCACAAGAACTTGTTGATATCATCTCCAGAGTATCCAAGGAGACCACCAAAGACAACAAGAACATAATCTACTTCGTGTTGGCGCATTATAGGGTAGCTGACCTCCTCACGAGAGCTCATTGCCTTTCCGACAGTCGCGATGTGGGTGTTGTTCCAGGTATTGTTGTCGACAAGTGTTGGTCTGTCAGCCATACCACCAATCTGGTAACCGTAATCCCACCAGGACATGATCTTCGCATCTTCCTTGGTGTTTTGTCGTAACCATTGATAAGCCTCTCTGTAATCATCGATGATGTGCTGACTACCGTCTGGCATTCTACTAGCGAGCACGACAGATGGAGAAGAGTAGGCATTTGATGTGACCCAAGTACAGTGGAGAACAAAGATCAAGAGATATGTTGTCATGGCGCCAACAACTGAAATCTTGGAGAAGCTAGCGTAGATACCGACAAGAGGTTGACGCATGGAGCGGAGTTCCTCTTGTTTAGCGGCCTTCTTAGTGGCGCCATTGCTAGCACCGTCAGTTACAGCAGAGGTTGCGGTTGGTTCTTCAGGCGACTTGAAGGTCAAGTAAGTGTCCAAGATATTGGACAATGCCAACGCGGCAGCCACACAGACGATTGGGGTCAAAGTAAGCATTAATCTAACCATGACACCAGAGAAGTAACTGGCAAGAATTGCGTATACAACAACGAAAACTTGTTCATCGGCAAGCTTCAAGAAGCAAAGGTACACACCAGCTGGGAAGAGCCAGATGAGAAGGTTAAGATCGAAGAAATAAGCTGGCCATGCGGTTGGCTGATGCTCAGAGACAGAGGCAATGATAGGGATGTGAATCTTGGCGTATCCGGTATCCCACAAAGAGTAGAAACGTCCAGTCCAAGGAGCAATGACACCAGAGACGGTCAAAAGTACTAAGCCACCAAAGGAGATAGCGAAAACGGCAAGGACAAACCCTCTAAGGAGAGTGGCGAATTGCTTGCTTGGTACACCCGAGCGGACAAACTCGACGAATCCAACCAATTGAAGAAGGCCGAAAACACCTGAACAGATTAGTACATAGACATTTCAAAACAAGGTGATTGAACGTACCGAGAGCAGACATATGCTCACTACTGCGAATTGGCAAAAATCCTACAAATGGAATTTGCATGCTTGCCAACGTGCCTAGTGCGTACCAAGTACAGTAACTGACATAAACTCTTGGACTGAATCTCCCCATGCAGACTAATACAAAGACATGAAGAGGAATCAAATTGGTAATGAAAACATATCCACCCCAGGCTGATACCATGTATCCATAGAACAAGGCGCAAAGAGCACCCCAAAATGCAGACCCGAGCTTGATGGCTTTGATCCAGAGGTAGAACGTAAAGACGAGTAAGAAGATTGCAATGGCTTCGTTATCGTAGCTGCCTGCAACTGATCGCGAAATGTAACCTGGTGCAATTCCCATGAAAATAGCTGCAAGAAGACCGGCGGAAGGGGATGTGGACATCTCATTGGTGAAGAGGTAGGTTGCGAAGGCAGTCAGACCAGAGAAACCAGGTGCAAGAAGCACACAAATGTTTCGAATATCGACTGGTATAGTAAGAGCTCGAAGGGCATGGTAGATGACACCACTGGTCACCATGAGACCTGGGTATAAAGTTCCTCCCGTAACTCGACCAAGTGGATGCCATGTTCGGTCGTCAAACCAATCCCAGAAATCGTAGAACCCATTCGAGACCAAGTATTTTGTAGCTCTGAAATTGAACCAAGGATCGACTAAATGTAAGTTAGTTTCCGGGCATTCATTGAGAGTAGATCTGGAGCAAAGAGAGCTCCGTCCATTGAGGGGTCCGTTGGGTACTAACATTCGTGAATTATACTCTCGAATCCTAAACGTAATAATATTAGCTTTTGTTGCACAGCTTGGGCATTGGCAGAAAGCACGACGAGACTGTTATGCCCTTCAATGCCATGAAGAATGCAAAATGCTCGGAGCATTATGTGTGAAGCTTGAGGTACTTACGAATCACAGAAAACAGTCGACTGGCAATTGCAGCGCCAGCAATTAAGCAAAGAATTACAATTCTTAAAACCCCACGAGAGTTCTTTCCCGTACTCCCTTGGAAGAACGGTTCCTGAGTTTTTGCAACCATGTTGATGGCAGCTATGGTGAAAAGGAAAGTTGTCGCTGGTTGAAAGTTTCTCTGGATTAACACATATCTGTTCGCAATGCCGCACTTTCAGAGCTCCGCGTCAGTTCACAGGGATTAAGTTCAGTGACCCGCCGCACTAGTTTGAATATCACGTGAATGGATCAACACATCAATGGCTTATTCTCTATTTGTGATGTGTACCACATGTAGGATGCTTATCTCAATATCTCAAGAAGTGTCTAGGTGATGATGTTTTGGGGCGCGAACTAATTTTGTTTGGCTCCGGTTTGAAGAGAAGAATGTATTCCTTGCTGTATTCTCTGATCCCGTCATTGTCAAGCGAAGCAGTGCGAAGGATTTATGCTCTGTAGAAAAAAATGAGGTCTAATTGTTTCTTCTACAGTTTTCTTGTAGATATAGCGGTTATATGTGTTCCCGGCTGGTTTGGCCTGTCGATGAGAAAAATGATTACCTCAGTATACTCATTCCATGTGAACAAAAGGAAGTTTGGGAAGTCTTTCATGATCCAAATTCGGAACATTCGACGTGTACTTCCTTCTTCTGTGGTCCTCGTAGGTGAAAATTGGGTCTCCAACAACAGAAGCTCCCAGCTGTATTGGTCGTCTATAGTACAATGTACAAGAAGTATCACCTAAGTGATGTCTAAAGGCTTTTGTGTGTTTGCTCAAACCCTAGAAACCCTCTCCAAACATCGCCGGAGCCCATACCAACTACCACGAATGGTCTCATTCAGCGATGCCCCTCTATCATTACCCGTAATTAAAACCCCCATCCCACGAATGCCCCTAGTTCTCTGCTGCTAGAACCTTCAAGTATGCCTCGAGATCAAAATTCTTGTCCATAGGGTCCCGTATAACTGTTTTTGAATGTCAGTAATGTTCCATCCAGAAAGTTCGGTTTGAAGTATCGAAATGGACTCAAAAATCCTCATTCGGTTGCAGATTTGGGCAGGTGTAAATGTGGTAGAGACTGGAATCCAATAAAACTTCACGTACTGTCACCACCTCCGGTTTTTTGGCTCGCAGGCAAGTTCTTCTTTGCGTACTCTGCTCTCGCTTGCTCAATCAACTTTTGCTTGTGCTCGAATTCCCTGCTTGCTGCTGCTGCTTTTGCTGCAGAAGATATGCTCATTTGATGGTAGAATCCGTAGAATACACCTGCACCAAGGGCTGACCACCGCAGAACCTATAGAAGAATCTACGTTAGCACTTTCTTTTATCAATAGACCTGCGAAGAATAGATTCCAACTTGGAATGAAGTCTCCGGGTTAAGGATTGCGCGAAGTCTTAAGACGTACGTTTACCCCAGTTGAAGCCATCAGGAATAGTTGTAAGAATTTGCCGGGGATAATATGGTGAGAAGAGTAGTGGCTTAAGAAATACCAATTGAACTCGGTATCACAACGAAAGGCAGGTAGGGTGATTGTTGTCGGCGATAAACTTTTTCAAGGTGGTCGGATGAAATATCGCGAGAGCAAGCTTCAGCGGCATTTTGCGGGACCAGAGTTCCCACGTGATATCTAAATTACAATAATGCGCATTCAACAAACGCGACTTCTATTTTGCGTGTCTACTTGTATTTATGAACTGTGATAACACAACTTCATATTTGGGCTCATCCATTCGCTGGAATACTCAACCACCGTCTGCGAACTTCAAGGTCTTTCAATAACACTATATTGCGGCAAAATAAAGGTATTTGCCCATGAGATGGGCATAGAACTTCCGCAAAATGCAACAACGACGAGATGAAATTCTGGCGAAGAAAGCCAAACTTGCAGAGTTAAAGAGGCAAAGAGAACTCCGTGCGAGAGAAGTTTCCGTAAGCAGACAGAGCGTAGGAAGTGGAAGTGATGTAATTAAACTTACCCTCATACTTGAATTAAACTTACAAGCTATAGCTTGCATCACCGACACCAGGACGAGCCGATAATCGAAGGGAACTTGACAATCTAATTTCCAGCTTAGTCGGAGATAGTAGACCCGGATCGACTGGCCCTGGCGGAGCAGGATCACCGGCGAGAGGGAGTCGACCAAACAGTGTATTAAGTGCCGGTGAACTAAGTAATGAGCCTTCCGAATCGACCATATCGACTGCCCAAGTCTCGCAGACCCAAACATTATCCATATCGACTCCCCAGTCTCTTTCCACAGTTCCATTATCTACAGTCTATGAATTTCCGCCATCTCCAATTAAGGAAGTATTCTCATACAGTAAAGGGGTACAAACAACGGAGGAATGGGGTACACAAACCTCTAGGCCTCGAGGTTTCGATGATTCGGAAGATGAACTCAACAAACCCCCTGGAGTTCATTCACCAAGCAAACGGCTAAGCAGGAGAGAAAAAAATAGAGAGGAAGAATTAAGGGAGAACATTCGCCGGGAAATCGAGGAAGAGCTGAAGGCAACTCGAGATCTTGTAGATGGCCCTGTAAGACCAGATTCTCAGCATTTATCAACAGCAAATTTCCCCGCGAGGATTTTGACAAATGAAGAGCTGAATGCTGTGACATCGTCAGAAGACTTTATGGAATTTGTTGAAAGATCAAGTAAGGTCATCGAAAGAGCATTAGATCAGGAATACGATGTGCTTGCAGATTACGGATTAAATGGCGCAAATGGAGTTGGGGACGACGATGAATACGGTAATACAGGCGGAAGGGGTCGACGGAAGATAAAGGAGGTTGCCCAATTCTACGATGAACGATGGTCAAAGAAGAGGATGATCAGTGCCATCGATTTCTCTCCCAAATTTCCCGAGCTTGTTCTTGCAGCATATACAAAGAATCCATCCGCACCACATGATCCTGATGGACTGGTTCAGGTCTGGAACATGCATCTTCACGATAGACCAGAATTTGTGTTTCATGCACAATCAGATGTTCTCGCCGCAAAATTCTCCCCTTTCCACCCCAATTTGATCATTGGAGGTGCTTACAGCGGTCAAGTTTTACTCTGGGACACAAGAGCAAAATCAGCACCAGTTCAAAAGACACCTTTAACTGGATCGGGACATACTCACCCGGTCTATTCTGTCGATATCGTAGGAACTCAAAACGCTAATAATATTATATCCTGCTCGACAGACGGTGTCATGTGTGGCTGGACTGTAGATATGCTTGCGCAACCACAAGAACTACTTACATTGACAAATCCACCGCCCGCAAAAACTGAAGATATGAGCCCAACTTGTATGGCTTTCCCACAAACCGACCCGACATACTTTCTCGTTGGTTCGGAGGAAGGAACTGTATATTCTTGCCATAGATATGATCGAGCAGGTGCCAAGGCAGGTGCTGATCAAAGAGTCACTTACCGTGGTCATGCAGCACCCGTCATGTCTTTGAGTTTCCATCCAGCAAAGGGTCCTGTTGATCTTGGCGATCTTGTTCTTACCAGTTCCTTGGACTGGACCGTTAAACTGTGGAAAGTCCGGGCTCCAACTGCGACAGCAACCACTTCTATCTCAGGAGAAAGCCAGGCAGTCGCTCCATTATTCGATTTTACCAGAGAGGATCTTGTCTATGACGCAGCCTGGTCACCTATAAAACCCGGTGTATTCTCACTTGTGGACGGAGCAGGTAATCTAGAAGTATGGGACATAACCGTGGACACTGAGGTTCCAGTGTCTAAAGTCCAGCCAAGCGGCCGAAAGGGCGGTCGAAGCATTATGTCCAAGAGCTTGAACAAACTCGCTTGGGAAAAAACTGAAGGAAAACGTATCGCAACCGGTGGTATTGACGGTGTGCTTTCAATATTTGAGGTTGGCCCGGATCTTGGCGGCAAGGACAGTGCCAGAAGTGAGGAGTGGACAAATGTCAAGAAATTGGTGGCCAGAATGGAGTCATCAGCACAGAATGCTCATGATGTGATTGGCATCAACGGGTTGTAATTTAAGAGTTAGAGGGGGCGATACTTGTTGAGGCGATGAGATAGCTGTATGTGATAGATATGGCGTCGTTGCGTTGAATATACCCTAGTTAACAATCGACATGATTGCCTTTTTGTTCCTTTGTTATTCATTTCTATATCAGCTAATTCTCGGCTATCTCATATAAATCAATAACACACCAATATGGATGGCCAAGCAGAATTGGTCCACTTTTACCCCTGTATTATAATCCCACGCTGACATAACCTCCATGGCAGCATAGCGCAGGGGGAAGCTTTCTATCTTCCTGGCTTTCAGGTCAACCCCTCCGTAATCAGAAATACAAATCCAGATCGCCTACCTCTTGGCATTCATTTCTAATCTGCACGGAAGAGGCACATCTTGAACAGTGGGGCTGTGTCGAATCTAGATCACGGAGCAAGTCATATTAGGCTCCAAGATTCTGTTACATGACATATTCTCACCTCATATATCTCTGGATCAAAGCCATTGTCTAACTTTCCCCTGATTCTAACCAATACTATCAGTCCCAATGTTATATCACTACACATCATAGATCCAAAACTCAATTGTAAAGATGGCGCCCACAGCGGCCGATCCAAAAGATCTCAAACTTATCCTCAACCCCGCACGTCGAAGAGCCCTCAACATCCTAATCGGGTCTATCACAGAACACATGCGCAAAACAATCACAGATTCCTTTTCCAACCCCTTAAATCAACCAAACTCCAATCTAAACAACAACATTCCAGGACCTCATCCAAATGTCTCTTCCCACCCAACTGCCCACTATTCCAACACCTCCTCGCCCGCTTCAACACCAACTTCAGAAATCGACCTGGAAACAGCTCAACAACGCCGTCTCGAAGCCCGTCTAAATCAAAACCTTTCGACGCCCAAGCTAAAAGCTTTGGAAAGAGCAGCTCTAGATTATTTCGATTCTTGGCGTGATTCAATCATCACGCAATTAGGCAAAATTTTGAATTCTCCAGATGATCCCCGTGCAGATCAAAAAAAGAAAGAGTTTCTCGCTTCGAGACCACCGCCTCCTTATAGCCCCGCTTCTAATATCGACAATGAACCTAGCAAAGATATCCTCACTTTCCAAACCCTCTACCCTCCAATTCCCACCCGTCTAACCACCATTTCCCTTCAAGACCGCATCCATATCCTCTCAAGTCTTCTAATCATCGTTCTCTCTCTCGGAACCTACTCTGCCCATTCCCGCGTTCTCCTCTGCCACCTAACCAGTTCCCTCTCTCTCCCCCCTTCCCTCCTCACGCACGAAGAAATCCAAACCTCGCGCACCCTCCTCCTAGCCTCCAAAGCCGCCCTCAACGCGGACGCCGAAACCGCCGCTCGCGCAACCCAGAATACATCTTCCCGTCGTTGGAAAGTCGGGCTTGCCTCGGTAGCAGGCGCCGCGTTGATCGGTGTCACCGGCGGGCTTGCAGCTCCTGTCGTCGCTGGTGCTATTGGGGGACTCATGGGCTCGGTGGGTTTGGGAGGCTTGGCGTCTTTCCTGGGTGTCTTTTGTATGAATGGGGCGCTGGTGGGAACGTTTTTTGGAGCGTACGGAGCACGCATGACGGGGGAAATGATGGATAAGTATGCGAGGGAGGTGGAGGATTTTAAGTTTCTGGATGTTAAAGGGGAATGGGGGAAGTTTGGGACGAAAGAGGAAGAAGAGATGGAGAAGAGGAGGTTGAGGGTGCTGATTGGGGTTAATGGGTGGGTAGGGGAGGAAAGGGATATTATTAGGCCGTGGAGAAAACTTGCTGTGAGCGAGGGAAATGAAGATAGTGGGCATGGATGTGAAGTTTTCGCGCTGAGATATGAAACCAATGCATTGGTAGAGTTGGGAAATAGTTTGAAGGATACGGTTGGGAGTTATGCATGGTCGATGGTTAAAATGGAGATCTTGAAACGCACCGTTTTGGCTACTTTATGGGGAGCGTTATGGCCAGTCTACCTATTGAAGATGGCTACTGGGATTGATAATCCTTTTGCAAGAGCTAGGAGAAGGGCTGAGAAAGCTGGAGAAGTTCTGGCTGATGCGCTTATCAATAGAGCTCAAGGAGAACGTCCGGTGATGCTAGTTGGGTACTCATTAGGGAGTCGGGTATGTGTCAACTTTTCTTTTCAGTCTCAATGTACTTTCAAGTGTTCAAACTGGTCTAGACTTTGGAGATCATGTACCAAAAAGGATTTTCAGAGTTAGCTAATTCTCTCCTCATAGGTAATATACTCCTGCCTCCGCTCTCTCGCCGAACGCCACGCCTTCGGTCTCATCGACAGTGTGGTACTAATCGGCTCTCCAATCCCCTCATCGACTCTTTCCCGTAAGTCCCCCCTTCTTTCTATCCATTCTCCCTCTAACACTACACTAGTTCTCCCCCTCCGCACCGTCATCTCCGGACCCCTCTTGAACGTTTACAACCCCTCTGATCTCCTCCTCGCCTTCCTATATCGTTTTACCTCCCTACAGTATGGAATTTCCGGTCTACAACCAATTGAGCACATTGAAGGCGTCACTAATATCGACGTGAGTTCTAAACTCAATTCGCATCTAAAATACGAAGAGATCGTTGATAGGGTTTTGGGGACCTATGTATTTCCTAGCATGCGTGATGCCGACGAGGAGAAATGGGAGAATGGGAGAGAGGGAGAAGAAGGTATTTTAATGAATGATGGCGAGGGCCAGGTCAAGAAGGATGAAATAGAGGAAGAGCTATTGATTGATTTTGGAGAGGTAGCGGAGTTGGAAGCCGATGTTCCATTGCCCTCTGGACAATTGGATTACAAGAATCCCAACATCTCTTCGACAACTAGCAACTCGCATGATATGGAAGATTTACTAGGCTCGCCAGCAACCCCGACAGAAACAGTCACAAGTACAACTAAAAGTATCTCAGATACTCATTTCGCTTCACACTCGAACGGCACTACATCACCTAGTATCACCACAACCACAGCTACACTCGCCACACCGAATACCACCACTCCTTCCTCGCCATCTCCTTATTATTCATGCTCCGAAGACGAAGGAGGAATTCAAATGATCGACAACGATGATGATCTAGACGTGCATATACAACTGACCGCTCCAGAAACACCATCTACGTCATCCAAGAATGAGGATGAAAGGATCGAGAAAGGAATGACTAGGCTTGTAGTAACCGAACGATCTATCGACAATGTGAAACATGAATCTCCCGTCGAACCGAAGAGCTTGGGCTCTTTGCCCAGAGGAGACAGAAAAAAGGCTGCTGATTTCGGATTGTATTAATAAATGTTTGGATATGGTTCTAGCTCCAGTGGAAAGGAGATTATAGTCATGCAAGAATCACAAATCACGACTCAATAATTTTACACAGGTTCAATAATTAAAGTTCAAACATTTTCATCGTATTATATCGTGAAGTAGATAATAACAAAGTTGGTATCGTGCGCTATTTACGCCACACCAAAGTCGCCGAGAAGGTATCCCTTTCTCTCGACATAATCCCAAACTCCGTGGAACCACAAAGTAGGAATCATAAAATAATCCAACCCTAACCTACACATGAGCTCAGGCAGGGACACCCAGGCCAACAAAATGACAACTCGCACAACGACCAAGAACTGATGTTTTCTCTCCAAACAGCAAACTTAGAGGGATCTAGCACGCTCCAAAGCGGCTAGCATACGACCTCAGATCGACAACTAAGTCTGTTTGCGTTGGTAGAGCAGCAAATACGGTTCGTTACCCCCCAAAGCCTTTGCCAGAGTCGTAGCATTGTAATGCGAATCGTTAAAGCAACTCCAGCGACCATCGGGTCCACGAGCATCACAGGTGTAATGTCCGTAGTCGAGGCTACCAGAGTGCGAAACAGATGCTACAAGCTCGTACTCCATGGAGTCCTTGCTTCCACTAGGGTCGCGATAAGGACTGAGGTCGAGGGTATGGTCGATCGGAATAGCAAGCTTATCCTTTCTTCCATCGTAACCAAACCGTTTAAGCTGGACAAACAAGATATCCGGTGCGTGACTGATCGACTGTACTCGATGAACGTCCCCCGTTACCTTACACTTCTCGCACTTATAACCTTCAATAGTCTCATGCAAGTACTTATGCAAGTACGAAGACACAGAACCACCTCTGATACGCGGCTTGAGGGGTATGGATAAGGCTAGTTCATCTTGTAAGTCTCCCACAGAGACATTATTACAGTGAACGCATTTGATTCTGCTGCTCAAAACAAGCTGCATTATCGATTGCATACTAGCAACGCTCCTGAACAAACAAGGTCAGTAACACGTTCCTATATATGAACCAGAGGAAATAAGACTTACGACGCCTTGATCTGTTTCTCAATCTTTTCTAACATCCAGGTAATTTGCTCATGGGGATCACCTTGACCAGAGGGTCCAGGATACCACCCAAGACGCTTGCACTGAACCTCAAGTTTTCTCAGAATTGGTGTGATATCCTTGGAAGGAATATCAACGGCCCAATACTTTGAAGAGAGGAGGCTAAGAGAACAGGCCAAGCAATCTCTTTTGGGTATGTCGCCTAGTAATCTTTGTGAGCTAATGAACAACAAACCCTCGAACGGGGAATAGCTTACAAGTTTCCACAGGATGTTGGTCAATTAAGAAATTGAAGAACTTGGGAAGATGTAAAAGTCCTTGTAAAAGACTGTTTCTGTAGCATGCATATCCAGTGACATTGGAGAGCCCCCTCTGTGCATTTGATGGCATGCGTGTTGAGTCATTGCGTACTTTCGAGGCCTAAAAATATGAGAATTAGTATGAATAAATGAGTGATAGTTGATGAACATACCAAGTATCTTCGTTTTCTGAGCGAGTCACTGCGTGCCTTCTCCAATTCTTCTTTCGAAAGCTTTACAGCCGGCTTCGAAGTGGTAGCTTTCTTGGTAGCGACTTTCGAGACCTTGGCAGCAATTCGTCGTTTCTTTGGGGATTCACTCTGAGCAGCAATCCTTTCATCCTCATCATCTGGCCGCGATCTCTTTGAAGCGCCAATCTTGACAGTAATCTTTTCGTCTTTAACAACAGGATGGGGTCTCGATGATTCAACGCTTTTAACAGTGATCGTGTTGCTCTTTGCCTCGGAAGTTGTTTGCTTAAAAGGATTGAGTTGAGTAGTTATCTCATTTTTATCATCTGGGCGTGGTTTGTTCGGTAAGGAGACGGCTGGCTTCGAAGGAGCTGAGACTGCAGATGATGGAGGCGAGGGTAGTGGTATCTTTTGAGCAGCCGATGATGAAGATGAAGGTAGAGGCGTCCTTGATATAGCCGATATTGCGGATGAAGGGGGTGGAGAGGGAGGTAATTTCGAAGAGGTGGAAGGAATAGATGAGGAGATTATGTTGTCAGACCCCTTTACTGATAGGGAAGAAATAGATGGAGAAGTAGGTGTGTTGTCGGGATTCTTTGATGAAGATGAGGCGGCAAATGGGTTTTCTCGAGGAAAAACAGACGCCAATGAATGAGGAGTAGAAGTAGATAGCTCTACTGACAGAGGGGTATCGATTTTCTCGGGGTGAACAGTAGTTTCGGCGGCTTTCATTGGTGGCGGAGAGACAGATAATTTTCTCGGAGGTGAAACAGACGCCTTTGAGCTAGAATTGGATTTTGCTGCGGGATGCGAGCTAGAAGAATTGGTTGATGGTGGTGGAGAAACAGATGATTTCGAACTCGAATTAGAAGAAGAGGATGCTGATCTTGCGGGAGATGACGACTTCCTACAGCGTGCAGATCTTCTTCTATAATTCTTCGATTGAGCGAAGTATTGTGCGTACAGCTTGTTTTGACGTGGGTTCTTCATTAGGAATGACCTTGGGTTGTACTTGAATGCCCCCGTATAGTTGTATGCTGGCGTATTTGAAGAATCGAATGATGGAAATAGAGGTGTTTTGTACATCTTCATAACTTTAGTCGCCATTTTGAAGAAAATCTACCCTCTATTGTCTTCTTAGTCGGATCGGTGGGCGTAAAACGCGCTCAAAATGTTAGTTTTTACAATAGCGTATCTTGACAGCACTCTTATTGTCTTTCTCTTCCTCGACGCGAACGTGTATTGTGAACGACGACAATACGACTCGGTTGGCTAACCAAAGTTTGAAAGGACTCAGTTTCGATAATAAGTCTACCTTGTGCCGGCTATATATCTCTTCTGATATTGTGTTGATGTTCGATATTGTAGGTGAAAGTGAAATGGTTTCAAGTATGGGTTGTATCTTGCTTTCCACCTCAGCTTCCTCTTAAATTCGTAGTAAAAATCTGTGTGTATTGTAGAAGAAATTGGAGTTCTCGTTGGAACTTGATCGATGCCTTTAAACCGTTGAATTTCGAACTGTACATCGAGTTCGGGGCGTAGAAGTGTGTATCGTTCGTGGGACAGCTGCGACCGCCGTAGTTTGGTTGTGTAGTAGTTTTATCTTGTAGCGTACAAGATTTACTATGAAGAATTTCTGAATTGACTTCTTTGCAGTACAATCAGATGTATCGTTGTCGTTGTATTTGCATTCACGCCGGAGTGTGATGAACGTGTGGTTTGGATTTCAGAACATAAATTTTTTTCGAAAAAGCATCATCCACCAGTGATCCACATCACATACCCACTCGAGTCACTGGAGAAATCTGTGGATTGAGCGGCCGACTGCTCCGATTCTCCCAAGAGCCCGGATAAATTATTGCAAAAATGTGATGATTATCTTATCGAGCTTATCTAATCTGAATCTAATCCACTAACCTAACATCCCACCATCTTATCTTACTCATCCGACATCTCACATTGGATGTTTACTTCCCTGCTGCAAATTGCAAAAAGTGCTTCGTATATCATACAGTCGCATTCAACCATTTTTCCTTTAAAAAGCCCTTGTCTCACACAGCAGTGCTTGATCAGAGACAACAAAACCTTAAACTGACCTCTGGATTATCTTTCATTACTCATCACTGAGCTTACCTACCTCCAGAGAGAGGACCGATAAAAAAACTCTGCCCCTCATATACCAAAATTTACCCGGCGCATTACACAACCTTCACATCAAAATCTGATCACGAGATTCGGTATCCCTTTTTCGCCTGCAGGGAATATCTATATTACCCATCCTATCGACAAGGCCTTATGCACAATTAAAGAAATTGAAACATTGCAAAGGATTCTATGATACATACGCAGATTCAGGGGAACGAATAAACTATCGCTCATCTACCGAATCTATAAATACAAGGATGTTATACTTTTAATCACGTGTATGTACTAAATTAGTCTAGCTCAGATTAGCTAAGCCAGTGCCAATATCTTAACCCTTGGCACCATTCTAAATAATCATCTTTTAATTTATATACAAATCTTATAAATGGTAGCAGGTTTTATTTTGAATATCAAAATAGATCATTAGTTATTATATTAGATTGTTTTCTTTATTATATTGTGTATTCTATAATTAAATCTTTTGTTATACTTTTTTTAAATTACAAAAAAACATTTTATTTGTTGTATCTAAATATTATTATGAATCTAAATACATTTTGATAAAGTATTATATCTTTGAATAGTAATGCAAAATAGTTTTATTATTAAGTTAAAAACTTAATTTAATATAATTCTTTAAGAAATTATATCAAAAATAAGATTACTTAATTCTTTTTTTATTGAATATTCTAGAGCTTGAGATAAATTATTAGTTTAGTAATAAAATGCTATTATTTGAGTTTTATTAAATTTGAGTATAAATAATTAAATAACATTTGCTTTTTTACACAAATCTTTATTAAATAATTTTTTCCTTTTATTAAACAATTCTCAATAAATATCTAATATACTTACCAATTAATTTAATAATTATAATTAAATGATTAAAATAGTTTAAGATATTATTAATATTTTATTTATATTACAAATTGTAAAACAAGATTATTATTCTATAATATCTAGTATATCCCCTTCGATATAATCTATATTATTAAATAATATCATTGATAGCCCTCTATCAAACAAAATAAAGTCTTTAATTATAATCTTTTTTATAGAATAATTTTAATAATTATTATAAGTAATTCAAGCTTTTATACAATAGAATTCTTTACTAATAATTATCTTATATTTCCATCCTCAAGATTTAGATTATTTTAACCCGAATAATAAGACTAATATATTTATTGGAATAATGAATAATATTTTGATTTTTTATAATATATTCTTATTTATTACTTATATAAAAATTAAATTTTTAAATATTACTAAGGGATTATTTACTATTTATCTTATTATCTCCTAATTTAATTAATATCTATATAGAAAAATAGAGCTTTAATATATCAACAAAATATCCAATATAATATAAATTGAACTAAAGATTAATATTGAGAATTAATATATTAAATTAGAAATATACTTTTATATATTACTAAATATAATATTTAAGAAGTTAGAAAAGCTTAAATATATTATTGGAGATATATATTAATATAAAAATCCTGAAGAGTTTATTTAGAATATTATAATTTTTAGCTAGAATATAGATATTATTAAGTTTGAATATATTCAAATATTCATTATTTATTAATATTTAATTATAAAGCTTTATATTTATATATCTATTTCAATAATAGAGATAAATTTATTAATCTTTATAAAACAAATCGAATAAAAGAAGAACAATTAATTTAATATTTATCACCCCAATTTTATTAATAATCATTTATTTAGTTAATATAATAATAAGTGTTTTTCTTTTAATAAATTATAATATTAAAATAATTATAAACCTACCTACTCCTTCCTATCTTTTAAGAATTCCTTTAATTTTTATAAGAAATATAATATTAATAAAACAAAAAATGATATTAAACAAAATATATTTTTATTAAATAGGAAATTATATTAGAAGTAGAATTCCAAATAGGATTAGAAAATTAATAGAATAAGAATCTATAATATTAGAGAGAATAAAATAAAAAAAGTTGCTATTATAAATGAAATAGCAAAAGATTATAATAATTATATATATAATTAAATTTATTATTAAGAATTAAAAAATAACTATAAGAAGTTAAATACTAATTCTGATATTTATAATAAAAAAATGAATATATAGTATATTCACTTTATCCAAAATCCTATTCTAATATTATTCAAGTTTTTAAAAGTCAAAATATTAATTAATATAAGATTCAATAATGTATATTAAAATAATATTAAAAATTTTCAATTTAATAAAAAAAATCAGAAATTAAGATCTACCTCTTTAGATATTGATTTTAAATATAAATCAAATAATCTTATAATATTCCAAAATATCAAGATCAATAAAGTCAAATATTAATATTATAATTATCAAAAAATATTTTATATTAAAAATAAATTATATATCCATCTTAAAAATCAATATAGAAAATATAGATTAGCAAAATATTTAATAAAATCCAAAATTAATAATATTTTAAAAACCATTTTATCTTATCTTTTATAATTTATTAATTAATCTAAATAAAATATTACATTAATTAAACCTAAAAAACTATCCTTAATTCAATATCAATCTCAAATAATTTGTTTTATAACTAAAATAAATAAATCACTATTAAATTATATATTCAGGAGTTGAAAATACATTAAAATCAAAATATTATTGGGTAATCCTTAAAACAAAATATATATAATCTATCTTAATATAAATTATAATATAAGTTTAATTAATTGATTTTTCCTATTCGAAATATATTTTATTATAAAGATTTATATTATAAATAAAATTATAAATATTTGTAGTCTGAATTTCTAAAGATATAATATAAGTTAATTTATAAATTTGGATTTCTATCTATTAATAATTAATAATATTATAGCTTATTTTTATTATAAAATCTATATTATAAATATGCTAAATATCAAAATCCTATTAAATAATAATATTACTATCCCAGAAAAATAAATTATTAATTTAAATAATAGAATCTTAATTTTACTTTAATATATAGATTTATAAATTAAGATTATAATATAATTGAAGAAGATTAAAAGAAAAATTCTAGTTTATATTATAAATAAAATTATTATTCTATTTTATTCTCAAATATTTATATTAATTATGAATAAAAAGAATAATGAATTATTTTTTTTAGTTTATAATATAATCTATAAACCTTTGTAGCAAAGGAATTTCACATTCTTCTTATATCTAGTATCTAATAAGCTTAGTTTTATTATAATTGAAAACCCTATAAATAAGGAGATAGTAATTTATAAGAATCTAAAGCTCAGGAATATTATAAAATCTAATGCTTAAGTAATAATAATTATAAATAAGATTAATATTTATTATTTTATTCAAACACTAATTATTATATTTGAATTTAAAAAATGTTTTTTAGCTAAAGGATTATTTACAACTATAGTAGTTATAACCTTATAAATAGCTGATAATATAAATAATATTCTGGGCTATACAAACATAGTGAATTTAGAATTTATTAAATAAAAAATTATTTTATTAAATAAAATTACAATTTATAAAAATAAGATATAGAAATAATAACTAAAGGATTTAATAATGAGTAATTGTATAATTTAAAAAAATCGAAAAGGTTTTATAGATATATTAAAGAATAAAGAAATAAAAATCAATTTATGTGAAAATTAGAAAAAGAAATTCAGATTAAATAAGGTAAAGATTTATTTTATAAATTAAAAAGATTAGATTCTTATAAACAAAATTTATAATAAACTTTATAAACAAAATTGTTTTAAATGAATAATAAAATTAATCTCTTTTAGTTTTCTAATATTCTATATATGGAAGAAGGTAATTAACAAAAAAGGAATTATATTAAGAAAAGGTAGAATTATTATAAATATCTGTATATTAAATCAAATCGCCATTTCTAATATATATCCAATCCCTATATAAGTTAATATTATTATAGCTATAACTAAATATCTTTTTATATTTATTATTGATTATACTAGTTTTTTTTATTAATAATATATTAAAAAGAATTATCAAAAATACTTCATCATATTATCTCATTATAGTTAAGAGATATTTATTTATATAGTAATAAGGTTCAGAAATTTATTGGTTTATATTCAGAAATATATCGATACTATTCTTAGATTAAAAAGAGAGTTTGTAAAAACTTATATTGATAATATTATTATTTTTAATTATATATTTAAAAATTATTTAAAATATCTTTAATAGATTTTTCTATAATTAAAAAATATGAATATTATTTTAAATCCTAAAAAATACTTTTTAATTTATTCTTTTATTATATTATTTAATCAAAGGATAAATATATTTAGCCTTATATTAATAAAAGATAAACTCTTTATTATCTAAGCTTTAATTTTTCTTTAATTTTTGAAATAATTTAAATATTATTTCGATTTTATTAACTATTTATAATAATATATTCTATATTATACAAAATTATTAATAGTATTATAAAAAAGAAAAAGCAAGCTGATTTATTTATTGTATATTTATAATAAGAATATTATTATAAAGACTAAAAGAAAAAACTTGATAATAATTTTGAAATTCAAAAATATTATTATTGAAAAAAGGAATTTATTTAATAAATTGTAATTTATCCTCAAAAAATCTTCAATTTTATATTATTTTAATTCTAAAAAAGACTATATATTGATACAAATATATTCAAAGAAAAAATTGATAATATAATCTATTATTCTATAATTAATCCATTAACTCAGAAATCTATTATATTAATCATATTTCTCTCTTAATTTATTATATTTATTAAATCTAATTATTAATTAATTAAATTAGAAATTATAGGTTTATACTAAATAATTTCAAGAATTTAGTATTTAATCAAATTATTAAAATTTTTGACAATAATATATACAAATTATTTTATAAATATCTAGATTACCATTTAGATTTCTATAAATATATCTTTTTTAATTCAATTGAATCCTTATTATTTATAAAATTCTAAATATTTTTCCTAATTTTATCTCAAAATATAATATAAATTTAAATATTTTAATATTATACTAAATACCTTATTACAACTTTATATTACTAAAAAAAAAACAAATAAGTAAAAATCAATTTAGATAAAACAAAGTTATAATTATAGAATATTAGAAACTATAATCTATTCTATAATAATTCTATAAATTGAAGAGATTTGATTATAAAAATTTAAATAGGTATATATATTGGATCTATAATATACTAAGTTAATTAAATAGATTAAAGAAAATGAGAAATTAGGAGTTAATATTACAAAGCTATTTTTCAAAATGAAATAAGATATTCTATATATAAAATCTAATATAATATATTTATAAAAAAGATTAGTAATATTCATATCTCTAAAAAATAAAATATTCAATTATATATATAATCAATTAAAATATTCAGATTATAATCATATTTATAAAAGGGTTTCTTTCAATTTTTATATTTTTAATATATCTAAAAAGCTTTAATCTTTTCTTTATTATTATTATTAATATAAGATGTTATTAATCTCCTGATATTAGCCTTATAAATTATTACAATTTATTCTAATTCCTTCATATATCTTCTATATAATATCTATTGATTTCATCTTGGCTTTATTTAGATCAATATTGGATTTATTTGACTATACTTTATCAATCACAAATAAACTTTTTAAAATAATTACTTTAATTTCTAAAAAAAATATTTGAATTACAATTTAATAAAGAAATTCCCTAATTCAATATTTACTTCTAATATTATAAGAAATACTTTATATAATTATTTCTAATTGAAATAAAAAGTTTGTTTCTAAAATATAAAAAAGAATTATAAATTTATTGAACATTAAACTACTATTTAATATAACTTGATACCCATAAATAAATAAAAATAATAAATATATTAATCAAATAATAAAGATTGTTTTTTGATATTATTTTAACATTCTAAATAATAATTTGTAATAGCTAATAGTATTACCATATTTATCTATAGTTTTATCAAATTCTACATTTTAAGACACAAATATTACTATTATTATGGTAATATAAGGATTTAGGATTAAAGAGCTATTTGATATTATAATAAAAGTGATTATAAAGCTAACAAAGATATTGCTTTGAAGAGCTAAATCCAAATCTATAACAAAATGAATGATTAAGATATATCCAATAAAGCCTATAAATAATATTAAATATAAATCTATAATAATCAAAGTAATCAATATGATTAAATTCATAGTTATATTTATAAAATATTATTTTGATTAATAATATAAATCTATATTCTTTAAGATTAGGAATTATATTTCTTTATAATTATATCAAGAATATAATATACCTAGTATTATGAATAGAAATATAAAGATTGAATAATAGTTCATAAATTTATTTAAAGTTTTAGAAAAGATTGAATATCTAACTTATTGAATTAAGCTATCTAAATTTATAAAGATATATTTAATTATTAATATTATATATTTTGAATCTATACCAGATTTTATATAAAATCTTTTTTATTACTTTTTTATATAAGGGATTCTATAAAATCCTGAATTGATCCTAAAGAGAATTCTATAAAAACAAGTTTTATATAAAAAAGAAAAAGGAAAAATAAGCGAGTATTTAATTCAATATTTAGGAAAAAAAATAGAATAGAATTAATAAATATTAAATAAAAAAATCCCAATAAAATTAATTAGAACTTTTAATAAATAGATTTATATATACTTAAAAATAAAAATTAGAATTAGATATATTTTGCTTTAAGGCAAAGTATCTTTTTAATTGCAGTATTTGTTATACTTTTAATCATATGTATATATTAAATTAGTCTAGCTCAGATTAGCTAAGCTAGTGCCAATATCTTGGCCCTTGGCACCATTCTAAATAACCATCTTTTAATCCACACACAAACCTCACAAAGGACCTACCAAATTACTCCCTATATATCAACCCTTCAATCCAACTCTAGTCACGAGACCAGCCTTCTCACCCACGAAATCATGACTTCTCCACAACCAGAAGAAACCCACCCCAAAGTACCCAAACCCGCCTCAGCACCCGAATCCACACCCATAACCACACCCCCCGCCGCCCCCGAAACCTACGAAGAAACTAACGTTCACGAAGTCTACGAACAAATCGCTTCCCACTTCTCCTCCACCCGCTACAAAGCCTGGCCTATTGTAAAATCCTTCCTCCAAGGTCTCACACCTGGATCAATAGGCCTCGACGTCGGATGCGGCAACGGCAAATATCTCCTCGTAAACCCCAACGTCTTCATCGTCGGCTCCGATCGCTCTACAAATCTCGCAAAAATAGCTAGTTCCCACCAACCCCATTCGGCAATCGTAGCCGATACTTTAGCATTACCTCATCCAGAAGGTACTTTTGACTTCGCGATAAGTATAGCGGTCATTCATCATTTATCTACTCCAGATCGTCGTCATGAAGCCGTGCAATCCATCCTCGCTACTCTTTCCCCTTCAGGAAAAGCACTGATCTACGTCTGGGCCCTCGAACAATCTTCTTCTCGCCGGGGCTGGGACGAAACAAACCCTCAAGATGTGATGGTCCCTTGGGTAATGCGCACCGGCAAAAAAGTCGCGCCAGATGGAAGTATCACGCAACCAGCTTCCGAAAAAACTTTCCAACGCTACTACCATCTATATCGGGCCGGCGAACTAGAGGAGGACATCAAGAGTGTAGGCGGCACAGTACTAGAAAGTGGATATGAGAAGGACAATTGGTGGGCTATTTGCTCTCGAGGAGACTCACTTTTACCCCGAGCATCTGAACCCATAGTATGATATTGCTCGCACGGGATGACCACGGGAGATCAGCAGCAACTCGGGATCTGCCTGATAGTCATGCTGATTCATCTCGAATGTGCGCTGACGCGTCGTACTGCATATATACATGCAAAACCCATGATCGGCGTTGCTCTGGCCATAGAGAAGGTGACAGGACCCGAGTCGAGGAAGCGCCTGTGTAGTACAAGAGGGACCTGGAGGTCGATACCCACTTCTTCCAAGGTGGCAACCGAGATTAAAGTTCAGCCTGTTAGTATTAATCTATCATGAGAACTTGAGCACTGCACTATTACCCACTGGACCTGAAGGCTATATCCAGAACTGATACTCAACAAACATATTCGTGTGAGATAAATCAAAACATACATACGTAGATACACAAATCATAAAAGCAATTAGAAGAATTCAAAAGGGTTAAGATACAAAAAATCATAATACAATCTAGAAGGTATAGTTTCGAACACCATGCGTGCCTGCAAGCAATGCGTGCTACGCTACCCCATCTCAACCCCATTCCATCCCGCTCAACATAAATTCCAATTCATAAAGCCCTGATCCAAAGCCAAGGGATATTTTTTCAAAGCATCGCGCCATTCCAATATGCAAGGTCCATCCCCATATGCTCACTCTACCCATCCATTCCTTCCATACCCTACTTTACCCTAGAAGAAAAGAAAACAAGTGTAGAAACAGAAATTAACTTTTTCCTCAACGCCAATCGCATTTACACACGTTTCCATCCATCCATCCATCATCATATCATTGCACATAACAAACTTTCATCAGGCATCACGACGACTCTCATTGTCTCCTCCTAATACTATCCCGTGTCCCACCCTCCGGACTTCCCCTTCTCTTCCCATCGTTCCTCTGCCCCAACATGCCAATAGCCGGTAAGAGGGGTCCAGGGCCAGGACTCGGGTATCCACTCGAATAGCCACTCGAATGCCCGGGCATCGACATCGCATAAGCAGGCGTACTATACGGGCTCATACCTGTGGTCATTTCCGACAAACTAGGTAGATATCCTCCTCTACCCTGACCCATCATCATGCCACCACCGCCTCCAATAGCCGCCAAGGCCAGGCCATCTGTTGGGCTCGTGGGTGGTACTGATCTAGGTGTGCTTTCTCTCCTGGCGGCGATTGTACGAGTGGCTCCTACACCTCTTGGATTTGGATTTCCTTGTGCGGTGCCAGGTCTACTGTATCGAGAACCTCCAGATGCTGAATTCATCGTACTAGATGTGGATTGACTATATGAATGACCCCTGGCAGGCGAAGCTCTCGAACCAGAAGACGGAGCATCGAGAGTTACGCTTGAGAGAGAGAAGGGAACGACACCAGCACGTCTTGCCATGTCGTTTTCGCCGAGTTGCCAGTGCATGGCTTCTGCTGCTCGCCATGGAACTGCCATCTCTTCAGCCACTTTTGACCACATTTCTTGTTTGAATCTAGATAGTCATGTTAATAACATTATTATGAGCTTGTTATTTGAAAGAGTAATACCTTTCATAGAGTCTAGCGAGTTTGTTCTTTCGTTCTTCGTCCCATTCACTCCTACGTTCCAGATAGTTTTGATAATGTAACCGACAACTAATAGCACTTCGACCCGGTAGCCTCTTAGAGATATCTTCCCATTTCATCCCACTGCCTCTTAGATCAATGATTAAGGCATCTTCATCGGCCGACCATTTACTTTGCTTCTTAGCAGGAGATTCTGATGGATGAGCACCCATACTTCTTTTTCCGCCGGCTGCAGAAACGGCAGCAGCGTAGTTTGGTATTTCGGGTTGTGTGATTGATGATTGAACGGATGTAGATCTTGTTTGGTTTCTGTCGGGTGGTGATGTGGTCTGGGACTCATTAGAGTCCGGGTCCTTGAGGAGGAGGGAGATATCCACGGTGATGGTGTAGTCCCTGATACCGTCAAGGTCGACGGATGATCTGCGAAGAAGAGGTGCACGGTTTTTTTCTATGTTGATTTTCGAATTGTAGATCATCAAATTTGACACAAAGACTGGTGATTTGAGGCTTCTGTCGAGAATCGGCGCTGTACAATCAGAAAGAGTGGTATGTCGGTCGAAAGATAAAATGCTAAAGGAGATAGAGGTCTTTGATAGATGTGAGTATGTAGTGGCGTGAAACAGACTAGATTATTCTTTAAGACGTGGTAGCTTGGATTGTTCGAGAAAAACTATCTTGAGACGATTTGGACTATTTCTAACGGGAGGACCACGATCCTATTTCAGGCCTTCATAGTAGAGGAAAATGCGTGGCTCGCCTATAATTTGATGGCCATAAACCTGATTGGTAAAGATATATCATTGATGCAGCCAATCGCGGTAGATTGGATGGAAAATGGAAAAGAGCAGAAGCCAACGCCAACGGAAGAATACGTCAAGTTTGTTAATGAGCTTGTTAAAGACAAGGGCATTGTTCGAACTGATCCCCACAGGAAATAACTAGGTTGAATGTTGGACAGTCGGTCGGGAGCATGCGAGATGCAAATAGTCCTTAGTGGGGGGGTCCAAACCAGGGTATGCTAGTGTGGAGGAAGGCCGGCCACGAATTCATGCATGAACATGAACATGAGCATAGTAATACTTTTAGAAATTTTGCATTCTAGTGCTTCCATTGTTAAAGTTATGGAAGAACAGTTGAAACCTGGGAGCTGGCGCTTGAAACTGATTTATACTCCTTCAACCCCTCAAAGCTGTTTTAGACACATGTCTGTGCGTAATCGTGATCAAACTTGACTTTGATTGTAATTATCTGCATTTCACCAATTTCATAGTAGGGTGAGGGTTTGGAATGCCACAATAATGAAAAGGCTCATGATTTGATATGGATTGCTTGTCGTCGCCTCAATCGGCCAACCACTGTAGATCCAAGATTGACGTCTGAAAAGAAGGAATTGGCGGTCTGGTTTGCAAGGGTAGTGTGAGCTTTGCTTCAAGGATTATAATGTATGATCTTCATGGCTTGCAGCGCCTCTAAGTCCTCGATGAACCACGATCTTCCGTGGGGCAAGCAAGCCGAAAAGACCGAAGAAATCTGTCAAGCCACACAGAATAAATCTCCCTTTATTTGGGTCGCTGGTGGCTGAAAATAAAGCTTACGCGACCGTTTAGGTCGGCTATGCCTCATCCAAAGTCCAAACCCTTGATGCCTAATGAAGAGGAGTGTATTGCGTTGTTCTATTCTGCGTTTGTTTCTGTCGGTAGCCATTACAATGAGCGCAGTCACATACCAGTCCTTTTCTTCTAGCACACCTTCGGATACCAACATCTGGCGGTGTAAATTCATGTTGTCATGTGAGACGGCGCCATAATCGTGTAGACGGTTTGAGTCAGTAGAGCTTTTTTCAGAACTTTCGGAAACATGGTATCCATGAACACAGCCCAAAGCTTAAATGACTAACTCTCAAATGGCATATACGGGGGGCACTCAAAGCTTTCTGCAGTTCGCCTTCAGCCCTGATAATCCCATCCGGGAGGATTGGGGGCGGTGAATGCCCAGTTCACGCTTTGAGCTATCGTCTTAGCCTCAAAAAATAGAAACTTGTCAGATCAGACGAGAGCACCAGATAATTCCTGTCGCACGGCCTTGGAAAATAGCGCCTCAAGCACCCTCGCCCAATTGCGTGCATTAGCATGCTAGCAACACTTGACAACAATAGTATAGCTGTGCTGTCATTGTTGATTGCGGTGTCTCAGGTAGGATACATATTCTGCAGATATCCGTCGACATGTAGCTGTGCCCGTTTGTTTCCATTTACAATGGTCATTGTTGTAGGAAAGGAGTCTTCTGCAGCCATTAAAGCCTGAGTAAGGCGGCTGTCAAATTAGTACATGACTGTTTTGTTAATTGCCTCATGCACAAGTATAGGTGGATTTAAGCGTAACTCGGTTTGCTGCCGATGTTATGCCATGAAAGCATGATCTCATCGTGAGTTCTCTAGCCGTCGGTGTAGAAATTCCAAGATGGGAAGCTTAGTAATGCAGCTATCGTGTTTATCGCTCCCTCGTCCCGAATCAAATGTAGTCCGATCATTGTGGGGGTAGATCTTGCGAACCACCAAACCAAAGTCAAAAAGTACGTACCTACTGCGTAGCTTATTAACTTGGTTTGATAGGTATTCAAAGATGCAAAGATGCAAGTCGCGTGGCACTTCGGTGAGTGGCGTATCCTGTACAGGGCAGGGCTATAGAAAAGAACTCGTCTCAGAAAAGACCAAACCCATGTCTGTTTGAGCGGTGTAGTATGCTATGCAATCCCAGAGAAGAACAATAGCACTAACTATAGTCATTTTGACAGGAATAATCGCGCCGAGAAGAGTTCGAGGATCACCTCTCATTCCAATTCAATGTAGGGCTTAGAATTATTCATGCTGAGTTCCGGTATCTTTTTTGAGGTTTGCCCAATGGCGTAGAAGACATTGATACAAGTCAACAAGTCAACAAGTTAACAAACCAACAAACCAACAACCAGACTGCAAACGAAAGTTAGCCAGCCAATTTGGACAAGAACTGTTAGAGATCTCCGCCCGATCCTCTTTTTTTTTTGTTCTTCTTCACACATCTCATCATGTTTGAGCCTTGCGACAAGACAAACCATAATCCATAATCCACGATCCATAAATGGGTCAGAGACTCAGATACTTCATCCTGCTATACTGTAATGAGTTAAGCCAGCGATCGACTGAAGGTTAACGTCCCTTTGAAACTTCTAAAGCATTGACCTTTTCAATCTATTGGTTGGGGGATTTGAAGAAAGTGCTCACTCTGTGTTGAAAGAATGGAGGATGTATCAAATGATGAAATGATGAAATGGGTTGTGGATGAAGCTTCAAAAATAGAGATGCTGTAATAAACATGTTCTAATTTTAATCAAATTTCTCTCTTTCTCAAGGGATGATGATGGTAAAGGAAGAAATTAGAGGAAGAAGAAAAAAGAACAAATTTTTCTTTCACATCGCATTAATTTTGATTGACGGATGGTGATATGCGTGCGTGCGATAGAAATAGATAGACGGACATGGTAGTTGATTTGACTCTGTGTGAAAATAACCAGGTACACCAGACCAGCCAGTACCTATAGATGAAGAGAACAGAATCAACAGACAGACAGATGCTTCCCTCGTGCCCACCTTGTGTGGTTACAGTTGGTGTATGCATCCAGCATGCCATTATATGCCATCGTATGGTCTCATTGGTCTGCTCTCTGCTCTCTGCTCTCTGCTACTCTCTCCTACTCCCTTCTCTATCCAGTATGGACGTTGACAATACCTTTCAACGATATATGTTGAACGCTCCTCCCTTATTTCGTGTTCGTGTTACATATATTGGTGCTCTGTACCACCACCCAGCATGCCAGTGTCCTAATATGGATTTGAAATTGTCACTTGTCACTTGTAGCTTCCCATATGGATGGGGCATTAAAGAAAGAACTGTGCCTGATAGATTTTGAAGTATTTGAAATAACCTTGGAATCTTGGAATCTTGGAATCTTGGAATCTTGGAACACCTGCACACTTTGTTTTAACAATATTATTATTATTCCCTACCCATTCTGTATGAATATTCGGGGCTGTGTCACGTGTGGCAACCAGACCAGTTTTTCTATGGGTCGACAACAACAACTTGATGTATCATGGATGAACGCTTCACTCGCTCCTTTTTGACCCATAATCATCCTACGTCTACCAAGAAAAGTACATTGACACCTCATCTGTCTCCATAATCCAACTTTCAGATTCCCCATCCAGCTCTGCATTGCAATTTGAACCCCCCATCGAACCTTCTCTCATCGGATAATTTAGAATTGTATACGAGAATAAACGGCAGTTGTCCCTCCCACCTTCAAAGTTCAAAACAGAACCTGGTAACAACAACCTGGTCATCTTACGCCTGGCAAACTGCAGAGATCCGTCAACCAGGATAGATTTCTATTTCAAGAATCATAAGGCATAGAAGAGGCAAAGAAAAAACTAAAACGTCCATACTATTCCATACCTACTCTCGTGTGGAACATTTCAAATACACATCCATACCTTCCACCCCTTCCACCCCTTCCACCCCTTTATCGATAAGGAAACCCCATTGGAGCATCATCCCATTCGCAATTAACATCAACCTTGAGCTTTCTCGCAGATTTATTGATTGTGTAGCCGGAACTTTTTCCCTTGTCGCCTTATATCGGAAAATTTCAACCATCAAAGCCTCATCCGTTACGCCTTGCATTCCTTCCAACGTCAACAACCATGAGTGGTATGCAAACAGCAGGGGATATCCCCATGATTGTTAAGTCAGAGAACTCTGGATCAGAGCGTCGTATTACTCCATCTTGGTCCATTACTCAACTGAAATCAAAACTGGTACCCGTGACCGGTATCCCTTCCTCAGATCAAAAACTCACTTTGTGGATCAACAATCAACAATCCGTCGAGATCCAAGCTCTGGACGAAGAGAATACACAATTGACAAACTTTCCTCTGGCACCACACGCCGTTATTCACGTGAGTTCGGAAAATTCTTTAGCTTCGTAACGCGAAACATGTCGTGGTACTCTAAGACCTTATCGTTCTGCAAGGCTGCCTGTCTACCTCGATCCCACGGATGCTATTTTCTACTCGATATGAGACTTGATCTTCGGTATCGTATCCATACTAGACAAGGTTTTCATTTCAGCATCATATGATAGTTCATGCCGATGTTTACCGGGTTGCCCCAATAGTTCATTCCATGATACTTGGGCCATTGAGATGATAAATCTTAAATTATAGTCTACTCACCTCGCTGATGTTGCTTTGTGTGGATTAGTTTCCTGCCCTACAGCTAGGCCAAGTGTTCCATATTGCTTAGAGTGGAGTGTTTTGTCACGGACACGACAAGTTTTGTTCGTTGTCCATGAACTATTTGCCGCAGTCTGAGCTCCATCAAGTGGATATATTATTGCATTATTGTTAGTCTCACTCTGAGTCGCGGTGTGCTGTATCCCAAAACTTTACAGGCACCTGATACTTGCAAGCACAAACCTACTGTTCTCCATTGTTAAGTTTGGCAATCATCTTTGGAGGACACGTATCATTTTATGTCTTTCCCACCGGGTTCTCCCAACAAATTTATGTAGCGACACTTCCGTCAATTAGGCTTGGCTATTTATCAACATGCTAACACAACTTTTCCCAGGTAACTGATACTCGCGCTCCTGGTCTTCGTGAAAATTATACCGATGTCTCTGCAGTCGAGAAATACACCCTTCCCGTAGAATCCTACGAGAAACGCACCGACAGTGTTCTTGCGTGGAAAAAGAATGAAAAGCTCGGACGATTCAACCCAGATGCTCCAACTCTTCTCGATGCCAAACTTGCTGTCTACGATAATGAGATCAAAGCCAAAGGTATCTCTGTAGGAAAGAGATGTAGAGTCGGAGAAGATGATTCCAGAAGAGGTGAAGTGATGTATGTAGGTGACGTTGCAGAAATCCCTGGTGGGGCAGGAAAATGGATCGGAATTAAACTAGATGAACCTGTCGGAAAGAATGATGGCAGTATAGCTGGAAAGAGATATTGGGGTAAAGATGGCGATGGAAAATTTGGGGTCTTTGTTAGACCTGAGAGAGTGACAGTGGGAGACTTTCCAGTAATGGATGATTTCGAGGATATGGAGGAAATGTGAGAAAGCACGTAACTCATCTGCATTGGGATTGATCTTTTCGGGAAATCACCCCTTTTAGATAACTTTGAACGCGAGGCGATGCATATCGCATAAAATTGAAGTCTACATTCTCCCACATGGTATAAAATTTCTATTTCTATTGATTAGGGCGTGCATCGCACGTTTTCAAAGCCTGCCTTGTCGAAGATTCTTTTTCTTCTTTTATGCCCTTTCATCCTCCCCCTTTATTCCCCAATCCACTCCTGGAAAAGAACGAACACACCTCCCTCACCCAACATCAGAGAACCCATTATAAAACACAAATATAACAGATAAATATACATTGTTTCTACCTAACCATACAATGTAGCTCATACAGAAAATTCCTAGACAACTCTCCCTCTACACAAAGCCCCTTTGCAAAATCCTCAACATGATGATCTCCTCGCAGACTTAAACCTTATCTATCACCCCTCTCGTCAAAAGTAAAACCGACAGATTCATTAAGCACGTCAATTTCCCAATCTTCTTGATCAACACACTCACTGTCTCTATATTCGTTCGTATTCTTTTTCGTATTGGGTAGCTTGTGGTATTCATACTAATCTTGGAACTGTGATTCACGTATGTATATGTATATACCTACAGATACGAATACATATACGCAAAACTACACATCTCATCATCTCCCTCGCCAGTATGGTCTACTATCATGATACATAGTCCGGATGTCGTAGAATGAGTGTACTTTCTCTCTCTAAAATACTCGTACTTTTATATCGTATCGTACCCATCTCAATCCGTTCTTTTGACACTCACCTCTTCACCATTTTTGATGATGACTCTACCTCTTGAGTCCTATCCTTTTGCTAATATTTCACAACCATTCACATTACACTTCCAACCCCTCGATATTATCCTCTCGCTTCTTGATGCGTGGCTAGGTGTTTATGGGTATTTGTATCAGATCAACTCTATATTTCTACTATACATGTTCTGATTTATCATATACCACTACATACACGCACATACATATACACGTCCGCCAAATCGAACTAAACCGAATACATTTATTTCCCCTATTCTATAAACCTATAGCTACGTCAAATCCCAATTCCAATCCCAATCTCAATCCTAGTATCCTGAGAGTAATTCGTCATATCATATCGTATCTATCCTCCCTAATTAGATCAACCAAGTGTCAGTATAATATATAAGAACAGCGATTGCGAGTTCATATATTGACAACGTCTCCATGACGTCGAGAATACTGCTGAATACTGGAGCTTGCGAGAAATGAGTTGAGGTGAATCTTTTCCGTGGGTATTTTTGAACTCGTTGTTTGTGTGATTGCTTTTCAACGTGCTTCTCGCATCTCTTTCGAAATTCACGTTTTTTTCCGCGTCCTCATAAATCTGATTTTATAATAGGCCTTAGGATTTTCTGTTCAAATTGGTTATGTGGAGGGGAATATTGATATATGAAATTGGAACACGAGTTTATATAATTCAGATTAAAGATCCAAGCCGAAGTAAGAAATTTCTTTTTACGTAGAAGTCATTCTGTTGTTCCTCTCCTCGTCCTCCTTCCGCTCTCTCTTCTCGATTCCTATTCCCCGTCTTTCCATTCCCACCCAACTGGACTAATTCACCCTCTTGAGACCGCCATCCCCTTTTTCAACATCCTCTTTATTTTTCTCCTCTCCCTCTCCTCTCCCTCTTCATTTCCCACTCCTCTATCGTGGCTCCTCTTCTCCACATCTTACACGCTTTCTGTCCCGCCCACTCTCTCTCCCCGGCCTCTTAATCTCCCCAGAACTCTCGTTGAGCTAGCTCCTTGGTCACCCAACTCCTCTAATACCAATCTATCATTCAAACCCTGCTCCTGTTTTCTCCTCTTTCCTATCTTTTCTCGTGAAACATCCGAACAACCAATTATATTTCGAGGATTTCTCATGTTGATGCAATCTGGAGAGCGGGTTGTGGTATCAGGAGATATGTAATTTGGCGGGCCAGTTTCTTGCGCCATTTCGATTCGGCCGGCTCAGCGAATTTGAGAGCTTCCTCCAAAGATTTCATAACGGCGTATGGGAGCAGATGGCCCATCGGCATGCATGTTTACAGATGATCTATTTGTTTTTACTTCCTCAAATGGATATTCGTTTGCGAATTCCGTAGCCCTGAAGTAGGACATAGATTCTTTATCCTCCGGCCACAACTTCACTATTGCATCTCTCTTCTAATCTCGCGAAGTATCAATATCATCTCCGCTTGTATGACCTTCATTTCCTGTGTTCTCCCCATTGCCCCTTTCACACCCGCACTAGCGAATGTATTTCTTGTCGACCTCTTCGCGTTTCCCCATCCACTATCAACTGATTTTGCCTTCCGATACCCACGCCTCTGCGTAGAAAGACGAGATATGTTGAGGAAGAGATCTCTGGTTCTAAATTATGGCAGACCAGCTTGGAGAATCAATGGTGGAGCAATGCGAGGATTGGTAAGCATTGGTATTAGATACTTAGAGCTGTAGGATATCAACCGTGAGTTGAATGGAGAAACGATAGTGGGATTGTGATATCTATGTTGAATGGTTAAATTGGCCATGTGCACACCAATTGTTTGGAATCCGGATGAGTCTGTATTGTCCCGTCGGACTTCTCGATCTAGTAGCTCCGATGATATTGCACACAGCGGGGGTTAACATAAGTGGCGGATATGGTGTAACGTTGACATATAAGATAAGATGGCGGGGTAATAATACCTATCGAGCCTATTTATGAACACCTGCATTGTGCCAGAATTGCTTCTTGTACGTCATCACCCATTATTTACTTCTTAAACTCCTTCACACCAGATTTCCGTTAAGTTCTTAACTTATCAACAATTCCATATTTGTTTATATACCTTTCCTCCTCATCGATTTCACGTGAACATAATCAATACAAACAACACCATGACGTCCAAACCATACGAAGTAAAATGGGGCATCCTAGCCACCGGCGGCATCGCAACCAGTACCTACTCTTCCCCCATCCCCAACAACCTCCAACTAACCACCCCCAGCCTTCTGCAAAGATATACTCTGCAACCCTGCCACGCGCGATGTCCACGACGTCAAACACACCATCATCGCCGCCGCCTCATCCTCCTCGGCCTCCCGCGCCGAAACATTTCTTAAAGAGATCAACGCGCCGCCCGGTATCAAAGCCTACGGCTCCTATCATGAACTCGTCGCCGATCCCAACATCGACGTTATCTACATCGCCACTCCGCATTCCCACCATTTCCAAAACGCCATGTTAGCCCTGCACGCCAACAAACACGTGCTGTGCGAAAAAGCTCTCACGGTCAATTCCTCGCAAGCGCGCAAACTGTTCGAGACAGCTAAAGCACGCAATCTATTTTTCATGGAAGCGGTCTGGACCCGCTACTTCCCGCTGAGCATTCAAATCCGGGAGTTGGTACGAAGTAAAGAAATCGGAGAGGTGCATCGCGTGTTTGCAGATCTGTCGATTGCAGAGGCAAATGAAGATGGCTCTCTTACTTTTCCCCTCGAAAACCGCATGGTGAATCCTGATTTGGCGGGTGGTGCACTCCTCGATTTGGGTATCTATGCTATCACATGGGTTTTTCAAATTCTGTACCACTGTCAATCCTGTCCCTCGACAGAGCGCGAAGTGCCCTCTGTTCTTTCCGCGGTGCAGAAATACGAGAAGACGGGCGTGGATGAACAAACGAGTATTATTCTACAGTTTCCCAGAAATAAAAGTGTGGGGATCGCTACGACGGGCATGAGAGTGGCGACGCAACCTGATGCGCACGGGGAGGCGAGTAAAGATGAAGCTCCGACGATTAGAATCCAGGGCACCAAGGGAGAAATCCAAGTTTTTGGTCCGGCGTATCGACCGTTGCGATACAAGGTTTTGAAAAATGCGAATGAGGCGGGACAGTTCAAGAGGGTGGATTGTGAGATTCCTCAGGACCCGGAGAGGGGGAATTGGGGACATGGGATGGCGTGGGAGGCAGATGAGGTGGGTAGGTGTTTGAGGGATGGGAAGAAGGAGAGTGAGGGCTTGGATTGGAGGGAGAGTGAGGCTATCATGAGGGTGATGGATGAGGTTCGAAGACAGGGAGGCTTGAAGTATAGTGAGGAGATTGAGTCGGATGTTTTTCATGAAAACAGTGCTTTGAATGGAAAAGCTTGATTTAGAAATATCAGCGATCGTATCATTGAATTTGAAACCCCGTCTAGAAAAATATATTTAAATTCATAATATAGTCTAAAGTTTATTCTTCCATTGCTCTAACTAGAAATAATGCTACCTCCCTACGGAAAGAATACTATACTACAAAATGCGATATCCTGTATACTTAAAACTATCAGAATAGTTCACCACCTCTACCACCACTGGTTTCCGCTATCCGCCGCCCGGGATCACAAGAGGAAAGTACAGAGAGCTTCGATCCGCCAAACTTCATCTGGAGAATGGGATTTTGTATAAAAAGAAAGGATGTCGTAGTTTCTATAGTGTTCCATTGTATATATTACAGACTGTACTCTAGATATGGAAAAGAATAGAGACAATTTTAGGTTAAAATGGAATCTGGATTGAAGACGAGGATGTGAAAGCGAGGGTAAGTGATTATGAAACACGGATAAATAGATGTTTCTAGTCGGCCGTTTATGAAAGCCGACTATTAGAGAAGATATATAAGGGATAGATAGATATATAGATAGATAGATGGAAATATATATGTATACATGTGTGTGTAATAACCTCATAGAAAGTAAAGCACAAAGGTAAACCCCTACCTTAAACACACCCTAGGAAACCTCTTCAAGCAACACTGAACAAGATCCATCAACGCAAATCTCTGCGCCATTCCCGCCACCCCCTCAATCAAAACAATAGCACAAAAGAAGGAAACCGGGTGCGTATCAGGCAGACGTCGCAGTACGGCCGGAGTGCACGATTCTCTCTCGATCAGTTTTAGCTGGTCGACGACCTTGGTAGCAAAGTCTTGATCGCGCAAGATCCAGTAAAGAATTTCTCTGCTGGTGGGAACCGTGGTGCGCGAGAAGAAATGCGGCCACGGTTTGCTCCCTGGAGATCCAGCTGCAGGCTGGGAAATCTCCTGCCAGAGGAATGTGTCGAGATACAATCTCAATTGCGAGATTCGAAAGTGTACTTTAAATGATGGAGAGTTCGTGTAGACAGAACAACGCTTGGGAGTCCGTTTCACCAAGGATTTAGGGATGGAAGAAACGATTGTGTTTCCATGTGTGTTAGCTAGCAGATTGATCTTTGTGAGAGATTCAAGGTCTCGCTCTCGTGCTTGACTGGGGAATTTTTCGAGGGAATTAGCAATGTTGGTTCGAGCAAGTCCGGAATCGAGAGAAGACTGGCGTTTATAGACGGCCAGTTGTACCGATTCATGGAGGTTCCCAAATGTGAAAGACGCGAAGACTGCAGTGGAAAGAACGTCAGGGCTGTACTCGAACTTTGGAAGTTTATGGGGGTTATTAAGCTCGAGTAGTGAAGCGAATGCATGTGTCAAGAGGGGGGTTGTCCAAAATGCGTTGTTCAAGTTTGATCGTTTCTCCGAGACCGGCAGTTGGAGCCATTATGTGATGGGATATGTCAATTTCTTCTAGTTGCACGGGCTCAGTGTTGGGACCTAGACCATTAATTGCATACACTTGCCGAATTTCTGTCACATCTACCCAAACATAAACTCCCTTCTTGGGAGCGACAGCTTGGGAATCAAAGGTGTCTTCATCTTGTTTTGCAGTATTGGCAGCCTGGTCAAGACCGTCAGGATCTGCGGATGAAGATGCTGGAGGGGATGGCTCGTGGATGAAGTATCGATTCGTCTCTTCCAGAACCCAAAATTTATCCTCGGTGGTGAGACCAGTCTTTGAAACCCACTTCTTTCTCTCTATGTTGCTGAAATAATCATCGTCTCTGGACTGTTCCGAGGTGAATGGGTAAGATGCGTTTGAGCACAACTTTACACAAAGAGAGCCTCGGTTCTCCAAACTCGACGCAGCTGTTTTCAAAAACAAACACTGCTCCAAGGATGTTGCAATTCTTACTAATACTGTTCCCACCGGAATATCGAGATTGTGTGTCTTCAACACCCCAAAGCCATTAAGGTCAATATTTCCTCCTTTTCTCCATTCATTCTGGAGTGAGTATCCCAGCAGGTGCTCAAATGGCACTGTCACTTCTGGTAACGATAATTTAGAGGATATCTGGAACGTCTTCGTGACCCGGCCTACCAGGCATCTTTGAAAATATGGCTCCTGTCTACCTCGGTCACCACATTCAAAATTAATCCAAGATGCATCCCCAATATCTCCCAAATATTTCAACCTAATCGAGCCCGTATGCTTGGACAACCCTCCTCGAATTTGAGCTCATAAATTAAAAGTTCAAGCTCGACAACTCCATTGATGAATCGACTTCGAATGACTGTATCATCAACCAAGCCCACTGCTTTCAGTTGTTGCTTCAATTTGAGCTTGACAAAAAATGCAATGATAAAGTTGTACAGTATAGGTGAAATGCCAAGAACAGCCAGCGGAATTCCAATGTAGGTGATAATGTCTGCAGGTGATGCAACCAGCAAGAGTCACACTTTTTCATGCTACACGACATTCACGGGCGGCTGAGATTGGTCTTTCCAAATGTTGCATTGCCGTTGCTTACTTACCTAGTATCATGGCTGGCCTTTTATTCAATTGAACTGAAGAGAATCAATATATGATAATCGGCTCTTCCTAGCGGCTAACTTAGTCCCTATTGGGGAAAAAAGTTGTGTTCCCATGAGATTTCGTATCCTGATAATCCTTCGGGATTTGAACTAATACAAGATGAGATTGTATAATAGAATAATCACCGTCTTATTGAATCTAATTATTTTATTATTTTTGTGATGGTTAGAATGGTCAATGAATAATTCTGGTCACTTTTCTCACTCTCATAGCAAGTCTGCTGGTATCAAATGGGGCAGGGCAGACTTAAGTGAATCTCACGATCTATTCATCACGGCAGAAACCGGGCGCGCGCGGTCACAACCCGCAAGGACAGGCATACTATATAACCGTCGATACAAACGAAAACAATTTGGGGAAGTTGGTAGAGTGGTTAAGGAGTGCAACTCGACTTCTTCCCTCAGAAGCCCGTCCCGAGCTGTGGCACTCGAAAATAATACCCCTCGGTATGCTGCCACAATGTGAGACATGCATGTGTGAATGTAGCCAAAAATAAGGCAAGAAAAAAACAAAATAATAGATAGCTTAGAATTAGATGATTGGTGGATGGTTGTTGGAGATTTGGGAGGTGGTGAATGAATAGGTGGTGGATATATCTAAAAACAGAATAAAACAGAAGCAAGAACACAATCTCAAGGTCTCAATCTCAATTCAATGACTACCTTGAGAAATTCAGACCTTCTAACATATTTTTTGTTTCGTTGTCGTCGGTGAGTTCAGAAGTGGGTAAGGTCAAGAACAGGCAAGTATAGCGAATGACAACGTCGCGAAACATGATTAATTTTCCAAATACTTATGACTGAATTTATGTTGTCATTGTTCTTGAGGGTTTGAAGTTTGAGGTTTTTCGTTTTTGAACTCTGGGTAGTCTGGTGGGTTTGATCGGGCTTGATCTGGGTGGCTATCGAGATATTTTCGAAAGGTTTGACGATCGGAAGCGAATGCGCGACGACGACCCATCCGACTCCACTGTTATCCATCATGCAAGAGTATACTTCCGATAAAGCTACTCGAGAGTCATGATAGTGTTAGGAAAGCGCGCTTTCGAAACAAACCCGATTGATATCGACATACCGACATTTGATGTTTCTTGAAGTCTCATGCTATGAGTGCCTCTCACTAGGAACATTAACCTTATGCGAATGAGGCATTATGGGAAAAGATCTGAGTAGCGATATGCGTATCAAAAATAGAAAGAAACATGTACGTATAGCTAGTTATTGACAGCAAGACAACCTCACTACTGGAACAATCTCGAAACTTGAAGATATGGCAAGATGTCTGCAACACGTGACCTCGCTCCCTTGGATTCGCGGAGATAGAGTTTGCGCTACCCCAGACCGACTTTTATTGAAAGGCTCGTGCCGATGCATGCGGCACGTAATGTGTCAATCAAGACCAGAACGCCGAGCTCTAGAAGGTTTGGGAGGCGACGAGTAAAAAATTAGACAAGGAATGAGAGAAACGTAAGTGAGAAAAAAGCCAAAACACCAAGCCTGTTGGCAACGACGAGGCTGAGAATAAATTCAAAGTAGACCAAGTAAGCCAAGCCATGAGCTTTGATTTACCAAGTTTTCACCAAGCTTTCATGTGATTCGATAGCCGAGAAGAGCTGAGAAAGAGGTGTTCTTCCGAGGAAGCCGAATAAGAGAAAAAGAGACCTGGATGAGGCGAGAAATAATGTGCCATAAGTACTACTTGAGGTTATTTTTTTAATTATTTTTTTGAAGTGTGACTGACTGACGTACGATTAGACGGCGAAGAGGGGGCTGAGCGACATCCATATAAAAAGAAGGTTTGTAGGACACGGCTGTGTTCTAGAATTGGGCCCTGAGGAGAAAAATGAAGAAGAACTATTGATAATTAATGATTTTCCCAAGACCTCCAAGACAAAGGAGAGGGTGGCAATTAGCGATACCATTGGATACAGCAATTAAACGATACGACTTAAACTTCTTGAGAAGCTTGGCTTTAGCTGGGCTTTAGCTGGGCTTTAGCTGGGCTTTTCTTGAATAATGATTAAGAGAGAAATGATTTTTGTTTAACTATCATTATTCAATTAATGCATAATGTTTTGTGTTTGGAGTGAAGATACGAATATATAAAAAGGAGAATATGAGTTTCATCGTGATAACCGACCCTAGTCAATTATGATTGAAGGGAAGGGAAAGGAAAGGAAGGCGAGCTGTATGGAGGCTGGCTTTGTCTATGATGATGTGATGATGTGATGATGTGATGATGATTAGATCTACGAAGTAAAGAGGAAGGAAGGTATCTATCTAGTACTTACTGATCATATGTAGACGAAATTTGACAGATACCGTAGATGGTTGGTTTATTAGTTAGTCCAGTCTACCTCTACCATTAACATCAATAGCAATACGACGTTAAAGATTATGTAATGAAGATAAATTTGAGGCTGCGGGGGGCGCAGAAGAATGATTTGTATTTGTATTTGTATTTGTATTTGTACCAATTAGTTATTATCTGCCTACCCACACCTCAATCTCTCCAGATTCTTTGAAAATCTTGATAAACCTTGATATGAATGGCTACGACCTGGGCAGACAATCGCACCGGCAGTCTTCATCCGTGGCAATTGTCAAGGAGATTTCCATTATCATTGGTAGTTGTAAGATGTTAAGATGTTGTAATGTACCGTAGTATGCATCATATGCATCATATGCATCGTGGTGGGCTGGGCTGTACAGTAATCATCAACAAGAAAGACCCTTTGGAATCATTAAGAACTATCTGTCTACCAGTACCTACCTAGGTATTTATTTTAGAGTTCGTTGGTATTTAGTCTTCTCTTCTATTCACGCTTCTTCTCCGCATTCTTGACGTTTTCCGTATTCCGTATTCCGTATCCCGTTGTCCGTTTTCCTTCCTCTTTCTTATATCTTATATGTTAAGGTTGAGGCGACCTCTCTACCTATCTACCGGTACCTACGTACTCTGCATTTCTTATTTCTGTTACAGCACAAAGTATAATTTATCGTTATCCCCCACATTATCTCTCTCTCTCTCTCTCTCCCTCTCTCTCTCCTTCCTTATCTCCCCTCCCACTCTTCCCTCAATCCCGTCATCAAAGTGTTTGTGACAAAGGAACAAGAGAAATCCTTCCACATCATAAATCAAAGCCGCAGAGTGATCGATGATCGATCCAACAACATCCGAACTACAGAACCACAGAACCACAGAACCACAGAACTACAGAACTCCATTCGTACATCGTAACCTTCCAGTTTCAACGCACGGAGATCCATTCTGCCGACAATTCAATCCACGCTAATCCAATTTAAGTTTGACTATCTTCCTCTCCAAAACAGCTCCAAGTTAAGAAGAGAGTTTCACTTCAACTTTTGTAGTAGTGGGAATGCACCCTCGATAAAACTACAAAGTATTTGGTCCTCTTAAATTACTGGATATGTGAAATTCGATTGAGAGATTGCTATTTGTTTACGATTTTCCGTGGATTTTTTTCTCTTGTTCTCTATTCTCTCTTCCTTTCCTCAACTACATCATCGCAATCATGCTTCTACCGGATAAGGGAGGGCATATGGCGAAATGCCTTTCGATCCTCCTATTCTTTGTCGGTTTGGTTGCTGGTCAAACTTCCACCGCTTCCTTCTCGCCCTCGAATGCTACTTTACCATCGAACATGACGAACCCGGATTTTGAATTGTCTTTGACGTCGGGAAACAGCGACCTCTTGATAAGGAATATGTACAATATTGCCCCGCTCACTGCTGAGGCGGGAATAGGACAAAGTGAGACTGCTGTGAATGTAAGAAATGTGTTCCTAGTTACATTGCATATGTATGACATGAGGCAGACTACTAATGCTGTATGGTATAGCAAATCACTATCAACGGAACTATTGTCTCCAGAGATGCGTCAACCGCGAGTAATCTCTCCGCCACAGATATAGCATATATGAGTTGTGATCCAAACGAAAGCTCCAACATCGATTCAACACAGGCTATCAATATGGCAGGAAATGCGCGGCCAAAGGCCATATTATTGTATAGCTTATACTCTCAGGAGTGCAGCATTACCGGCGATTATACTTATCAATCAGTTTATACAATGGTGTCTGCCTCCGATTCAATGGCTTTACTTGTTACGTTGAATAATTATAACAGCTCACTGGTCGCAAGATTCGTACCCAACCAAAGCTCGTCAGATACAGGTTCGGCATCGCAAACTAGTAACAATGGAGGACCGCCACCAACTACAGCTGTTGCCATGAGCATCCTTTACAGTATCACTGGAATTATCACCTTGCTATTCTTGATCATTATAGCCACAGGAGCCATTCGCGCTCACAGGCACCCGGAAAGATATGGGCCACGGAACGCTCCAGGAAGACCAAGACAAAGTCGAGCAAAGGGTCTTGCGCGCGCTATGTTGGAAACTCTGCCCATTGTGAAATTCGGGGATCCAGAACCAGGGAAACCAGGGAGTAGTGATATTGAATTGGAGAATGGCAGTGTTCATCATGTTCCTGTAACTTCTACAACAGATGCGACGGCCAGCGACGCATCCAAATTTCCGGTTGCCGCGGCAGCAACCTCCGAGAAGGGTCTGGGTGCACATCCTGAGTCAGGGGACAACGAAGCATCGGCGGCCACGAAGGAGACTGAGCTTTTACAATGTTCGATTTGCACAGAAGACTTCGCCACCGGTGAAGACGTTCGAGTGCTTCCATGTCATCACAAGTATCATCCTGCTTGCATAGACCCTTGGCTCTTGAATGTTTCAGGAACTTGTCCATTATGGTAGGCTTGCTGAATTTATAATGTATAAGCATGTACTAACTTTCACAGTCGTCATGATCTCCGACCTACAGCAACCCATGCTCAATCTGCAGACGATGATGAGCTTCCACCACCACTTGATGCAGGTGAAGGAGAAGCAGCTAGTCAACACACAGCCGGTACTTCTGAAAACGTAGAGGCTAGCTCTCGTAGTCGCGTTTCTCGTCTTGTGCATCTTCGTCATGCTCCCCCCGAAGAGAGTATTGCTACCCTTCGCGAATTTGCACGTGAGCAATCCCAACAAGAAGTGGCTGCACCAAATCAAGACGGAGTCGAAGAACAAGGCAGAAGAGCTAGCCTTGCAGGTCGACTCCGAACCACTCTCCGAATAAGAACACGGGCACAAGCTCCCACCGTGGCCGAAACGACAACAACGACATGATATGATCACTAATTAATAGTATTTTTAACGATTCGCTTAACGAACGACCTTTTATATTTATATTTTATGACCTGAAATAGTGGCTCTCAGATCCGACGTTTTACTACAATATTGTGAAAGCAAAGTACATCATATTGAAACTGGGTAGCGTGGACGGATGAATGAATGATGGATGAAACGGTACGAACAATTGGAAAGGATGGATCTGAATAGATGGAGTTTGGCGTTAATGATTCACTTACCCTTGATTTTCACAAGTACAATCGAGCATGGATTGGGTCTGGTCTACTTTGGGCGGTGTTTTGTCAAGTACCTGGGATTTCGGATGGTTGGAGGATATGGAGCGGCGCAGTGGATGGTAAAATCGCGAGTCGCGGAAGCTAGGGGAGACTTTTGTCAGCGACTGCAATATTTTGTTATTGTAATATATTTTGCAGGACCTGCTTTTTATGCAAGATGGGCTAGTTAAATATCATACTATGCCTGTCATAACCGATTATCCCGTGTGACGCTAATACTTGACTATCATACAAACAAGCGCTGGAGTGCATGAAATTTGGGTAGTAAGCTTCCCCTCTGTAGATGGTAGGTTGGAAATCCTCCTAAAATCCGCGGCCTTTCCCATGGAAAGTAACGCAGTACAGTGTTGTACACGTGAATCCACATTTTGTTTTCATTCCCACAACTATTTTCATGCTCCTCTTTTCATCTGTATCACATCCTCAATTCTAGACACTTGCACACTCCGAATAACACCCCAAAAGAACTCCATTGCTTTCTTGCCATTCTTCGATATCCCACCTCCCTACCCTCTCGTTCCTCTTCTACGCATCTTCCACCCCTAACGCAACCAATCCCATGCAAAAAAACTCAAAAGTCAAAAGATAAAGTCAACTCCTCCTCCTTCCCCCTCCCCCCGAATCGAACTGAATCAAATCGAATCAAATCAAATCAAATCAACCCTTTCCTAGCCAATTCCACCTTCCTCGCTGCCTCCCCAGCCTTAAACCCTCCTTTCGATATGCAGATTGCGTTTCCGTCTGCGAGCTCGAATTTCTCCTCGTAGGTAGGGTGGGCGCAGGGGCAGTGGTGGGGGAAGGCGACGCAGGAGAGGGTGCCCGGGCAGAGGTAGGATGTACAGTGGGCTGAGAGGGTGGTGTTAGTTTTAGAGTTGAGGAGAGATGGGGAAGGGGGAAAGAGAGAGGAGAGGGGAATGGGGGGGGGAGGGGGGAAGAATTGGGAGATATATGGGGATGAGGGCTTTATTACCTCGATCGTAATTATCCTGATACCATCGCGAATCACTAGGTACATCTTGTGGTTGACGTTGCTGCTGCTGCTGTTGTCCGTTGAACATTTGCTCGAAAAATTGAAATTGGGCTGAGACGCCGATTATGAGGAAGAGCAATGAGAAGAGGGAAAATAGTGGTTTAGCCATTTTTGCGCGTAGTGAGTGGCCAGTAATTGATGTGGAAATGGGAGTGTATTGTTTGAATGGAATAGGGAAATGTGGTGATGGACGGGTGATAGATAGCAGATAGTGATAGCTTGATATTGACAGGTGGTAGAAATGTTTACGGGAGACTGTAAGACGGCGAAATGACAAAATTGGGAGTTTGGTGGAGGATGTGAATAATTTTGCAATTTTTAAGAAAAGATTTACATGGGATGAGAGATATAAATTCTCCAATTTATAATCCCCAAATCCTCTCCAACCCTCTCACAAAATCCCCAAAGTCTCCCTCTCCAATCTCATCACCGCGTCCCCCGCACATCTCGGTCCCCGTAAAAAAAGCATCACCACACATCGAAAATATCCGCACTCCTCACCTCCCAATTCACACATCCCAAAATGTTGCTTCAACGTCTACAGCCTCCATTGCGAGGCGCGATCGCATCCCTCTCGCGGACCGCGTGCGCCTCGGCTGCGGAAACGCATCTTTGCGAAGCGCTCGCGCATCTCTCGTTCAAGAAATCTGCTTCTCCACTTGCCCCTCTCGTCGGCGTTCGTCATGCTTCGCACGCTGCACAGGGAGCTGTCAATAAAGCGAAAGATGGACCGGGGAAGCGATTGGGTGCGAAGAAATCCGGTGGTATGTATCTCTCTTCTTTCTGATCTCCCATTGCATCCCATACAGATCTCCATCTATCCCATTTCCTCTCCATCTTACCCCTCCCACTCCGTCCTCACACATCTCAGAACAATACGTCATCCCCGGCAACATCATATTCCGCCAACGCGGCACCCACTGGTTCCCCGGCGATAACTGCGCCATGGGTCGCGATCACACGATTTATGCCACGCAGCCCGGGTATGTGAAATACTATAAAGATCCCGAGCGCCATCCCAAACGCCAATACATCGGCGTGGTATTCAAGCGCGAGCAGGTTCTCCCCTTACCGCGGAACACCATCAGGAGACGCAGATTAGGGATGGAGGTTGCGAAGATTGAGGAGCCGGAGGTAGAGCAGCCGGTCGCGGTGGAGGTTAGTGTGGAGGGAGCCGAGAAGGAGGGGAAGAAGGAGAAGAAGAAGAAGGAGAGGAAGGGGGAGGAGGGCAGAAATCTACAGTTGCGTCCGGGCTATATGTACAGAGAGGCGAATTGGGAAATTGGAAGAGCGGCCGAGAGAGCGAAGGTTAAGGTGAGGTTGTATAAACCGGGCGATCGATGGACGGCGTGGAGGAAGGCAAATGCGAGGAAGACGAAGAATGCGGAGAAGAGGGGTTTGTCGAGTAGGAAGAAGAAATAGATGAGAGATGAGAATGAAAGATTGGGAGGGTAGAGGAATGGGAAAAAGGCGTGTATGATTATCTATTCATCTGGTCTTGTTATGAGAACTTGAATGAAAGGGCCTGCGTCAGGGGCGGCCCCAGTTGCAATATTGAGGAAATCCAGAAGAAATGGATGTGTAACTAGGTGATATCCTAACATAAAACTTTACCGCAATTAGACTTGTGGTAGTGAACAAGATCAATGAGCTCAATGTTACGAATGCTTCGTATGAGACGCTCTATTTGTATTCTTTGACGTTTCTACACTTTCTGAACAGAGTCTATATTTACAATTCCACTGTCGTTCATCTTTCAACCATGGAACTCGACGTTCACGTGAATTTCAGTGGTAGGAAGAAATATGCAAACCTCGGAAAGCGTTCCACATCTCCATATACTTACCCACCATTGCTTCAAGCAGATTGACATCTTGCGATGAAAACACTATCACATAATAGCCATTTACACAATTCGATATGTAATATATATTTTAAATTTAGAACGCATGCACTACTAGAACTACAAGCAACTTTGATAAAAAAAGATGCGTAAACATATTTGGCGACGACTAATCCCCCAAATTACTTCTACATGCTCCCAATGTGCAAAAACGCCTTTGAAATGCGATTCTTTTATACAATAATTCCGACCGAGCAACCCGACCTACCGACCTACCGACCATCCATCCATTCCATCCAGCCTAAGCCTACCATTTATTACCGCCGAAATCCAACCCAAATTATTCGTTATAAAAATCGTCCATTACAACCGCAAGGCGCCATAAAATGCATACATTTCGTCTCATGTCGATTCCGTTTTTCGTCCTTCCCAATCTTTTAATTGATCGTCTCTCGTTTCATCTCGAAATTGAGAATATATAGGTAACATTAGACGCAAGTCCATTCAGCAAAAACGCACCATCTAGCACTTCGATCGGCTAAAACTAGTCCTCTCCATACACCCCTTTCCCCACATTTAATTATCGTCTCCCAAGTTCCCCCATCTCCACCCTCTAAGTTGACACCCCCATTTCTCTCTTCCTTTCGCATTAATCTCAAGATCTTTCCACCAGGTGCTTGAATTGCCAATTTGGCTGGCTTTTTACCGGTTCCTGAACCAGAAGCCGAGGAACTTGTTATAGACATGGCCGAGTTCGGTCGTATGAATGGAATAGGTGAGGTTCTCCCAGGATCTGGAGATCCCGTGGATAGTGAGGAAGGATGCTGACGCACAGCGAACACAAAAGTATTGTTGATTGCTAACCGCTGGCATTGTGGCTGGGCGACATAAAGGTCATGGCGTTGTGCATGAGGTGTTGGATGTCGGATCAGAAAATCGTATGGAGGATTGTCACCAGAGTGAATAATAGGCAATGCAACAGCCAACGGATGTGGAATATCCTTGATACTATGCATGAGACCACGTTTCCCAGCATAAATTTTAAGAATACCTGAACCTTCGTCACCAGGCAGTAAACCCTTGATCGTGTATCTCTTTTGACTGCCTACCCATTCGGCTTGTGCCAAAGCAGGCTTCGTAATAATCTCGCCAGTCTCGAATAGATCACCATCAGCGTCCCGCTCAAAGGCACGTGCTTCAACCTCCGCTACACACTCAACATCAGGCGGTACAGAAATTTTGATGTGAACGAGCTCGAGATCCTCAATGCGTATAAGACTTGTATCATATTCCACCATTTCCATCTCATTAGTGAAAAATGCGGGGCAAGCACAGGGCAGAGCTAGCAAAATTTCATGTGCCATGGGAGGACAAAGATGTTGGTCAACATGCTGTTCAGGTATGTGAGTCCAGCAGATTTCGATTGGCCGAGTCAGAAACCACCAGGGTTCCGCATATTGGCTACTGGCACTAGTGTATTGGCTTCGTCGAGGATGAGAAGGACTTGCTAAAGAACAATCCATTATTCGCCATTCTCCATCAATCACAACTGCGTTCCAGAAATGATTAGGTCGAGGCATGGGGCCCATGTCTGGTACTTCACCAGGCGATTTGAGATATCCTCTAATAACCTCTGCATGTATCCCAATAGCTTTACACATATCCATGACTAAAAATGCGACTTCTTCGGAAGAACCGTGTTTGGTCTGAATTACCCTTCTTGAATCGGCAGTGTCGTTATCGAAGCCCTCTTCCCATGTGATCTTCTCGCTAACCCATGTAAATATTGCTCGTAAGCGCTGGATATCGCTTCTATATGGTCGACACACATAGCCTGTGGCTAGGCTCATAGGGTTAGACATGGGTGGAAGGCTATTGATGAATCTTGTGTTCTTGTCGACCAGGCTGAGGTTTACTGCTTGAAAATTGGTTGGCTCAGCGACTGGATTACCATCAACTCCTTCATCACCATCGCACCCCTCGAGAAGCTCTTCCACAGGACTTATGGCGGGATAATCCATCATCTGGCATCTCTCCTTTCTTTCAACTCGCTCAATCTTACTTAAAGAATTCGATCTGTTGATGTCTCGTCGTACCTGAACCCAATCGACTCCTATGGTGCTACCTCCAGGTCCAACATCATTAGTAGAGGGAATAGAGTTCGGTATGTTCCCAAAACCACCACCCCCCATTGACGTAGTTCCCGCTGGAAATGAACTATGAGCCTGAACTCGTGGTCTGGAAGATTCACCAACAGCAATACTACTCCTAGCGCTCGCAGCACCTGTTTTTGCGGACTCAACCATTCTTTTGAAGAACCCGCTTTTCTTGGATTTGGGTGTCATGAGACCACCGAGAGCAGCATTAGAATCTGCGGCAGTACCTGGCCAGCCAGTTGGTGACTGCATACGAGAAGGATCTGAAGCATGACTACTGTGATAAGAAATGCCGGTCATTGGCGTCTGAGATCGGCCAGTAGTGAAATCAGGTTGACTGTTATTCATCCCCAGATAGTTATCCTTTCGTGAACCAAGTGCACTTTGAGCTCGACCATACAGCAATTCACGCTTTCTGGCTAAGCTTCCAGCACTAGTTGAAGAGATGCCACTAGCAGAAGGTCCACTCATGAGACTTTTGTCAGTCATTTGGGTACTCGAGCTTCCATTAGTAGTGGTACTACGAGTACCAGAGGAAGAGCTTGTTGAATCTGTCTTGTCTGTTCTTGTTGTGAAAGTCCTCCCGAGCATAGATTTACCAACTTCATATGCAGATTTCCGGTGGCGAAGCTTGCTTGACTGTGTATTTATACTCATAGATGATTTTGGTCGGCTCTCATAAGCATACGAACTCGCTTTAGGAGGGACTGCTGGTCGAACATCATCATTTGGGGAACGAGGCGTCGAGGAATACATTTTACTTAATCTATTCTCCATTCTTTGAACGTAATTGCTAAGTTGAGGCGGGGGAGTGTTTGTAGGTTGGTAAGGTTGCATGTTATTGGCGTAGTTATCAGCACTTGTTGAATTATATTCTTCAGGAATTGCGATAGCTGTATTAGATCTAGGTGCACGTTTTGCTGATATGTACGTCTGATCAAATGCCTCAGGAGACCATGGATCGATTGGTGCTTCCGGAATTTCTGACTCTCGAGCTACTCCCATATCTGCTAAAGATAGCATTACATCATCCATTGCACTTCGCAAGGGGGAGGGAGTGCGTCCTGTGCCCGCCGGCGATGGTGGACATGGTGATACTGCCAATGGTATATTATCGGTGTTCGAACTGTTTTCATATGTATCTCTAGATGCTTGGGGAGCATAAGTGCTGCGATGAGGCGGTGGAGGTGGCGGTGGAGACGAGGTACCCCCTCTGTCAAATTGAGGCGCAGGCGAAGGACCTCGAGAATAACTTTGGTAACCAAACGAGGGAGCAGGAGAAGGAGCACGGGATTCATACTGGTTGGGACTAGGCGAGGGCGCACGAGATGCGTAATGGTCAGGAGCGGGAGATGGCCCCCGAGATATGTAATGGTTAGGAGCGGGAGATGGCCCACGAGATATGTAATGGTTAGGAGCGGGAGATGGGGCGCGATATGTGTAGTGATTTGGCGCAGGAGACGGTACACGAGGGTTGTAATAGTTGGGCGCAGGAGAAGGTATACGAGCAGAATAATGGTTAGGCGCAGGCGAAGGCACACGAGCAGTGTAATGGTTTGGCGCAGGAGAGGGAGCGCGGGGTGTATAATGGCTTGGTCCTGGAGATGGTGCGCGAGATGTATATTGACTTAGCCCTGGAGAGGGTGCGCGAGATGCATGGCTTGGAAGTTGAGAAAACGGTGCTGGCGAGCGCATCCGCGACTGATATAGAGGAGGCTGGGGTTGAGGAGAAGGCGCCCTTGCTCCAATATGTCCACCCCTGGCGGCTGGTGATGGTATTCGAGAACTCAAACTCGCAAGACGTTCCTTTTCCCTAGCTTCCGCCCTCTTTATTGCCCCCATATCTGGCGCAGCATATGCTTGGAATGGTTTTCGCATCGATTTTGTCTTGGGCTTCGTCGGAGCTATTGGATTTTTGAAAGGGTTTGGACTGGGACTTCGATCCGGCATTGGACTCGACGTTCTACTTGTTGGTCGAAAACTCTCATCCAGCACTTGTACGAAATTCGAAGGGAACAATCCCATGACTCTCTTGTCCCTCCGCAATCGACCCATCCACCATGATCCATCTCCTGCGTTCAAGCATTCTATCAAATCCCCCTCAATAAAGCCCAAGTCGCGTTTTGACTGCGCAATCGTATGGTTAGAGCTCTAGACTGTAGAAAATCGCAATGTATATTGCACTTACCTCTCCGCTGAAGGAATATATAGCTCGGCACCAGCATGGAAAGCGAGTAGGCAAAGTACCCGGGGCTGGCGTCATGGTTGAGGTGTCGCGACTTCTATCGGTGAATCATTGGGGTTGGAATATTTCCCAAAGTCGGAGATCAATGCATCTGAGAATCAATGTAGAGAATTTGTGATATAGCAAAAGTAACAAAAGTAACAAAATGTCCGACTCGAGACAATTTAAAGGATCTTGAATTTTTGCAAATCTTCCCAGTAATATGGAATAGGTACATATAATAGCTTTGGTTTGTTGGCACCTCACCATTAGCCCGGCAACGCTGAAATGGCTGAGCTGGGTAAACAAAAGAACCTTATCCGATTTCGTTAAGAGTTAAGAGAGACATTGATCACGTTCGATTGTAGTTTTGTTTACATTTTATTTTAATAAAAGAAAAAGGTCTCGGCCAATTTTTAATTTAATATTTATATCGATTTAGTTTTCATTTTCATTCGGATTTTCATTTGCATTTTCATTTGCATTTAATCTTTGTCGTCGATTGATTTCCTCGAAAGAAATTCATCCATTTTGTCTTGGTCGGGTGTCTGCCGATAAGTAGGAAACAACCAGCAGTGATAAAACATCATATCACTTCACGCCCCAAATTATGTCAACAACGCAGTACCAGGTTCTCGAGGAACTTGGAAGTGGAAGTTTTGGCGTCGTCTACAAAGCCATTGAGAGAGCAACGGGAGAGATTTGCGCAATCAAATTGATTGATTTGGAGTCGAGTGAAGATGACATACAGGAAATTCAACAAGAGATATCAGTTCTCAGTACCTGCGCCAGTCCTTACGTTACTCAATACAAAGGCAGTTTTCTACGAGGCCATAAACTATGGATTGTTATGGAGTTTCTGGGAGGAGGGTCGTGTTTGGACTTGGTATGATTATATTCACTTGCGAAATTAAATCCATTGCTAATTGGAAGCAGCTGAAACCGGCTCCATTTCACGAAGCCCATATTGCGATTGTTTGTCGAGAGATCTTGTTAGGTCTCGAGTATCTTCATCAAGAGGGAAAGATACATAGAGATATAAAGGCAGCAAACATATTACTATCGACTGCGGGCAAGGTTAAGCTGGCAGATTTTGGAGTTGCAGCACAGCTCACGAATATCAAATCACAAAGAAATACTTTCGTCGGCACCCCATTCTGGATGGCGCCAGAAGTGATTCAGCAAGCAGGATACGATTTCAAAGCAGACATTTGGTCTCTGGGAATCACCGCAATAGAGATGGTTAATGGAGAACCACCACATGCTTCGATACATCCAATGAAGGTTCTATTTCAGATACCTAAAGCACCGGCACCAAGATTAGAAGGCTCGAATTACAGCAAGGACTTTAAGGATTTTGTGGCACAATGTTTGGTCAAGGATTGTGATCGAAGACCTTCGGCAAAGGAATTGTTGAAGCATAAGTTCATACGCTCTGCAGGAAAAGTTGAGGCTTTGCAAGAGTTGGTGGAGAGAAGACAGGAGTGGGACGGATCAAGGACTCGGCCTTCGCATCCTAAATTCTATGAGGAAACACTGTAAGTTTCGAAGCTATCTGTGCTTGTTATCATTAACTAACAAACTCCAGCAATACAATGACTCCAAAATATGAGCCTGATGGATGGGTCTTTGATACAGTCAAGGCTTCTACGATTACTGTAGCACCATCACGAAAAAATGGAAGCAAGAGAAGAAAGCTTTCTGCCATCCATGCAAATGGCCAGGGTAGTCAAGCTCCTCCTGAGGAGGCTTTCAAGAAACTAGATCTCAAGGATTCACCTTTAGAGTATTCTTCACCCCCGTCACTTTCGTCTGATAGAGGCACCGTCAGAAGACAACCACCAGCGATGCAGCACTCTTCACCAACCAGGCCACGGGGTGACAGTACACAAAGTCAAACTGGTACAACCAGGCGACCTCCACTAGCACCAGACATGAGTTTTGGAAATACTGGTTCAACAGTCCGATTGTTCCGCCGAGTATCAAATAACTCAACGTCGTCATCTCGACCAAGCAGCCCCGAGGATTCAGCCGACATACCATTTCATCAGGGTGATGAAAACAGAGCACTTGTGCAAGTAGCAGAAGCGAATACAAAAGAAGCATACCTTGGTCGTCGTGCATATACAAAAATCGTTGACCCAGTATTCCAAGAAATGCATGCACAAACAGGAGATCAAGCCAAAAGACAAGCACTGTCTCGTTTAGCCGATGCTTGGGCTGCCCTTGACGCTGTTGATCCAGAGGGCGAATATCATCTCCTCAAGCTCTTGATAGACAAAGTAGAGCAAGAACCCAAAATCGCCTCTCACATGTCCCCAAGCAAAGCTTTGGTCCTTCGAGACGGAATACCTCAAGGATCTCCCCAAAAAGGCGCAAATGGAAAACTAGTATTAGCGACGAGTAACCCACACCTTAAAAGTCACCGTCGTCGGCGATCCAGTGCAATGCCCGAGGTAGATGCAAAGGAAAAATCAAATCTACCAGGTCAAATAGTGCCAGGAATGGAACATACAAAACAGCTTGCTGATGTACTTTATGCGCGATGGGCAGAAGGATTAGGAAAAAAGTTTCCGGTGGTTTAACGAGATATGTATAAATTGTAAAGTTATTGTATGTAGGGATAGATGGAATGGAGTTAAAAGAATTTGCATCTTTGTAGTAAGGAGGAGAATCAATAGGTAGATACCCAATTTGTACATTTTATCTGGATGATTCTTTTGCGGTTCGATGTGAGAGTGATGCTCTTTATATTTGTAGGTCGCTGAGGGGTATCCGTGTACTCGATATCGAGCAAGGAACATATTTGTTTAATATTAATTCAATAGTTTGAGTAATCAAAGTAGTTAATGGGGGTGATTGTTTCTATGGGCAAATCTTTAGAATTCCAAATGGACTATCCAGCTCACCGGAAGCTTACGGGAAGTATGTAGCATTTCACGTGTAGGCCCATTGGGAATGTCATGACATTTAAGGATCAATATCTAGTACATGAACATCGAACAGATGTTCAATTTTAATTTCACCCTAGGTTCTCGCATCCTGTCTTGATACATTGTCATGTGTTTGTGGCATATAGCTCTTTAGTATTGGACACCATGTACATACATGTTGGTATATTTGGCACATACAGTAGATGAAAAACAGCCAGCAATCACGGTGCTCCTACCTCTATCTTTCTGTCATGTTGGAAATATGGAAATAGCTCACTAATTATCACAACATCACCAGCAAGAATCAAAGACAGAAGATCCAATTGGGGACAAGATTCGATTGGAGTTGAAAGAATGTGAACTTATGAACATATAAGAGACATCGAGGTACAGCAGAAAAAACGGCATCAAACAATCCAGACTCTTGATAAAATGAAAAACAGCTTCCTTTCATTGTTGCCTCACAACCTCCAACCCCCCTACCTAAAATAACCAATCTCGTTCAAATACTCCACATTCTTCTTGATCGCCTCCTCTATCTGCTTCTCAAATACAGCATCCAATTCCCTTGGTCTTTTACTCTTGCCCAAATTACCTTCCTCAGTGATAAGATGAGCTACCGGCCAGAGCGGATGGGCTTCCGTCTTCTTCTCCATATTCATCTTGATCAACCTCGCCCATTCACGTGAAGTAGTCGGGCGAAGTTGATGCTCCATGGTCTTATTGACAATATCCCAAAATCGTTGCATATCAATTCCACCAGTTATATCCAATGTATAATTTGAGTGATTGGGAGTATTTACCAAGGCATTGATAGTAGAATTTGCGACGAAATCCGCATGTGCAACAGTCAACCAATCATTTTTGTCTGGAATAGGATATGCACCGACGTGTATTGCGCCAGCTACATATCTCCATAGGAAGTCAGTGGTATTAGCAACTCCCTCTCGGGTGGTACCAATGATCAGTCCCGGTTTGACGATAGAGACGTGATTGCCTTGGGCAAACGATGTGGCTCGTTGAGCAAAGTTTCTAACCATCAGCTCTGAAACGAACTTTGTTTGACTGTAACCATCAAGTTCCTTCAATTTCATGGCGGTCGTATTATCATCCATCTCTCCTTCAAAATCACGACCTCCAGATACATAGACAAATTTCGGAGGCGAAACAGCTCCTGTAATATTCTTCAGAATATCAAAGGTAGATGTGACATTGGCAGCTTTAAGAGTGTGATAGTCCGCATTCCATTGCACTGAAGCTCCATTATGGATGATGGCATCGACTGTGCTTAGTTTCTGCCATTGTCCGAAACTCAAACCTAACATAGGTTTAGCTAAGTCTCCTGTCCATATTTCGAGTTTCGTTGCGAAAGTTTCATGCCACCATCTTGCGGATTTCGCCGCTGTTGTGATCCGTTGTTTGCCATTCTCATTGGATGAAGCGCGTACATGCGCAATAACCTTCTTGACGCCAGGTCTTCCAAGAAGTTCTCGGAGTATCTGGGTACCTAGGAATCCGCTGGCACCTGTCAAGAAAACAACTCCAAAGTAATGCAGCATCGAGGCTAGTTGTATGTCTAGACCGGTGATTTCTTGCATCAAATCAAGGGTGGGTACTGAATCTATGGGGTTTTCGCCTTTAAAATTAGTCGCAGCACGAATATGTTTCGAAACATCCGAGATTGTGGTCTGATAGTTGATGAGCTTGGGCATAGGTATAGTTATTCCATACGATCGTTTAATGAAAGCTGCAAGGGACATGATCTTGATGGAATCGATTCCAATAGAAGCAAGGTTAACATCACGACCCATGATATCGGAATTGAGGTGTGATGAAGGCTTCGTAGAAACAAGCTGTGCAATTTTATCGCTGATTTCAAATGCAATATGATCATTCGATGGTAATAAAGGTGCCTCGCTGCTCTTGGGATAACTCTCAGATTTTTGGATCACCGGAAGACTATTAAGCCACTTGGTGAGTCTAGGACGATCTAGCTTTCCGGAAGTATGAAGTGGTATGGTCTTCATAGCGACCCAAGAAGAAGGAACCATGTAGCTTGGTAGGTGATCTAACAGATGATTGGCAATTCGAGACCATTTGAATCCAGAAGCTTCAAGTTCTAAATGAGAAACCACCGCAATACCACTGGCTACCTCCGAGTCTTTTGAGCTTTCGAGCTCAATAATGGCCGTAAGCTGGTCAGCATATGGCCCAGAATTAGGCAACACAACCATGGCTTTTCTGACTTGTGATGACTGAGTATGTGATGCTCCACATCAGCAATTTCTATGCGAAGTCCCCGAAGTTTGATTCGAGTGTCCTTGCGGCCAAGGTAATTGATTGTCCCATCAGAATTGTATTGGGCAAGATCGCCGGTTTTGTAAAGACGTGTAGGACGGTGACTCGAGCCAAGATTACGACCCCATTTGGGACTATCGATAAAAACGGCTCTGGTCTTCACCTCGTCGCCAAGATATCCTGAGGCCATGGCGGGTGATTCAATTAGCAGTTCACCAATTGCGCCAACTGGTAGAAGTCGGTTTGAATCTTCAGTATCAACAATCCAAGTGACCGCGCCTGCTCCACGTCCGATATTTGTAGGAGATGTGCTGGGAGAGATATCTGCATTGACTACACTTGTTCTAGAAGACAGTTAGATCAGTTTGATGTAACGCTGAATTTAAAGGAGCTAAGACAGAGAAATTACGCCTCAAGTAAAAGGAAGGAAAGAACATGGATTAAAAGTTTCGATCAAGAATCTAGAACCTGAGTATACACTTACACGCAACATTCGGTAGTTCCGAAAGCATTAATCAAATGAACGCGATCTGCCCAGGTTTTGATGACATTAGCAGTGATAGGCTCTCCACCAAGAGTTATTCGCTTCAATGTAGGAACGGAGTCTGGTGAGATCGAGCTTATATAAGAAGGTGTCAGGTCTGCTGTGTTAACATTCATTCTAGCTATTGCTCCCACAATATCTGAAGTACGTTCTTCCTCTATTAGTGTACCGATTAGTTTCCTTCGATTAAAAGGCGATCAGTAGTACTTACCAGATGGTATACAAAGACAGCCTCCCGTCATCAGGGTTGTCAAAATATCCTCGATAGAAGTGTCGAAGCTGTAGGACGCAAACTGTAAAAATCGTGAAGTTGGTCCAAAGTGAAGCGCTTTACCATGATCTCTCGCGCCGGAGCAATATGCTTCATGGGTCACTACTGTACCTTTAGGAGTCCCAGTAGTACCTGAGGTGAAACAGATGTAGAGAGGGTCAACGTGGCTAACATTGCTCACAATGTCTGTTGCCGTTGGTAACAGTTCCATCTCACCGTTCCCCACCACAACTGTTTTGCCGCGGGGAAACAGGTCTAAGTAAGTCTGCCAAACATCGCTTGAACAGAGAATTACTTGAGCTTTAACTTGTTCAATAAGTGAAATGAGGCGTGACCGAGGATGATAAGGGTCGCAGGGTACAAATGCAGCTCCGGACTTGATAGTAGCCAGTGTAGCTACGATGGCCCATTTTGATTTCGTGAAGAATAGAGGCACTTTGCTTCCTGGCCCTATTCCATACTGCATCAGTTGGAAAGCTAGACGAGATGATAGACTATCTAGCTCAGCGCGAGTCAAATCGCCATCCCAAGAGGTAATTGCTGGGGCATGAGGATCTTGCTTTGTCATGATGTCGATAACTTCATGTACGCAAGACGTCATTACCTCTGGTAATGTAGAATTCCATTCCCAAACATGCGCTAGATCAACTTCACTGATAGAGTTGATATCTTGGACAGATTTTCCTGTGTCTTCATGGCATAATTGCTGAAGGACATGCTGAAACTGGGAGAGTATCCTCTCCATTTGTCGACTGTTTATAATTTCTGAGTCAAAGATTGCCTTGGCCTTGATTCCCTCTTCAGTAAGGTGGCATTCTAGAGTTAAAGCATTTGTATCCCATACAGTTGCTTCCACAAGATCCATTCGACGTCGTCCCATAAATGAGTTGTCAATGGCTGAATTTTCTCTAAGTTGTATAACCAAGATATTCTGGAACTGGCACGCCTTATTCGGTCCTTCGCCAAGTCGTTGAATGTTGTGTAGACCAATCTGCTCAAAGGGCATCATCTGGATCATTTTAGCCTGAACCTTCTTCAGTAAATCAAGAGCTGTGCCCTGAGGATCCAATGTGATCCTAACCTATAAATTGGAAAGTCAGTACATAGCCGCACGAAATACAAGATGCCCACTCTACTCCCAGAAATTTGGTGACAAGACTTTATCTTGAAGGGCAATCATATCAGGCGCTCTCTTTAATAAAAACTGTGAAAAGACATAGGATACATGTTTGAGGTGACATAAAAAGCCGAAAAATTGACAAAGTGCCACCTTCAAAAACATCCACATCCTATTTCATAAAAGACTGAAAATGTGAAAAGATTTACTCACCGGAACGGTAGCTAATGTAGGTCCAAGTACTCGAGTTAGATCGGCTGATGAACCAGTACGTCCTGTCAATACTTCTCCGAAGATGACATCGTTAGAATTGGAGTAGTTACTTATGGCAATTGCCCAAGCTGTTCGGATAACGCTCGAAATTCGGTAGTCGGAATTAGCCTCTCGAAGTAACTTGATATCCTTGATGGCTATTGTACCAGGTTGAGGCTGGTACCCAAAATTGATGCTTGGAAAATGTGAAATCTTTGCGTCTTCACTCGCAAGCTCTGATTTCCAAAAGTTTTCTGCTGCAGATCGATCTAAATCGACAATAGTCTTCATGAAACGATTAAACGGTATATTTTGGGGTTGAAGTAAGCTGGCATCATTCGTAGGAATGTGCGCGAGTCTTCCATACTCTTTTCCCACCTGTTGAAGCATCAAGTTTATGCTCCAGGCGTCGTATACTGCATGATGTAGGGTAAGGACGAAATAATACTTATGATCGGCTGAGATTGTCTCTTCGACAATACAGTAGCGGCTGAGAGGACTTCCTAAGCCCATAGGCTGCGCTTTATCAGATTCCAGATATCCTTGAAGGTTATCTTGCACCTCCCATATAACATCTCCTCTAATCACCATTTGCACCAGGCCTGCTGCTTCATGCTGATTGATACGCGTTCGTAGAATTGGATTCGAACGTACAGCTTCATTCCAAGCGTCACAGAACTTGTCAATATTAGAGTATATGTCCTTAGATAATTCGAAAACGTGTTGTGCAACATACGTGCCAGGATGGCTCATTGATAGTGCCATGATGGACTCTTGAAAAGGAGTACATGGGTACAAGTCTTCAACATACTCTGGGTTCAGACCACCATCAATAGTTGCTTTCAGCAGCTGAGCGCGCCCTCCAATCATAGAAAATGCAGGGATATTATCCTGTGCGACAACTGTAGAGGAATTGACATCCATCAGTGTTTTGGCCAAGTCTGATAGGATTGGACTTTGGAATATGTTTGCAACCGTCAGATTTATGCCATCTTCTCGTGCAGCTGCAACGAGCTTCATAGCAAGAATAGAATCCCCACCAAGACGTGTAAAACTATCATTCCTGCCTATACTATTTGATGGAATTTTTAAAATAACGGACCATAGACGTTGCATTTGAAGCTCGTTGTTGGTCAGAGGAGCGGAGTGTGTAGCATCTTGACCAGAATAATATGCGAATTCTGAAGGCGTCAAGCTAGCTGCAAGAGTCTGTAGGGTTTGGCGATCACACTTCTGAGATGTAGTAAGCGGTATCAATGATACGGGTATGTATACTTTTGGTATCATGTATTGTGGTAGTGCAAGACTCAAGCGGTCAAGAAGTGATCGGACGATTGAACCATCAAGGCACTTCTTGAAAAGTGAGCTTTCTTCCTTTTCTCTACTGTTACCGCCATCTCTAAAACACAAGAAGGCTGCTAGGAACGGTGACCTGCCATCCACAGGAGTTGCTATCACTGTGGCAAGATCTATAACATTGTCTAGATTTTTGTGAAGATGACTTTCGATTTCACCCATCTCAATTCTTTGGCCATTTAGCTTGACTTGTGCACCCTACAATATATTTAGTATACGATCTCAGTCACTACTAGGTCACTGAATGGTATATTTCTCCCAGCTGTTTGTGGAGTTTCGGAGGACTTCAACCGAATAGAAAGCATCCTGAACAGGTTTGAATCTGCTGGAATTTTCGAGTTGGACCATGTTTCCGGGCATTATAAATTGAGGTTGAAACGAACAACATGTGAAGGAATTTCAAGAGAAATAATTGAGACTCAAAATAGGGATATCACTTACCGCATCTTTCCGAGAGATATATACGATTGATCCATCGGCATCCATTTTGACCAAGTCACCTGTCCTATACCATCTTTTCCATCGAGTAGATTCAGCAGGGATACAAGAAGGCGTAGGCACAAATGACGCCTCCGTCTTTTCGGGATTTTTGAGATACTCCCTCGCAAGTGGTCCACCAATCAATAATTCACCTGCAGCTCCCCGTTGAGCTAATTGGTCGTTCTCGTCAAGCACAATAAAACTTCCGATGAAACCAAACCCTAGTTTAGCAGGGTTCACACCTTTCCCAGTGATCTCAGTAGCAGTGCACATGCCTGCAGCATTCCAAAGTCAGTAGCTGCACACCAAGGATAATTTAAGAGGAAAATGAGAAAACAATTAGATTATAATGCATTGGCCGGATTGCATAGGGGATCAATATAGAAAACCAACGTAGATATGAGTATGGCGAAGGAAAATATAATGGAACTTACAGCAACATTCAGTAGGTCCATATATTTGCAATAACCGCAACTTTCCGAACCATTGATCCAAATCTTCTTGGATTACTTTTTCACCCCCTATAAGAAGAGTTTTTAGAGTTGGCACAGATTCTGGAAGGATCAACCTCCCAAAGGCAGGTGTCATGAATGCAGTATTAACTTGCATTCGGTTGATTGCTGACGTAATGTTGTTCATCTTCTCGTCTTCTGAAGGTATGCAAACAACGCCTCCAACACCCAAAGTAACAAGAATCTCAAAAACCATGCCATCAAAAGTATATGCCGATAACTGAAGAGTGCGACTTTGAGGACTCATTTTGGAGATATTGGACAGATGACGCATAGTAGCACAGCAAGTAGCATGCTCTATAACGCATCCCTTTGGTTCTCCAGTGCTGCCAGAAGTGAACATAACATAAACAGAATTGTTTGGCTGAACACTTGTATCCAGCACTCCTTCGGGCAAGGTTTCGAGCATCAATTTTCCCACAGCAAATGTTTGATCTGCGATGCCCTCGAATGAGGGAAAAAGACTTTCAGAGCACATGATCATCTTGCCACCTATTCGATTCACCAGCTTTCTGATTCGCTCTTCAGGATGGTCGGGGCTCATAGGAACAAAAGTTCCTCCTGCTTTCATCACTGCCATCATGGCGACTATAGCCCACAAAGATTTTTGAAAGATCAGTGCAACCTTGATTTCGGGTCCAACACCAGCGAGCTGTATAAGATATGCTAGACGATCACATATAGAATGTAATTGGGAATGCGTCAATTCTCCATCCCAAGATGTCACCGCTACATCGAATCCGCGGCTTTGCGAACTCTGCTGAATGACTTCGTGGACACACGAATGAACCTCTTCAGCTTCGGTTTCTTGAATTGCTAATTGTTTTTGTGGGGTTTCCATTGCCAGCCCTATATCACCAACCAGTGTGTTTGCATCGGACAAACGAGAAATGATGTTGTCAAATTGTTGCAGCAGAATATTGACTTCTTGGTCAGATAAAACGTGAGAGTCGTAACTGACCATTGCAGTGAAGCCATCTCCCATCAAATCACATTGCATCATGAGAGGATAAGCATTCAGCTTTGCCCAGTGGTCACTAGTATTCTCTCTGGCACCGAATATACTGTTGGGATCTCTCTCTAATCTGGGTTGAATAACGAGTAGATTCTGGAAGCTGCAAGCTTTTGTGCAGTCCGCTCCGAGCCTACGAATATTTTGTAGGCCAAGATGCTGATGGGGTTTCATGGCGACTCGAGAATCATGAACCGAAGTAAATAGATCTTCTACAGATTTTTTGTCATCAACAATTACTCGCATCGGTAGTGAATTGAATGTTGGACCATTTACTCTTCTCATATCAAGACCTACAATCTTTGCATTTCGCCCTGCAAGCACGAGACCAAAAGTAGCTTCCGTCGCAGCGGTACGTCGTGCTACTAGGATTCCCCATGCAGCTTGTATAATTGTAGAGGTCGTTGCACCAGCCAATAGGTTTTCCTTCACGGGAATAAATCTTTCCGAGTAGCCATTCGCACGCGACCGATGTTGCGATGGGACAACTGGAAATTGTGCCCCCGAGATATTTGCTAGATGATTACTCCAGAACATTTCGCTCGCTTTCTGTGATTGCTTCTCAAGTCTCATTTGGTGGGCAACGAAACGCTTGAATTCCAGCAGCGGTTGAAAAGCCTCTCCTCTTTATGATTCTTCGACTTGTCGAAGTACCAAGCGCATGCTCCAACCATCAAGAACGGCATGATGAAAAGTCCAAACAAAATGTAATGAATCAGATGAGTGGCTTTGAATGAGACCGTATCTCAATAGGAGCTTTCCGAATGAAGGGAAGATAATTCTGTCGTTGCTCAAGTAGCTTTCGAGGTCGATCTCTTCGGACCAGAGGATGGGTTCTGGCGCCAAAACTACTTGAAGTAGGCCTGAAGTCCGCGTTTGAACGAAACTAGTTCGAAGTGTCGAATTTGAATCGACTGTGCTCTGCCAAGCAGCTTTAAACTTATTCAAATAAATGCCTTTGGGGAGCTTGCATATTATTTGAGGAGTAAAACTGCCGGACTCCTTCATTGATAGTGCCAGCAACCCTTCTTGAAGAGCCGTGCAAGGGTAGACATCGATGAATGTTGCATCTGATGGCATTTGTTTTCGAATTTCATCAAGACTCTGCATATGATCCAGAAGAGAGAATGGCTTGACAGAATCTTCCCCTTGGCTGAGGTGATTATCCATGTCCGTGGATTGCGCTGGACGACGCTCGCTGTGGAGGAGGTCTGAAAGATAGTGTTTGGATGCAAGATCCAAATCCATCGCAGAGTGTGATTTCTCAACACGGTCTCCCTTGACCTGGGGTTGGTCCCTCGGAATGAGGCCGGGAGAGAAGTGCTTAGCTGTTAATGTCATGATAACTTCTAAACAATTCGAGTTCATTAGTGCACGCAAAAAGACCTCAGTGGTCAAGAAACTCACCCAAAGCAATAAACGGAGAGGAAGCGTTTTTGACTTTCAGAGACTATAACCTTCGAACTGAGCTTCAATGTTGAATACAGACGTATCTCTTCAAAATTTGTCCTTCAACATCATTCGATTCTTAAATATGAGACCTGGGCTATAAATCATTTACCCGAGCTCCCACCCCCCCTATATTTCCTCAGCCATCAAAGCTTTCGAAGCTGATCCTCATAGATCAACGGGCGATGAACTGCAACCCTAGCATGCAAGGTTGGAGAGTATCACTTCCGATTTGACACGCGCCCTGGCTTTGAGGGTAGATTGCCCTGGATAGCCTCAGAACATAGTGTTAATTATATATGACGTGCTCCCGTTATTCAATGTCAAGATTTGACCACACAGACCCAACTCGATGTAGTCACAGCCCGACGCGGAAGGGATTCTTCCGCGAAACTCTTTCAGCTCATTCGTATCATCTTCAGTAACTCTAATCCGTTAGCCTTGATTCCATATGCATCATAAGATTCCTGCCTGGTAGCTGCATAGCGTACTGAGCCGGCGTCCATTAAATCATATGGGAAAGGGGTTGAAAGATCAATTCAAAACATCTAGGATCGTACATCACTGAACACCCACATGACTTGTTGACTTTTCTCTTTCTTCTGGCACATATGGTTCAATCTAGTGCAGTTATTTCTGCATGGGGCAGTAATGACGCCACATTGAGACCATGGATCAAATTTCTTCGATGTTTGTGTGTCTAGTAGCGAGTGATGTCTATATAAAAATGTGGATGAGGAAGAGTGCACGTTTTAAGTGGCTTGCGTAAACAGAAAGTTTCTCCGCAAGATGCAATGAGATCTAAGACAAGGGCGGAACGTTCCACGTCCTTGCGTTTATGTAAATAGCTCCTTTGATTAATGGGCTGAACATTTGTAGAACATAAACCAAATTATGAGAGTTCTGGAACCCAATCACCGTATAACTTTGGGTTAATCAGACATTTTATGATTGAAATGAAAAATGAACGATTTTATTCTCCTCGTCAAGTGGTGAAAACGTTGCTTTGGAACGAATCATATTAAAAAACACCATGATTTGCGATGAACAGATTCCAGAACACTTATGTTGAGTGTTATCATGATGTCGTCAAAAACTGTCCAATAAGTTATAATACCTCAAAGACGGATATTTCAAATCGCAATAAAACCAATGAAATTGCCTAGTGTAAATTGCCCATGTACAGATCACTATCGATCGTCAAGTTTCCCATCTGCTTGGCTAAAGTTCCAGAAACAGTGATGTGCATATAACATTGTGAGACAAACATAATCCCGCAGACGATCAACTTCAAGGAAGCTCGGATCAATCGGACGCGAGTTTACGTAACTGTATCCTCCGCTTGTTCTGGCTTCGGAGACAGAGCATCGCATCTTGCGGGCATATCGAAACCCTCTACAATGAAACAAAAAACAATTGCATACAAAAGAAACTGGACACCCATGTGGAAGTTTTTTTTCTCCCGATCTGCAACTCTAGACCCTAGTAATAGATCATGCGGTTTAATCAATTCGAATCGCGATATATAATAATAACCGCGAAAGATCAGAACATGTTTGCAGCTAATTGAGGCAGAATAATGCAATGTGACGAAATGCAGTCAAAAATACAACCTTGGCTGTACGCAGATTCTGTACGGACTGGTGCGGGGAAGTAAAGCCTTGCACTGAGTCAGAATAACATTGCCATCTGCATTGTGCAACAGAAGGAGAAATCCTCATGCCAAGCCACCTGAAGTATGACGGCTGAAAGCTATTGCTTACATTTACCCCCATGCAAGCTTCGTATGTATAAAAGTCTAAAAGGGGTAAATTGAGCGATTAGCAAAATTCGGTAGAAAGCTCCTCGCATATTTTAGTCCTGGAAGTTCTCTCATATACATTATTGTACAATCCGCACGATTGAGAGCTCGACACGGTCCCAAGAGCCAGGGTTCTTTTATTTGGATCTCAATTATGTGGCCGTTCAAAATACAAACTTCTGAAATGCAGGGAGAGTGTAGAGAACCAAGGTTTCTGGACTTCCGCTCATCTAAATGGTTCATTATTAGCACAATCTGTGTTGCATCATTCAGTGTATGTGGGCTTCAAATTCGCGAGCATCTGAAGAAAACGAATGCTGAAATCCAGGTTATAGGACTCTTTCATCTATGGAGTCGTTATTCCTGTTCTTCCAAACGAACTGGAACGTCGAATTGGAATTGCAGATGAGGACCGTATGAATAGAATACCTCGCTTCAAAAATAGTATTCCAAGTCTGCAAGCTAATTTCTCCCAGTCGAATTCTGGAATTCTATGCTTTTAACAGCATTCGGCCTTGCCCAGTTGATAGCAAGTCCACTCTTTGGCTACTATGCCGATCAAAGTTCATCACGACGAGCACCTTTACTCACGGGATTCTTCTCCAATGCAGCTGCTACGGCTGTCTTATATTTTGCACAGAATGTTTGGATACTGGCTCTGAGCCGTTTTCTTCAGGGACTCTCGGCAGCTGTCGTATATACAGTCGGATTTGCTCTGCTTGCAGACACAGTTGGCTCAAAGGATATTGGACAATGGATGGGATACGTCATTTCGAGTCTCAACATTGGAATGCTGATCTCCCCAACCATAGGCGGCATGATGTATGCAAGACTTGGTTATGGATCCTTATTCATCGTAATGTTTATTCTTATTGCGATCGATATCGTTATGCGTTTGTTCATGATCGAGAAAAAAGTTGCCGCGGGATTGAAAATAGATAAAACTATAGGTGAAACACACACGTACGGGACCTTTCAGCAAAGTGTCGACAATGCCGTTTTCGAACAACAAATTTGGTCTGCACCTTCCACTAGCGACATAGCCTCCGCGCCACTGCTTGGTAACAACCAAAATCAACTTCCACCAGCAGACAACAAGAGGCATCCAATAGCCTTAGTGACTCTGTTAAAATCTCCACGCATATGGGCTGATTTGTACGGTGTTTGGGTGACTGTATTTCTACTCGCAAGTTTCGATGCAGCTCTCCCAATATTTGTGGAACGAAAGTTCAATTGGGAATCAACAGGTGCTGGCTTAATCTTCTTGACCATAACATTTCCCATATTTTTAGCACCGATAGCTGGTAAGCTCTCTGATGTCTGGCCCTCTCGATGGCTCACTGCATCATACTTCATCATATCTGCTATCTTCACTGTCTTGCTCGTCTTGATACATAGGAATAGCACTGATCAGATTGCTGGGCTTGCTATCCTTCTTACACTTTATGGTAATCTTGTCCCATTCCAGTTGTAAGATAATTGCTTTTCGTAGTTACTAATATGAATCATAGGCGTCGCCAGAGTCTTCGGTTCATCACCATTAGGTGCCGACTTGAGTCGAGCGGTAGCAAGTTTGGAAAAAGAGACGCCCGGCATTTTCGGTAAGACGGGAGCTAGCGGTCAAGTTTTCTCCTTATATACCAGTGCTAGTGCAGCGGGAGTTCTTGCTGGCCCTGCTTGGACTAGTTACGCCTTTGGAGAAAGAAGCTGGATATTTTTCGTTTCAAGTCTTGGAATCTTGACTGCAACTGTTGCAATACCAGTTGTAAGTAGAACAATTGAAATAATAAGTATCAGCAATACTAATAGCATCTAGATTTTATTCACAGAGCCCGAGAAATCGGGAAAGAGAACCGATGTAGAAGTGGCGGCTGTAGAGTAGATGTTGAAATCTTCCCCACCTCAAAGTCCTAAATAATTACCGCTAAGCTATTATCGGGGTAGTGTCGACGATAAGAGAATCAGATAAGACAAGATACACTTGCTCAATCAGAGCAAAGGATCAGGAAGAATTCCATATTTGTCAGAATACACACACACAAAAGTTTCGAATATTTATTACATCTTGCAAGAATTTAAAAGATTAAAAATACTCTTAGACCTCTGAAAATCCCAAGTTTGAGACCATAAACTATTTCGACAGTGACACGATCAAGAGACAGTATAGAGTCACGTGAACACGAGACTTCAATCGACGCGAGATCCCTTTCGCGTCCCAGCCTTTCTTCCTTTTTCGCAATTTATTCCCACGCTTTCCTACCTTCCCCAATGCCTCCATGACTGACCTCCTAGATATCCTCCCCCAATTTCCCACACAAAAATATGTGCGACTCCTCCCTTCACTGGAGAAGAATCTCGTCACCGCCGCTGATCTGCTCACTCTCGATTGTGTTGAGATAGCCAAGCGTGCGACTTTACCTCTCTTAGACGTCAAAAGATTATGCGCAGATGTACTGGAACATTTAAGAGTAGACCTTGGGATAAGTGACGTGAATTCTGGAGATAAAGATGCTGCAGCAGGCGACAATAATGTAGTGGGAAAGGGAGAAGTGAAGAAGTTGAGGAAGTCGGGAAAAGATGTTGTGGATGAGTGGGAGGTTGTAAGTACGTTGGATGATGATATGGATCGCGCATTGGGAGGCGGTATTCCAACAGGCTATATTACGGAGGTCACAGGCGAGAGGTATATTTCATTTCTATTGCCCCCTATTTCTACTGTTCCTTGTCTGCATAGTCTTCTAACTAACTCACAATTTCAGCGGCGCAGGTAAAACGCAATTTCTTCTCACACTTCTTCTCTCTGCTCAACTTCCGGCACCCCATGGTCTCGCAGCTCCCACTCTTTACATATCTACCGAATCACCCCTCCCCATAACTCGACTAACCCAACTCTTGCGCACTCACCCTCTTCTTGCTTCTCATCCATCACCACCTTCTCTCGACAGAGTGATCTCAATCTCAACGCCCGATCTCGAATCTCAGGATCATATTCTTCGTTTCCAAGTCCCTGTCGCTATTAAACGACATGGTATTCGATTGCTTATACTAGATAGCGTAGCCGCAAATTACAGAGCTGAATTTGAGAGACCTGGTGTGACAAAGGGAGGTGGAAATATGGCTCAGAGAAGTGCAGAATTAGTCAGGTTAGGGCAACTGTTAAGGAACTTAGCAAGGGAACACGGAGTGGCTATTGTAGTCGCTAATCAAGTAGCCGATCGATTTACAGGCGGAAGTGGAAGAGCAAGTCCAATGGCTTATGGTCAGAAGAGAGAAAGGGAAAGAGACATGCAAAGCAGTCCACTTGCGAAAAGGAGCTTAGGCATAAACGGAGCTATGCCAATATCATCAAGTTCAATGAATGCTCCCATGTCAAGCATGCTCGGTAGTAGCATGGGCAATCGAATGGGATCTCGAGGTTATTCCATCATAACACCAGATCCTATGTCATTGGATCATCAACAACGCTGGTTCACAGGCTGGGGCGATGATCCCCACCCTTCTTATACTTCGTCCAAAAACGTCAAAACACCCTCTCTTGGTCTAATCTGGACCACGCAAATAGCATGTCGAATAGCACTTATTAAAAAGCCCGTCTATGGACGAGCAAGAAATGAAATCATGGAGGAAGGGGAAAGAGGAGAACCAGTATTAAAAAGATGGAGACGATGGATGAAAATTGTTTTTGCGGGATGGGCAATGGAAAGTGGAGAGGGATTGAATGGAAGTGTGGAGTTTGAGATTAGGGGTGAGGGAATGTTTGCTGTTAAGCATAAAAAGGGAGTTGATGATGATGGGGAGGATGTTTTGTAGATACATACCTACCTAGGTATCTAGGTATTGGTGCATCAGGTTTCATTCTCATCTGATATACTAAGTTGGTATTCAGTGGTTGGTAGTTGGTATATACTATGTATAGACATTATGTATTTTGTTCAAATACACACAACTAAATAATCAATAGTATAATCAAAAGTACATAAGCTTCGAAAAATCAATATTCCCAGTTTTGCAAAACTGTCTACCTACCTAGTATCTGTCTATCTATCCTTAAACTCCACAAAAACACCAACAATCCCTCTCTCCTCTCTCCTCTCCCCTCATACTCATCATCCCCCTCCCCATCCCCATCCTCAACCCATCCCACTCCCTACCAAATCAAATACCAATACCTACCCACCGTCTTCCCCATGCCAAGAACTCTACACCGAGACACCCTGGCAGCGATCACCATCACTATATGAAATCGCATCTCGACTCCTAACTTCGCAGATTAAATCCCTGATTACTGATATGCTGTACGAAGTATAATAAATTAAATCCCCGAGATAAGATGGAATATATTAGATTAGATTAAAATAGATTAAGAGAAATCAATATGAATTAAATATACTTAATCTCACTGCTATCTTTGGGAATCTGTAGATGGGGAATCTGGGGTATACTATGTTTGATATCATAGGTACTATATTTACATCAAACGTTAAATAGATATTGGAGGGGGGGGGAGGGGAGATGTTGAATAGCGGGTATAAACATTCAACCTACTTGTATACAACATACCTACACACAACACATGCAATATAATTATCTTTAATATACACTCGCAGTCCTGAAGATTTATACCATAATCAATAGTGATATTGATATTGATAATATAGTTGTTTTAAAAAAGTGTATAAAAGAATAAGAAGTATGTTCTACATTCTAAGATCTTACATTCTCCAAACTCCGAACCCGAAACACAAAATCCCAAGAAAGAGGACAGGGACGAAGAAAGAAGGTAAGGAAGAGATATCTAAAATACATCACATATATAAATTATCTACCTAGTAGGTAGAATTCCATCGATCGGATTGTGAATTGTAGGGGAGTGAGTAGATACCTAACTAATCTTTGGATATCTGCTTGATTTTGTTATGAGATGTTATTTTACTATATACTGTATCATTGATACACACAATATTCCCATTCATCCAACTATATACATACCTATCTAGAAGGTATCACTGCACGACCTTCAATCTGCATTAATCCGTTCATCGATTTAATTATCAACTACCTACCTAACTATCACATCACATCAAGCACCTAACATAATTACAACATCACAGCACAATCATACACATCCATTTTCAATTTTCAGACATTCAAGAAGGCACACAAGTAAAGTAATTTCAGAACGTATTCCATTCCACTCCACTCAAATATCATCGCTATCTAACCACAGCTCCAGTCTGGCAACCCCAACTGATCAGTAACCTAAATGTAAAGTAAAGTAAACTAATGTAAAGTATATACAACGAAGATCCGCATATTTTTTCAGTTATTTTCGATCGGTGTATCTGGTGTGTAACCGCCCTTACTTTTTCCTCCCCATGTATCCATATCCATATCCAGATCCTTTCCTACCTTCCATCCATTCCAATACTCCGTCCCTATGACTAATCAACCAATCAATCCATCAATTCAAAAACCTAAGCAGTCTTGAAAGTATTTCCCAAAGTGCTCAACCCACTGGTCGAAGCCATCAAACCACCAGCCGCGGTATCAGCCATAAACCACGCGTAGCGATCGACCATGGTGCTAGCATCCAACCAAGGAAGAACCTCCTTCATGAAAGCATTTTGCTCATCGGTCGAGCCCGAGGCTTGGAACTCTGTGATCCACAAGGGACGGTTGCCACCGGCCGTGTACGCATCCTGAACATACTGCTTGAAGTATGCGACGTTGGAGGCCGAATCGTACCAATGGATGCAGACGAAATCGATGGTGCAGTCGGAGCACGAAGACATGAACGATTTCAACCAGGTGAGGCCCATGGGAGAAGCACCGTTGGTGACGGCGGGAGCACCGAGCTTGGCCTTGCCGGCAAATGGTTGCATGTAGGTCTTGTAGCCGGCGGCGGCGTCGGATGCACCAATGTTGGCTTGGGTGCTGAGATCGGGTTCGTTGAAGGACATGAGATGTTTGGAGCCGGATGCGATGGCGCTCGAGGCAGCGGCGGACCAGGCACCGGTGAAGGTACTCTTCAAGCCCCAGAGGAGAGGAACGAATTCAATACCAGAGGCGGAGAGACCATCGGAGGATGAACCCCAGTTGTAAGCCCAAGCGACTTTGGAAGAACCGGTAAATTGCTTGACAAAATCTGCGGTGTTGTATGCAACACCACGCTTTCCACCGGAGGAAGAGCTTGAGTAGCTGGATGAAGAAGCAGCTGCGGCAGCCGAGCTAGCTTTGGCAGAAGTAGCGAGGGTAGTTGCTGCTGCTTTGGCAGATGTGGCGGCGGCTTTGGCACTAGTTTGAACCAAGACTGCAGCTGCAGCTGCTTCAGTGGAAGCCTTAACAACGGCAACTGAAGAAGATGAAGAAGAAGCCTTAGCAGAACTAGACTCTACAACCACATGACTAGTTGTAGAACTGGTAGGGACAACCACGGCACTTGTTGCTGCTGCTGGAGCTGGAGTAGATGCTACCACGACAACAGAGGAAGCAGCAGCAGAGTGATGTTGAGTGTAAGTTCCTACAGCATGAGCATGACCAGTTGCATAAGAACCGTCGAGTTGTCTGGTAACGGTAACTTCTTCTGTGACGACTTGGATTTCGGTTTCGTAGATGGGAGCAGCGAATGTTTCTTTGACCAGCAAAGAGGAAGCCAAGATGGCGAGGGATTTGAATTCAAAAGAACGCATGATGTTTTTGGGTGTTGTTTAAAGTGGTGTATTTGTATGTTCCTGGAAAGGTAGTTGACAGTGAAGAATGACTTGAACTGCTGTTGACTGATATTCAAATGACTGAATCGAGGAAAGAATGTGGTCTTGCTAAGCAAACAATCTCGATGAGTGTTTGATAGAAAAATTGAAAGAGTGTGATGATTCAATCAATGAATGTAAGGAAGAACAAGATCGACGACTTTACTTTCAATCCAGAGAGGGAGAGTTGTGAGAGTAAGACAGGAGAGGTGGGGGAGACTCGAAGTTAATGAAGCACTTTTAAGGTTATTTCTGGTGGTAGGGGTGAATTCGTAAGTGTGGTATATTCTCAAGATCTCGTCAATATATCACGTCAAGTCGTAATGAATAAAATGAATGTATGGAAGGAGTAGGCGGTATTTTTAAAATTGAGGTTGAGAGGTTTGATGATGGAAATCCTGCGCTATCTTTCAAAGATACGAAATGATGAGATGTGCCAGATTGGACGTTGCAAATGAGAGGTAACGTGAGGCTGTGGAAAGGAAAGAAGAAGAAGAAGAAGAGCGAGGGAGGGAGGGAGTTGATCCTTAAGTCTATATGTAGATTGCCAAGTGAATGATGAATTGTAACCCTACCTGATCCAAGTGAATGAATTTGACAAGATCTTTTTGTCTTTCCTTTTTTCTTTTCCGAACTAGTGATGTGAGATGAGAAAGCGGGAGGCAAGTTTGAAAACCTAGCCAGTAGTTAAGCGACGAATAGGAAGAAGGAGCACAGAAACATCGTGTAGGATTTTAAACGACAAGGGGGGTGAGAACGGGATGAGCAAGGGTAAATGATGTTTCTGCACATGGAAAATTCGAGCCAGAAGTTAGAAGATAGAAAATAAAGCTTAGAAATTCATCCGGTGTTTCTTTTCTTTGGGAATCCACAACATCATTCCTAATATCGTATCCATACACCTTTTCTTCGCCCATTTAATTGGACCATATTGCATGGTGATACTACCTAAGTGTGATAGACACTTTCTGGTGCTTCTTGATGGATAATGATTGGTGGGGAAAGAATCTAGATACTTTTCATTTAGTCAGGAACGTGTAGACGTGCAGATGTGCGGGCGTGTGTGCAGGTAGGTGTGCAAGTGTGCAAGTGTGCAAGTGTTAATAATACTCTCAGGTACGGAATCCAAGAATAAAAGACCGAGCTTATTATGGGCGCTCTCTAGACTTATCATTATGACTAGGCCGCTTTCACTCGGAGTCTGACTCCTAATTCGGCGGATAATTAGATAATTATATATCCCAATTCGCTCTGATTGGCTCTTTTTTCTATTTTCTCTCTTTTCTCCTAAAGCATAAGTGATAGTCAGGTACCGGTGTTTGATGGTTTGACTAGTTGATGTTCGGTTCATCTCATAGCCATCGTGACTGTACAAACTGTACACAGGTACTAATATGATACTATAGAGTGAGAGAGTATCACTGCATGGCTCAAGCATATCTAGATAGTCTGTTGATATGAAATGTGCTGGGATCTATCTTGATCATACAAACACTACATGACTTGTTCTCTGCATTATATTGTTTTCTTTTTCTGCCCATCTTTTTCTATCTTTTCTCAACCCATCTGATCATTTACAGAATATCATATCCAAGGAGCCAGGTATACACAATCGGTCACGGATTTTATTTCGGTTTCGTCCTTTTCGATAATCCCAGATAATATAATTCCAATCCTTTTTTGATTCATATTCATGGTGGCTGAGCTACATTGAGCCTCTTTCGTATGTTGTAAGTTTCACCGATATCTATCCAGCCGCTTCTCCGAAAACATCTTCACATTCACATTCACATTCACATAGGGACACGATGATGTGAACTTTGTCCGCGCGAGGATCCTCCATATCCTTACCCAAATACCCATACCTACTCCCATATTATCCACTCAGATACTTTACGTACCCATCCAGAATCCATCTCATCCATCCAGAATCCAGCGTCAAGGCAAAAAAGTCCAAGTTCCTTTCCCTGGTCCATGCTAAAATGCTTGTGCACACCATTGATCATTCAGGGGTAACCTCTTCCATTAATCTATCCTCAAAAGCTTAACCAAGACATTGCGGACGATCCGATGAATTAGCCTGTTTGATCTCTCCGTTTCTCGACCCTTTGTGGAAATTGGGGAGGGGGAAAGAAGGGAAGATACGAACACCTGCAGAATTCTTATATGCAGGAAGGCAAATCCAGCGCATCACGAAACAAATACTTTTTCTGTATTTTCTGTACTGCCCTTACATATATATAGTGCTCATACCGTACAGCAGAAGTCATGTATACATTTAGTACCTACTTCTACAACTTAGGTATACAACACACAAACAACAAATCGGATAATCTTCACAAGTAAAGGAAAAGGAAAAATCGCGCAAGCAAAATGGGCCAGGAGACGTAATGATTCGTCTATGGATGGTATCGTATGCGTGTGCGTGTGCGTGTGCGTGTACAAGTGGAGCGTAAAACATTTTGGCATCTTGCTTTGCCGCGTCGGCGGGCTTGGGTACCTGCTTACGCCTGCAGCATATGGAGTAGAACGGGGCAAAAGGCTACGAATCAAAGTCAAAATACGGACGGAGTAATAGTTAAGTGAATAAGTGATTGATTGATACTTTATCCGACCGGGCCGGCATCATGAAGAATTCTACCATGTGAGTGAGAAATAGAAACAAGCAAAATCTCGACATTTCCACAGGTTCTAGTGCACGAAAACTCTATCGATCATCTTTCAAGAATCTAGACCTCGAGCTTGGTACTTAGAGCCACTTATTAATAAGGATTGGTATGTACTACTTATGATACAAGAACTAAAAATCTACCATTCATCAAAACTCATCAAAACTCATCACCAAGAGAAAATTCCAAGAAACAAAGCCTCAACTCAACTCAATCCCTCACCTTGGCTCTCTCTCCTCTGTACTTTCTCAAATCCCTATCATCCCCTTCCTATCTCAACCCTCACTCACTCACTCACCTCCCTCCCAAGTAAGTACACGCCGTCTGCACATTTTCTTTTCTCCGATTCTCCCGCTTTTCGTATTCTCCGACCGAGAGACCGAGAGACCAAGAGACCGAGACCAAGCCACCACGATACGAAGACTCGAGCGCATGGGAGGAAGGAATGGTAAGCCACTGGGAAACCTTTGGACGCGCGCATGATATTCTGGTGTATCATTTACAAAGAACACCAGCATCCTCACAGACGTATTAATTTGCATAGCAATAGGTTACTATCTTGAAAGCGTGAGCCATTTTGTTCACACTCTTTCTCCCTTTCTCATGTCTCGATATTTCGATCTGGATTTCTTTGCGTGTAGCTTGTATATGCACCTATATTACTCGCGCGTCCTGAATTACCATAATAGATGAATGGGTACAAGACATGCGTGCATGCAGATTCCGTTGGTTCCTCTAAATGTGAATTTTGGATTTAGGCAGGTCAAGTGTCTACTGTTACGACCTGCCTAGTCTAGTAGATGGGTGGTAGATAGATATACGAAGTAGCAACCGGTGACTTTCATGTGATAATTAGCTACCCTCTCTTTAACTTCTCCAACTTCGCCAACAAACACCTACCATTGTAGGAAATATCTCGCTATATAGGTAGGTATGTTATATGCAGATCCCAAATCCAACCGAAATTCCAGATTCCGGATCAAAAAAAGAAAAGAAACGAAAAGGATCAACCCCCGCGTTTCGCTTTATCAATCCATAATCCGTAATCCACAATCTACAATCTAAATCAACCACAACATCTATCTATCTAACTACCCATATAGCCACCTCTCCATCTCCCCATCTCCATTTCTGTTTGTTCCCAAATCTTATATTTAACTATCCATATGCGTAGATTGCATTTCAATACTATTTATATACTCTATAGGTAATTATAGCTGCCAATATGACTTGTAAGTAAATAGGTAGGTAGGTAGGTAGGTATCTAGAGATAAGATATACACGCGCGAGTGTGGTCGGGTCCTGATTTTCTTGATCCTTTATCTACTTGTATTGTATTGTATTGTTCCTTTGATTTCTTGTGATTGTAATTGTGGTTTGATTTTATTGTTTTGGGGGGCTGGGATTGATGTTGATGTTGATATTTGGATTTGAGCTGTTGTTATATTGTGCTGTGAAGTACCGTGTTGTATTATAGAGTATTGTATTATATTAGGGAGTGGTGTTGAAGAAGTAGTAGATATCAGTAATTGTCTATTATTGTGAATTTATCAGATTGGGGATTTGATACTGATCTTTTGATTTTGTTATTTGTTGGAGTAGAGTCGAAATGATAATTCGAGGTGTGGTATGGATTGGAGGAATGGTTTATAGATATGGAATTGAAAGTATATTAGGTATATGATCATAAGTCAATATCCATCTATCTATTTATTTATCTTTATATTGTTAGATATCCTTAGGTTTAAAGAATTCTTCAAGATATCAGATATCTTTCTATCTCTCCATCTACCTATTTATTTAATACACATAAATAAATAGCATTGCTAGAAAATGCTTACTAAACACCAATTAGATTATCATTGATAACTATGAGACAGATCCAGCCCAGCTAGACAGACATAAGATCATATATATCAAAACACAACCGCTCCCCAAACAAAACACCTCAAATTCAAATCTATCATAGACTCCCAATATATAGTCATCCTCAACACCACCGAAAACCATCATCACCATCACCATCACCATCACCATCACCATCACCATCATCATCAAGATCCTCAATCCCACTAAATACCCCAGCAATCCACAACCCATCTACTTATCTATTTAGATACCTAGATACATACATACAACCAACCCAATGCCCAAAGTCCAAAGTCTTTCCTCCGCTCAGAAATTCACCACGTTCGAAATATTTGCTAAGCCACCTGACTACCTATCTAAACATCATCTATTTATTCATCCATTCATTCATCCATCTATCCATCCATTCATCCATCTATCCATCCATTCATCAACTCAACCCAATCCCAATCCCAATCCCAACCCCAAACTTAAACTCAAAAATTTCAAATCTTTCCAACCCAATCCTAACCTAAAAATAGCCAAAAATAGCATCTCCCTCTCTTTCTCTTCGTAATACACCCAGTTCCCTTGACATACATATCTAACTACCTAGCTGGAAATGGATCTTGAAGTCGCATTCGTAAGATCCAGATCCATCGTCATCCTACTACAACTACAGTATCTAGGACTCTAGCTAACGAGCTAATCTAGGTAGTCTGCAGAGGTACGGTCGTAAATAATAAAAAATCAAAAAATCAATTATGAGATTATGAGATTATGGCTTATGCTTATGCTTATGCTGAGAAATTGAAGGGTACCTAATTGGAAGGTGGAGATATACCAATCTACCTACCTAGGTAGTCAGAGAGAACTACCTGGCGAGATTCGTTTATTACTCTTTTGAGGGTGCGAGGGATTGAAATTCCGTACCTAAGTACCTATTCATTGAGAGAGATCTAATGGTCGATACGTTACTAACTAACTGAACATCTGAATATACAAAAACGTACTCAATTCAAAGCGATACTACCCAGGTAGATTATTCTCAAATTTTCGTTTATTCTTAGAAATAAATGTTTTCATGTCGAGAAATTCATAACAATATTGCAGTACATGAAAAACTTAAACTCCAATCACTTCTCCTATCACCCCATCTAACTTCGTGTACCCATCGTTGAGACCCAGCTAAATCCCATAATTAATATTCACTCAATCTCAATTTCTTTCCAATTTCCCTCCTTCTCGCATTAGCATTGGCCCGTTCCGAAGGTCTCGTACTTGAATCATCTAGACCTTCACCTCTTGCTTTGAGAGCTTGAAGAAGCATGCCTGCGTCGAAGAATCCATCTATGTTTATGCGTTAGTTCGACTCTTTTGATTATATGAAGGACATTGAAGTGAAAATCAAGGAAAGGAAGAAAGGAAAAGGAAAACATACATCCACCCAATCCTTCATCGTCACTAACAGCCGCACTCTCATCAGCCGGCGTCATCGTCCCGGGCGTTCTCTTACCCAACTCCGCAGCTCTAATAACTCTTCCTCTACTCTTCAACTTCTTCCCCGCAGTGGGTCTATTGGCACTAGCTTCTCTCGCTCTACTAGCCTTTGGACTTGTGCCTCTTCTCGTAGATTTCAACACTCTTCTAATTTCGAGCAAGTAACTCTCAAGAGCATCTACAAAGCGTTTGGTTTGACGATGCTTACTACTAGCACATATACTGATTCCCTCATCCTTAATAATATATCCGATTCCAAATCCATCACCTGAGGTAGGGCCAAACCCGAATTGGCGAAGTGATGGATTACCGCAGTTGGATGTTGAGAGAACGGTTGTGTTGAGTTTATCCCAACCGCTGTCTGCGAAAAGAAGAGGCATGGAATGATTCGATGATCCAGGGGTAGAATTGCCTCGAGCGCGGGATGAGCGACGCTCAACTTCATCGCCATCACTCAAGACTGAATTCTGGCCTTGACTACCAACTATTGAGTTATCTCTAGATGAACCTGCCTCAACAGGGCTGGAGTATCCATTGCTGCTCAATCCATTACTACTAGCAGCCTCGGCGCCATCTTCATCGACTGCTTTTTGCCATACGCTAAAGAGAGCATACAAGTGACGATCGCAACCTTGGGCTTTCGCGCATTCCTTCGTGTTAGCTGTATGTTTCTGGCAAGCTTTCTTCAACGCCTCTACTTTTTGTTCCGGAGGATTTTCAGCCCAAAATTTCTGTACGAAATCGACTGATTCAGGCGTCACAGATCGTATAGCTTCAGTTCTTCCATGAAGAAAGACTTTCGTCATCGCTGGTTCGTACGTACATTCCACTCTACCATATAAACCATAATATGCAGCCTGAAATGCCATCTGCACGAAAGCATCCGGAGAAAATCCCATACTCGTCATGAAATTCTTCCCATAAGCTGCGAAATCAAGGGTCTGGAATTCATTTTGTTGAATGAGATCTGCAAGACGAGTTTCCGCAAAACGAACGGCGATACTGAGTTCGGGTATCATATCCCATTCTAGTTTGTGAGGAGTTGTGCTTACATCTCCAAAACTAGCCGGATCGCGTTTGGCTGGGTCTGGACTGTTAGATGCCCAGAGACTGGGTGCCTGTCCATTGATTGTACGGGCAAATCGGAGGATTGTGTCTGTATATACATCGCTTGCAAATCGGAGAACGGTGTGTCCATCTACACCGGTGTGTTCGAAATTTATGCCTGCACTGCCATTTTTGCAGACGATGATTTGTAATTTGTCATACCAACGATTGGTGCATGTTCCTATTTGAACACCCTTCTCAACTTGACTAGTCCCACAGAGCATGTTTTGACACAAATCTGCTTGGGAATTTGGCTCTGCATAATCAAGGCAGAGGATGAATAAGGCAGAGTCTACTATTCCAAGACAATCTGCATTATTTGATCCTTCTTCTCTGGTCATAACATCCCTAAGACCTGACCAGATTTTTCTATTCTCAGTGCTGAGAACACCAAGTGCACCCTTAGCGGCATCTTGTATGGGAGTTTGTTGCGCATCATCAACGATCGTTTGTAAATTAATCGAAACGTCTCTTTCAGTCATGATTAGATCCGAATTGTCATCAAGAACATCAAACCAGTAAAATTGCCCATGGCAAAGTACTACAAGATGCTTTGATTCTGGATCTTGTCCAATGTGACATCCATTTTCGGTAGGTACACGTGCAGTGCCGAATAATCTCGAATATTGGTACATGCAGAGAGGCGTACCTCTCACTGTGTCGGGAGGTAACTCTTCTCTCCTAACTGCGCGTACGAAAGACAATGCAGATATTACTAATGAGGCTGCACGAGTCACTTGGTTGTTTCTTGCAGGTGTTGGGTCATCCTCAAGTAAGAAGAATGGGTTGAGGTTCAGAACGACGGGATTGTCAAAGTTGAGGTATGAGTCGTACCCTAGATGTTTTATTAGCATGGCAGACACGATAAACTCCTAGGTATATAACATACAAAACTGCTCAATATAACTAGTCTTTCCATTTGCATACTTCTTCAGTCTCTCGTGAAGTTCCGGTCCATCGTTTTTCAGGAATTCTTCCACTGCTTGTTTAGTTTCTGCATGTTCTCTTGGTGACTGTAATGGTTTTAAAGCTGCTAGATATTTCGTCATGCTACCGTCTAACTCTGGTATTGGTAGCTTTGGTAACTTGTCTTGTGCAGCAAAAGTAATTCCTTGCTCATGTTTTGGCTGATTGCTAGCAAGAGGATCTCTTTGGTCCTTTGAGTAGCCATCGTTGACCCTCTTTGCTCCTTCCATTGATCGATTTGCGTCTGGTGCAGCATCGGCAGGAGGTTCTCCTACTGCAATCAGGGATTCATTTAGAGATTTAGGCATCCTGAATGTACGGACAGCTGTTGTTGAGGTAGGCATCTTGGTTAGCCTAAACCCTCAAGTTTATGCGTATAATGGAGAAATAGAAGTGCAAATATTCAATCCTCGCAGTGCTGTGCGGTAGAAATAATGGCAATCGTAAAGGCAATAAGACGGCATTACATTAGATACATCAGATCTTCTGCGGGGGAAATTATTCTTATGAGAAAGAGTTCCCACGGTAAGCAGCTACCAACAGCCTTGGTTATATCTAGAAGTAGTGCACTATCATGTAGCAACGATCGGAATCCCATATCCCCGCAACTAGCCTTCTGCATTAGTTCACGTAGAATATCATTGGATAACTTGATCCGGCCACATGGCCCATGCAGGATACAGGTCTCCACTTCCATACACTAGTTGGGTTGATATTCCGAGCTGATATGATATCCGCAACGCCGAAGCTCTGATATCTTGGCATTGAGGTCCAAATACCGGTAACGGTGAAGAGAGACGATAAGGGAGTATGATGACAGTAAAGCTTTGCATACCTTTATGCTTTGGATTCCTTTTCTTTAATGAGTATATATGCCTCCACAAATTTCCTTAGGGGGTAGGAAGACTTCAGTGGGTAAGGAATAAGAGACCGTTACACGATGCAAGTGCAAGGATAAGAAGTTTGTGCAAATGATACTCTATTTTCAACCACGGAGCCAGGCCCGATGTTACTCGTCGTCAACGTCTGAGCATGTGAAAGAGGCGTTGGTCAGAAACTACCAATATTCCACCATCCCAGAGAAAATCTTGAGTGTGATCAGTATTCTGGAACAAAGGATTCCGATAATGCAAGGAGCTCAAAACGTTGGGTCAGTTCGGTCAAGCGGATGAGAAAGAGTGGATGTAGTTCGTAGGCTTAAAGGATATCTAAAATACGTCGCGAGATGACACTGGGCAATGCAAGTTTCCCCGTTCCGTTCTTGCGGATTGATGGAGATGATCGAATGGGGTAGATGTTGGGTTGGGTTTGAGGAAAGTCGAGAAGTGGGGTGCCAAAAGGCTGAAGCCTCGTTAACCTATGGTACGTACTTCTTTAAATTGTTGCGTCTTTGGAAGATACCTTCCAAGTTCATCCGTTTGCGGGATCCGATGCAGTTATTTCAATGGAGTTGTTTTTGAAGATGTATTAGAAGCTTGTGTACTAGTTATCTTGTCTCATGTGCACACCTGGGTACGACTTAGTAAGAAAACTATGATAGCTTGAGCAAGAACTAATCATATAATGATTTATGTTTTATTTAAATGATAAAATGATAATTAAGCAATTATGGAATAAAATACGATAAATACTCTTGTTTGATCTATCCACCAATGAAGCTATCTAGCTTATATCCCTGCATATTACATACAGCTTTCTTAATTTGTCTAAACCTCCAAGATCCTTAAAATCCATTACCATGGGTGTGGCCACACCGAACAGTCACCCTCGGCCCGTGACCTTGTTTACTCTCGGAACCAATACTCCATCATAGTCACGTGAAACAATGGGGCAGTCCTAGCGGGTTACCAATCTTTGATTGGTGTCTGCTGATAAGTGCGACCACACGGCCCATGACATTAATACACAGTCTCTAAAGCATCAACCCATTTTTCAAAGAGAGCTACTGCTTCCTTGGATATGGCCAAAGAGGTCTGGCCCCAGCCATCATCAACTTGCTGGACAGTACTGCTGTTGGCGTTGCTGGCAGGCCAATATGTGGGATTTCCCCCGTTGGGATTTCCTCTTTTGATGAAGTTGACCCAGTAAGCGTTCATGGTACTGGCAATCTCGTAGTCTTCCGCAACCCAGGGTAAATCTGTGTCGTACAGGTTGTTAAGCACGTAATTGATCTCAGATTCGTGATAAGCGCCCTGGGTTTGTCCGGGCGGCGCATGATCCCAGAAGTAGTTGTACACCGGCTTGTCGGAAGCCGTAGCCCACAGCTGCGACCATAACCAGGTACCCACGGCGGAGCGGTCTGACCATTGGCGATTGTATGCCGCCGAAGCTGAGGTACTATCGTTCGCACTTTAAATAGTCAAGAACTCGTCTGTCCAGTCGCCAAAGGTGGTGTTCATGTCTGCTAAGTAGGTAGCGAGGGTGATATTAAGGCCGTATGTCGCACCGCTTTCATCTCTAGTGTTTCCAGTCATAATGGGCACATCGTTGGCTGCTCCATTAATCAGGGTATTCATATATGTATCCGGCACAGCGTAATAATCCAGAACCGTTCCGAAGTCATCCGCCTGGGCGAAGGTAGAGTAGTTCAACGCACGAAGCTCCGCAAGTGAGGTGACATTATAATCCGATACATAGCTCATGCCATTTTCCAGGGCCACGTCGAGACTACGGTAGTTCTCGGCAGGGCTGGAACTCAAAGGATCTTTGGGGTCGCGAACACCAGATTCGATTATAGCGCCAACGATGAGTCCCTTCGTCAACGGACTATTCACAATATGGTAGGTGGCGGCTGAACCTGCTGGTTGGCCCATCACTGTAATATGTTCAGGATCTCCTCCGAACGCTGTAATATTCTCAACAATCCAGTTAAGAGCAGCATTCTGATCGAGAATTGCCCAGTTACCAGAGCTATTTGTGTGGTGCGTTTCGTTCATCTCGGCTGAGAGCCAGGGGTGTGCAAGCCAGCCAAAAATACCGTTCCGGTAATTGTAATTGACAAAGACGACGCCTTTGTCAGCCATGCCTCCGCCATCAAAAAGAGCGTCGCGAGCACTCGACATGGCTGGATAACTCCACATAACAACGGGCAGCTTCGCATCCGTCGAGTTTGCGGCGCTCCATATATTTAGGCTCAAGCAGTCTTCAGAGTCCGTGTAGCCGTCAGGCATGGCTCGGAATGTCTGGGGGCAGACAGGACCAAAATATTTGGCAGCAAAAGTTGTATTCCATGGTGTGACTGGCTGGGGGGCCTTGAATCGATTATTTCCTCCTGTGTTAGCAGCAAAGGGAATTCCTTTCCAGACCGCAATGTTGTCCCAGTGCTCCAGATTGACCCCAGTAGGGCTACTGTTGAAAGCAGCGTAGCCTTGCACTGGACCAGAACTAGTTGGGATCTTTTGATCGTACAGCGCGGCGTTTGCTGTACACAGCAGAGCCGTGATGGGGGACCAGGGAAAGCAGAAGGTACGGCATGGCTAAGGAATGTGATTGTGACGGAGAAAGAAAGGACCAGAAAGAATGGGTTGTAGGTTTCCGAAAGATGAGAAATTCACCCACTCATGTGTGTCATTTGTATAATGACATGAATGCCATATAAATAGACATAGAGTGCTCCCCGTACCGCCAAGATGAAGGACGTGTGCTGACGCAGGTCCAGCGAGTTGGGATTGCGCGGCATATATCTATTCTCATCGTTGAACGTCGGTACTCAGAGGAACTAAAGGAAAGCAAGATTGAAGATCTAGGTTTGTCGGGACCGAGCAATACAGGTTCCTCACCGGCACATGGCTGGGGTAATATTGGTAGTCTGGTTTAGATCAGAGATCTCCACTCACTGCATGTACCTGCATGGAGACCTCAATGCATTTTTAACTCGAAAAAGCCTATAATTTTTTTTCCAAAATCGCCGTAACCTCCGTACAGGGATCCTTATTCTGTCGGCGTACGTAACCAACACAGCGAATAAACACCCACATTAGATTGATGCATACCTCGCGGTTACGTACCTCGCAAAGAGAAATAAGGATCCTATACAGAGCTGGAGACTACTCACTTTAATTTATGAATGTTTAATACCTAGTATAATAAAGGAAACATACATAGACCCTACTACACCACATACTTCTCTTAGCCATTTCATCGAACCACATTCATTCTCTTAAGTTCTCTACGTCTATCTTATTTCTCCGCAATTGATCTTGACAATTCTCCGAGTCTGTCATGTCTTCCGTTCACCGGGTCGTGCTTGCTGTTGTCAGCATCGCGGGTGCCGCCCAAGCGCTTTCGCTAAGCGATGTTGTACCACAACTTACGCGAGGGAGAATCTCCCTGCGGCGGACTTCTTGCCTGGCATCACTATTGATTCGTCTTCAGTCACGACAGCCATTATCACCAACTCTACAGCTTCAAACGATTGGTACATTACCAAGGCCATTTCTTACTGTAACGTCACAATTGCCTATTCGCACAACGGTATCGCAGATGATTTGGTTCACGTCTCCTTTTGGGTTCCTGAACCAGACAAATTTCAGAATCGATATGTCACGACCGGTGGCAGTGGTCTTTCCATCAATGCTGTAAGTTTTTCATGATAACTTCCATGAAGATAAGTCATTGATTTATGTATCAATATTTAGGGCGCGGTCTCGAACTCTACTGGTGTCATAGTTGGCGCCGTTTCGGGCTATACCGACGGTGGTTTCGGTACCTTCGATTCGTCCTGGGATGAGGTCTTCCTTCTTGTCAATGACACCATCAATTGGCAGTCTGTCTATATGATGGGCTACCAGGCTCACTGGGAACTCGCCACTCTGGGAAAGGAATTTACCAAGAACTTCTTCAACGTCTCGGACAAAGTTTATTCTTACTACCAAGCGTGTTCTGAGGGTGGTCGTGAGGGTTGGAGTCAGCTCCAGCGCTTCGCTGATCTCTTTGATGGTGCTACAATCGGTGCACCAGCCCTTCGCTACGGTCAGCAGCAGGTCAATCACTTGACTGCGGGCGTAACTGAGCAGACTTTGGGTTATTACCCATCGAGTTGTGAAATGGAGAAGATACTAAACTTGACTATAGCTTTCTGTGATCCTCTGGACGGGAAGACTGATGGTGTCGTCTCGCGATCAGATCTTTGCAAGCTACAATTCAACGTGAATAGCACCATCGGCGAGTCTTACTATTGCGCTGCATCATCAGGTAGTTCTTCCGGTCCAGGTAAACGTCAGGTTGGTAGTATGAGTACCACACCTGAACAAAATGGAACTGTCACGGCTGAAGCCGCTGTGCTCGTCCAAACACTCTGGGATGGACTTCATGACTCTGATGGAAAGCGCGCCTACATATACTACCAACCTGGTGCCGAATTTGGTGACGCAGATACTACCTACAACTCGGAGACTGGAGAATGGGAGGTTTCCATCACAGGCCTTGGCGGTCAGTGGGTCGCACAATTTCTTCAGCTTCAGGAGGTTGATAATCTGAGCACCTTGGAAAATGTTACCTACGATACTCTGAAGGAGTGGATGATCTATGGGATGCAGAAGTATGGTGACTCGTTACAGACCACTGAACCTGATGTTAGCGCTTTTGCAAACGCCGGTGGTAAGGTCATCCACATTCATGGCGAACAGGACCCTTCCATCCCTACCGCTTCGTCAATCCACTACTACGAATCCGTCCGTAACGTTATGTTTCCCAACATGACTTTCAACTCCAGCACAGAGGCCATGGACGAATTTTACCGCCTCTTCCTTGTTCCCGGTGGTGCTCACTGTGGAGTAAGCACCGAACAGCCAGATGGTGGATGGCCCGCAACAACCCTACAGACTATGATCGAATGGGTCGAGAACGGCATCGCGCCAGCAACTCTCAACAACACTGGCACTGCCGCGCCAACTCTATGCAAATGGCCTCTGCGCCCACTGTGGTCAAACAACGGCACCTCTTTCGACTGTGTTTATGACCAAGCTTTGTGGGACAGCTGGATCTACGATTTCGATGCTTACAGCACTCCTATCTACTAATTAACTCTTTGTTTTTCTGCTCTTATTTCTCACCAGGCTTCGTTCAACCAGGCGCAGAAAGACATAACGGGGTAAGAAACATGCCAGGAAGGGATTGCATTTTACTCAAATTTTTGTAACCCATATCGGTCACATGATAGCGACAACAATGACAACGCGATCTTATTGTAAATAGACTGTATTAGATTCACTGCGTGCAGTGATGTAATATTCCACTTGTAAACATACATATAATTCAATTTCTATAATATAAGTTTCTGGAACATTTCCTTCCTTTCAGTAACTTCACTATGCTAGAAGGTCCCTCGAATTGACACTTATATCTAGGAAAGTAAAATGACTGGACTAGGCATAAGTAATTTATTGAAAGAATCGAGAGCATATCAATTCGCCATGTAGTTTCGTAAACTAAGACGTGTTTGATATATCATGACAATTGGACATCTGTGAAGAGTTCAAACAATGAGAATTTCTCGATAGCTGAAATCTACTTGGATAATTGAGAATATCCAAATGTTTGTGATAATCATACCTTTTGTGTATTTGTGTATATTAACGACGGAATTTTGGGAAATGTGCGGACCACGAGGGAGTATAGAGAGGATAGAGAGGGAAGCAGAGATTTTTGAGGGAGATTTGTGCGAAGGGTCATATTTATGGGGCAATTTTAAGAAGCTGGAGAAAATGGAGAAGGGATATAGGGGATTAGGAAGGGATATAGAATGAGTTATATGGGAGAATCAAAGGCGGGAGACTTGAATCTCTTTGGTACAAGGGAAACTGCGAGACGAAACGCCAAAATCACTATATTCGAATCATACGTTGAAAATAGATGTGTTCCTAATTTGATAGTGGTGATTTTACGTTTTAATTCATCCTGAAACACGAATCATATGGAGTAGATAATGGGGAAAAGAGCTTTCAAAGAAATTTCATCATATATGGATTTACTATTGTTTAAGTAGTTATCGAATATTGAAAAGAGTGTACATTTCTAGTATCACAGCCAAAGAGAAAGAGAGCAAACTTCCACAAGTACCTAGAAACAGTATATTTCTGCCCAACAATCCAACATATCCCGTAAAACATTATCATCCAGTCGAAAGTAACTCAACCACCATTTCAATCAATACCATTAATCATATTATAATATATCCAACAAATCGAATTCATCCCCTTTGTAGAGAGAGCACTATCAGCTCTTGTTTTCGCACTCATTTCGACGCTTATTCCGGAAACTGTGCACAATGTACTGATCAAGCTTTACAAGAACAGTCCCATTCCCACAGCTGCAACCAATACACTGCCACCCACCCACTTTTCCATCTTTCCAGCCATTCCGGTAAAGACAGAAAGCGTAGCAGTCGCCGTGCTACTTCTCGTAAACGTAGCATTACCTCCCACACTTGTCTTCGTAGCGCTAAGCGATGCTACCGGTGGTGTATTAGGTGTTGTGTAGGCTGGAAGACTGACGATATCATTACTTGTAACACTTGCAGATGTAGCTGGGATAGTTGAGGCACTGGCAGATGCAGCAGATGAAGGGGTGACTGATTGGAGAACACCGGTTAGAGAGTAGATAGCTGCGCAGGCGGTAAGATCCATGCCATCTGGACAACACCAGACGGTGAGATCTGTGGCCTGGGTGCAATAATAGCCTTCGGAGCAGGAGTCTTTTTTCAAGTTAGTTTCATGCGGGTTATAAGAAATATGGACATCTGTGAGCTAAAGAGAAGACGTACCGCCAGTTCCAGTTGGACAACAGGTTTCCTTAACAGTAGGGTCGAAACAATGAACATCTCCATCAGTTGAGGGACAAGTTTCATAACCTGTTCCACATGCCTCTGCACAGGTGCCGTAGCCACTGCAGAAAGTTTGAGAGGGTTGATAACCCGATTGTCGCTTGGTGAGACCATACGCTTGATCACCGAATGGATTGAGGGATTTGGCTGCTAATTTGTAAGGCATAGCCTCTGAGGCTGTTGCAGAAGCATAAGCTACCAGAATGCAAGCGGCGATGAAGTTATTCAAATACATTTCGAGATTATGTAGAGAAACTCCTGTAATTTCAAGCGAATGTAGTAATGAAAAGGATTTGGGGGTAGGAAACGATAGAACAAGATATCTAATAACGACTTCAAAAGATACCATCAAAGTAAGAAGAGCCTGTCTACTTATATGAGATACAACTCCTTGTATTAAGCCTCTAAGATCATGTCTGTTATGCCTGCTGCCAAAATTGACATTGACATGGAAGCTTCAACAGTGGAGGCGAAGCATCATAAATTCGAAAACACGGCTGAGATATTACAGCAAATAAGTTCTCTTTGACAAGGATTATCGTTTGTGTTGAGCCTCCATTAATAAGATGTTTTCTGGGCGTACCCGATTATAAAATTAAGGAAGTAGGGACTCAACACCGTTGATTCAAACCGGGCGGCAAGCTTCACCAACGTCGATTAGCAAATGACAACACGCGATGGAGGATGTTGGTGTCATACTGAAGTGAAAGCTCCTATAGGCATTCAATGTTGAAATCAGATTTAAGAAGTAGACAACCGCTCATACTTGACTGCTCCATGATATTCTCTTAACATATTCAGATAGCCTCTCGGCGGCAGACAGCAACGGATCTCGGCGCCTTCACTAAAAAGAAGCATATATTCCATCTTAGAAAGGAGAGAAGATAGCTATTCGCGAGTCCTAAAGCCATCAAATTTAAAATAGTAACAGATATATGTCTGCCTTCTGATCTAATTAATGCCAAGGCTGACGCAAAGCCTCTCTGCAAGCCATCGGATTTGAGCTGGAGTAATAGCTATGAGTGGCTACCCAATAACTTTGTGAGCTCCAAAGTTGTTTCACACGTGATTTCCCACATCTAGGATCGGAGAGGAATGTCACAGTGCATTCGTGATGTCTCGGCTCATGTGTGTACCTGATGTTGGAATACCGATGAACATCAGAGCTACGCTACGTCGACTATGTCCGATAAGGGGACAGCTTGGTTGATATAGTTGAATACATCAAGATCTTAAAAGTATGAGTAAGTTAATCTGATTTTTTCATGATACTCGTAGAGATAAGTATGATACATCACTGGTGCACTAGACCGTGAGCTAGTGGCTGCCCAGAACTCTGATTGATCGTCATGCTACATTTGTGACACAAAGCATACCAAAGCAACTAGACTAGGGAACAACAAAGAAATATGCATGAAAACAAACAACCAAATCTTTTAACATCAAAACACTCTTGGTGAAATATCTAAATCAAGTCAATAAGCCAGTAAATCGAAATAATGACAAACACTTTTCTCATCACGGGAGCGACCGGTAAACAAGGGGGAGCAGCAATTGATGCTCTTCTCGCTGCTACTGGATCGTCTGATATTACCATATTTGCTCTGACTCGCAACGTCGAATCACCAGCAGCAGAGAAATTAGCCAAGAAATCCGACAAGATCAAACTTCTTCAGGGCGATCTTAATGAGTGTCCTGCAATTTTCGAAGCGGCTCCTCAGCCCATCGAGAGCGTCTTCTGCGTTACCATGCCCAACATGGGGTTTGGCAATGCAGGCGCGAGCGAAGAAGAGCAAGGCATAGCTTTTATCGACGCGTCCATCAAGCATGGCGTAGAACATTTCGTATTCACATCTGTGGATCGTCACGGCGAGGATTCCGATAATGATCCGACGGATATTCCTCATTTCATCAGCAAAGCCAATATCGAGAAATATTTGAAGGAGAAAAGTGCAGGGACCCAAATGTCATGGACCATTCTGCGACCTGTCGCGTTTATGGAGAACTTTGCCCCTGGATTCGCAGGCAAGATTTTCCCAACCGCTTGGTGTGCTTCTTTAGCTCCGACTACCAAACTCCAGCTCGTCGCGACTGCCGGTATTGGATACTTTGCGGCTCAGGCATTGCTCAACCCGAAGGAGTACACTGGACGCGCCATCAGTCTAGCGGGTGACGAATTAACTTTCGGAGAAGCAAATGAAATATTTGAATCGAGACTGGGAAAAGATATCCCGAGAACATTCAATTTCGTTGGATCTACTCTTCTTTGGGCGATCAAGGATGTCGGATTGATGTTCAATTGGTTCGAAAAAAGGGGGTATGCAGCTGATATCAAGGCTCTGAGAAAGGAGCATCCAGGACTCCAAAGTTTCGGCGACTGGTTGAAGACGAGTGGGTTGTAAGAATTTTAACGATTTATGTCTGCGGGTGTTATTTGGAGTTCGGATCGCGGTACTTAAGATCAATTTTTTGACAATCTGAAGCCTATTGCGCAAGGAGGATACTTTGGATTTCGAAGCTCACAAGAAGGTAGCTGTTGTAGGCGAAGTTTAATGTAACGAATTCAGTAGTAATGTTGACCATATCTCTTCACTACAGTGTTAAGCTCATATGAAATCTCGAATTGAAGTAACAGCACATTGGCTCCCTGTTAGGTAGATTGATTAACTTTACTTTGATTCTGTTTGTCGTGAATATCGAGGCATGAGTCTGGGTTCACCTGGACATCACCATATTCTGTTGGATGAGGAGTAGTTTATCCCTTCCAGGTTCGTGTCAATATTTGTTGCAACCGAAGCTTCTATCAAATAGTTCACTCCAAAACGCGCGTATAGGTGCGCCGCAATGGCACAGCTTCAAAGCCTACCCAACTTCGGAAATCCTTGATTGGCTCTTCGCTAACCCTCATCAGTCTTTCGTTTCAATGGATGTAGCGAGTTCTCATGATCTACGTGGAAGATAGCAAGCTCTTACCTTCTAAGTTCTAGAATGAAATGCAGATATCATCACCAAGCGCGTAGGGTTGACTCATGAGCAAGAGATGTAGTTAGAAATTACAAGTTCTACAACTATAGTGGATTGTTGGTGGGTAAGCCGTGAAATGGGGAAGGAAGATAGAAGGGAAGAGAAGGGTAAAACGAAATTATAGATAAAAATTGAAGTGTATGTTGATATGTTGTAAGAAATGGTCATCTTTGTACCGTGGTCTTCTAGGCATTCAAAGGCAATAAGCACAGTATCACATAAATACATCTGAACGATGATTGGGCAATGTCGTCTAAAAATCATCTTCATATTGATTTCATCTACGAATAGCAAATGTCTGGTATCTGAAGCACATCGCTCGCATGCTATTCCTTTTCGTAAGCCAATTTTCCGCCCAACACTCTCTTTATGCAGATGCATCGATCTGATAAAACTCTTCTAATGCAAGAAATCCACTGCAACTCCTATTTTATGCCTGTGGCTAATTTTGAAAAAATACATTGACTAAGGCTCCGTCTTGATCTTCGTCCGTAAGTGAGGTTCCTGATCCTACCGCAATTTAGTATTATTGATCATAATTTAAAGAGTACAAGGCGTGAAACTCACCTCCGCTTTCCTCTTGCCCAGAACCGTTGGCTCAGGCGTGCCTCTGTCTTTCGTGGCTTCGGCATAACAACTAGCATGATAAATACGATCGCCCACTTTCTTAGCATCCATCCATACAAACTCTTGTGCATCATCTAGCCATTTCATCTCAAATTTCTCTTGGCATATAGGACAAACACTTCCAGCAAGAGCAGGATCGTCTGGCACCGCTAGATATTGAAGCTTTGGCTTAGCGTTCGTGGCCGAAGATGAGCCAGCAACACCTTGAGTAGTATCCGATGCATCATTCACCTGATCATCTTCTGGTTCGCGCCATTTTATCCAGTCCTTTAAGGTATTAGATTCTGGGAGTGGAATAGTGGCGTGACTACTTACCAGTTCATCAACATACCAACTTCGATGTTGGCCCCTCTTCTCAGCCTCAGTCATTCTTTGATGAATACGGAAGTGCCAATCCATATGGGCAGCTTTCTTCTTTCGACCTTCTGTATCTGATTGGAAACGTCGTCCACATTGTGTACATGGCGCGCCAAGCTTCTCGTAGAGATTGGAGATAAGATGCGGGCGAAACCTGTGATTGTTAGCAGGAGATCAAAGTTTGAATCGCGCAAACGTCCTTACATTTTTAATGACGCTGGCTTTAAAACGACATCATTGGGAATTACTAGTAGTGGCGTTCTTGACACGGGGGGCGCACTTATGAAGGGTAGAGATGGAGGGAAGCCGGGAGGATTAGCGCTGCCTACAGCACTTGGTGGTTGAATGGGTGTGCTTGACACTGCTGGTATTCCAGGTAGCATACCAGCAGCCCGAAGTCTTTCCAATAATGAGTTAGGATCAGCTGCAGGTTTTGGAACAGATGCCAAAACAGGGGCTGAGGGAGCTGGTTGAAAGGGTAGCTGTAGAGGTAGTGCAAGTTGTGGTTGAGGTGACGGGACCGCGATACTAGCTTGAGGGGGAGGGGGCGTGGGAATTTGTGGTGTTGCAGATTGTCGCGCTAATAGAGCAGCCAGTCCACCAGGGCCTAGCAAAGAGCTCAAGGTTGGCTGCGGCTGAGGTTGGGGTGTTGGCGTAGCTACAGGTGCTGGCCTAGGGGATGGAATTTTAGGGGCTGGCTGGGGAGGCCCAGATAGTTGTGCAACTTGTTCTTTTATCATTGCTATTTGATCAGGTGGAAGCCTTTGAGTTTGTAGAATGGTCTGTAAATCAAGCAAGGCTTTCAGTCTTGTTTGTATGCTACTGTCATATGGACTCTGGGCAAATTCTGCCTTTGAAGAAGCAATGAGATTGGAGATATCCCTATTCAACATATCTACGCTTGCCTCTGGTGGCTGATAACCTTGAGGCTGCGACTGCTGCCAGGATGCCGAGCTACCTGGCTGTTGAGAATATTGAGTTGGAGGTGGTCGCTTGAAAATATTAGTATCAAGCAGGAATGTTAGGATGCTTCACTTACCTGAGGGAGTCCAAGCTGCAGATGACCGTTGGCTTGGTTGTTATACTGTTGGCCATTTGCTGGAGGGTATTGTTGAGGGTATCCAGAATTTCCGGGAGGGGGATAAAGAGGTTGACGAGATTGGTTCGGAGGAGTTGGTGTGTTGCGATAGGGAGCCTGGCCTACGGCAGATCGACCTCGATTCATTAACTGCTGTTGACTCCTCAATTGCTCTTGTTGGAGAGCTGAGGTTCTAGCTTTTATGAGAGCATTTTCGATGGGGCGAGTTACTTCTGGAGGAAATACAGGTCGTGTATCTATAGAGCCCGGCACAGGCTCTTTCCAAGTCTTCAACATCTCATCCATCTTCCTTCGCACATCATGAGAAACCAAGGCATACGCCTCCATGAAAGTTGAATAAAGTTGTCGACCGAAGAAGAGCGTATAGGGTGTTCCAACATTCTTGACTACAGAATCGAGGACGTAGAAAGCAGGTAGTTTCTTTTGCGGAGAAGTCTGTCATTGATTCGTAAGTAATGGAAGCAAAATGTAGGCACAAAGCAAAGCACGACTATAGCTACTAGACTCTACTAGCATTACGAAATGAGAATATTTATCCTACCTGTTTTATATGGTTCTTCAATGCCTCTGAAATGGCCAAAGCATGTTCGGTGTTTTCTTTTGCTATAACGGTTAGATTGCTGATCTCATATCTCGAATTCATAGTCAAATCTTCAAGGGCTCTTTTGTAGTCCTCCGCTACCTCATCAGAAGGGACTCCAAATGACATGATGGGCTATAAGGGAAGCCGCAGAAGGTTGCAAAGGTGCGTAGACTTGTAATGATGATCTTGATGATGAAAGGCAGCCACAGAAAAAAAAGGTCTTTGTCGTGAAAAACCACCAAGCTCCACGACTCGATTAAACAAGAAGGAGCTTTTAAACAACAGCTAACTAGTACCATGCAAAAGTATTCAACTCGAGAAGAACTAGAAGTGTGTATTTGATGATTGCCAATTTCTCTGAAAACCCTTTGTAACCCTCAAACTCTCTGTATTCAATTTTCTCTTCCTATGAGGCCCAGTCCTTATAGATAGATAGCTTGATGCCCCACGCCTTTGTCCTCCTATCCCAATCCCCAAGTCAGATCTCACGCAAGTTATAATTAGTTCCGTCGACCAGATGACAAGAAAGGTCGAATTGATTGTATTCTTGATGTGTGTTCGCGGATTCACGTTGCTTTGAAGTTGAATATCAAAGACGTTTGTTTGCAGAAACGCGACGATGTTGATTTAATTGTCTTGCACTCACTCACGCTACTGACCTGAAAGTTTATAGACAAATTGAACTAGTGAATGGCTGAGGCACTAAGAGACAATCAATTACTTAATCACGCTAGGTATCGGTCCGCTAGCGCCACACCTAATCAACATCGTCATACATCCATTCCCGTATGTCCTCATCCCATATCCACATCTTCTAACTTCTGATTGTAATCTTTGATCAACGATTAATCAACAGTCGAACCGTAGCAATATTCAATATTCATACATACAAGAAAAATCCAAATTTTTATCAACATGTTGTTCATTACAAAGTTTACGAGTCTCGCTCTACTCACCATTTCCCTACTTGCAATTCCTGGGTTGAGCACAGCAGCACCTCAAAAATCAGTGATTGTTTCGTATCCGGACGATACTCCAAACGATGTAGTACAGCAAGCGATGGACGCGATCAAAAAAGCTGGAGGTACTATTACACATGAATACAACCTCATCAAGTAAGCATGCTTATTGCCCATTGTCTATGATTGTATCTAATTTGTTCAACAGAGGCTTCGCTGCCAAAGCTCCAGCTCAAGTCCTTGTTACTGTTCAGGCATGGGGAAACGATTATCATGCCGTTATCGAAGAGGATCAGGTTGTAAATGCCAATAACTAAGAATGGAATTTGATGACGACACGATATATGAAATTGGAAATAGGCGCATTTAGGAAATTCTACCCATCGACGGTGTATACATAACGTTCATAAGGGGTACTGGGTATTATCGAGGAGTTTGGTGGTTCCCCGTCAATACGGTCAGTGTATATGGAAGGCATTGGGGAATGGAGTCGAAATGGTCTTGGGACTGTTTTTATATAGAATGATTTGGGAAAACGGTAATCGGTCGAACATCAGCGTCCTTGAGAATCAGGGCAGCCAACTCGTGTGTCATCGCAGACTACAGAAGAAATCTAATAATCTCTCACTTACATATCTTTTACAACATGCGTACTCAGGGGGTTTGCTTTCGGATAAGCTGAACGTGAAACGGATGAATCAAATGCTGTCTATCGATTAAACAACTCAGAGCAATATGAGTGTCTAACTGTATCACATACAATTTCTTGTTTGTGGTGAAAATTCACGTAGACTTTCTATCTTGAGTTGACCAGATCAACTTCTCCCCATCTACCTACTTATCAATTGCTCAGGTCTTTGGCCATGGTCAATTGTGCAGATTTCCACAGTTACCTAGGTAAACTTCAACCAATACTTTAACCAACACTTCCACCAATACTTTCAAAAACTAGAGTATATGCGGAAATATTCAGATGTCTCTAAACTTCTTGTCCTCTGATATGTCTTTGTAGCTGCAAACGGACTTCTACCCATGCTCCTCTCTACTCACATACTCAAGATCCTTTGAAGACTTTCTTTTCCTTTGTATGTATCCCCCCGCAAAATAATTGATTGTTACTGTTAATTGACCCCACAGTCAAAGAGATGTTCAACAGGGGGGACTCGAGCCTGGACTTTTAGCTTAACAACACAAGCAGAAAGTGCAATTGAATAAAAGTGTACTTGGAGAACAATGAAACATGGGAAATAAATAGCATAAAATCATTGCGAGAACCCAGTTGCAAGCCTTTCCTCTCTCAATTGCTGTTAACCTTAAAACTATACCGGTCTATAACAAAGCAAAATCTTTGCATCCAAAATCCCACAGCTCCCAGCCTCCTGCCTCCAGTCTCCAGTCTTCAGTCTCCATCCAGTCTCCCAGGGTCCATCACTAAAAGTACAATTTCGTGTAATCTAGAAATTTATGTGCACCTGCATCTGCACCTGCACGCACGATAAGACTTCAAGCCTCACTCAACTTCTTCGCATCTCCTTACACCGCCGAAATCCACAACATAACGGGTTTCTGTCAATACAGGAAAAATGCCCTCCAGTTTGGAGCCTCCCGATGACACCACAAGGGCAGTTCTATTGGCATGGGTATGCGATTCAACACTATTCTTCACGCGCTCCTCATTCACTACTGACATCTTCCCGCAATTAGATCAAGACCTTTCCTGCCGTGTTGAACAAGGTCAACTCAATAGAAGACTTGACTGATGGCCTTATATTTTCTGATATGCTGGGTACGTTCTAGATGATCGACCATCTTATACAGGTCCTCGATACAGATGCTAATTTAGTTTGATCTAGAGGACTTCGACCCCGCATATGCCATTAAGGATATTTCGAAAACAACGAGTTCTACGAAATGGATATCCGCCAAACAGACCTTGGAGGCCGTTTACAAAAATCTCCTGAAATATGCTCATGAGCACTGTGATAATTGGGTGAAGGCAGCGGTTGTCGAGTATCCAATCGACTTCAATGCTTTGGCACAATACTCGGATCCCACCGAATCGACGAAGGTAGTAGGAAGCGTGAGAACAAGAAACAACATCGCCATAACTAACCGGGTATTCCAGCTTATAACCATATTCCTGTTGGTCGCCTTGAAAGGTCCTAACCAGTTGAGATATATCGATCGTGTCCGAACGAAGCTAAGCCATGATATGCAATCAGTAATCGCGACCCATGTAGCCACAGTGAGTTAATTTGTTCGTATGGTTTATTGAATGCCGCTGAACATTATGCTACGTAGATAGAGCAAGATCTCTCAATCGCTTTACCGGACTTGGAGGTTCATCGTATCGCCAAGCCATATGACGCCTTGGATCTTGAAGAAAAGTATTCTGCCGTATCTATGGAACATGCAGCATTGAAGAAACGTAATGCTGACCTGATCACACGTTTGGAAAATCTATCAGAAAGCCGAGATCATCTACTAGACGAGACTAAGGAACAAGACCGACTAATCAAACAGCTACAAGAAACGGTTAATCACGGAGGCAAAAGCGAGTATATTTCAAGACTCGAAAAGAGACTTGAAGATTCGGAACAATTAATTGCCAACCAGGAACAACAGCTTGAAGACGCTCGGGTAAATAGAGAACTGAAGAACAAAGAGTTAGTATCGATTAAACACACCCGAGACTTGGAAACTCAAGACAGATTGAAGGAACTCGAAGTCGAGAATTCTGCTTTGTTAAAGAGAGCAAACAAGGTCGAACATTATGAAAAGAAACTTGCCCAGCAAAACGCTATTGAAAAGGAAAACGCAAGGCTGCGTGAGCAGTTAGATGTGCTACAAGAAAACCAAAAGGATTATGACAAAGTTCATATGGAAAATGAATTGCTCAAAACAACTCGCAGAGAATACATGAAAGTGCTCGAAGGACAGGAGAATACCATAACCGACCTTAAAAATAAGGGTATGGCTTTAGAAGAAGAACTTAGGTCGCGAATGGAGGAGATAGAACTTCATCTTGAAAGACAACGACATGACGAGAAGTATATTAACGAACTTCAAGAACGCGTAGACTCACATTCGCCAGAAGAGCCGTCGGGTGGTGGATTCAGTCTTGAAGATGAGCTTAATCGAAGTGATAGTCCAAACGAACCGAACCCATCGCTCGAGATATCCAGACTGAAAGCGGAGTTACAGGTTCTTAAAAGTAATGAAGGTGGTAAAGCTAATGCTGAACTTCGAGCCGAGCTGCAGAAAGCTGAAATGGAAATCCGGAGACTTCGCGAGAAGACCCAAGAGTTGAAAGAGGCTCACGCCATCTCTCAGGATCAAATCTCAACTATCATGGGCGACACATCTTTCCTCCCAACAGACGAAGCGTTAGTTATAGCAGTCGACAAAATGATGAGCATTGGACCTTTTCAACTAACACTCGATGATTTTCACAGAGAACGAGCGAAGTCCTCTGGACAATCACTATATCGCGACGCCACAAAGGAGATCGAGAGATTGAACCACGCAATAAACGAGCTTACCGCCAAACTTACAAGCAGCGAGCGAGATTTGTTGAGAGCACGGGCAGATTGTGGGTGATCAAGCTTCTAGTATGCGTGTAACATCAGCTAACCTAAAGGTAGTGAGTGCTATGGATTCTGATGAAATTACAGCATTGGAACAGCTCAAGGAAGCGAATGAATTAGTAGCCTCGTCATATGAGAAGGACTTGGCGCTTCTCCAAGCACAGCATAATGATTTGAGAACAGAATTCGTTGACCAGCAGTCTCACCTTCTTGCAGCATTGAAATCCAAAGATAAACTCTCGGAACAACTGAAGACTATCTTTCAACACCCATCAGGTTCTATCGAAGGGTTAGGCAAAGACCCCGAGTCTGCAAAAGCTCTTGATGCACTGAAAGAGGTGAGTCAAGAGGACAATATTTCTACATCAAGACCAACGTCACCAAAAAAGCAATCCGCAATCAAGCGAATCGGAAAATTGTTCGGTAACAAAAAGCTCAAGGAGCCTGCGTCAAGTGCTCCAGGTTATGATCAGCACGATGAAGAACTTGCTAGGGAGCAGGCAGCATTTGGTGTATTGCCAGTAGCACAACCTCCATCGTCGTCTTTCTCTCAAACAAATCCATCACCTTCTCAACTTCTATCAACATGATCTAAAAGCATCGACTAATATAATTTCCAGCAACTCCAGAAGAAAGAGTCGACCATACAAGAGCTTCAACGAAGACTCGTCCTGGCAGAAGACCCAGAAGCGCAAAAGGTACCGTATCGACTTTTTATTCTTACAACCAACATCATAAATAATATTATACCTCTTATTCCAATCGACGATTGTGTCCATACCGAGAGTCATATTATCATTTATGTGAACTACGTGTGTGCAGAGAACTGATTCAACTTATGTGAAGGCTGCAAATGATGTTTTGGTGAAGAACCTTACTCGCGAGAACAACCTGATAGCCACTGCCTGGTACGATCTTACGAACAGATTACAAAGTAATCATGTGGTGCTGCAACGTAGACAAGATGCTCCAAGGAGTTGGGTGAACAAACAACGACAACTTGTGAACTCAGGTCCAAGACGTTGAATTTGGCACGTGTGAGGTGGTGGTAGTATGCATAAATAGGAGCATTATAGGGAGAAATTGTTTGCATGGGTAGCGTGAATCTGCATTTTTGACGGGTTATTGGATGAGAGAACGAATTCATGATCTGAACATTCCGTATGCATTATTGGGGGCAAGAAAGACGGTCAAATACGGACTTTGAAAGTTTAGAACAAGTTGGCAATTGGCATTTACAACTTGGCAGCATTTTATGGATATATGGATAGAGATGTCTAAGATTGGAGTTGTAGATTGATTAAGGATGAATATCGAGCGATTCTCTTTGGTTGGGACTTTTGCGTATACCCTCCCCCTCTTTTATACGATACGACGTTATGGGTCTGAACAAAAGTTGATTAGTATTCTATATCACAAATGCATATATGTACATTTCTTAAAACTCTTGTCATACTTAATCGATGCAAAATTGGCACCATACAGTCATTCATGGCTTTCCGGCTTTATACGTGTTAGGTTGGATTGCGGACCCGATCAAGACCTCCACCATTTGATCGCCAAAGCTTTCTCTGTGCTGATGGAGATGGCTGAAGGCTCAATTTGAGATAAATAATAAAATCATAATTCTCATTGCCCATGATGTCTCTAGAAGTGATCATATCACCACAACAGACCCTAAGCCAAATCACGAATCATACAATAACATGCAACAACACATAAGCAAGGCCATGACAAATTTAGTACAGCGCGAGGTTGTTACCAATGGAACGAAACATAAACCCAACAAAATATTACCCACGGCGTAAAATGGATATCCGCATCATTGCTTGGAAGTTGGAACATGGATATCGGCGCTCTGTCCGCATCCGTCATTCGACCCCCCAATTGAAACAGGCCACCCGGGCCATCGAACGATGTTTGTCCCTTTCCCGCCAGGAAAATTACATGAGAGAAACAAAGTGCCGTGAAAAGTTTTGATCATCGAAAAATGGCGTTTGTCGGCGAGTTGCCCGACGAGATTTGAGATGTGCAACAGAATATTTTCTGTTTTCTAGTTTTTTCCAATTGCGAGGTGGGAGTTTGGGGGGGAGGGGGGGTGGGGGGGTGGGATTGGTGGAGAGGGAAACAGGGTCGTGATGTGATATATTGAAAATTGTTGCTTCAGACTCGCGGGTCGCGATTGGTTCGTATTCATGGCAATCGAACTTTGGGAAGACATCGGAATCGAAATCTCAATTAGATTTCGATTATTTAAGTCAGGGTCTGGATCCAATTCTGCGTCTTGGTGTGGTGTGACGGTTCGGTGTAACATTTTCGACGTTGTGGAATGATGTTACTAGGTAAATCAAGTTGATGCAGAGATGTGAGGTTTCGTCGTGGCACTTGGGCTACAAATTTTTGGATGTCATTTGTATAAATAATCTATCTAGTACCTGCGTCACACAGTCTAATTTACTCAGGCTGTCTGAACCTCACGAGAGAAGAGAAGACACGAGACGTGGAGGATGAAGTTCAGTCCGATGAGCTTGCGTAAGATGTAACAAGGTTTGCATCTTGACATGCACGATTAGCATCTATCAGACACCTTCCCAAGGGTTTTCAGAGAGGCCTCCGAAGTCCATGGCTGACGTTCTGAACCCTTCCGATCAAGTAGAGTCCGAGTCCCCGAAACATGAAAATCAATCACTGATCATTACCTTTTCGGATCGGGGAGAACTTTAGGCACGATCCACCAATCATGATATCCTTTACCTGTTGTGGGTATCTCCACCTGTATCTTCACTTTATCGTCCTTGCCTGCACCTTCGATGGCCTTTTTGACCGCTGCAATCGAGATTCCAGTAAAGATACACGCTTTCAAACAGTCCTTAATATCTTTCAGCCAACTCTCATGAGATCCACGGCAATAAGCGTCTTTAGGATTGAGTTTACTCAGGATCTCGAATCCTTTCTTAGCAGCAGCAGTGGCTTCTCCAGCAATCAAAAGCAAATCGAGAGTGGTCTCATTGGGCTGCGTGACGTTGTAAGTGAAAAATTCAAACGACAAGGGGGCAGGGAGGCCAATCGTAGAAAACGGTTTCATGCGGACTTCGTAACGCATTACATCGTTGCCGTATGGTCTCGGGGGTATGGGTATAAGATCTAGACGACGAAGTGCTTCAAACAACGAAGATAGTGCGTCTGCGAAACCATACGTTGAGGTAACTTCTAACATGGAGAAGTTGATGAATGAAATTGCATTGGTAAATTCCTCTCTTTGAGTAGGATCAAGCTGCGATTCATTGCGACGTGTAGAGTAGGATCGCATGACCTCGCTTCGGATACGCTCAAGATGACGACTTCTCGTTTTACAAAGATGATTGAGGTAAAAATACATCCCTGATAACTCATCTGGCTGGTAAACCTGGAGTTCAAAGCCTAACTGTACTATCCATTCCATTTGGCGGAGCTTGTAATAGTATGCCCATGATGATAGGGGGAAAGCGTAAATTGGATCGAGTGATAAGTTTTTATCTATGAATGGCTTTTCTTTTGTAAATTCCCTCAGTTCCTGATCAATCTCCTCACCATCAAGTTGGAGATTATCCCAGTCAACGATTGTGTGACAGAGTGTTCGGCGTATGCGACATCGGCTCTGACACATGGTCCGAAGGATGTCTATGTATGTGTTTGCGGCGCGTGATCTAAATAACTCCATTCTTTGAGCCATGTGGAATCTTGGATCATGAATAACTTCAACTTCATCGTTGATACGATCTAGAAGCTGGTTTCCGGGTAAGGTAAGACTAGCTAGATCATCATCGAGAACTTCTCGGATGGACATTTTACCCAGTATTACCATATCTGCAAACATGTAATACTGAAGTAAAGTTCGAATATACACGGATGGCTGAGGTTTTCGTGCTTGAAATAATGAAACAAAAGTCTTACATATGTATCATCAGCCAAAGAGTAGATAATTCTCATAGGTGATATTGCACTTACCATGAGACTGTGACTATCTGTATAATCAAGTATATCAACTGCAATTTCACCATCCTTACACATCCTTTCCAAGTGTTCGTAGGCACTCTCCTGGCCCACCACAACAATTGGACGTGGCGGAACCGTACTCGCGAGCTTCCTCTGTAATTTCACACTAAATGACTGCGGAACAGGCTTTGCAAGTTTGCCGGTTGATGCCAAATCAGAAATGAACGAATGCGTCTCACGCCAGGACTCCTTTGCATCTTGAGATCTTGACTCTACTGTATTAACAGTTTTCAAAAAAGCCTGCCGAAAATTAAGTCTAGTCGACAAAGCTTTTTTCATGTCCTTGGCTATGCTCTGAGCCTGCAAAATTAATTCTACAGTCTCTTTCATGAAACGAAGAATTTCATCATACTCTATACCCTCGAGCAGATTTCTATGGAATGTATGGGTCGCAAAATCTTCCTCCTAAATGCGTATTAGTGTGACATGAAATCAATACGTGAAGAGCGATAAATACTTCGTAAAAATGCTCTGACCTCACTCGATTGTTGACATACCAACAAGTTTTGATCAGACCTAGACAGTATGCCCTCAAAACTTGCAGCATCAAAGGCTCATCTTCGGCACAGCTCTCGTCTCTGTCAAACCGGGTCTCGTTGAGACTCAAAGGCGAAGGATGGAGCATTCGATCAATGTATAGACTGGTGAAGATTGTTTGAGCAAGTGGGTGTCCCATGTGCCAAGCCATCTATTCGAAGTCAGACTGCTAAGATTCTAGTTATATTTGAGATTGGCATACCTCATGACAAAGAAGCTGATCAATGATACCCAAAACTTCCTCTGGCAGTAGCGCCTGAGTGAAATCGTAATCATCCTCCATAGTTTCTCCAGGAGCTAGATAACCACTATCCATTTTCGGATCCATGATCTGTACTCGAGAGTCAGCTCAGCCATTCACTAGAAGTGAAAGACAAACCTCTAGAGCAGCAACAGCCTCGAATAATGTGAAAAAGGGATCCTTAACAAGGTCTCCTACTTCGAGCTCTATGGCAGGCCATTAGCACGTGATCCATACAAAATTCTTTCAGGTTTGTGATGGGTAACACACGGTGAGCAGCATTTGTGAAGATTTGAGTAATATCCGTAATCTTGACCCCCTTGCTGTACAACTTGGGAGCGGGTCGTAGTTCCGGATTGAGCGCTGCCATCATTACTGCTGGGTCACTGGGATCCTGATCAATGTCAAGGTCTGATACTTCTGCAAGCGGCCGTCAGCGACAGGTATTATCATATAAAAGAGGGTACTTACGCTGCGTGATAGCAGCTACATCGTTGTTATGCATGGCTCTACCGTAGCTGTTGTGAATGATCGCTCAAAGCATCGAAATATATTTTTTGAGGAGTATTCGTCACCTTCGTTTCCATGTTGCGAGAAAGATAGAGTTCTCGCTTGTTACGGAAAGTGGCATGAGTGCAGTATTTCATATTCAAGAGGACAATGAGTGAAAGATACAGAAATTAGTTTTTCACATTGGAGGAGTATATGTTTACATTGTATTGAGTCTATTCCATGATATTGATGGTCGTCAAATATTTAATCTTGTTTCACACACATCAATGTCGCCTCTGTGCTACTTGATTATAATCTTCAACTTCAGGGTGATGGGTTAAATAGGTGCTACGACATGCATGAGGAACGAGTATAACGACTAGACCAGACTATATAATATTGTCACCTTAATACACCACGAACAGAGTTTACGGGGGGGTTCAAACATTCCATGTGATATGTATGAAAGATGCTAATATAAGCTGCTTTGGAGATGTCAAGTCGTCCAGATGGAATCAAGCAGAATATAGAATAGACCGGAGCATTTGCGAGAGTAATGAGACATTTCAATTGCCTTGGCTCAATAGCCCCGAATGATACAAATGTACAAGTCCACACTGCTATTCATTTCTCGCACAGCTCTATCCCCTCCTCCCACCGGGGCGTTTAAAAGTGCCGTGTTCATATTTAAGAAGATGAAGTAGCCTCTGCCATTGATGCTGCATTAGCCTCCGCAACGTTCTTCACTTCGCCTTGCTTGCCGTTCTGTTCCAATAATCCTCGTTAGTCAATCTCCCTCAATTCAATCCCCGCGACTCGAGGAGTCACTTACGTTCCACTTGGCGAATCTCAACTCCATCTCTCCTCTGCGCTCAGCGGCCAATCGTTTGTCATCCTTCAAACTTCTTCGAACAGTTCGTGCGGCGACGGACAAGTACTTGTTGTAGCTGTAATCCAGAAATACGTTAGTAAAAGTCTTCCCTGATGCGGCGCCCAATGCCCTCCATTGTGCCAAACAAGAGAGTTGCAAGGAGGCTGCGGAACTGCAACTACATACGTGAGACCTGAGGCTTTCCACGCAAATGCCATTTTGTAAGATGAGGGTTATGTGAATCGGGACGATGTAATTTGAAGAGAGGTTGCTGCCGTGCCTTTGATCTTCCGTGGAGCGCGGGAAGAATTGGAGAAATTTCCGAGATCACGTGACATTGGTATTCCGAGCCGGCCTGCTCAGAGGAGCAGAACTGGCTGACTACAAAATTTCTTTAGTCCAACATTTTAAAACTATACTTGATAGGCATTCAATGTCTGGTTCATTCGCATCAAAGCAAACCAATCATATATTCACAGCAAGCATCACATCTACAATACACTCTAAGAGCTTTTGATAATACACCCCGTTATCCCATCTTTAAATCTAGCTTTACACTGAAAGACCAAGCTCCTCTGCATAAGGAAGAACATAAAGATCACCAACTGCCGAAACTGTAGCTTTGCCCTCCAAAATAGCCTTTGCAGCCTATAATAAACATTAGTATCACGTCGTATGAGTAATGAAGAGGTACATACCGATTTCAACTTCTCAATGCTGACAGATTCGACGCTCTTGCCAACTTCGTCAATTTGGAATGCCTTACCGCCGTGGACAAGTCCAGAGCCAGTCAAGACAAGACCAGCCTCAACGTTTTGGCCTTCCTCCAATGCGTTGTACTTGGCATTAGCGACAGCCTTTGTGAAATCTTCTTGACTGATGGAGCCTTCAGAAATTGCCTTGAGGGCCTTGACAGCCTCAATAGCAGCTGATCTAACAGCAGACGCAGAACCATTGAATTGAATTGCCAGAAGTCCAGCATCAGAGTAAGCAAAGTTAGTAGCTGTGGCGCTGGCTCCTGGGAATGAAGATGCAGCCTTGGATAAGATTGAGAATCCAGTGGACCACTTGATGCTTGATTTTCCACCGAGGAGAGATGCGAGGACGGAGAATTCAGGTTTGTATGATTCTCCTGCTGTAAAGGAACTAGATCCAGGGAAAGCGAGAACAAATGAATTACCCGAGCCATGGGCAATACGTTCCTCACCACCATAGTATTTAGTGGCACCAGGACCAGAGAGACCTTGTCCAGCATGAGCACCAGTGAAGAACTCTCCTACCCATTTCGATAAATCTGCCTGGCTGGCACCATTTGCAACAACGGCGATGTTTGACTTTGAGTATGCTTGGGTTGAGAATTCGCTGACGGAGTCTGAGCTCAAGTATTTTGTGAGAGGTGTAGATGAAGATGGGAAGAGAGGCGTTCCGAGTCCTCTATGGAATGCAACACCGTGTGCTGAGTTGATAGCAAGCTCGGATACACTCCCAAGGAGTTTCTTTTGGCCCAACTTAATCTGGTGCTCGACTTCTTCGTGGTATTCATGAGCTGTTATGAACAGTCAGTTGGCGCCCTTATGAATTTTTCTCAAATCTAGACTTACAAGTATACTTTGTCGCGGAAATGACTTCACCAAGGAGCTCGGTAAAGTATGGTAAATCCTCCCGAAGAAACTTAGCCTCAACGACGAGTGCCTCGCGGGTGTGGTAAGCGTTCAATTGTGCGCCCAAGAGTTCAGATTCTCTACAGATACGGAGAGCGGATCGCTTCAAGGTGTTCTAATTTGTCAAATATAAGTCAGTATCTTACACAATACAATAAAATGCGAAAGTTGGTGCTCGTGTTTGAAGTTTACCTTGAATGCAAATCGCTCTAAGCCTGATGTCAAACCTGGTGCAGTCTGATATCTTGTTCCAGCCTTAGCAACGACAGCGAGTTTTGTGGTGGCTCCAGCAACATCTCTGCTTGCGACTTTAACTCCAGCAACATCAGATGATTCGTATGAAAATGAAGTCGATCCGGAGGAAACGGCAGCAAGGCCACGACGATTAGCTGGCTGAGCACAGCATTGCCTGCGAACAGCAAGCTGTGCGTGTCTTCCAATCGCCGACCGTGAGATCATTGTTTGGATATATTGGTATGGGGAGGGGAGACTCGGTATTTTTTGAAGATCAAGACGTTCAATAATACCAATATCCTACAGTTCTTTTCGCTGGAAGATCTCGGAACAATCGCGCTAGTCTAAATATAGTTTAGTGTTTTGTGTAATTCAATCCCCTCCAATTTTGATTTGCCCATTCGACAATTGGTCCCCCACCTCAAAATTTCTAAGTAATAATCTGAGTATTCGACAATCTGGAATTTCCACCTATTCTACAATTTCATTTAGCATCTTCCATTTTGTCAATGAAATATCGGTAGTAATTGTGGAAGCTCTAGGGATATTGAAATCATCCTCTAGTAGCAACAAAAATCATGTCCAAAGTAAGTTCAATTGCTTTAACTCAGCACCATCGCTGTCGCCTGCCATTCGCATTCAAGATATATATTACAAGACTGCGAATTACATCGTAACCAGCTGACTCAATGGGCAGTCCAAACATGCAGTTGAGCTTTGCTCATTGCTCGTCGATGATATTTATGGAGAACTGTCGTCTGTAAGTCCACCGCTCACTCCATCAATCCAAAATATATTGAACCAAGCCTTGCATAAATGACAAGGCTGAAGAAAACATTTCTGCTGTTGTAGAGTCTGACATCATGTAGCGCATTTTCACTATTTTACTTCGACGGGGAAGGTTACCTATGAATGCGCTCAAACGACATACTCAACTCACAACTCGACAATTGAAGCTTGGATTAACAGTTCTAGTACGACAAAATTTGGTTTACCATAACTCAGAAGGCAGTGACACCCATTATGAAGCAAATATCGATGCCGCATATGCGTTGGTTAGATCTGGGAAAATCTTAGAAATCGCGGAAGAACGATTTGGGTCTGTTGCGGCCGAGATTATGGGACAATTGGTACTTTTGGGTCACGCTAAAATATCCGACATAATCGCAGAGTTAAACAAGAACCACGAACCACACGCCAATGTCAATGGCAATGGCAATGGAATCAATGGCGCGACGAATGGCAATGGTGTTCATTCATACCCCTCAGGGCAATTGAATCATACCTTGATCCAATTGCTGGAGGAAGGATTTATTCAACCTGTTGGCCAAAATATGTTTCGAAGTCCGACAGACAGTTACAATGCGGTTGAGAAGGCGCTTCTTCAGGATAGTTATGGGGGAGCCACGAGAGGAACGAAGCAAAAAGACGAGTTAAAGATGAGGATACGAGGACAGCTACAAGAATTGAGAGCTCAGGTTCCAAATTGGAAACCTGTTGGTTACAATCTCTCATCTACCAATGGCCATATGAACGGCACTGCCTCGAAACGAAGAAGACTTTCTCACAACGGCGGTGCAACCACTGGGTATGACTTTGGCGACGACGAAAGTAGCAGGCTTGATGTGAGGCTTTTGCATTCTCTGTGGCTGTCTGGATTACATGCTAACAAAATGTTCAGGGAAATTTAGTTTTGCGAATCAACCATGAGAAGTGTACTGTCTTTATGAGAAATCGACGACTCGTTGAGCTTGCGAATTCCCGTATTGGTGTAACCACATCGTATATCTATGCGGAACTTCTTCGACTCATGGCAGAACAGATACCTAGATGTCGACCCGACCCGAGAATTGACGATGCTGTGGATGAAGCTGATGGACCTTCAATCATAATAACAACACAAGAGTTGACTGATGCCTTAAGTAAGACAATCAACGTATCCACTGGAATTGGCAAAGCTACTAGTCAAAATATCGATACTTCTAGACTTGACAAACTTCAGAATGGCAGAAAGAGAAAGGCTCAAGATGAAGCAGAAGTAGAAGGAGTGGCGAGTTCCGATGAAGAGTCAGAAGATGATCACAAGCCTTCCACGAATGGAAACGGGCATGCAATGGATGTCGACGAAGATGATCCATTTTCGGATCAACCCGGAGCAAACACGACCAAGCGAGCCGTCACTTTCAAAGACCGAGACAGATCTCCTCCCCCAACAGAGAGTCGCCAGGCCCGAATGATGCATGTAATGAGCCATCTCCAACTGTTAGCCACTGATGATTGCCAGCTACTACGAAAGTGTGGTACTCGGCAAATGGGTGAATGGACGGTAGATTTTGAGCGTGTGATTGACCGACTTCGCGAATCTGAACTCGACTCCATTATATATGAGAATTTTGGCCAAATTGGACACCGACTCGTACGAGTTATGAGGAAGATGGGAAAGCTTGAAGAAAAGCATATTGCCAAATTGGCGTTGATCAAGCAGCAGGACTCCCGTACTACACTTGTGAACATGCAAATGCATGGTATGGTTGATATCCAGGAAGTTCCCAGGGACGCTGGTCGATTGATTGTACGTACTATACATTTGTGGTTTTGTGATGAAGACCGGGTTACCTCGCTTTTGTTGGACCGAACTTACAAGGCTATGTCGAGGTGTCTTCAACGACTCGATGTAGAGAAGCGACGCAAAGCAGATGTCATTGCATTATCAGAGCGTACAGATGTTCAAGGTCAAGAGGAGGCCTTTCTTCGACCTGAACAGATGAACCAGTTACGTGAGGTTCGGGCGAAGGAGGAAGATTTGTTAGGACAGATTTGTAGACTCGATGAATTGGTCGGCATATTTCAAGATTATTAACTCGTATGGATGGTTTTGGTTCGGGCTTTAGCGTTCTTGATTTTTCACACTGGGGGCGGCGCCATCTACTGCATAAAGAAAGGCGTTCTAGTATAGTCGAGCAGCAATGGTTATTTCCAGTTGACTCATTACTTTGAGATACCATAGGTTCATTTCGTAGCCTAGATTAGTTGCTTAGGTAAATATTCTCCAAATTTACAAATTGTAAGTAGGTGTGAAGCTTATAATGCTATTGTTTCGCTTCTGCTTATTCCCCTTGAATCCAAACAATATTACCTAATTACCTACCTACCTAATACCGTTCACTCAACACTAGAAACTCCTTGAGAGTATTATTAAAAAAAATGGTTGATGATTCAAGTCTTATCAAATAATATCAATCTCCAAGGCTGAATTCCCACCTGTTATCTTGATCATCTAATAGATATTATCAACCAGTTTCGCCAGTTACGTTTCATACCCCACGGCAAACTATACTGACTTGGTGCTAATTGTACCTGGTGCGCACGGACAACTCACAAGGGCTTTCTAAAGGTCCAAAGAAAAAAAAAGTTTGGGAATCACACCAGACAAAACATTTTTCTATTTCCACAATCTTTGAAGAATAGAACAATTCAAAGCCTCGGACAATTTCATATACTTCACTCATTTAGTTGATTTTGAAGCATTTTCTATTTGATTTTGTCATTACCGCCATAATGTCTCCAATTGCTGCATCGCCTTCTAAAGGCTATAAGTCAGAATCTACATTGGCTAGATTGTTGGGCTCAGGTTAGTTTCTTCGGATTAGTTCAGATACGAGCAATCACTTACACTATGCGTAGGATCTGCCGGTATTGCTGAACTTGCTGTCTTTCATCCTGTATAGACACACCAAGAACCCTCATTGAAAATGAACTCACTGACCCATCAAAGGTCGACACAATCGCAAAGAGACTGATGAGCAATCAGGGATCGGTACAACCACCCGTCAATGCACTTTTCTGCCATGTCATGCTAATTACTTGTATTGCAGACCAAGGGCAAATTGGCAGAAGTTATCTTCAAGGACAAGGCAACAGCATCTGTCGGCACCAAATTCTTTTCTCTCTTCCCCGGTCTAGGATATGCTGCAGGATATAAAGTCCTACAAAGAGTCTACAAGTATGGTGGGCAACCATTTGTTCGCGACTATCTTACTACACACCACGGTAGTACTTTCGAAAACACATTTGGCAAAAAGACTGGAAAGGCCATGATGAGTTCAGTAGCAGGAAGTCTTGTTGGAATCGGAGAGATTGTCCTCCTCCCCCTCGATGTTCTCAAGATCAAGCGTCAGACAAACCCTGAGGCTTTCAGAGGACGAGGTGTTGTCAGAATTGTTAGAGATGAAGGGTTTGGATTGTACAGAGGCTGGCAATGGACCGCTGCAAGAAACGCACCAGGATCCTTTGCTGTGAGTTCCCCTACTACTCCTCTTTACTTAGACGGCTGCTAATATAGTTCAAAGCTCTTCGGAGGATCTGCCTTTGCTAAGGGATACCTTTTCAATTTGAACGATTACAACAAGGCCACCTGGTTCCAGAACTTCGTGGCTTCTATCGCCGGTGCTTCTGCATCCCTTGTCGTCTCCGCCCCTCTCGATGTTATCAAGACTCGTATTCAAAACCGCAACTTCGAGAACCCAGAAAGTGGTTTCAGAATTGTGTCAAGCATGATGAAGAATGAGGGCATGACTAGTTTCTTCAAAGGTTTAACACCAAAGGTATGCTAGGATTTCACCCATTGTTAAGTAACGACACTAACGTCTGATAGTTATTGATGACTGGACCAAAATTGGTGTTTTCTTTCTGGCTTGCACAAACTTTAATCCCTGCTTTTGATATCGCTCTTTCCAAATAGAATGTTCGTGCGCAATTGAGCCTCGTAATGTAATAATACCAAGACGGATGGGATGGAAAACTGGCGTTTAATGATATAAAACGATATATTGTACACTCCTTGTAGATAGCTGGGAGTCGATATATGGGAGGGCAAATCACTCGACTCAAATGACAATGAAAATAATAAACAGAATAGATACCTAAATCATTGCTGTTACGTATTTTGCTGTGAATCACTGCGTGACTCAATTACTGGGGCTGATGAGCATTCTATCATACCCAGCAGTATTTTGCGAGTGGTTTTGAATAGAACTCTATAAGCCTCCCACTTCTCATTGTCTGATAAGCATGTTCTGGGAATCCAGAAGTCTCATTATATCATGCAAATATGGGTAGAAAGTAATAGTAGAATTTTATGGCTTCCCTACTCGTAGTTTACTTTATCATTTATTACCCCTCCATGAAGGAGCTATGGCATCTCGGCAATAGCCGGGAATTTCTGTATCCACAAATTTCAACTTATTTAATCATCAACTTTCAACAAACACAAAATTTCCATACATACACCGTAATAAATCACACGTGAAAGCATCATCATGCCTACTCCAACATATCTCATATCTAGAGTTGGTGATCCAATCTTTGCCATATTTATTGGAGTAGGGGCAACGGTGACCCGTATCAATAGGGAAGAAAAGGAGCAAGGACGCACCACTCAGCAAACAATCGATTCTGCATTCAGGTACGTAGTTTGGACGTCCATCCCTCTTGAGCATTCAATAACACACGTCATATAGAAGAATCGGCTTTCCTCGTTCGAATGATCCTTTGGCGAAGAAGAATTAAGAGTTGTGGAAGGTGCCTTCGATTGGTCGATATGCACCAAATACTTCAAGGAAGGCGCATGGCATGCTCTATATCTTAAGACTTTCTTTCCATTTAAATAATATTTATCATGCAACAACAAGTATTTCACCAATTTGCAATCCTGGAATAACAGTCGTGCAACTGTCAGCACTTTAATCTCACTCCGTCTCCTATCCTTCACGCAGTTTCCTGCATTGGATAGTGAAAGACTTCTACAATATTCATACAATCCTGATCTTTGAACGCTTCAATGGCAGAAGGCAGCGAAGATTCTTACTTGTACATGAAAAGCCATTCAAGGGCAAATCATGGCTTCGTCAATGGAGAAGCCTTTTCTGGCAAATCACCATCTACCTGTCTTCCAAAGAAGCTCAGCGCGGATACTCGAACAACGCCTGCTTCGCCTTCGCATAAGCCTCACCGTCAAAAGAGCAACGTAGTTGTTGGACATGGCGGATCTTCTAATGTTACAAAATCTGTGGACGCTCCCACCGTTGGACCGCCCAATCATGATGATTATATGGCTTTTGACCTTTATGAGCAAGATCCCGACATGGTCTACGGATCCTCGGATTACAATCTTCGAAGACAGTCATCAGACTTCCGACTCAACTTTGAAGATATGATTGTGTTGCCAATGAGACTCAAGAAACCATCCACTGCGATTAACCTCGACGCACATAGTTTCACTGATATCGATGAGTTCGACTACGCAGATCAGCACGTCTATTATAGTCAACTTATCACTACTGTTAACTCAAATTCGGCGAGACACGAATACGCTGTACGCAAAGGACCTCTTTGGAACTGCGCCTGGGAAATTCTTGTACCAAAAGGTCTTCATCCAACCTATCTTACAGAGGATGAATTTGTAAAGTTGGTGTTAAGTCAGGGCAACGATACGACTAAATGGATGGATACCAACATTCCAATTCTACATAGAAGAGCACTTCAAAAAGCGGGCGCTGCACGTCAAAAGCTTTCAAACGCGGGTATTTCTCCATTTGAGCTGACTCAAGAGTACCTGGAGTCTTTTGAATGGATGGACAAGATTGAGCAAGATAATTTTATCAAGACTTTCCAGAAGCTGCAGTTACAAGTTTCCTTTCAGAAACAAGGCATTTCAGTGAGAATTGAGGATATTGACAGTATCCCTTATGAAGATGAGGAAAAGATCATTGGGAAGTCACACACGAAGCTGGTTGACGGGTCTTGCATCCAACAAGACTGTTCCCCTGACGTTGACGACTCGTTCATGGTTGACAAACTTAGCCTTGATGAATTTGAGAACCAGTTTTGGAATGATGATTACAAGAAGGCTTCTCCGTCATCCAAGAAGGCTCCTGCTCCGTTCCGCAGCACGCCAACTCCACAAACATACCAATCTCCAACTGCTCCCAACCTTCACGACGAAGCCGTTTCTTTAAAGTGCTTGAAGAATATTTTATGTTCCCAGGGTATTGAACCTGGTCCATCCTCTCCTCTTCTCAGATCTGATGAAGGCTCGGACTACTTCAAGATCAATCAGGAGACCAAGAATGCCCATAATTCCAATAGAGGTTCCGTGAGCCAATCTCCATTGTCACCACTCGAAGCTGCCAAGAGCTATCCTTACAAAAGTTTTTATGTTCCTCCACCAAAAAATACCGACTCTCATGTTCTCTTCTCTCTTCAAGATCCTCCTTCTCTGACTCCTCTTAAAACTACACAATCTGAATCTGGTCGCCTTGAATCCTCGAGTAGCTCAAGCCATGATCCCAGTGATGGCAGCAGTAGTACTCCGGGTTCCAAATCACAATCTCGCAAATCTGAAGCTAGTTCTGTCGGTGGAGCCCCTCTTACGGGTACTCTTAGTGGTGGCAGTGCCTGCCAAAGCCAACAGTCATGCAAGACAGAGGGAAGCCGGGCAAGTGGAGCCAGCGATAAATTCGCCAGTATTGGCAAGAGAATCGAGGGTTCCCCTAAAGCTCTCAAGAAGAAGTTGAGCTCGGTTTTCGGAACGATTGGAAGATCTGGAAGATCGGGTACGCAATGAGAAGAGACTGCTTGAGTGTTGCAGACGTTGTTGCTACTAATTGCTCATACTGAGGCATTGTTCATTACTCAAGGGCGTACTATTGAGATGCAAAGATCGCAAATTGTGCACAAGACATGTGAGGTGCTGACTCGATGGAGAATTCACAATGAAAGAAACATGGTTATGAAGGGGTATCACAGGCTCTATTATCAACTAGTATTGTTATTGTTGGAATCAAGTATGAAATTATGGTCATCAAATAGCTTGAAATCACTACCAAGCTCTCTGGGTTTACGGAGAGACAATTGCACATTCGCTAGAGGTTAGATAAGTATAGGACAGAGAGATAGTCAGAATTACAACAGATCAACCACGAGTCAAATGACATCATCAATGCGTGTTGGAATTGATGAAGGGCCTCCTCCACTCTCGTAACTTCACGATCCAACACAAGCATGTTCAATCTCTCCTCAAATCATAATCTCATTGAAACTGCAGAAAAACAGTAAATCACGAATCTAAAGACTTCACGTATACCTAGCACATTTTGAAACCATGCATGTGTTGGCAGAAAGCATCGTATCATATTGTCCCTATTCCCAATAAACCCCTCCTACTAAAAGCATGAAACAAGGAAAGGATAACAACCCCTATGAATAATTCACAACATCGACGTCCGAAATTCCCACTTCCCAAGAGCATACACAACTGTTCCATCAACCCATATACAGATAATCAGTCTTTTCTTGCTGATCTCCTTTGCTGCGAAACCGTAAGGGAGGCGCTTGGGATGATCGAAGAGGTACATGAGAAATGGTTGGTTGTTACGCTCCAAGGTGCTTGAGCGGGAAAACTTGGAAGTCGACGAGTAAATAAGAAAAACTGCCCCAGGTTGTAATGTAGTCACACGGCCCTGCCTATCCATCACCGCCTCGCCTTATAAACGCCTATGATGAGTTGTACTGAAGTCTAAAGAAGCGGAATTTAGTTGGCTTCTTCCAAAGCTTCACCGAAGGTGTTTTCGCCCGAGTATGAGATGTATAGGAATCTATTTCGTAGTCAAGTTAGCATTTATATCGTAGAATCATTTGGGATTTCTTTGTTCATCCATGAATATGGTGTTGTGTTGGAATCGATTTGGTTTAATCGCGATAATCACGATAACGGTAACGATAGAGCGGTATGACGTTATGAAAAGTAGATAATGGAGAACGTACCCATCCTCGTCCTTATGTTCCTCATAAATGGAGCTCATCAAAGCAGCAGTAGGCGGTAAGACCTCATCGACGAAAATGAAGATTGCCTTTTCCGGGGAAAGCTTGATACGTTTGCGGATAACGTACACAAACTGACCGACGGTGAGATCGCTGGGAACGAGATACTTCTTCTTGTCGATCGTGGCGATGTCGGATTTCTCGACCTTCTCGCAGATGACGGGAATACGGTCGGAGTATTTTTGACGCTAGATACAAAAGTCAGTCGGGTTGTGGTGAAAGGAAAGCAGGTGCAATAAGTCGGTTTGAGGGTTTGGGGGATGCGATCGTGATAGTGGGGAAGAGGAGGTAATGGTTAGGAGGTTGGAATGCGACTTACGATGCGTTCAGCTTCAGCCTTGCGCTTCTCGAATGGGTGCTCGTCCTTAAACTTGGATCGCATTTTGAAATGAGTTATTAGATGTTTTGTTGGTTAAGAGTTGTTGGGTTATTGTTGAAAGGTAAACAGGGTTGAGAGCGTTGATGTTGTATGTGTTGTGTTGTTGATGTAATGGAGGATGGAGGATGGAGGATGGAGGGGAGAGGTAGTGTGAAGGAGTAGGTAGGGAGGGAGATGTAATGGAGAGAGTGAGAGAGACTAATAACGTATTATTAAAGGCCATAAAGCCTGCCTAAGTGCAGGTGGCTAAGTAGCGTAAGCGGTGAGTGATTGATTGTGAATCACACTTCTTGCCTAGTGCCTAGCGATAAGTAAATTGTATGGATGGATTATACGTACGGCTTGAGCTTTATTACATGCGTATTATGATACTGTACTGTGACTTGCAGGTGAGAGGTGTGGTTGTATGAGAAGAGTACGGGTTGAATATAGATTTATTATATATATGGTTGGTATAGATTTATTATATATGTGGTTGGTATATCAGTTAGACAGAAAGATTGACTCGAGATTACGGTAAATAGCTAGGAACGTATCTAATAGAACAATAGCAGCTGACGATGGTGAAGAGTGAAGAGTGAATTATGGAATATGAATGACATGCCTGTTTCAGATTACTCCCAAGGGCACATGATGAAAAATATACTCATACAATGATACAAGTGATCATTCATTCATACTTCAGACTTCATCCTTCATCCCCCATAGCCTCCCTTTTCTTTGTCATTCTGTTTCTCTTTGACCGTCGTTCTCTTTCTGCCCTCCCTTCGTAGATACGCTCGAGGGATGGGACTAAACCCCAGACAGCAACCCCACTCGAGATAGAGGCAAAGAGGCGGCTAGAGATGGAGTCAAGAGGGTCACGGGTATCTTGTTGGAGGAGGGACCTGGACATCCTTACCAGGAGAACATGCTAATATACCAATAGTTGGTGTCAAATGATCTCCTATCATTGAAGTACACATGGATAGAGATACTCCGTACCTCGTACTTACAGTCGTTCTGCCGGTAGTGAGTTACCCGGGTGTACATAGTAATCTATTATCTCATGCCTGGCGAGTCTGGGTATATGTTATGTATCTCGCATCTGGACTTTCTCTCTCTTCCTCCATAAGGTTTTCTTTTGAATCTTCTGGTGTTCTTCAACTTCCAAGGTTGTGATAAGTAATCTCTCGGATTCTTACGGATCTGTTCTCTGTACTCAATCTCAGTAAGTTCTCCGTGAATACCGTAAGTCTCTAGGTACTAGGTAGGTCTTCAATGTCTTGTTCTGCTCAGCACCGGTAAATCGTTACCAAAATCTTCCGATGATGGCCAGTGCTTGCTTCCCTTTCTAAAAGTTGACCATTCATCGCCGTCATGATCATAGAAATCGTACCACGGCAAAGAGCAAAAATAATATCGATAAATCTAGTCCTCTGAATTACACCCAAATAGTCACTTCCACAACTATATCTCCTTATTTGTGGCATGTTTCTTGTGTTATAGGGCTCAATTCCTTTCAATTCTAAGCTGACCATTTCCTTTCCTTTCACAATGTCTCTTCCCATAAGAAGAGCTCGATTCTCGAGCTTGGGAAGAACTTCTTTCTCTAGACATTCTTTACCTTTGTATCCTCGGAGAACTTTCGCAGATCACCAAAAGCCTCCTAGACCAGGCTCTGGACGACCTACTGTTTGGGCACCAAAAACAAGAATTGCTGTTGGCGTTGTCTTTATTGGTGCTTTGATTTACAATATGGTATGGAGCATGCAATCAAGACTTATGCTTCGGGCTTCACTTACACCTTAGTAGGCAACAGAAGAACCGGCCAAGTTGGATGCCCCTACCATTGCGGAACGGGATACCCTCACTAAACGTGAATCTGGAGTTACGGAGAATTCGCCCATGCGATTGCGAATGGAAGAATTCATTAAGCAGCAGCAAAAGGAAATCGTACATGAATTGGAACAAGTCGACGGAAAGAAGTTTCGAGTTGATACATGGACTAGGGAACATGGCGGAGGTGGGATCTCCTGTGTATTGCAAGACGGCAATGTATTTGAGAAAGCAGGAGTAAATATCAGTGTGGTATATGGAACATTACCTCGACCGGCAATTGAAAAAATGCGAGCCAACCACAAGTCTATCGACCCTGATGTTCAATCCCTCGACTTTTTCGCTGCAGGATTAAGTATGGTCCTCCATCCAGTCAATCCAATGGCACCGACTGTCCACCTCAACTATCGATATTTCGAAACCGAAAATCCCGATGGTTCACCTGCTGCATGGTGGTTTGGTGGTGGAACGGATCTTACACCTAGTTACTTGTTCGACGAAGATGCTATTCATTTTCACAAGACAATTAAAGAAGCATGCGACAACCATGACAAAGAATACTATCCAAGATTCAAGAAATGGTGCGATAACTATTTCTCCAATAAACACAGAGGGGAAACGCGGGGTGTTGGAGGAATCTTCTTCGATGATTTAGAAGAAGGAAAGGATCAAGAAAACTTGTTTGCATTTGCACAAAGTTGTTTGAAAGCTTTCCTTCCTTCATATCTCCCAATCATCAATAAGAGGAAGGACATGCCATATACCGAGAAAGAAAAGGAATGGCAGCAAATTAGGAGGGGTCGATATGTGGAATTCAACCTGGTACATGATAGAGGTACAGCTTTCGGTTTGAATACACCAAGTGCGAGGGTGGAAAGTATTTTGATGAGTTTACCTTTGACGGCTAGTTGGAGGTATATGTATGAGCCGGAGAAGGGAAGTAGAGAACAGAGATTGGTAGACGTTTTGAGAGAACCTAGGGAATGGGTGTAAATGTTAGATGTGGGAATAGAAATAGTCGATTGATTAAATCTTTGCTGTATATATGAATTAGAAATTACATGTATGATATAAATGAAAGAACTGAATAAAAGAAAGATATCAGTGAGGTTTAAAATAATGGGTTTCCCTTACCTAGTACTTTTAGGCAAACGAACGAGCAAGCGAGCTTGGTTCCACCCCTCCTTTTCTGTTCTATCCAGTCTCATTCATTGCACCTCGAGCACATTTCCACATCTTATCTTAACACCACTTCAACTCTTCAACTCTTGTGGGAATATCCGGTTTCTATTTAAACGAAATAAACTCTATGTATCCAATTTCTATATTTTCTTTCTATCATAGAACTTCTCCAAAGTCATTAATAAAAACAATCTCATATCATCCATTCCCATCCCACCACAATGTCCACCCATCACGCTGCACCTCTACTCCCGTCTCAATCTCCATCTGCATCCCCCTCACTCCCTTCATCCCGTGATTTCATGACATCTCTCTTCAACAGTCTTACTTCTCCTACTTTTTCTTCTCCTATACAAACCTTAGACCCAAATGCAACGTCAGATTCCATCTCGTACACTCAGAGATTTTCAAGGGAGAATGAGAGGGGGAATGGAGATGGAAATCAAAATGGAAATCAAGATCTAAATCCATTAAAGCAATTAGATGCACAGAAAAAAGCATTATTGATGACGCTCCATGTTATTTTTCCTCCGCCGTTGCTATTGCACGCGTTGGATTTGTTGGATAGAGGGGCGGTGGGGAGGGTAGTTTCGAAAAGGGAGGAGGATATAGAGGAGGGAATTGGTAAGAGGGAGGGGGTAGGGGATATGAGGGATGGAGAGAAAAGGAGTATGGGGAAGAACTTCAGTGGCGCAGGACAGAAAGAGGTAGAGAATAGTAGGAGCATGGAAGTCAAAGATACAGAAGTAGGAGAGACAGCCAACGACGCCTATAACCCCAAAGTCACTCCATCCACATCCATATCCACACCCTCAAACAAGAATCCTTCTCCTCTCACCCCAAACCACCGCTCTCCCCTCAAAACAAAGCCAACAACACTTTACCAAGTGCGCTCCTCCCAGCCCCCCAAATGGCACTCCTCACGCTCTGCATCCGGAGCAGGTGCAGTAACAGGTCATGCAGCTGCAGAAAATACATACACCGTGCATCTGGACGCCTGGAACTGTAGCTGTGCCGCCTTTGCATTTTCTGCTTTTCCTGCTTCTTCTTCTTCTTCCTCTTCTACTCATTCCTATCCATACATTTCCACTTCTACTCCGTCTGCTTCTTATTTTCCGTGGGGCTTGGAGATCTCTCCAGATGAGGAATGTTCAGTTTCATTGGAGAAGCAGAAGGGAAAGGGAAAGGGAGAGGGAGAGGGAGAGGAAGAGAAGTGGCAATATGGAGGCTGGACGAAAACATCCCAAGTACCTATCTGTAAACATTTGTTGGCGTGTTTGTTGGTGGAGAGGTGGGGTGATGTGCTAGGGACGTTTGTACGAGAGAGGGTTGCGGGGAGGGAGGAAATGGGTGGCTTGGTTGTTTGAGGGGGGTTGGAGAATTGGGGTGACCTATGGGATATGGGTTATGGGAGGAAAGACGTTAGGAGCGGGGGAGATGTAGAGTAAATACGGCGGGGAAAAGAAGAGTGTGATGAGGGATGTGTCGCCTAAGATTAAGATTGGAATGTCGGTTGGCGCATGGGAGTTGAAACTATCTGATATCTTTCAAAATGAGTGTGTGAATTTGAACACTAGAATCAAACAGAAAGTAGAGAGCTCGGTTGCTTCTGGATTCAGGAAAAAACATCAATGAGCGAGCACATGCAAAGTGGTAAAATCACGCTGAAAACTTTCCACGGCTGCTATTATTCGCAAGCTATGCAATTATGATACAATGACATATCAATTCTCACGCTCAACTCAAATGTCCTATGTCATGCCCCAATCTGAATGCCCGTACCTCATAAACACCCAAAGATATTCACCAACTCCCCAATTGTTCGTCATCACTTCTTCTTTTCCTTATCCTCTTTCTCCTTTTCCGCTTCTTTGCCCTCCTTAGCATCCCCATTTACGCCATTAGTTCCTTGAGTCTTCTTGTCCTTCTCATCTTTGGCTTCATCCTTTTTGGCTTCTTTCTCCTCTTGTTGTTGTCTATTTTGGATTTTATTTTCGATAAGGTCGTGGAAGGCGGTGATGGCGCGGATCAAACTACTTAAGTAGATAGCCATCAATTGATCGTTGGTCTTTATGCTCATAGCATGTGCCAGTTCGCTGTTATTCTCAACAGGTGCATCGGCGCCGTTAGGGATGTGAGAGGAGGCTTTGGGTGTAGATAAATTAGGGAGGAGGTTGAAAACATCTTGGAGGTTGCCTAGAATGGCGTGGTTGACTGGTAAAGTTCCATCGAGGACGTTTTGTAAATATTGACCAATATCTCGTAATCGTGCGTGTAGTCCTTGCAATGATTGTACTTGGCTTGTGATTCGTGTTGAAAGAGTACCAACCGCCACGTCTCTAATATCTCTAAGTAAATGTTCAACTCCGATTTCTTCAGCCTCCTCAGCCTCGATGATCGTTGGTGTGTGTACGAAAGTCTTCGAAGTAGTTGTGCCGTCCTTAGATAATGTTAGAGCTTGACCAATTGCCTTTTCATGAGATAATGAACTTACATCTTTAATCTCCTCTACCGCAAAGTAGGCATCTGTTGGTACGCCGCTGTCTGTTGGCTGACAATTGATAATCACGAGTAATGGGTTGGGTGTATATCTTTTGAACAACTCATTGACCTCCAAATCTGAAGCTCTTAGCTTAGGCCCAGAATGATACCATCCTATCAGCTTCTCCTTTGCATTGATCTTCTTGAACATGTCATTCATCGATTCGACGTAGTTGTGGTCCAAAAACCATACTGATGGATCTTTCTCATCTTCTTCGAATGGAACTATTTGAGATTGCTATTAGTATGGTATAGAACATCAAACCAAGCTCAAACGAGCATGTTGAAGGGAGTCGACATACCAGCAAAACTGTTGGATACTCGTACATTCTTTCCTTCATTCTGTCCTAACAGAACTCCAACCACTCTGCGCGTGCCTTTACTTTCTGACCGTCCATAATGATCTGCTGCAGAGAGTAATACCAGCGGCGCAACTGATACAGTTCTCGAAACGAGGGAGAGGGTTTCTGCTGTAGTAGCAGGCATGATGAATTTAGATTTGTAGAGGTTGGTTGTTATGGAATAATGGAACAATTGTTGACAAGGCTGATATTCTTAGGTATTCGCGGCCAGAGCTTGCCTGGCACCCGGTGCTTAGCTCCAAACCGAATCGAGACGTCATCACGTGTCACACAGCGGGCACTTTGGGTAGTGGCGGGCGGAAGGGCGGGAGTTGGTCTCGCAGTAAAGAAGGTACGATGAGGTAAATGTCAATTGTGGACAGGAAGGATAGATCGGATGTAGGATACCGACCGTCACAAGGTTGAAATTATACAGTACCGGTACTGTATATCTTTCATAGGAAATTATGAGATTTTGCTGGTGATGTAAGAATACTGGCCCGTCCCGTATCATCCAAAAGAACCTCGGACGGACTTCACTTTGCAGACGCAGAAGGAGTTCCAGGAGCTTAAACTTCAAAGATTGTATTGTATTACAACCAAGATAACTCTGTGAAGGTCCGGTGAAATATCTACCCAGACATACTTCAATATACTCAATAGCTAGCTACTGTCAAGATAAGACCTCACTCGGGTCCCTTATGATATAAATGCCATCGATTTTCCCTTTATAAAATATTCATATCTTCTTCTTCCTCTTCTTCCTCTTCTTGTTGAGAGATTCTTGGCTCGATACACTGAGGGGATATCCCGGTGAATTTTTTCCGTCCCTCCGGTTGCCGCTCGGCAGAACAAGCTAGATTTACAGTGCTCTATATTCATTGTAACATTTCCATTCCCATTCCCATTCCCTCGCGTTCAAGGCTTGCGAATCTTTTTCTTCTGACTCTCTCCACTCTACAATCTGTATATTTTGGATTATTCCCCATACCTTTGTTTCGTTTTCCTTCACCCCATTAATTCAATATGGCACCAATTGGCGATGATGCCTCGCAGACCCTCCATGACTTGGTCAACAAACTCGAGTCGAGGGTCAAGGAGCTCGAAGACAAGCTTGCGCATGCTGCTGGTGGCCCAGCACCATCTCCTTCTGAGAGCGTCAGAATGATTCTTATGGGTCCTCCCGGTGCTGGTACGTATTCATGAGTTTGCTGGTCTTGCAATCGTGGTGTGTAAGCAAATTGGAGGCATCAGCTAAACTGTTTTGCACAGGCAAGGGAACTCAAGCTCCTAAGATTAAGGAGAGATTCTCATGCTGTCATTTGGTAAGCTATTCTACTTGCGGGAAAAAGGCAATACTAATGTTAGTTTAGGCTACTGGAGATATGTTGCGATCACAAGTTGCGAAGAAGACACCATTGGGCCGGGAAGCTAAGAAGATCATGGATCAAGGTGGTCTCGTCAGCGATGAAATTGTTATTGGCATGATCAAGGCCGAACTTGAGGGCAACTCAGAGTGCAAGGGAGGGTAAGTGCTGTCGGAGATTATTAAAGAAAAAAGCTCGTTCTGACGTGAAACATAGATTTATTCTTGATGGTTTCCCACGTACAGTCGTGCAAGCAGAGCGCTTGGATGCAATGCTTGCAGAGCGCAACCAAAAGCTACAACACGCAGTTGAACTTCAAATTGACGATAGTCTTCTTGTATCCCGCATTACTGGACGTTTGGTGCACCCAGCCTCTGGCCGATCGTATCACAGAATATTCAACCCACCTAAGGCAGACATGAAGGACGATATCACTGGTGAACCATTGGTCTCAAGATCCGACGACAATGCTGAAGCTTTAAAGAAGAGACTTGTTACCTACCACGCTCAAACTGCCCCTGTCGTTGGTTATTACCAAAAGACTGGCATCTGGAGTGGAATTGACGCTTCACAAGAGCCCGGCGCCGTTTGGAAGTCACTCTTGGGTGTATTCGACAAACAAAAGGGTGCTAACGGTTCGATACTTAGCAAAATTACCGGTCGATCTTAGAAAGACATTGGAATAAAGGTGATAAGTTAGCTTTGCATAGAGTTCTAAAAAGTTGTAATTGCATTTAAGTTAGTAGGCACAAGTGCAATCTTTCTGGAAGGAAGGCGTTTGTACAACCAAAGATATGCACTGGGGGCCATGTGAATTTAGAGGCTCTGTGTATTATTTGCACTGTGTTTTCCCGCACTTGAAGATTAATAAAAAGTGCTCAAATTGAATGAAGTCAATGAACAATCTTTCACAGAAATAAAGTTAAAATCTTCTCACATTCTACAATCTCTTTTGCCATGCATTCATTATATTTTCCGGGGCGCCCTATGTCGTTTCCCCAAAGTAAACTGGCAAAGAACCCACGGTTCCCCAACATAAGGGGGGGGGCATGGGAAATGGTTGGGTGGTTAAAATTGGGTTGCATCCGCCGATAGATGAGTGTTACGGCTGCATGAAACCGCGGAACACATGTGTAGCTGTAAACAAATTTTTCTTCCTGTTTTTCACCTGATGATGACGCATCGCGGGAGTCCTTAAGGAACGGATGGCTGTCCTGGAAGAGAAAGTGTAAGAATGAATATATATGGTCATGTCAGCAGTTCTTGTGCAATATATCATTTGAGTGAGAAAAGCGTCGAGGGATTTTGGAGGATTACTCGGTAAAGAAAGGAGTATCTGCAATATCTAGAGAAAGGAATCATTAGATCGAGATTCATCAGCTAAGCTGTGTCCCATTTGTGGACAATTGACGTCTAGGAAAGTCGGAGGTTGGAAGGGCCGATGGTGTGTATATTTTCTTCTTGTGTTCGACTTGATCTGTACCTCTAATCCTTTCTTTCAACAATGAAAATAAGTTACTTTCTATAAGACTAGAAATTTGACTGACAATGATTGAATATAGAAAGAGTGAGCGGTCTGTTGTGGTGACTGATGATGTAAGAGAGTTGCATCATATGTATGAGGTATGCAAGGAAGAGTTCGTGATTTCTAGCTTCAAAGATATCTGAGAGCAACTACTATGCTGGGCCCTACTCCATCTGTATGCGAGGGAATCGTGAAGTAATGGGTATGAACGCTAGTGTGTTCATATGCAAAGCTTTACACTAGAATGTTAATTGGACCAATTCCTTTTTTGAAGTTTGTTGGGTGAGGATAATTACCCCTTTTGGAAAAACAACTCCAAGGCGAGATAGCCCTTTCCAACTGTAGTAAGTTGGAAGGGTTCGAGCTTTCCATAATATGGGATTGAAGTGGTTTATCAGTATTTAGCATGTGTACCAACATATAGCTTGTTTCATCGAGTATCTTACCTTCTTCATTCCTAATCTTGCAATTCTTTCATAGGACTTTGGAAGGAAAAGACAGCTTTGGAACCTGAAATACTACTATGAGATTAAAAGATTCATCTTGACTTCTTCTTTGTTGTTTACCAGGGGATCATTCCGAATTTACTTCTCAAAAGTCACCACTGTGATCAACAAGGTACATTGAGTGTTCAGGTTGTTGCTCAAGGATGTTGAAAGAACTTTTCTCCATTGCCATGCCGACCTGAATGACCTGTCTTAGTTTACTTTTCAGCTCTCCATGTTTTGAACTTCCAACATTGAATTTGTTTACTTTCCTCCATTGTGATTGGTTTCTTAATATTGTATCAAACACAATCTGATCATTGGTAGCAGTGGATTACATCTTTCCACATCAAGGCACCTCGAGTTAACTCCTCTTTGCCTTTACATTACTTCAAGATTGTGCATTCGACTGTTTTTGAACCCTCATCCTATACTATTCTCCAATATATACCCCCACTCCGGTCGATATCTGATGTTATTGCCGTGTTTGGTGACAACACAGTTTAGCTTCCTCTTCCACCAGCCGCGTTCATCCTCTCAAATTTTCAACTTCGACCGGCAAATTTGTTCTCCCACAACACTTACCTAGATTAAACCCAACGTTTTTCTTAATTGCAATCTCCCTTGTGGCTCTTTTACATTTGTTACCAAAAGACCACGGCTTTCCGTACATTCAACACGCCAAGAATATCTCGAAGAGTGTAAGTCTCCTCCTGCCCCTGCCCCCCAGCTTCTCCAGGATTTGTATTCTGGGTTTGACCACCATCACCGCCACTACAATGTTTTGGTGATTATCAAGAACAGCCAAAAACTAAACATAATACACGTGGATATACCATCCTATTCCCTCAACTTCACTGTTTGTTGACCTGGCATGCTGAAGCATAACATTAGATCATATCTCCTCTTTTCCCATCTGAATCGAATCTCAAAACACATTTTTCGGTATGTGAGCTCTCTCTCGATCTTAACTTTAAGGGACCATGTTCATGCGTCTGAACCACGTCTGATACTGTATTAGTTCGCTAACCAATACTATAAAGTACAAGCTTTCATCATGGCGCAAGTTATGATGCCGGTATGTGGTTCTCTGTCCTTTGCGCGACACCCAAAATTACTAACAACAAGGTTAGGTGACACCATTCAATCGTGAGTACCTTTATCACCCGAATTAACAACAATAATATCAACACTTTATCCTATTCATGTTTTGGCAATACAAACAAACCAGATCTGATATTGTCACAGAAAATGAGAATGGCACTCCTCCTCGTCCCTTGAGTAGACGCAAGAAGAGAGAAGCCGAAGCAGCAGCAGCAGCAGCAGCCGACGCAGCCGTTGTCCTATCTGAAGATCGCAGACGCGCCCTCGAAGCTACCTATAACGGAGCTAGCGCTGGTGAAGCTCGCGAGAAACTCCTTCAAAATCCAGCAATGTCACTTGGACCTGGTCTTCATCTGCCACCTACTGAGGTAAGTATGAGTGGATTTGCTACACATTTGCTGTTGTAGTAACCCAGACTTACAACTATATCTGCTTAGGATAAGACATATAACCTGCTCACTCATTTTCGTGTTCCTGGACCTGAACTCGTTAACAAGAGCATCCCCAGCTGTGGCTTGCCACTAGGTTGGTCCGACAAGCATGACCGTTGCATTGCGTATATGTCTACTCATGCTCCATTGGTTCAAGGTAAAGTTCCAAGGCAAGAAGCACTTCAACCTCGATACACTACACGCGAAATCACTTCGTTCATCTTAAAACGATTCCCAGAGCTATGCCGCCATGTGAGTTCACAACATACCATCAAAAGTCTGGGTTTTAGCTGACTTTACATAGCGAATTAAGGAGTCGATTATTGAATTACGCCTGGAACTCCTCGACCGCTCTGAAAATTCTTATTTCAGTGTTGAGTATGGTGGTTATAGTGATCATGAGTGGGCTCGAGGCATCTGAGACTGTATCTTTTTCGAATTCCAAATCTGCTACTAGATATGCTGCAACTAAGGTATGAACGCTCTACATACATTTCTCGTCGCGACTGACTTGTTCTTTAGAGCTTCTCGCAATACTTTCTGCTAAGCAAGCGTCTCTTTTATTTGTGCAACACTCCTTATACAGCTTTAGGTTTGGGATGGACGAATAATATTTTGCTACGATAATGACTCAAGATACTAAATAATTGTTTTAATGGTTTACGATTTCCTGCATTCTCAGATAGATCATGAATTATCTCACAAGGAGTCTTCTCTGTATCTATGGATTTATGCGGCGGCGTTTTGAATTTCATGCAAGTTTCAAAAATTGTTGATTGATTATCTTTTAAGATGTCTTTCTGCTTTCTTTTAGAGAGCTTCAACATATGCCGTACGCGGTCTCTATGTTACATTTCTCTAAAACGCATTGATTTCCAACATATCAAGTCTTTGACTTTGAGCTTACGATGATTGTGATATCTGACTCATTGTTAAGGTTGTGATGAATATCCTAGTATCTCTTCTTATGGTTCATGCTTACTTTTGATTCATCCTCTCGTAAAAATTTACATAGCATGACTTAATAGACAGAATAGTTCCCACACTTAGGTCAGATTTATCTGAGCCTCACAACTAATCTGACAGTCCGATTAGCGGCTCAAAAGTGGTCCAGACTATGCTCAGACTTAGATAATATCTGCTATGGGATTTCATCCTGCAGTGCGACTTGTCTATAGGAAGGATGGTAGAAATTTAAGTTAAGACTAAGAATGAGTCTGCTCTACTATTCTCTTCTCTGCTCTTTTTTACTTTGCCATATCAGTTCCCATCGTCTTCTGGCCAAGTTTGGATAGATGGTATAAGTTCACATCATATTCAAAATACATAAATCACTCTAGTTCGCATCAAAAGTGAAACATCATAATTCGAAAGGGGTAAATTGCCTTTTATCATATCTTATTCGCTGTGCAGAACTATGCTCACTATTGGATTCACTGTCATCCACAGTCATCTAACATAAAAATCCCCAGAGAGAAGAGAATCGGAACGCAATGGCTTGCATAGAGTACAGTGAGTGTAACGACAAAAATATCAAGAAGTCAGAGATAATGCTTCTGAAGTAGGAAAAAATTACAGTTCGTTTTTCGTTCCATGTTCCGTAAGTAGTGCAGACAATGCAGAGTAGGAGCTGTGTGTGTAGTCTACAAGTATTGATCTCGTCGGCGTTCGTTTTCTTTTCATATCCATCACCAAACCTATCCTTCATCACCTATCACCAATCCCTTTGTGCCCCCCAAACCATCATGAGCAGTTCATGAAATTGCATTGCGTGTCATCATCACATCCATCTATATTTTTATCCTGCGCTCTGAACCTCAACCTCTTAAATACCTACTTCTCCTACAATCTTCGCAGCTTCCTTGTACGTCCTCAACAACTTCTCGCACTTCTCTCTCTCCTTCTTCACTGCATCATCTTCGTAGAGGAGCTCGCCGAATAAGTCTTCACGATACAATTCGCTAACCAGACGGTTTTGGACCACGTCTTTAGAGTGATTGACCAGTAGATGCATGACGGCTTTGGGAACTTGGTCTGCTATTGATTCACGGACAATGTTGAAGTAAGATGAAATAAGGGCACGGATGAGTTCGGTTTCCATGGCTTCGCGGTCTGTGAGTGCTGGCTCGGCGTTGTTTCCCTGAGGTTTGGTGTTAGTTTTGGTTCATAATTTAGTGGTATTGAATAGAATGCGGAACTTACAAATGGAGAATCGTAATTGTAATCTCTCTGTGCACGTCCGAGCTCATAATCATCCTCACGAGCTTGCTGGGCTGGTGTTCTTTGAACAGGACGTTCTTCCTGCCGCCTGATACTTTGTGTAATACTTGGTTCTGCGCTTTGGCTCACGTGTCTGCCAAGGTTTGGATTTCCGAACATTTGGGCTGACGAAGATGCTTGTGGGACACCTGCTCCACCAGGCAAACCACCGTCTTTGCCAAAGAAGTAGTTCAAGAACGAATCACGAGCACCACCAGCTGCCTGGCCGTTGAACCTTGGTGGTGATCCTCCACGAAGTCCGTTCATTGATGATACCATGGCGCTTGTACCGTTTTCCCGGATTGCAGGTGACATGCTTCGAGATGTTTTTTGGAGATGTTTTCGGTGGGGTAAGTTTTCGAGCTTTTCTGGAACAGCGTCTTCTCCTTCTTCTGGAGTTTCCCCGCCATTTGCAGCTTCAAGCTCCTTTCGGCGTCTGTGCTCCTTTCTCTCTTTTTCTTCCTGGATCAACCTTCTCCTCTCCTTTTCTTGCTTATTAGAAACAACGTTACTCATTGCTGCAGCTGCGCCAAGGAAATTGGGATGATTTGTGTTGATATAAGCCCTTTGAATGGAGATAAGAGACTCCACATATTGAGAAGCTGGGCCAAGACGTTCGCGCAACAGATCAGAGACCACCTCGATAAGCTTGGTCTGGAGTCTGGGGAATCTGGTAAGTTCAGTTGAGCCACAAGTATGGCATATCTTAATCAGCTCTTCGTAAACTAGTTCCACGCATCTTTGACTAGGAACCTCCAATAACTTGATTTGTGGCTTGACTAAAAGATCGAACGCGAGCTCGGGTACGAATAGGCTAGGTCGTGGACCGGTCGAATTTCGGATTGCTGTTCGGATATCTAGGGCGGAAAGATTTGTCGTTGGGTCTATAGTTTCTAATGAATTACCAAAAACAGAATTGAAGATATAGTATATTCTGGCTCCTCCGCATAATTCCTTGGTCGAGATCTCTGTTGAGGTACCATCAATGGATGCGATGAAAGAAGATGCGAATCTAGTCATCAATTGTAAAATCAATGCACCTTTATGTTCCTTGCCACTGAAATGCATATCCCCATAACTAGCAAGCTCTTGTTGTGTTTGTCCCATGAGGGTGTTCAAACGAGCTTTGATATCAGGTAATCTCTCTCGGATATGCGCCATCAAAGTAGTGTTGAGACTTTTTGCCAAGAATTGAGTTCCGCATCGGTTTGCCATATTTCGATATGCAGGGTGGTGTTTGAAGAAGTCCGCTTCTGACTTCAACGCCTCGGAGAGGGTCTTGTTCCCTTGGATATCTTGTTGTGATCGGTTGACGACACCGATAAATCCCAGCTTAAGGGGGTAGACTCTGCCCGACAGAATATCCATAGCGTTTGTACCATGGTCCATAAGGTCTATTTTTGTGAGAACTCCAATAGTTCTTCGGCCAAGAGGATCGACATGCCTGGCAAGTTTTAGAGCCTCTGAGTTGACAATATCAACGTTTGCTGGGGATACCGCCAAAATAATACTGTTTGGTTTCGCAATGTATTCCGATATCAGATTTCGGGTCTGCTTTTCGATATCTGTGGGTTGATCTCCGATAGGAACCTGCGAACAGTCAAAACCTCACCCTCTTGCTTGAAACGTAAAGAATGACAGGAATTTACCTTGGTTAGTCCTGGCAGATCGACCAAAGTCAAGCTAAGAACATGGGGCGAGTAAATCTTAAGGTTGATGGGTGATCTATTAATCCCCTTGTTGTTACCAGCTATTCTCGCCGTTTCGTTCTCGATTTCCCTCTTCACATCCTGAAATTCTGTAAATCTCCTATTTGGGATATGATGAAACTCGGCCCATTCTGGTTGTGTAGCCACACTCGCTGCTGTGTGCGCTTCTGGTGCATCTTCTTCCTCTGAGGGTACATTGATAAGTTGTAGAATGAGGGGTCTACGGGTGACAATCCCACTACCACGGGGAAGGAAATCTCGACCGACGATGTTCTCGAGTACGGATGATTTTCCAGAAGATTGGGAGCCAACGACTACCTAGAATTGATATCAGTGCCAGTTTTCGCAGCATGTTTGAGAGAGTACGGTACAATCTGTGGGAGATCTAAGCTATCATTGCCAATAGTGTTAAACACAAGATCTTGAAGCTTGTTAACTATCCCGAGCAAATCCTCACCAAGAGCAGCCATTGCGTTGTTGTCGAGGGGTAACCAAGATGTGCCTAGAGGGGAAAGGTGTTGAAGCTAAGTTTTTAAGAAATATCGCGTTCGATGTCGACGATCACAAGATAGAGAGATGATATCTGAGTCTGGCGCGTGATGGTAATATCTAAATCAAGAAGGTATAAGGAGGCTCTTTGGTATATCAAGACCCAATAGCAGGGAATTCCGTAGCTATTTGAGGTTGAAAATAGAATTCATTTACTCTTTCCCGGGTTCACTTCATTCATATAATTTACCAAGGTAATGCATCGAAAAGAATCGGCTACAGTTACGTTTTAGCCACATCCATACAGTGTGGTGTGGCTTGATCGATCGATACGCCACAGGCACGTAATCAATCTAATCATTTTATCTCATTCATTCAATCCAATTCATCATCACTTGGTAGACCTGGGCAATCTTCGATCTTCAATCTTTATTAATCTTCACTCATCTCTCCAATCTGCGAGTAGGAATTTCACACTCAGACAGCCCCTCCATTTCATCTGATCCTTTCCAACTACTCTACTAGGTAGTTATTCACAGTTATTCAAATCCAAAATTTAAACCCAATTTATGAATGGAAATATGAATATTGTTTCATTATCTAGATGCTCGCCCTTAATCCAGTGCTAGACAATGTATTAAATATCATAATGCAAGGCCTCTTTGTTCAAAAATTCTCTTCCAGTCCTTGGGCACCTTTCCATTTTGGATAGATTAAAAATTTTCTCATGCTTTGCTGTCTTCTTATGAAAGGTCTAGTTAGTCTAGAATCTAGTCGATCCAATGCCATATCACCAGCATATTGATCAACCCCCATCTTGTTGGCATTGCGTTCTTCGCTTCTCCACTCCATACATATACGATAAGGCTTCATAATTCCCGCATAGGGTTTTTCTCATACCTAGTGGTTGATAAGACAAGTAATGCATACACACACCGTAGAACTATTCTTCATAAAAGATTAATGAAGAGTGTTATGTTATCGCGGATGCTTATGACGGTGGATCGCACCCAAGCGAGTACGCGAGGTATCCCACGTTTAACAGACAACATCAAAATGGCCAATGAAAACAATACATTGTACATATTTCTACGTACAATCTGGACTTGAATTCACCTGAAAGATGGCTGAATCTAGACACTTGCTGACTAGGTATTTGATGTGAATTTGAATGTCTTCGGCGAAATAGAGGCTATTACAAATGCTTTCTATATCCATAGATTGTAGACTGAGATTAAAGGAGCATCTAAGCTTAAGCGATCAATCAATCATCGCACTCAAATACAGACCTTAGAGAGTACCATGAAGGTATCTGCTCCTGATCGGCTATTGTGAGAACCACTTTTAAGCTTCTTAAATATTTAAATCATTAGGTATCCTACAATTCGTGCAAATGCATTTGTGATGCCTTCATGAGCCCATTACTTATTTAGTCCTCATCCATCTCCAACAGTCTCTCCTCACCTAACTCCCTGATTTTTTCTCCTAAAATCGTCCTATCGTATTTATCTGCTACTTTCCCTGCTGCCTCGATAAATTTACCTGTCCTATCCTTCATCAATTGTACCATCTCTAATGCCCTCATGCCTCTTTCCTCGCCTTCTATACATTCCGCCATCATCATCCTCAAAAGTGTCTTGTCAATTTCGACATCCATGGTTAATAACTCTTCTCGTTCTGCCCTTGTGCTTGCAGTGGATTTGACAAGATCTGACTTTAATATTGAAAGAATGCTCTTGAGAGCGAATTCCCCTTCTAATTTCTTCATTTCATCTGCACCCATTTCATCGTCATCATCGTCCCCGTTATCAGGCTTTGACTGTGAGGAAATGGGTATCTGGAAATCAAACTCGGAGAGTAGCGGACGAGGGAAGTAAGGATATTTGTCATCACCTTTCAAGATAATGCAATGGAATTTGTTGTCTGACACCGCCACGGGGAAATATGTCTCTGTCTTACGCCCACTTGCGAGACGAGAAAGAAGTTTCGTATCAAGGAGAGGAACCCAGCTTGCCTGTGATGGCTCACGCCAGTGGACAAGAGTTAGTAGTGTTCCGGTAGAGTCGTAAATACATGGATCCTGAATATTTGAGTCAGCAAAGTGAATATAATTATCATAATTCGGAATGTGCGCTTACCCCGTTGTCTGAAAAGAAAACACTTTTGACTGTCTCGCCATCTGGCAAGGCTACGACATCCTCATTTTGGCAAATTTCGTCTCTTTTAATGTTTTGTATGGTATACAGTAGTTTGGTATTACCATCCGCACCTACGGGACCATTCCCCAAAGTAAGAACATAGTCCCTCCAACTCGCGCAGGTAACCATAGGACTACTCTTTTGTCTATATACTCTGAATGGTATTCCGAAAAGTGTGTATATGCGTACATAATTTTTGGTGGTAGTGACTGTGACAAAAGAATCGCTAAGTGCAATGGCACTCACTTCCTCACTTTTAGGAAGCTCTGTTTGCCATTCCACACGATTTGTACCACTAGTCCAGGATTCATGAGGGCGATATAATATCGTTGCTGGATGGCCATTGCCGGAAGGGCAAGAGTAAAGAGAGCCATTCTCGTTCAGACAGGCTTTATCATACAGTAAATGGTCCGTAAAGCGAAAATCGCGGTAGGTTTCGCGATCGTAGAATTCTGCGCTTATTTGATGATAATCACCCTGGTCAATCGTCCAAATAAACCCAATAAGATTGAGACAAAGATACTTTCGATCTCCCCGCCAAGGAGTACTACCAGGCTGAAATGACTCGTGATATTGTGGTTCCCATGATTGTGCATGCCTCTTATTCCTAGAGACACCGTAAGAATCCACATCGTCCGCAGGCCTCTTACCATTACCATTCAATCCGAGTGCGTAACCAGCGCCATCGTCATCGATAACAAAGTCATCTTCATCCCCCATGATATCAGACCCAAGGATGTCATCCAAACTGTCGGGGGAGCCACGCCGGACGCCTCGAAGGGGCATATCTTTGGTGCCATTTGCGTTCGGTCGCCGTGCATTATTTGATATTTCTGACAAGGGATCATGTACAAAAGGGGCTGGTTGGCGTCCTAATTTGACTAGGTGAGCATGCTCACTGGGTACAAAATCTTGAAATATATAGACTTCTCCATCCGAATTCGTGAATGAGAGCAAGTTGTCTGTGGGATGCCAGGATAAATCCATAACATTTGCGTAGTCATAAGTAGCAATGATCTTTTGTGTTTTGGTCTCCCAAAGTATTATCTTTTTATCTTTTCCAGCCGATGCAAGCATTGCTCCGTTTGGCGACCAAGCCAATGCTGTGATATCTCCGGTATGACCATGTGCGAAGATACGCTGTTTCTCCCAGTCACTCTTGGACATGACTTGAATATCTCTTGTTGCAGTCGGTGCAGCGAATGCTCTGCCATCCGGATGCCATTCGACTTTTGAACTAATTTCATCATCCGTCTCAACGGCCCTAATAATCCCATCGATTGTCCGCACAAGCTCAGGATCCTCGTTCAACAATGAATAAACGTATATCATACCGTCCGTACATGATAGAGTTATAAATTTATTGCTTGGATCGAAGGATACATGCTTTACAGGCTTCTGCTGATCTCTGAGGTACATTGTATGGTTTACATCGTTTGTGTTCACGATTTTGACGGTCAGTTCGTCACTGGCAACGGCGCACCATTTCCCATTCGGTGATATCGCAACGTCCCGGACTGGCAACGAACAGCGCATAAGGAATTTGTCGAATGTCATCGAATCGAGGGAATATTTGCTAACAGTTCCATCTTCAGAGCCTGCGACGAAAAATTCATTCTTGAAGCAAAATTAGCATGGCATTCTTCACAAAAATTTTGGAGCCCTACTGTTGAATCAACTGCCATATTCTGCTCTTGACAGTCATCAATATTTGTAGGTTCTCCATCCGACCCAGTCTTGTATACTCTAATTGTGTTATTGGAACCAATTGTGACCAGTTTTGTTCCATTTGGGGTATACGAAAGATAAGTTGGCCCAGAAGTATGAGCCGGCCTGGGCCGTAGGTTAATCTGGGTTGTGGAAGCCATCTTAATTGAGATGTTGAAGTCAGGATAGTTTTTCAGAACATTTGTTATGGATCAAAATGGACCGCTATGAAGTTGTGAGTGCTGAAAAGATTACGCGACTTGGATAAGGAAATCGCGTGTCGGCGTAAATTCCACTTTACGCGTCGCTACCCCTGTGATTTAGGTATGATTGAATTTCGAATGCCCGGGATGATGAACCCCCACTATATTTGTTGTATCGATACAGGCATATAACATACAAACTGCTCCTTCATTACATTTTATATCAATCATGTCTCGATCAACGGATCCAGGCCACTTTTTCCAGACTGACGCATCTGAATCTACACGAGCACGTAGAGCTGCAAAGTCGGGCAACAAGAATGGAAACCCTATTGTTTTACAATCAAAGATTCTGAGCTTGATTCCAGACCCATTTTCCTCCCAATGCATTTATATCGCAGAAAGTGCTGGTTGCGTACGGAAGGTCAATACTGAAGTAGGTACGATAATTATCCAGGGTCATGCCACTTTTTTCGGCATTATCTAACCTCACTATTAGACTAGAGATACAAAAACAGTTTATCGAGGGCCAACTGCGCCAGTCACTTCAGTAGCCATCGGAGGCCATGGTGGTAATACAGTTTTCGCGGGATGTTGGGACAAACAAATTTGGAGTTGGAATAGGGAAAGCAAAGAGCTGGGCAAGAAATTCAAGGGCCATTCAGACTTTGTCAAAGCAATTATCTGCGTGAATATCGAGGGAACGGATGTAAGCTCCGTCGCTTTAGTTGAGGTTAGATGTGCGTACTGACACCTTTTCAAGTGTTTAATATCTGGTGGTGCTGATGCCAAAATCATGGTATGGAACACCGCCACTGGTGAACGATTGCATACCTTGCGAGATAAGAGTGAATCCATGATGGCAGTACAAGACCTCGTTCTGGACCCCGAAGACTCTACAAACACCGCCATTGTTCTCGTTTCTTCAAGTAGTGATCCCCATATTCGAAGATGGCGCATTAGTCTATCATCTGCATCTCAAATACTTGACACTACCGAAGACGTTCCGGCACAGAGCAAGCCTACTAGAGATACGATCCTTGAGCATGAAACAAGCGTCTATCAGGTCATATTTGCTGGCGATGACGAGGAAATGGATTTGTGGACTGCAAGTGCCGATGGTACAGCTAAATGTTTATCAAGAGCGAAGAATTGGAGCACAGAAGAAACATACGAGCATGGAGACTATGTTCGTGCTGTAGCTGTAACCGATACATGGGTTGTGACTGCAGGCAGAGACGAAGATGTGAAAATCTGGGACAAGGCAACCGGGAAATTGTGGCATATTTATGATGGTCATTATGAGGAAGTTACGGGCCTGGCGGTTCTGAAGGGTGAAAAGCAAGCCATTAGTACCAGTATCGATGGTACTGTAAGAATTTGGGGACTCACCAAAGGGGAGCTCGAAAAGGCACGCCTCGAACGCGAAGAGAATGCTAAAGGAGTAGTGAAGGAAGAGAAAGTCGAGCCTAAAAAAGGCCTAATGACTGCAGAAGAAGAAGCAGAGTTAGCAGAGCTATTAGACTCTGACGAGGACTAAGTACGACTGAACGACTAGGTCAAATTCATCTAGTTAGTCGCTTGTTTAAAAAAATCTCCGACTGTATCTTAAATATTCCGGATAGTCAAGATCGGATGTTTCAAGTTCTGAAATTTCAGGCTATGTAATTTTTACTTTGGTGATAAAAAGTTTATTCGGCAAGCTTGATAGCTAATTCTGTGTACTTTGATCCATATTAATCAGCGGGCATATTGTTTCTCCACCACAATTGCAGTACCATCTGTAGACAATTATCCTCGATTTTTCCTCGCATCGGGGAACAGCGGATGCAGTGCCTATTTTTACTATCTGATGTGAAATAAATCATTTCGATATATCCAAAACTCCACGCTATTACAAGATCATAGGGCTACACTTCCCCGTTAGCTATCTCATATCAACTTTACAATATTTCCTTTTTCACACTCCCCTGCGTCATGATGTGCAGACATGCTGTAAAACATGTCGGCTACCAATGTACTCCAGATTTCTAATCCTTGCCCCTAGTCTCATTATTTGAATCGATAAATAGTGTGAGACTGGACTCTTACTCATTCAGTCAGTCAATTGTACGGAGTAGCATTACTGGGGAGAACCTTCCCCCAATTGAGCCAAGAAAACACTCGGTGTACGATTAGTGCCCTTTGTCCTTGTATTATGGTAACTTAGACATTAACGCACGACCGAAAGTACCTCAAGCAGAGCGAGTTAGTGAGGTACCTACCTAATAAGTGGTTTCTTGCCGTCTACCCTCTTTACTTTGTGTACACCTGATGTAAAGCTCGAATTGGATTGGAAGTCTACCTAGATAGCGATTGCCAGAAAGCCCACAGGAGATTGCAAATGATACGTCAGTCAACACGTAGTGAAAGTTCATCTCTATCGAATAAGCAAGCACAGCCGACGAAGATTTCGTGCGTGGCGTGTAATATCCCACCAATACGGTCCGTTCCAGCTAGTTTTGGCTTCGTGCCGATCCAATCTATTAGCGCACGGAGTATGAGAAGCGATCTACCAATAATTAATGATTGGCCAATAACCATTCTAGATATCAGACTTTCAAACCTTAATCTTTATCCTGGTGGAGATCAGTCGAGACTCAACTGGTACCAAAATGGAATCAAGATGGCCTCAAAGAGTCAAAATGTATCTCTTCGGTATCACTTACGCCATCTAAACGCCGGACCCCTTACACTCTTGGTAGCGTGTGATTCCGTCCTCGGATGGTGGCAGTGGTAAAAGGTCTAGTGGCCTCCACGATCTCCAAATTCCAATTTATCACAGACTTTCATATCATTTTTTTTTACCTGTTTAGCTATCTCATTTCCTACCGTTGACTGCAAAAATTATATACATCTCTTGTTCAATTGTGTCCATAAATTATTTTGTACTTTGAGTTTCCTGAATGAATGTGTGGCAAACATTATCAACGAAGGAGACCAATCCCAAGACTCATAATTCGATCTCCAAAATGACACCAATACCCTCGGACGAGAAACTGAGTATTGGAAAGCTGGTTGCATTAGAGGGAAACATAAATACCATCACAACACAACTGCGACTTCTTCCACACTCGCATATGATTCTTATCGTTGCGCCTCTCGATCATTACTTGAGTGAAGACCACAAAGGAGAACCATTTGAAGCTCGAGCATTTATCCGCGATGTTTACATCGCTCTTGCACAACGAAACGAAGAAGCGAGGTCATTTCTACGATCATCACCTCAATCAAAATTGGCATTTTTGAACGGTGGTAGTGTTAGTGCTCGAGCAATATGCGTTGCTAGAATATCCCAAAGGCTCACGTATGGAAACTTCGCAGAAGCAGAGATTATCTTTCATGATATTGTCAAAGATGGAGTAGCAGGTCTTTTTAGAAATGTCAAGTCTTCAAACACTATTCCTGATCCAGGTCCGGCAAAAGCAGCAGTGAGAACTCGCGCGAAGTTACCGAAGATGTTGGATTTAAGAAGTACGAGAAGCGCAGCGACGTTACGCGCAAAAGACCTGCCAGGGCATGACAGCAATATTCAAGGGAAAGGAATACATAAAGCGAATGGTTTGAGAAGTAGGGATGATAGCGGCCTTCAAATTATACGTATTGCTGGAGAATCTAGAACAATCACACCAGAACCATCATCGTGGAAATTCCAAATTGGAGATGATATCCGGACGACGATACTTTCGATACCTTCTGAGCCCATGTTAAGTCAACCCAATAGAGAAGGTAGTCGACTTAGCCAGTACAGTGGCACATTTGGCCCTCAACCTCCATCGAGCTCGAAACCATCTTTTCCAGTGCCGAGAAGTAGATATTCAACGCAACAAAATACGGACATTGACGAGGATGAGGATTACTTTGAATACATCTCTCAAGATGACGAGACCTCATTTTCTACATCCAACGTTGTCTATGGTGAAGCATATGTTGTGGATATGCAATCTACTTTGCCAACACCTTCCACGCCGGCGGGATGGACGAAGTCGGCAGGGGATCTGTTGGTGGATGATAGCTCGAAAGATCTGAGGAAATTTAAACGTGCATCATCAGCAAATGATCTTAGGAATACCTCAAATATATTAAGGAAAAGTTCCATTAGAGATTCATCTTTCGAGCAGTCGCCCAAAACGGCATTTGTAAAGGCCTCCAGAACTATGATCCGGAGCCCTTCTCCTATGTCGAGCAACTCGGTGAGCTCAAGCTCAAAGAGTATACCCATGATAACTAAGGATAGTAGTTATGAGGTTAAGGAGGATTTCAGTTCAAATGAGCCGGTATTCGATATCGTTGAGGATGTAGTAATTCATTTCACGGATAATTCGCCAAGAGAGATCATGCGATCGATATCAGAGTATAGAAGTGGCAATTTCCCAATATCTCCACCGACTTTACCGCGACCATTACCCACGCCTCCCAGTACAGCAAATATGGCTGATGAAGCTTTGAATTCAAGACAATTCACACCTCAAGAGAGGGCTAAAAGTCATTGGGACCATCAGCAGCGTGTCGAAACCGATCCATTCTTCTTAAGCGGATCGCCGGTTTACGAAGAGATGGAGGACCAACAGAGGGCGTCAGAAAACGTCAATATTGTGACCAATGAACCTTTACCAACACCCACATCAGCTACGTTTCCTACCCACGAAGACAAAGTCAATAAGTTCTACGAATTTTCGGGCGCCTATACCAACAAATCAATGGACATCCAAAATGAATTCCGCTCCTTTTTAAATTTTCACTTCCCAAATGAGGCCGCAGCACTTAGCAAACATCAAAATACGTTGATGTCTGGATTGGGTCCATTCTTAAAAGATATGTTTAGTAATGGCAATTCAACTTGTTATGAGGGACCTGCTGTTGATCAGATTCTTACGGTTGGGTGCGAGAAGGGAATAAGTAATGTTTTCTGTGCTCAACTTCTTGGACAGGTTGAACACATTGGTGTCAAAAAAAGTGGCGAGAGCCGAAGTGGTAGAATTGATCTCAGGTATTTTGACTTCCATCGTTATGCCTTCTCATGAATTAACAAAAAGTAGGTTTCTTATTGCAAGCGCCATGCAAACGTTCATGTCTCAACCACTTCCTGCGCGCAAAGGTTTAGATCCCATGAATGATCCCAGATTGCTTGCCGATCTGATAGTTCCCCATCTCGAATTATATCTAGCTACGAACTCGCTCGTTCGATTTCTCGTTCTCAGCTTTCCATTTGACCAAATCGCAACTGTAATTGCTCTTCGCAGCCTCCTAGGTTCAGATCTCGTCAGAGTAGCTGGTGTTTTAGATACGCTTTCGTCCGATCCTCCTTCCTTCGCCAAACCCCCTCTTTCCCAGTTTCATTCTTCGCATCGTTCATACGATTTCGCCATCTCTACGGCTCATAGACGTCCCGAGATTCCAGACCGCAATATCCTTAAATCTTCTCTCGATGCCTCCAAAGAAGCAGATGCAGAACTACTCAGTTGCCCTCCATCCTCCTACTCACTTTTCTTCAAAGCAGACTATCATCTTCCTTCCACCGCCTCCTCCCTGGAGATAGAGAATTTTCTATACCTCATCCGCAAAAATATCGTTGAGAGATTATCCTGGTATAGTGTCGAACCAGACTTCCTCCAGCTTTCACCCACACCCAGTTCTACCGTCCTTACGCAAGATGCATCAACATGCACCGACGAAGAACAACCACGTGCAGATTCCAGCACGCATTTGCCCACATTAATCTTCCCGGAAAACACTTATCGTACATCTTCCCTCTACGATTTCCCCAGTGATTCCGAAATCGAAGTCCCACGTCCGGCAACGAGATTATCTCCCTCATCTCCATACCCAAACAACAATCGGTCAACTGCAAGAATACCATCGCTTATCGCAGCAGATTCGGGTTCTAGCGGACATAGCGGTAGTGGTTCGACGATCCGCCACATCCCTATCGCTATTGAGCGTCACTCCTCACTTTTCTCCAATCCCCATTCCCCTCTCCCGAACCTTTCTCCCTCAAATTCTGAGTTTTTTCCTCATCCTCAACCCATGACTTTAAACGAAATCCAAGAACCTCAACAGCCGCATCATCATCAACAACAACAAGGAGAAGAAGAAGAAGAAGAAGAGGAAGAATTCGCATACGCCGTCCCCGAAATCTCCCCCTACACCACCACCAGCAGCCCATCCTCTTCCCCGCACCTCTCTCCCGTCGACTCCCAACTCGACTACACATACGAAGAAGACAGCGACGATGATGCTTACGATCGCATGGTCATGGGTTGTTATTCGCCCGTCAGCGCCAGGAGACGGAGCATGTTTTCTAATAATCATAATAATGCTAATGCTAATGCTCCGTTCGGGGCGGGGAATGGAGGCCGAAATGCGAGGGAAAGAGATGAGCTCGAGATGCGGGGGTTGATTCACAAGGGGAACAGTCGGAAAGCGCTGAAATGGTTGGGTTTGGCTTGATTTGTTCTTCTCTCTTGCTACATATTGTTTTGGAGTCGAGATGACTTTTTCGAATTTCTATGTATCATATTGTATAATACCTGTATAGTTTGGATATTCGAATTAATGTCTATGTCAAGTCTGTAGGAAAGGAAGTTGTGTCAATGCTATATCTTATTGTACATCACCATCACCATTATCAAGAGAGAAGAGCATGTATTATAGATTCATACATCAAATATCAACACACCAAAATGAACCGATCAGAAGATGAAGATTGTTGTAAAGTAATGTTGATTGATTATTATCCTCTACACTGCAGCTATACTACAAGAGGTTTTCCCCTGCTCAAATGCCAAATGCCGAATGCCCTCCAAATAGTAAAAGAAAAAAGCCAGTAATAGCTCCCCTTCCAAACCAACCATCTCATAACTCATTTCTTTCATTACCTGACACCATCCTCCTATCCTTTCATGACAATAGTAACAATTTGTTTGATCTCCTTGATACATCATTGTCACATCATTCGCGACTAGCATCGTACAGGTTAAAATACAGAGGAGATTTAAGCACCCTCATCGTCATCAATGCGGATGGCACCCTCGCTGGACAAACCATGGCTCCACCATCCTTCAACGGAGGTAGAGGAACTTCCGTCATGAGCGAACAAGAGCCAAAGACCAAAGACAGGCTTGGCCAAGACATCAAGGACTGCATAAGCAATGATCTCGGCATCAACCGACCAAGTGCGGGATCCATCACCGATACCCCAGACGATTGGGTAAAGGGTCCAGATGATCAAAGTGTAACCTGCAATAGCAGCGAAGAGCTTCGAGGTCTTAGCATCCTTGCTTGAAACGGCACGACGGCCAGGAATGACAAGTTGATAGATGATGACCAAGAATGCGACGCATCCCATAGCATACCATCCCCACTTGGCAGCTCCATCGTTGTGATAGGCAGCAAAGAGACCAGTCAAAACCATGACGAGATCGGCAACGATGGTAACCAAGATGTTGGCACCGTTGAGACCAGCGAGGAATGAAAGATCGAGGAGGAGAAGAGGAGTAGTCACACTCCAATCAACATAACGAGCCCAGAAAACTTGTCTGTAGACGTGCTCAACAGTATCTGGGGTGTGCTTGTGGACTTCTCGGAGAACAATGTGTGTGAGAGCGTTTCCATCACCAATTGCCATTGCATAGTATGAGAGGGTGGCGAAAAGAGTGATGAATGCAGTCAAAACATGGAAGAGGCGTTTTTGCTATCACACGATAGGTTAGCACATTGATCGGTTGATTGTTAGAATGTGCAGGACACTTACAACTGGTACTCTCCAAGCCAAGTAGAAAAAGGTAAGGGTTGAGAGGAACATGATCACAAAGACAACCTAATGAGTGTTACAAATTAGCCAACAATGTTGCATATGTCGGAATCATTTGATTGAGGAAGCTTACCCATAATGTTGTCTGACCTGATTGACCGGCAACTTCATAAGTTGGAACGTTAGGGACGACTGTTGGGATTGGGGCGACCGAGGGAGTAGCAGTCGCCGTGCTTGTTGGAACTGGGAGAAGAGAGGTGGTTTTCTTCATAATGTCCATCTCGAGGACTTGCATTGGGTCAATCATGATGATTGAAGATTGACGGGATACTTGAATCTCTCGTATGTATGTATGAATGGATGGATGTATTGAACTCCAAGAGTTAAATGTATTGTGTTGTTGATGGAGGTTGAAGAGTTGAAGAGATGAGGAGATGAAGACGATTCGAATCCTTTTAAGAAGTTGGAAGACGAGATCGAATGACGAAGCTTGGAAGGAAAGAGGAGTAAGTACCTAGGTCGGTGGTAAATAAATAATAATAAGCTCTAGTTACCTACCTAGCAAGCGAACTAAAATATACCCAATCCAGGTTTGAGCATTGATTATTGTGGTTAGATGATGCTTTGTGATTGGTTGGTGAGGGGTGAGAGGTGAAGAAGGAAGGAGGAGGGAGGAGGGAGGGAAGATATCGGAAAGTTCGATGCAGAATCCAGATTCACTTCAACTTCAAAAGCTCTATAGGAAGGGGGACCATCTCATCCACTACATTCAAATCAGGGAAAGAGCGGAACGAGAACCTACTTAGTACTTAGTATCGAGGTAGCTACCTAGTTAATTTATAATTCGTATCAAAAGCGGCCGCCAATATATGCATACGAGTATGTATATGTGTGTGCATATATTAAACAGGAATAGGAATAGCTAGGTAGGTGGCTCAGATGGAATAGCCAGATCGAGAGCTTGCCGCTTCAAACCGCCTTTTTCTCTGGGGTCCGATTATACGATGAGAACAAAAGCAACAAGGATGACGATGACGTATTGATGTCATCGAATCATCGGAACATGGGACATGAGGAGTGAGGAGTGTATGGTGATTGGTTCGTGGAGCTTGCTAAGTGTTGAGGTCAAAGCTCTTCTTGGAAAACTTTGAGACATTGACTTGTGAAGTTTGAATGCTAGATACCTACATACCTCAATTTGTTTATTTGTGTTCTTGTATCATATGGAATAAATGTTATGAGATGGTAGTAGTAGCAATATATATAGTATATTTATATTTATATTTATATATGTGTATGTGTATGTGTATGTGTATGTGTATGTGTATGTATATGTGTATGTATCTAGTAACTATATATTATAAATGGACTTTCTCACAAATGAGATGAAAAAGGTATCATAATTAATCATAGTGATAGAAATTCGCAAAGATTTGATGTATTTACAGCTATTAGGGAGCTACCTAGAACTATCTAGGTAGCATTTCTTTCCATGTAATAATACCTACTAGATACTAGGTGATTTCATGATATGCATACGCTGCTTATATAATAAATTACACAAGGATCAGCTCATCATCCTGCCCTTTCCCCATAATCATCTTTCACATCTCTCATATCTCTCACATCTCTCACACATCTTTCATTCACACTTCACTTCAATTCCTCCCTCACCTTTGTCAAATGGATCATGGCAAATCGAACTTTCCCATGGAAGATCGGGAGGGTCTCATCAACTTCACATCGCATACAACTTGTCAGGACTCAGCACGAGACGATGAGTGCGGAGTATCTTTGCTTATATCACCTGACTGGGCATCTTTTATCCTTCGACCAACTTTTCTTGACATATTTCTTTATTTACATCGTACTTCGTATACCGGTACATATCAAATCTTGGATTTCCAACTAGCTAGATAGGCAGTAGCGAGTTTTATATAACGCGGCCGGAGTACTAGCTCCGATAATAACTTGGTCTTTTGTTTCAGAACGGATATACCCGGTCCAACATCTATCTACCCAGGTAGGTAGGTAGGTAGGTAGGTAGGTAATCAATACCAGGTGCTTTGCGCGGTAAATATATCAAAAGAATAATCTGCAAATCTTACACCTTACATCTTACATCTTGACATTGAATCTTTCCTGCCTCCAAATTCTCTCTTTGTAACAACTTGCATCGGATGTGCACTGATTTGCTACACAATCGTTCGAATGAAGCAATTGAAGTATCAAGTATAGCAAGATATGTCTTGTTCGGTTGCACATCATTTCTTTTTTAATTTGCTTTCCGCAAGCCATACCTCCATGTCGAACAATCAGTCCTCTTTGTGGGGGATTAACTGGGCGTGGGATTGAGTGACTAATTGCATTGTGTGAGGGTGAGCTGAAGTTAGTTATACTTGTTGCTACCATTTATTGATGCTGCTCTTCTATCTACATACTCAGATTTATGCTGGCTGGCAGCTCACCGTCTCGGAGTAAGTACTCTCCAATCTGAATAACACATACCAACATTTCGAATCCAATTTTGACATTTGAGGAATCAATTGATCAAGAGTCGTCAAACATCATCCTTTCATATTTGATTGTATCAATTTCAAGTTGAAATTTAGTTGAAATTTACTTCGGGACTATCCACACAGTATCAGTATATGCATGTGTGGCATGTTATGAGGCTTGGGAGTACACGAGCTTGTTACAGCACATGATCAATGATCTTGCAATTCAATGCTTCCTGATGCTTCCTAATGCAATGCACAAATGTCTATTCGCATACAAATAAATTTATCAAAATATTCCTGCATAAAAATTCGTTTCGATTGCGCCTGAGGAGGGTGATCACAAAGCGGTGATGTTATCTATAACGACTTACACTACCTATCTCTAACTCTCTTCAAATTTCCCTAATACAATTTTCTAGAAGAATTGTAGAGTCTTCAGTTTTATGATATTTGAATTTTCTGGGCATTGAAATCTCAACGCTAGAATTACTCTCTTCTCAGTACTTCACTGGCTCATTACCGTATGTAAGTACCTTCAAATCAAAAACCAGTGTTATATTCCGTTTGAATCTACAAAGATCCCAAATGTCATGGAGATCTCGCACCAGTTGATGCCTCTAAGCAGAACGATGTGGGCGTATACCAATTTGGTTACCTGAAACTACTCATACGCAAAGAATATCGACTTTACCAGACAAGATGTCTCGAACGCTTCCCCTGTTGCAAAAACCTAGATACAGTCAACATCTATGGTCGAACCCATTGAACAAACAAGTCTGATTAGTACTCTCTCCACAAGAATTCAAGATCAATACACCAAATCCCTCCTCATACGAGGGTCGGACGTCTGACAACAAACTATTGATGGGGTAGATATTTGGGAACCCCCTCAAACTTCATCCGCATTCAATCATTTTCTTATATAAACGATATCTAAGTACCACCTGAAGAGTATTGAGTATTTTCAAATGGTATGATCTGGATGTGATGATTGCTGGGGAAAGAATGATCTAGATGCCTAGAGAGAATTGCAAAGTTGGCTGAAGGGGAAATCATTTAAGGAGTTTCTGAAGAGGGCTTTAAATGAATGGAAAGAGTGGATCGATCTATGTCGGATAGATAGAAGATGACAGAGGGCTTCCTTTGAGTAGTGTATTGAGGGCGAGTGAATAGAGGTATGCTTATGGCTCTTTACTTAATATTGAACTATCGAGAAATATGGAGGATTTATAGGATGGATGTGAGAAGTCATCATTGTTGTTGAACGGGTGGGAACTACGTACAAGAATTAACCAATTAACTCTTCTTCTCCTTTCTGGCCGAATTATGAACGAACTCTGGAGTCTGAATAAGTGTTTGAGGTGAAATGGCACGGAGATTTCTTCTTCTGGTGCATAGGCATTTATCCGTTGGATAGTCAATTGTTCATTCATAATCTCATAGTCGCATGTACCTCAAAATTTGAAGTGTGAAATTTTTGAAATTGGAGATGATGATATATTCATCACCTCGCAAGGATACTTGGGTATGATGTCTGGCGGATTTAAATGATGTGTGATATGCGATATGTGGCATAGTTGTGGATATTGGATGGGAGGAAAGGAGGAAGGGAATAGTGGGTATTGTTTGTTATGAGTTTAGTTGTGTGGTTGTCTGTAACTTGTAAGATCACTTACTTATTCTTACTAGATAGATGTTTTTTTTTGTGAAGGGAATGGTGATATGAAGGGGGATGGGGAGGGGGATTGTGTTGGTGTTGGGTAGGCTGTGTATGTGTATACGAGAGAAAGAGGGAGAATAATCTAAATGATTCTCAGTCTCGAATATAATGCATACCTACCTAGAAAGTAGGTATGTCCCTACATTATATATCGATTGTATCCTTTTCCGCATTTATATCTAATCTATACCCATCTGTACCCATATCCACGTATCTGTGTATCTATGTGTATATATAGATCCATCTAACCCTATAAAAATCAACAAAAAAGAGAGGAGGAGAAAGAAAGAAATAAGGTGGATATATTCTAGCTTTCCATCGATATACTTGCGCACGTATCTATCTTCAACATCGATCCTCAATTGCGAATCACATCATTTCTCATACGCGCACCCAAAATTTCACAATCGAGAGAACGGAGATTAGATGGATCAGGAGAGGAATCTATTAATTCTACTTTGTTGTAGATTTTTTTGTATAGCGCGGTTAATTTGTATACACTAACTACATCTACCTATTTACAGCTATATTATAAAGCCGAGTCTCCTCCCATTGTTTTTGCTTCTCTTCGCTCTCATCTCATCTCATATGCTTTCGTCTTCTCCTATTTTTTAGTCTCCCCTCCACTCTCCTCCTCTCTCTTCTCTTCTCGTCCTACATGTACCCATCTAGTACCTAACATCCACCATTCACCCCTCTCATTTCACATCCACAATCACCAACACCCTTCCCAACCTGTCCCCTACAAACAAACAAGCAAGCAATGACCAAATCAAATCGAATCAATTAAATTAAATTAACATTCCACACCTATCTCACCCATCCCACATAACTTTTTTAATATCCTATCCTATCCTACTCCATCCCACCCAATCCTATCCTCTGCCCACCCCCATCCATCCCCAAAAAGTAGTGCGAGCAGACAGTAACAAAGAAAACTCCTTTTATGCATCGCACATGCATGCTCAAACCATATAGCGAGCAAGTAAGCAAACCAACCACCCGCCTTGCCTGGTAAATAATAAATCTCGCCTCCCTTTTGTGTGTATGCACTTCTTCGCTTGCTTCTTTTCAATTTTTCCCTGTCCTTTTCAGTATGCACCCATCCATTATCCATCCACACATTCTCTATTCTCCCATTCTTCCATGTACAACATTAGGATTAGAACACACATATATATATATCACAACCTCCCATCTCCATCCTCATCTCCACCATAGGTCTCACCCCCCAACCTCCCGATCCAGCAACCCCCCCAGCATCTCCAATGCCCTCTCACTCCCCCCACCACTGAGCACCACTGCGCCCGCCCGCGCCGTACTTAGATACGACAATTCCTTTCCAAACATACACCCGCCCTCTTCCTCCGGCCGATCATTCATGCGCATCTCATCGACTAGTTTCCCCGCCACGCCACACACAATGCCCGTACTTTCCAATGGTAAATCGACCAGATCCAAGAAAATCGGCACGAGATCCCCGTCCGTGTCTCCTTGAATCGAGTTTCCAAAAAGAGGGAGGAGAGATTTGTCGAGGAGGAGAGAAGAGCCTTCTTCGAGGGAGATGGTCAGGGAGAGGAAAGTAGGTTGGTGGAGCAGCGCCGAGATAATGGAGATGTAAAGACGGGTGTTGAGTTTATCTAGAGGGGAAGAAGTATGGATACCATTTCCATTACCGTTTGAGATGGGACGATCTTCGATTTCGCGGTCGCGACCGGAACATTGGATGAGGTGGAGACCAGGCTGCACGAACGGTTTTACATTCCTCCGCGTGAGATGTTTGAAGGTGCGGGCTTGGAGTTCAGCGATGTTGGAGGGGGGAGGAGTGGATGGCGGGTTGGAATTGGAACTAGGGCCTCGGGAGTGAGATGTTGGGGTGGGGACCACATAGGCGGATTCTTCTTCAGAGAATTCGAAACCCCGGGAGAGAAGGGTTTGGCCGACTTTGTGGCGGTCTTTGGAGGGGACGAGGATGAAATCTGTGAAGTAGGTTGTGATGAAGAATATGGGAACGCCAGCCATGGCTATTTGGTGATACATTAGTATTTAGATAGGGTCAAGTGGTTTGTAGAAGAATGAGTATGTGATATGAACTTACCAAGGGGTGAGGTGAGATCCATGACCCTTTGGCCTGCATCAGTACCAGTACTGTCTACGGAAAAGACAATGTAGCTATCCGTTGATATCTGAACCTGGTTGTTTTCATCTTTGGGCAAAGCATCGATAATTGGTTGGAAGACACTTTCCGCCCAAGACTTATGACAGACAACTGAGCATTCGATTGGTGTTACACTGATATTGAGAAAACCATGTTCTTGATCGAAGACTAAGCTTTCTTCATCATCTTCATTTTCAGATGCTGGGTCTGCTTCCTTATATGGTAGCAGAACTCTCAGAATTGGTTGCAACAGCAAAGAGTATAGAGGTAGTGGTATGTGGATTAGGCTGAATTCGCCTTTCTGGTATAGATTAGTAATTGTTTGAAGAGTACGTGGGTTATTTGGAGTGTCATTATCATAGATTTTGAACAATCCCATGATAGCTACATTGACAAGGAGATGTAGATGGGAAGGAATGAAAGCAAGAACAATATTTATGTGAGAGCTTTCTTATTGTCTGAAGTTAATCTCGAACCTGATCCTGGGACGAAGCTATTCACATTCTTTGAGGAAGAGAAATGCAATCACTTTCTCCTCAAATTCCAAGTGAATTTGAAAACAGGTGATGGTGAGTCTCCACTAAAGTACATCATAGCTTTGCGTCGAGACACCATTCAGATGTATCCATCCTCCAGCCCCTATACAAGCGACAACCCGACAACAATATGCTAATTCCCATTCTCTGCTGACTTTCCAATGACTAAATGGATAGAATTTTACTCACAATAAATGATATTTGAGCATTCATGATGCTTTTCGTTTCTCCAGTTTTCGGCTTTCCTGCCGTCGGTACAATGCCAGGGGATTATGCAAGCCGACCCTCCTAGGCTATAGTACCTTGCAGCCACCCGAAGCAAGAGAACCAAAGCAAGACAGCAAGACTTGGAAGTTTCGAATTTCTGAAAGAAATCTGTCTTCAATCGAGGAAGTTTGTTTTGAATTGACGGGGCTTCAAGTCAATTGGTTGGTATATCTAATGTTCGAATTCGAATGAAGAGAATATGTTCGTAGATGAAAATGAGACGAACAAAGGAGGCGCTTTCTCCAAAACATCAACAACAGCGGGGTAGTCTCTCTTCAAATCAATTGAGAAAGGTCAGCAACTCCGATGATCTATCCACAAACGCATTCCACTTCTTATACAGACGGAATTCCACGCGCAATAAGACAAATGCAGAACCTTTGTCTCAATTCAGCTGAACGTTGGCCAAAACCAAAAGTATGAATTTCTCTGTTTGGGGGGGGGGGGGGGGAAGGGGAGGGGGTTGGTGGATGGTTTTATTCTTTCCGCAAAAAGATATAGTAATTATTCAGGGACTCTAGGGTAGTATTGAAAGTGCTTAACTGGAAGCTCTATCTCCTGCATAAGCCACGAACGAAGCAACAAATGATGATGTGGGGGTACCTTCGGGCGATATAAATTTTGTTGTGAAGTGGTTCTTTTGCACTTTTTTTAGCTGCAGAATTCCTGCAATAAACCGACCCAGAGAAGAGAGGGGCGGTTCAATATAAAAACGAAACGTGGATTGGATTGGATTGGATTGGATGTTTGGTTGGTATGATAGGTATGGATGTGGTTGGTTGGTAGTTAGAGAAAAGTCCCAATCTTGCTTGCATATACGTAGAGGGGCGGGGACTTATAAGATGCCTTCCCGAGCGGAGAGTTTCCTTTGAATTGTAGGAAGTTGGTATGAAGTCTAGGTGGGTGTGTTAGATGTGCTAGGTATGTGAGGTGGTGGTGTGTGGACGGTTGTATCCCAAGGGTATATGGGTAAGGTACTGATGTGTGGGTTCTACAACGTCTTCCTTGGGTACTTTTTGTGTAACTGTGTTCCGAGGATTGGTATTGGTATTGCGATAGAATGCGACGGGATATGTAAGATGGCTTGTCAAGGTTACTGGCGCCCTATGGAAGGAAAAAAAGATCTCCTGTATTGGCTTTCCTGCAGCAATTGCCAGCTCAGATAGAATGGAAAAATGTTTGAAAAAATACGGAAATGGAGATGAATTGACGAATAGGATTTCACGTTGAAGAAAAGATGAAAATCTATTCTCTTTGTTCTCATCGAGTCATCAGATAACTCTTTATTAAGACAATATAAGACTCATTCTTTCAATCATCGTGGACATTATCAAATGGAAGGGATTGTAAAGAGCCGGAGAGCGGGACCGGTCCATAATCTTTTTGGTCCCTTGAGTCTTGGGTTTGTTGTTGATAAGGAAGAAGTAGTACCAATGGCTTTGGTGACCTCGAATATTCCATCTCCAATCTCCAATCTCCATATTTCCTAATTCCTACCTCTTCAAGCATTCACTAATAGTTGATTGTACTACTAAAGTGGGATGATTGGTTGATTTGAGGTGATGGAGATTAGATGAGACCAAGAGTTGTTACTCACTCGCGAGAAGCTCATTCATTGATTCATTCATTGGAATATCGATGTTTGGAACTAATCCCAGATATGGATAGCCAAGCCCTTCTCATCCTCACCACCCAAGAAGTTGCAATGACAAGAACATCATCTCTCATGAATGATGAGTGAGAGAGAAGTCTTTGAATCATGATACTGATACCTACCTAACTACGTGATACGGAATGAGTAAGCCGATCACAAGGTGGAGGAAAGACCCAGAACAAAGGTACTATCTCCCTCCCATGAATAGAATCACATATCATGTGAATACCACACACACACACACACACACACACACACAATACGCACGCAAGCATGATGTCAATTCAAACCCATTGAATAATGTTTTGCAGTGGGTGGTGTACACCATGAGTAGTACCCAAGTATTAATAGACGATGTACATACTACGTACAGATTTTAGACGTACGCCTATCTCAAAGTATCATAGTCTCGCGCACACAATATGGGGAAGTACTACAGATAGGTCAAACCGCGGCGTAGATTATAATGTCACATTATTCGAGGTGACAAGATAATAATACCAAATACTTGTCACGGTATCACGACATTCGAATTGGGTTATATCCCCACTCTCCGTCTGGGTCCGGTCAATATATCACCACGAAAGCCATCGCAACATACCTACTCGAGTATATTCGGATGTATATGTTTATATTGGTGGAATGTGAACTGTACAACTCAAGATGAATGTTATTGCTACTGCTGACAGTCCACACCTATGAAGAATGAATCTCGATCGCCACACATTGAAATCAAGAAAAGTCGAGTCTGATGACAAAGATGCATCAGGATTTAAAGATCCTGACTGCGACACAAACTTATACCCATCACTAGGTGATCCTGATCTGATGTTGTTGGATGCCCGTGAAAAACCATGACTTAAACTTCTGACATTATTTTTTCTCTCAACGCAATTACCGCCCCGCTGATAGATAGGGAAAACGGAGGCATTGTGGTTTCATTTGCCCTCCCGACATCTTTGTCCCGGGAGTGAGACCGAATGTCCTAGAATGGCTTGGTCATCGCCGCTGCCCGTATACATTATCTTGAGGCTTGACCAAACAGGTTTCTCAAGCATCAGCTGTCAATAGGTAACATATCAGATGCTGAATAACATGATTTAGGTCGAGGTCACACTTGACTGTTATCATATCACTTCTCGCATTCAATTTTTACAATTCGGCTAGAGTCATGCGCATTGACCACTCATCGGTTAGATGCGGTGCACAAGGAGACTGTTCAATATTAGGAATTTTTTCTTTCATGATATAAATTTTACATGCTATTATTTTGGTAGCAGGGTACTCCGCTTTTTGATGACGATGCGTGGGGGCTTCATATAACCACACAATTTCCTCCCAATACATTCAACAGAAAATGAAATGATAATCATGTGTGAAAACTTCATGAATCATGACCAACCTCCTCTACCCCTATAATTTCCTCTACCGCCTCTACCTTGCCCACCATAAGAATTGTTCCATCCTTTGTTGTAGCCTCTCCCTTGACCTCCCTGTACCAATGGTTGCCAACCCGTAGGCCCAGTAGGATAACCACCCGGGGGTTGTTGAAAATTTGAAGAAACATTAGGCATGGGAGGAGGAGGTGGTGGCGGCCATTGTGGATTAACAGGGTTGAAAGGCATGTTGGGATAAAGTGGAGGCCCTGGGGGAGGAGGCGGTGGCCACGGCATTGAACCTTGATGTTGAGTGATATTTAGAGGGAATCCTTGATTGAAACCTTGCTGGTACGGCTGGTACGGCATTGATGGATTTGTGTAGGTCTGATTTGAGGAGAAACCACTTTGTTGGGCAGGTATTGCGGCCATATTATAAGTCTCAGGTATTGGTAGATTCCCGTTCCCGACAGATTGATTGGGAGAGCCGCTCGAAGAATGACTTTTGTCGTTGTCACCCGATGCGCCATGGTCTTGTCGCATGCCTTTTGAAGGCGACCTGGAACGACCATCATACTTGGAACAATTTTCGTGATCCGGGGATAGTGACCGCGAAGAGCTGTATGAGCGTCGTTCCCGGCGACTTCTTTCTACGAAACTTCTCTCTGAATCTTCTGAATCGCTATGGCGCCGTTTTCTCTGTGGGCTCAAGCTCTCACTTTGACTGTGTTGACCACGTTCGCCAAATGGATCCAGTCCCTTGCGGCGTCTCTTCATCCTCTCACAGAACACTCTTGACCATCCATAATAACCCTCTCCGTCAAGTATTTCGCCAGTAATCTCATCTAGGATGATTGGCTGACCGAGCTCGTCCACATCAGACACACTTCTTTCGTCCTGGCCAGGTTCCGCACCGAAAATTGTTTGAACATCATCCAGGAGAGCTTTCACAGCAATAACGAGATTCTCATCCGCGGGTCCGGCGACAAACTGCAATGGTTTAACCATATCTGGATTTATTGGTCTAGTTGAGTTGGGAACGATATGCGGCATCAAATTTCCAGCAGGTAAATCGAACCAAGGCATTGATGTGTCGCCATGCGTTGCTGGCATGACAAATGGTGCGGACTTGTTCAACTTTGGCGCAAGACCTTGCTCTCCATTTTCTGCCGACCCAGTCAATTCTTCATTAAATTGACCGACTTCAGAAGCAATCTTTACTGCTTCGCGCAGCTTTCCGATGTATTCATTGGAGTAATACCCTTTCTCTTCCCATATGTTTAATAGATCCTGAATTTTTTGCTGATGCTTTGGACAATCTTTGAATGAAGCGGTGCTTCCTATTAGATTAACCAATACCGGTTGAATCTTGCCACAAACAGATGCATCGTTGATTCGGTACTTGCAATGGTAGAGGATGTCGTTAAGAAGGTAGAGTATATGCATGCGCTTACGCTTAATTGAAGGCTCGCCGCTTAAGGATTTGGTGAATGATGCCGTAAGAACTGTTAAATATTTTCCCAGCGCAGTAAACCTTGCTGCAGATTGTACAATGTGTTCCAATATCCATTGCTTGCATTTCTATCCTCGGGCACGATTTAGTTATCGCATAATAATATCCATTAGAGTGTATGATCAAACCTGGACATTTATTGACGAGCATTGTAGTATGACGTTATTCAGATGGCTATGAAACTCTGCGATGACTTCTCTAGAGACTGGTGTTGGATCGCGTCGAAGGAGACTCGCAGAGAACGAGGCTTTAGCTATGGCAAGCTGATGCGACGCCATTGTTAAAAAGTTGTTTGAAGCAGACTAATATGTATGTAAAAGCTTTGCCATCCGCGAATAAATTTATTGGGATGTAAAGGAAGAGAATTGATCTGAAATGTGGTTAAGTTTGGGTGTGATTTTGATTATCTTGTTGAAGTGAGATGATTCAATGAAATTGAAATGAAGCTTCGCGACGAATGGTCCAGATTCGCTAGAGCGTGCTAAGGGAACATGCTGGTTGATTACCCTTCAATAATTCAGATTCATCATCAATTTACACATGTTCTTCATACCAATTACTTTCCCTTTATTATTTATTATTTATTATTTATTGTTAATTGTTATTTACTATTTACTATTTACTATTTTGGATACTATGGTTATAATTCTATCGATTTTGGAGTGTTTTTGAATGCCGATTTATTCATCAATTGACTACCAGTAGAAGGGTAATGAATCTGTCTATTTCCTGTCTATGGCGAACAAGTTGTGTGCTCGATTGTAGAAACAATGATAAAAGGAATAACACGTTTCAAAGAGCTCACATAGTCCGAGAATTTGATAGGAGTAGAGTTTCGTGAGATTAACATATACACATACATAGGAGCACCCAGTTCCCAGCGCCAACTCCAATACTAAATCAAATTGTCGCGAGTAAATTTGCGTTAATTTAACGATGACGAGGTCGCTCCATTTAACTGAACCTATCGCCTTTCTTTGATCTGAATGGCTCCGCTGGTTCGTATTTGCTCTTTTCCCTTACACGCTGTCCCTCGTTGGCTGGCGCATGTCCCGTCGGCGCAGGCTCAGTTGTCGATACTTCCTGGCTTGGAGAACCGGCAGAGTCCAATTTTGCTGGTCCGCCATTGCTTCCTGACCCCGCATAACCACCTGTTCTGCCAGAATATTCTAGTGCTTCCTGCTGCCTCTTGCGTTTCTGATCTGCCTCGAATCGCGCGGCTCTATCTGCGTTGATCGATTGCTTTGCGAAATAGTATGCTGTCCCGCCGGCTGGAATCCTTTGTTAGTACTTGATCCCTGGGGCCGTCTCTTCACCATCCAAACATACCGACACATAGTGAGCCCCATCCAACCCTGAATAGATTATGTTAGTCGGGTATCGTTTTCCATTTATTGGAATGCGAGGCGTGGAATTTGGGACAGTACCAGAACGATTTCACCTAAGTTATGTTAGTTATCCGCAAGTAGGAGGCTCATTTTTCGCCCACAATGGCAATCAAATCACTTACAGTGTTCATATTGAAGGTGTATCTGGATTGTAAAATACTCTCTCACAAATAGTGGCTATTGAAGTTGCAATATTGAAGAAGACAAAGTGTTTGGGGAATTTGGGTTCTTTATTTTAATATATAAAAATCTTTCTCCATGCCATCATCATAATGGTACGATAATAGAAATGGTAGCCTTGTCGCCTTCTTCCCATCAGATCAGATCAGATCAGATAACTGCGCACCTCTAGTATCTCTTTGCGGATCATTGAAACATTAAAACACTCTCAAACAATCCAGCCTGACCCCTGCAAATTGCCGCGAAGCCACAATGAGGGATGTACAGACTGGAAATGAACCTTTGATCTCACATACCCAGGTAAGGTTACCGATAGTATTATTCACAGAATAAACACCAACAACATAATTTGACCCCTCTCTATTACTTGTAACTTCTTTCGAGGAAACCAACAACACTCTCTTAAACATCCATTCACTTGTTTACTTCCAATCCTTACCTATTAATAGTACCTTTCCTTTGATGTGCACGATAACGGGAGTTGAAGATCCCATAGATATTCCAGACACAACAGTACTGGCCTGCGAGGCTACAATTTCCGGGCTAGACGTCCCATTTCCAATGACGACGAGCTTGACATTGGTCCTCTAATACCAGAGGCTCCTCTTATGAAACAGAGGATAGAGTTCTTATATTCAATCGCATGCGACATTTGTTCTTAGTCTGCAAATCACAAAGCATACATCATGGAGGAGCCAGAGAAAGAGAGCCTAGATGGCTCGTCCATAGTAGGAATACTATAACATACAACTCCGCGAATGGTCTGCTAATATTTGACTTGTCTAGAAACCAGTTTCATCTCTGCGGTCCCATTTCGAACAGATGGCGAACGCCCAACCGGCCAATAACACTGCAACAAGAGGCGTTTCCCCAAAAGGTTTGAGGAATACTGTGAGTCCTGGAGATACTGCCAGAGTAGCGCCAACCATACCGAACCGACCAGAGTCAGTAACGCATTCAGCGGAGTCAGTTCAATCTGCGAGAGGTCGTGATGCAGAAGCGACTGATGTTACACTGCGGCCTCCGCGTGCGAATGGCGGTCGAAAGCTATCTCCCTCACCTACTCGAATTATTACTCCTTCTCCAAGGCCAATATCAACTGCACCTCCTGCCGTTACTGTTCAGCCACCCCAATCACCTCCGAAGGTCAGAAATCTGAATCTTTCATTGGCAAACACCTCTGCGTATTTATCAACAGACGCACCGTTTTCGGCCTCTTTCGATAGTTCCTCCCAGGGCCATTTCAAAATTCCTAGTCGGTCGAATACACCTTTGACGGAAACCAAAAACTCGTCTTCTTACCCATCTTCACTTCCGCCCTCGCCACCTCCTCCTAGACGATCAGGTGAAGTAAGAAGGAATTCATCATTTAAAGTTGGACCTCCGCCGATCAATCGCGCCGACAAACCTAAGATTTCAAGTAAACCGGTAGGGTTCAGTTCAAGCGCAGAAAGTGTGAACTTAGCACCTATATCCGTTCAAATACCTATAGAAAAGTCATCTCCATTTAGTACACCTCCAAGTAGTGGAGGAAGTATCGAAAACGAATATCCAGTAGCGCCACCATTGCCGCGAAATAGGCCACGGCCAGTCTCCTACACTCCTTCGTCCAGATCTTTTGAGCCTCCCCCTAGACATCATTCCGTTTCAAATAGACAGACAGATCAGGAGACCAATGGTCTAGGTCGAGCTATAATATCCCCGCAATTTACGGGGGGAGACCGAAGACCTGCGTTACCTAGCCGGCCAATGCCACCACCTCCTCGCCCTTCTGTTGACAGGTCAAGACCGCCAGTGACTAATGCTATGCCCGTTGATAATGGACACAATTTTGCGACTTCCCCAAAAAGAGTTCTTTCAAATCCTACGGCTCAATTACAAACTCCAACTAGATCACATGGAAGATCTATGACAGTTGATAGGACAAGCGATAAAACGCCAGCCGAGTTCAGAACCCCGGTGGTGTCTGTGTCAACTAGAACCGGCCATCGTCCTCCGAGTGATGTGCCCTCAACTCCAGTAATCAGGGAAGGCCTATCTTTCAAGGCAGGCGAATATCCAGATACCTCCCATTCTAACCGTAGACCTCCATACTTTGCTAAAGGAGCATACGAAATATCAACAAAGTATGATACTCGCATTTTAGATGTTTGCGGAGAATACGTATGCACCACCGGCCACGTAACTAGGGTTTGGAGTCTACTAGATGGAGGTGTAGTTATGAGCCTAGCTCATACCGAGGGCATTAAAGTCGTATCTGTAGCTTTCAAGCCAGCAGCGGAAGTGCAAAATGAGGGCACAAGGCTATGGTTAGGTAACAATATTGGAGATTTGGTCGAGGTTGATATTTCAAGCGGAAGCATTGTCGCGAGCAAGTCCAACGCCCACACTCGTCGTGAAATAATTAGAATTTATCGACACTTGAACGAATTATGGACACTTGATGATGGTGGATCATTGCATTTATGGGCTGCAGATGACACTGGTGAACCTAATTTGACGAACAACCCATCCCAGAGCTATCGACTTCCGAAAGGTCATACATTTTCGCTGGTTATTGATGGTGAACTGTGGCACGCAGCAGGCAAAGATATACGAGTTTTCATCCCGACTCTGGATGGAAGCTCTCAGTTTCAGGTTTTACAACGCCCTCTTCATCAACCAGATGCAGGTGAAATAACATCGGGTGCTGTAATAAGCTCTCAGCCGGACCGGATATACTTTGGTCATGTTGATGGAAAAGTAAGCATATATTCACGACATGATTATGCATGCCTAGGTATAGTAAATATCAGCGTCTACAAAATCACATCTCTTGTGGGTGTAGGCAGTCATCTTTGGGCTGGCTTTAGTACGGGTATGGTATATGTATATGATACTACTTACACTCCATGGGTCGTAAAGAAGGACTGGCGTGCTCATCATGATCCACTTATTGGCCTATTTGTTGACCGTAGCAGCTTTTGGATGCTTGATCGGGAACATGTCATTTCCTTGGGCCAGGACAATATGGTACGAGCATGGGATGGCCTGCTTCAGGATGATTGGATGGAGCACCAGATGCAATCTCAAGAAGCAGATTTCTGCAAACTTACCCCAATCAAGACTTTAGTTATGACGTGGAATGCGGGCGCATCTACTCCATATCACCTTCAACAATCTGATCAGGATTCGAGGTTCTTGCCTCAACTTCTTCAAGATAGCGATCGGCCAGATATATTAGTCTTCGGATTTCAGGAATTAGTTGATCTAGAAGACAAAAAGACTACCGCTAGTAAGTACGCAGCTAACTTATAAAACCTCCTTCTAACTGGTTGGTAGAAAGTTTTTTCAAATCGAAGAAGAAGGAGAAGGATTCTGATCATGAACACATGAGCCACCAATATCGAAATTGGCGAGACTTCCTTACCCGATGCTTAGATGATTATGTTCAGGGTGAAATATACCACTTGCTTCATACCGCAAATCTAGTTGGCCTATTCACATGTGTATTTGTCCGATCTCCACTTCTACCACGTATCAAGAGTATCAATGCCGCTGAAGTCAAGAGGGGTATGGGTGGACTCCATGGGAACAAGGTAAGAGTCTTTGCAAAAGTTCCTGCTAATTATATGTGTTTTCTGACGTACATTAGGGCGCATTGATTCTTCGATTTATGCTGGACGATACGTCGATGTGCTTCATCAACTGTCATCTTGCTGCTGGACAAACACAAACGAAAGATAGAAACACAGACATAAGTATGATCCTCGAAAGCCAGGTTCTGCCTGCAGAACGCGATCACAGCGTCCGCATAGATAGCTTTGTGGGAGGCGGTGATGGAACAATGATCCTCGATCATGAGATCTGCATTTTGAATGGCGATTTGAACTACCGTATCGATACAATGGGCAGAGATACTGTGGTTAATGCGGTAAAAGCTAACAACTTGGCAAAACTTCTCGAGCGAGATCAACTTCTTGCCTCAAAACGCAAAAATCCATGGTTTCGATTACGCGCTTTTCACGAACTACCCATCACTTTCGCGCCGACCTATAAATACGATGTAGGAACTGACAATTATGACACGAGTGAGAAGAAAAGAGCACCCGCTTGGTGTGATCGATTACTTTACCGTGGACACAATCGTGTGGAGCAGCTCGATTATCGTCGACATGAGGTTCGAGTGTCTGATCATAGACCCGTAACTGGATTATTCCACATGGTCATTAAATCAATTTCACCGCAGAAGCGTGCCGTTAAATGGGAGGAATGTTTACAGGACTTCAAAAATTTGAAAGAAAAGCTCGGGTCAGAAGCAAGGTAAGCTTTTTCTTTAGCTCTCAATCGGTCGTCACGACATTATGATTGCCGACGCTAATCGACATTTAGGCTTGATTATCTCATAAATGTTCTGGGTTTTGATCCAAAGACTAGTCAACAGATAGTTTCATCGGGACCGGGAACTTATGGGGGCCGTTGATTGGCTTCATCAACATTATAGGCTAGAAGTTCAAACACACATCGTAAAAGACATAGATCATACTTTACCGTGAGTCGAGTATTAAAATGCGAGGAGCAGAAAGATTAACCCTCCTACCCCCTTAGAGGTTACCAGCTCAAGAAAAGGGATATGGGATACGAGACATGGGATATGGGATAGGGGATATGTGCCACCAATTCTCTAGCATTTTGTGTGGATTAGGAATGGACACGTGATGAAAAGTCCTGCGAGGACTAAAGTAGCTCACGTCATGATGTACAAGCCTAGCTCGGTTGGCTGGTGGTCTTCTAAATGTTGCCCCACTGTTCAGGTACAATCCCCGCAGTATAGAAAGTGTTTCCATCATAGATGCCATCATAGATGCAACAAATGACGATATGAACATGAAGAAGAAAGAAGAGCTACCTAGGTAGATAGTAGGCAAATTGTATGTAGGTAGTATGTAACTAACTAAGAATTCGAAAGGTTAATGAGACAGCAAATTTCATATAAACTTTCCTAAAATGGTTGGGTGCTTTTTTTGCGTTTTTGCTTTTGTTCTTTCCATGTATAATACTAATAGTTGTTTGTCCACGATTGGATATTTATTAAGACGTAAAATCAACATCAATAATCTTCTGCTTTCTCAGTCATCTTCCATCTACCTCACATTCCCATTCTCAATCCAATTAAACCCCATATCTTCCTCTTATCCCCATCAACACATATCCCACGCTTACACTCGCTCTCAATCCTACCACACCCTCAAAATGTCTCCCTCCTCAGACAAATCCACCTCCAACGCCAAGAACGAAGCCCGATCCCAAGGTCACAAAGACGAGGATATTGAAGGCGACCACAATGAATGGAAATTCAGAGTCCCGTATAAAGTGCACGAAAATGATGAGGATTTCAAAGTGCTGTATGAGGGAGGTTGCCATTGTGGACGGGTGAAGTATCAATTGAGCAGGGAGAGGCCTTTGAGTGCGAAGTTTTGTCACTGTACAACTTGTCAGGTTTTGCATGGTAAGTTTTTTGAGGAGTTGAATTTTGGTTTGGGGGAGGGAGGGGGAGGGGGGCGAGAGTGATGAGGGGTGTAAGAGGAAAGAAGTGGTGAGATAGGCTGGGAGGGGGATGGAAATGATAAGAATGCTAATTTAAGGGATCTATAGGAGCACCATTTCAATGGGCTGCAATTTTCCATAAAGAAGATATCAATTTCACCCATGGGCATCATGATCTGGGTTGGTACGTTCATATTCTTCCAGCTGCTCTCTTCTTTTCCCCTCGCTCAAAATCTCCCCAATTTCTTTACTTGCCATTCTTATCCACCAATTAACACCCCAACTAGGTACGAATCTGAAGAGAAAACCACCCGTCACAAGCTTCCCTGCAAAGTAAGCTGTGCATACTGTCGTACGCCCATCATGGATGAGGGAAGAAACATGATATTGCTTTTCCCGAGCTTGATTAAATTCAAGAACCAAGAGGAAAAAGAGAAGTTTAATCCTACGTTAGTTTCCTTCCGTAATTGTTTCTCCCTTGATCTCAAAAACTTGTTGCGGTCTTCTCATTCTGGAAGGGAAAGTTTGGCGAGGTTGAAATGAAGGAAATGCTAATTGACGTTTGTGATGTAGATGTCATATGTTCTATTCGAGACGCCTAGTAGATATTCCTGATGGATTACCTAAATGGACGGGCTTAAATGACAAGAGTGATTTGATTGAGGATAGTCCTCCTGAAGCTATTCAAAAGAGAAAGAGAGAGAAGGAAGAAGAGGAAAAGGATGGGAAAGGAGAAAATGGACATGACAAGAAGAAAGAGAGAAAGGAATAGATAATCTGAGGGTTGAGAGATCTATAATGGGTGGCAAATATAAAGTTGTGGTATTTCTATTCTGTTGTTTGTTTTAGTAATCCCGCCATCTCAGGAACGAACGAGGATTTCTTTATTCCCCTAATCCTTTGGTCGCGACTGCCAAAATAACTCCCTTCGTGCACCACTGCGTCAATATTTGAAACCAACTCCTCTCCTTTTCATTTTCCATCTGTTTTCTCCTCAGCGTCCGAAACACAAGACGAATTAGTACTATGACAACTCTCGTTTTATGTGAGGATGTTTATTAAATAGTACAATCTTTGACGTGCTCGGATATTATGAAATGTATGAGGATGTATGAGGAAACCCTTTGCAAGATACTTGCAAACTATCGACAACAAATCACTCGGACCAGTCTCCAGTATTCATACACCCGCCTCCGCGCCACTATTCTTCAACAACAAGCCATCCAATCTCAGCAAACCCAAACTCATGAGTCCGTTCCCGGCATTGCCACTACCAATTCTCATGGCCCATCTCCAACGAGTCACAAGCTCGTGGATCTCGGCTGATTCGGTTTCATTTTCGGATGTGACGAGTAGTTGCATAAGAAATGATGATGCGATTGCGAAATTTGCACGAGACCCTGATATTCAATTAGCGATTATGGGTAGAAATGGCAGTCAAAACTTACATGAGTGCCAAAAGGCATCTAAAGCACCCCTCCCAAGATTTTCTACAAACTCAACGACTTCTTTTGCGCATTCTCTGGCCCCAGCCCGTACAGCTAGACGACTACCTATTGTTGCGTCTTCTTCTACGCTCGTTAAGTTTTCGAGAGGTCGAAGAAGAGCTCGGAATAATGTCATGGTTGCGATGATATAGGCGAGTGAAAGTGATGGGTTTCCACTTAATTGTGCTAGACCGCGGGAATCTAAATGCTCTGTTTGACGGAGGGACATAGAAGGAGATAATGAATCATTCCAAGCCTTAAGCCGTGTGCGGAGTGGTCTTGCTAGTTCGAGGGATAATGAGAAATCTTTAGATGTGCGTTGTGTTGCCCGCAATGTATAATAGGAATCAACAATGTCGCTGAGAATGGCGGTCAGCTCGGCTAGTAACCGAAAGTGTTCTGAATCGGGTTCTGATTCCGTAATGGGTTGATTGGGGTCGGGGGTTGATGCTTCAAGATCATTATCTTCAAGCGGGTGGACGTCGAAATCGTCAGCATGTATGTGGCTTGGCATTCCCGCGCCCAAAGACGCCCACTTATCCATGACAAAGACTCCATACCAAAGTCTTTTTCTCAAATTCATTTCCCATACTGGTATACTACTCCAGTCACTACATTCCTTCATCAAGCCCAGAATCTGAGCAAGACTCACTGTCCATCCCACAAGACTCGTTTTCCAAGGTGTATCGGTTGTATATCGATTCGTGGGGGCTCTTTGTAGTAACAATAGACATGCTTGTACTGTTGCAAGTCGTGGAATATGTAATTCTTGTTGAATGAAGAGCCAGGACAAACGAAACAGTTCATGTGATGTCGGAGGTGAATGTATGAGAGTTGTAGCGAGGAAATCATCATACAACATAAATGGTAGGGCTGTAGCGTATATTGCCGACAACAGAGAAAATGGTAACGTATGCAGAATCGTCGGGGAGAGTACTCCTGGCGATTGGAATACTTGGCTTTTTGATAGAATAGGAAAATAGGGATATACAAATCGGAAAAAAAGACCTATAAGACGAAGGGCTTCTTGATCCGTGAACATGCCCCTCAGGTCTGATTCTGCCTTACTGAGAACATCATCATCTATCCTTGGTTCCCCTTTTTGCGCAAAGCTATCGTCTGCTAGCATAAAGACCACAGGAGGTTCCCCTTTCTGGGTCGAAAAATTATTCTGTGTTGAGTTCTTGATTCGCCGGTATGTCAACTTCGATATTGTACATTCATCGTTCTCATTATAGCGGTAATGATGCAGTAGGTATGGATTTGATTCACCCATTTCTCCAACAAATCTTGCTGACTTTGTAGAATGCTGAGAATCGAGGGGCCTTATTCGGGTGCTTTGCATCATGTTCAAGTAAGGATCCAGATTATATATAGGCGAGCCATCTTGGACGAGGATCTGTTGATCTGGAGACGAAGTCGATTCAGTCAAGACACCATGTCCGGTCAAGCTCTGAAAACTATGCTCGCTATATTGGCTGATGAAGCTGGGACTAAGTTGAGCCGCCGAGACATCATATTGTTGCAAAGGAGCAGTAGCTTCACAGACACACAAGTCAGCGAATCTCTCATATGATTTATACACGACTTCTGCATGATTGTGTGATGTGTTGTAACATACAAGTAGATGTTGTAGATCCACTACTCTGATCACCATTGCTTGCTGCAAGATTTGGCCTTCTCTTCTTCTTTGGCCGATCTACAAATGTGCAACTTCTCCCATGAGATATGCACAATTGACAGGGCGGGGCGGAAGATATCGAACATCTTACTTGACGGGCTCGACAAAAATCACAAGGACGATACTTGCGCGATTTGTAGGATCTTGGACCTGGTTGAATTGGATGGCTGTTCAGTTGTTGAGGTAATTGTAAGTCAATGGCACCTCCGTTGAAGTAATCATTAGAATTAATTGAAGTTTGGAAATTATGAGGATCCATCGAACGAAGGGGGGGGGAAGACTTTAGGAGCCAGGCCTATTGGTGGTACTAAATGACCCTTAGAGTTTCCTTATCGGCTCTGATAGACAATAATGATAATGAATGCAACAGCAACTCTTTGGAACATCAATTTGACCGATTCATTCCCCGCGCGGGCAGGAGGTATTTCTTTTCTTTAATGATATATAACAAGTATATGCTTTAAGATATTCATTAGAATCTCACTTGCGATTATATCCATCTGGAATTACTTTTGTTTTTATCCCAATATTCTGGACGTTGAATGTTGGATGGCGTTGTATCCAATGTTCCAGAATATTTCCCATCTGGTCCAATTCCTCACACTTCCTCCCACAAAATTCATGCGAACACACGGCCAAGGAGGCCCAAAGGAGTTGCCCGTGTTATCATCGTGCAGTTTATGTAGCGAGTGTCGTCAAATACATCCTTGTGCTTACAATGCTGGTCAGAATCAGTTCTAGTCGTTTCGGAGTTTACTTTGAGCAGCGTGAGGATTATCGGACGAAAGTATCACTTGCACGAGAGAATGGCATAGTCCGAGGAGGTCTTGGCTACAATGAATTGAAATATTCAAATAAATGGGATGTCCTCAGCTGCTTCTAAGCCTTTATGACGCGATTAACCTTCCATTTCTTTCTCTTCGTCGCAGCTTTCCTCTAATCGCCGAAGAGTTGAAGGTCTAGTGGCCTCTGTCAAGTGTTCTCGGTCCATTGTCACAAAGTATAAAGATATTTATTATCAATCTGGATGGAATTCATCGAATTGCGGTTGCTCGTCGGCTGTTATCTACTGGTTTGGCTCATTGTACTGTGAAGTCGCAGTTCCGCTACTCTATTCCTTCGGCTTCGGCGATAGAGTTCCGTTTCAATATGCATCGATATAGTCTATACCATCTATGCTGCGTCTAAACATTTGAGATTTTGCAGGATTTCTCTTCAAATAGCATTATCCCATTCATGTATTTAGGCGACGAACGAGTGTTCAACTCTGATACTATGAATGGGTGACAAATCCCATTCCTCGTCGCAACAGCACATATAGAATTTCCTTAAGGGTATAGAACTCTCAAGCGGATATTTCCGGTTGTCTCTCATGATCCTCTATAGCTCTCGTGGGCTTTCCGGATCAGAACCCGTTTTCTTCCGTGAGTATTCCAAATAGAATCCTACGAGAAGTTTCTCAAAGAAGAGAAGCAGATCTCTGCATCTGAAATCAACCAAACATTAGATGTGGTTTGGGCAAGCCTCCGGCAGTAAGGATGCACCCGATAGAGAGTCTGGATGTTGAAGTCTTGGACTATGGAATGATCTTTTGAATATGACTGGCAGTGTGGAAGCCATCGGTGGCGAGGGAATGAAGCAGTTCTTCATCTATTCATGTAGCCATAGAATCTTTAGTACAGGACATGTGAAAGAACGTCATGATTTTTGTTCATGAGAGTATCTATCACGAGTGGACGGCTCTGAACTCATATGATTAGGTATGCTTTGAAAAAGTGGGATGTATTCGGCATCAAAAATCATGGTAGATATGACCACAAAAAATCTAGGGATTAGATCGTCAATAGTAGATGACTAGGAAGAAGGATCATAAGTGAATCTTCCTCTATAAATGGGAGTCCTGAGATATTGAGTCTCAAAATAATTGGTAACATTGAGCAGAGGTTCATTTTTTGGACCCACTAGGCATATGCTCGTTGCTCATGACGTGTGAAATAATTCAACACTATTTGACTAGCTATTGGCATTGCAATACAAGATTTCTGGAGGAGAAATGCTATTCCAACTGTGGGAAGGAGGTACACTACACTGCACTAGATTGTTACATTTGCCTTTGAGTCGAAGACTTACATTTCATAACACTTGAACAATCTCCTATTTTTTGTTGCCCGTACTATTCAACCATTTCATCTACCAGTACATCTCATCTCCATGATCTCCGTCCCATTTCTCCAAACTGTTGTTTCGAGGAACATTCCCCCAACCCGATAAGAACATTCACCCCCAACTTTTCTTATCCATCTGCATAGATTTATGGGGCACACATCCAAACAAGCATATTTTGCCCGTCGGCCAACGAGTCTTGGCTCAAAAGTGGCCTCATATCGTAGAGCTATTGTTCGTCAACCCACGCTTTCAACTGCTTTCATATCATATCCTGTATGTAATGAAAATCAAAGTTGATTTGAAAGTTGATTTGCATGCAATCACTGATTCTTGGGGATTGTATCTTTCAACCAAACTATGGTTTGATGAGCAGTAGGTTATTCATTGTTTATTCGTCTCGCTTGTTGCTTGGGCGTGGGGGTCTGGGATCCAAGCGATGTTGCTTGATTGAACCATATATATGTTCAACTGAAGCGCAAACTGCCACATACGACCATAGACTGAGGAGAATTGGGCATCCCGTCCGCTCTGCCATACACAAGCCTCAGATCGGTAGATTAGTAGTTGGGTGGGTGACCACCAGCGAATCCCTACTGTTGTATGTAATTATTTTTGGCGATTTTTGCTATCGATTTTGGTGGTGTTGAGGGACGATCTCGTTTGTGATTGGGAAGAGAAGTAGATCACCTGGGCAATCATTATAGAGAATGGATAAACGGCATGAAGTCAGTTCACTACTCTCCCTGGGATTCGTTGACTCCCACGGAATTCTCAAATCAACCAACTCCAAAACACGTCAACACTTCGTAATCACGGCAGTCGTCTACTCCTAAGATAGTAAATAAAGTAGCCAAAGAAGTCTCAGTAGGTACATATTTGCTTGAGCAGTTGAAGGTGAAGGAACTACTGGGATATGAGTATAGAAAGGGAGAGCAAGGGGTTTTGATGTGCAATTGGAACCGAAAGGCTCGAGAGGGAGGCCTTGAAAATGCGGTTCATCAATCTTTGGATAAAGCAAGTCGCAAGAACAAACTGAAACAGGATTAGAAATGAACAGCAGACGGGAAATATGTGACTCACACATGTGTATACTGGCTCCTACTGCTATACCCCATGTCTGTCTAGCCAGACTTTCAAAGCAGAGTCTAGAGTTGAGGGGGAACATTCGAAGTCATACTTGATAGTCTTCATGTAATACCGTAAGAAAGATATTCATAAGAGCATGCATATTTCCACCTTCTGTTTCTCCAGAGATAGTCAGATAGAGCGAGTAGTCACTTAACTAAAACATATATATACTACATTCATTAAGTGCACACCTACCAGTACCAACAACAATACCGTTCACCTCCAAATCGTCCTTCTATCACCGCTCATGAAAATGACAATAGAAAAATACACAAACACAAACATAATATATAAACCACATTCCTGTTTCTCCTCCTCCCAGGAGCAACCCCCCCCTATATCATACCGCACCATGCCCTCGAGAAATTCCCTCGACTTCACTAACTACGATGCTGTCAAGGCTAAAGATACACATCACTTCACCTAGCCTCCGCTTACCTGTTCTCCAATTATCCATCATCTATCCATTCCCAACCCCATAGATCAACATCCCGCTCCATGATCCCATCCTATACAACCCACCACACCTCAAACATACCAAAACATGCACCTCAACATCAGCATCCACAACCTCTCTCTTCTCTCCAGACTCTATACCCTCCCTGGAATCCAGACATTCCCGATCCCCAATCTCCAACCCTCAATCCCTACAAAAAAAACCCCATCAAAAACCCATACAACTCACCAAATTCAAATAACCCAAATACATGCAACACACAATACTCTTGTGCCATCACTGCACTCTTATTAATATCTTCTAACTTCTATCTAGCATTTACCATCTTCCCCCCTCAGCCCCCATCAAAGCCAGCAAACACACAATTCTACACTCCCATCATCCTTAACCCCTCCCAAGTCCCTACGAATACTGTACAAACGATCCACATAACTAATTCTAACCCCTCCGTTCTTCCCATCTCGTAACTCTTCTCTTGGGCCCAAATACTCATCATTATCCTCATACAAATACATGTACATATATGCATCTTCATCCCCATCCTCACACCGGCATCTTCATCTCCATTCCCAATCTCACATCCTTATCCCACTCCCAGTCCCAGCTAATCACCCATCCCATCCAATACCAACGACTTGCAAATAGAACACATCCAATTATGCAAAAGAGAATCAAAACTTCTACTATATATACCTAGGTATATAGACTCATGTGTGTAAGACCTCAGGAGCGACTATGACCTCATCAACAAAAGATCCAAATGCAAAGAGGCAAAAGGCTAAAAGAACAGACACAATAACAAGGTTAATCACCGATAGACACGCAAACACATAAATGGAGATTGAAAAGCTCTCATTCCAATTGACATCGTCCACGCATGTAGACACTCGCCATCATATCATCTATCTACCACCCCGAAAATTGTCTATTAATTCGCATTGCAATCGCAATCGCATTCATCGTATATCAGATCATTAAACTCATTTCCTCTACTCTTATTCTGAGAAGATCATAGCAAGCCTCCATACAAAAATCAGAAGAACCAAACCAATGCCAGATGTGTGTGTATGCACGCAAGCCAGGTATTCCCAAAACGCCTTAATGCTTAGCGGTGACCTTTTCACCCGTCAATTTCTCGACATAAGCTTTTGCCCTGTTTATTGTGTGTTAGTACTTGTTTTGTTTGGTAGATGTTGAGTAGTGAAGGGATGATGGAAGGGGAAAAAACTTACATATCACCCATAGCAACCATGCAAATAGTTTGCCAAAAGCCCAGCCCAATTCTAGGAACAACGCCACGAAACAAGCCCGAAACTCCGTTCTGACTATAAATATACTTGAGGGTATTGCCAACCGTCATCTTAGCAGGTCGGTTAGGATCCACCGTCTTACTCTGCATCTCGATACGAATAACTTCGATAGGTTGATTCCAAGCACTCAATCCACCACCCAATCCACTTGCCAAAATCTTCTCCCAAGCACTCAACTTTCCATTCTCACCCTTGCCAGTCACCTTTCGGATACCGCTTTCTGCCAATCGACTCAATCCGAATCTACTTCCCCAGTTGGTCATTTGACGAATAGCAACGGCGTTGACTCCTTTGTTGATTCCCTTGATACCTTCTTTGCGGTAGATGTTCATGAAAGTGGTCATGGTACCGTCAGGCTTGACACCGGCTTTTGCCATATTGGTCTTGGTGATTTCCACGGTCTTCATGCAGGTGCAGAATCCCATGGTAGCATATGCTTGAGCAACACCACCAATTACACCTCCACTAATACCGGCAGTAAAATCACCAGCACCAAAAGAACGAGCGTACCACTCGGCTTCGGAGGCGACGAAGAGGAGAACGGCACCTTTGGTGGAGGCTTCGATCCATGCCCATGGAATAAGTCCTTGGTAGACTGTAGTGGGGTTATCATTAGCTGTTATTCTTGCAGATCTAGAATATAAAGAAAAATGTACAAATCAAAGTATAGAATAGGATCGACGTGGAAACCATGAAAATCATGAAAAGGAAAGGGAAAGGAAAAAACATACATCCAAGAACACCACCTCTCCCCCAAATTCTACCCAGAGCACCCGCAAAAGTATCCCCTCTATTAGCAGCCATAGTAGTCTTTGTAACCTCCAACGGTTGACCCAAAGTGGTTACCTCGAACAAATTCAAACTGGCACCCAAGAGCAAGTTGGAGAACTTGACGGGTTTCTTCTCTGGAACTGCTGGCTTGCCGACGATGGGCATTTTGGCGGTGACAGCGGACATGATAAGGTAGACGGTGTTTGTATTGGGGCCCTGACCAAGGGAATAGGTTGCTTCTTCGCAAAGGAAAGGGTGGTGAGATTGAGGGTTGTTGTTGTTGTTGTTGTTGTCGTTGTTGTCGTTGTTGTCGTTGTTGTTGGAAAGAACCTAAGTAAGGAAGATTTGATGGATGGAAGGAAGGAAGGAAAAGGGAATGAGAGAGAGGGAGAAGAGATATGTGTTTGTTGAAAGGGGAGCTTAGCTGATCTGCCACAGCACTCGAGAAAGATAGGAAGCTAATGAAAGACCAGGTGGACCCTAATTTTTTGAGTGGGGCCCCGATAAGATACAAGGGTATGTGGGTGGGAATTTGTTGATAATGCTGAAAACCTATTTCGAGTGAAGGTGAAGAAAGCAATAAAAGAAAAGGTTTACCTGGTAGGAAATTATATAAAAATTACCTTAAAGAAACCCCTCTATTGTGTATATTGTGCTATTTAAATTATCAAATTACCAAAATCTTCATTGTTTATTATCACATTCTTTACTTCAAGATAATGAATCGGGGTCAGCAGAAAGAAAGTCTTGGTCTGGACTCTGGACTTTGGACTCTGGACTCTGGACTCTGAACTCTGGACTCTGGACTCTGGACTCTGGACTGAATGCTTCCAAAGATGCATTGTATTTTGTACCAGCCTCAGCCAGCACAAGAAAGTGTACTTACTTCCTTCTCTTCTCTGTCAATCACTTATCAATCATACTCGGGCCCTTCCTTCCTGATACATATGTCCATATGTCCATTGTCCACTGTCCGTCCATCAATCGTTGTACACCTAACAACTTCACAACGTGATTTCTTACCTACAGAGGGTCTATTGCTACTTAATGCCTACTAAATACTATTCGGGCAACCCTAAAGAAAAAGAATGGAACAACCTTGGAAACCTCGGCCATTTGTTGAGAAGTTCAAGCTCAACGAATTGCATGTGTTGTTGATTCATTGGGGAAGTCCGGTCCGAATTTAAAAGCGGTCTGTAATTTGGTATCAGGATTGCTTTTTTTATTTGGGTGAAGTCTCGAGCTGAATTGATCGGCTTGCTAGTACAACATCTTGTTGTCAATAATAAGTATACTTTGTATGCATTCTTGACTCGAACACTATTTGGTTCTAACACTTATCGTTTGTTCTGATGATCCCATCACCATTTTCTGCACGAGTGATAGGTGAATTGATTGAAATCAGACACCATTAAGAATATCAGTCTTGCGATGCGAGATGACGACGACCTTTATCTACGAAGCGCCATAGCATATCCCTTACTTTGAACGACTCACTGTACACTGTCAGGATCTCACTCCTTTTCCCTAACACGTTTCGGTCTCAGGACTGTGGCTTCCTTCACAAGCTGATGGAATGATTTCTATTTTCAAAGGGCCAAGTACCTAGGTTGCAAAAGCATACGACCACACCGGCCTGCTCTCTTACAAAACTTGTCGGTTTCGTCTAACCCTTCCCCTCTACGTAGCCGAAATATAGGCTGAATTCGAGGACTTTTGGGATCTCTTCACAATTAATCGTCACTTAAAGCTCTTATGTTACAATTATCTTGAAACCTCATAAAGTGAATATAAGCTAAACTTTCATTAACTATTCTCAATTTTTATGCTTCAATTTGTGATTGATTCATGAACCCAAGTTCCTGAATTAACATTTCCAACTTTTTTTTTTTCGGCAAACTCCAATACTGCTCCTGATTTTTGGCCCCCAAATCCTCCCCGTACACCATAAAACCCATCATACCCCCTCGTCCCCCTACCATCCACAGTATTCCAAACCACCTCATAAATTCATGCACCCATACCCCTCATATTCTTCTAACCCCAATTCTCCCAATCCTAACACCAGTGCCAGATTTCAGGGGTGGCCTTCTCATGATCACGTACATCAAAATCCATCTATAGAGCATCGTACCGACAACCATCAATGAAGCTAATAATTTGATGAAAGATTAGCAACGATTCGACAGTGATACAATGCGTACAAGATGAGTAAATGCGATGTCTGGTCAGGTTTGAATAACAAAGTTGGGGTGGGGATTGATATTTGCGTCTGGATGGGGATGGGGATTGGGATGGGTTGGTTACTTGGTCGCTTTTAACCGCTTCCCTATGTCTAGATTCAGGGTTGCAGTTGAGAGAATTTGATAGTTGCAAGAGATTGAATGTCCCAGTAAATTGAATCATTGAAAAGAAAATAATGGTGCAAATGATTTGTACATATGTTTGTGTAAGTCTAGAATGTTAAGGGCATGAGACACATGTCAGTAGGTAAGCAACAGAATGCATGATATACCGGATTGATAGTGGAGTCTCTTCGTCTTTGTTCTTCTAGCAAAAGCAAATCATTATATTATACACTGAATCATCATGACGAGAAGTATGAGTACGTATTCCTGCTCTAGGTTTCCTTTACTGCAACTTCTTGAAAAAATGATTCTACAATTTTATAATGGTTGGCTCTATCCAGTCTACACCTTTGGTCATTAATTCAGGCGTCCATGTGTATACCACTAAGTTTACCTCCCCACTAGTCCTTTGATATCCTTTTTACAACTTGGCTCCAACAATCTCGGCCCACTTCTCGGTGGAGAAGGACTTGGGGCGTTCAATTGGGGCGCCGACGGCTCTGTCGATGATCAATTGTGGGAGCACACCGATGGCACGGGAAACACCGAAGAGAACGGTGTAGTAGTTGGCCTCAGTCAAACCATAGTATTGGAGCAAGACACCAGAATGTGCGTCAACATTTGGGAAGGGGTTTTTGGTCTTGCCATGCTCAGTGAGAACACCTGGAGCGATCTTGTAAACTTGGCTAACAAGCTTGTACATAGGATCTGTAAATTATATTGTTAGAGTTGAAGATGTAAATCACGTGCTCGGTTAAACTTACCCGATGGCAAATGCTTCTCGGCAAATTCTCTCTGAGCCATGTAACGAGGATCAGTCTTGCGGAGAACGGCATGACCGTAACCTGGAACGACTTGACCGGCGTTAAGAGTAGACCACAAGTAGTTCTTGATAGCCTCATCACTGAGATCATCACCAATAGCAGCCTTCATCTTTGTGAGCCAGTTCAAGACTTCTTGGTTGGCGAGACCGTGAAGAGGACCAGCAAGACCGTTCAAACCAGCAGCGAGAGACAACATTGGGGAGCTGAGAGCAGATCCAACCAAGTGAGTGGTGTGGGCAGAAACATTACCACCCTCGTGATCAGTGTGGATGGTGAGGTACAATCTCATCAATTCAATGAAGTCCTTGTTCTCGCCAAATCCGAGTTGGTTGGCAAAGTTGAAGGAGTAATCCTTGTCCTTTTGGACAGCAGCGACCTTACCGCCCTTGAAGACGTTTTGGTAGATTCTAGCGGCGATAGTTGGGAGCTTGGCAATCAAATCCATGGAATCCTCGAAAGTGTGACCCCAGTACTCGGTCTTCTTCATTCCCTTAGCATAAGCCTTGGCGAAGGCGGACTCGTGCTCGAGAGCAGTGACAGCGAGGGAGAATTGTGCCATTGGGTGGAGATCGCTTGGGCATCGATCGATGAGCTCTTCGACGAACTTTGGTACGTCGGAACGAGCGGCCCACTCGGCAGAGAGATCGCGGACTTGTTGCTCGCTTGGAACCTCACCGGTCAATAGGAGCCAGAAAAGACCTTGGTTAAATTAGTGATTGCGCATAATAGCGGGCGGCAAATGAGGTCTTACCTTCTGGTAAAGGTTCTTGTCCACCTGGTGCCTTTGGGAGGAGTTCCTGGCACTCTGGGATAGTCTTTCCTCTGAAACGGATACCCTCCTCAGAGTCAAGGACTGAACCTTCCCAGACTAATGACTTGATACCACGAGCACCACCGTAGACTTGGTCCAAAGTAACCTCGCCGATGACCTTATTTCCATAACCCCTGCGAAAATAAGTATGTGTAGATGCAAAGTGGGTGTCGATTTTGGAAATCGATAAAATATTTCTTACTTGCGGAGAGCCTTGATTTGCTCAATCTTCTCTGGAAGTTGCTCGGCGAAACGCTCCTTCAAAGTCTAGATAGAGGAATAGTCAGTAAAGCTGGCTTGTCCCGCATAGAGAAACGTTTGGAATATACCTGAGTCTTCGATGAATAGCATCGCAAGCCATTGAAGGCGGCGGATTTAGCACCGAATGTTGGAGCTCTCATAGATGCTCTAAGAGCAGTTTGACCAATACGAAGGGATGCCATCGTGAGAGATGTGTAGTAATTGCAGTAGAAATGCAAAAATGGAGGTATGATAGAATAGAAATTTAAGAACAGATTCCGGCTCGTGGACGGAAAAAATGGTCGGAGACCCGCTAGCGTTGATGCCGACCAATGCACCAATACACGCAGAAAGCTTCCCCTACCTTAACTACGTCAACCTTGGTATTTGATAAACGCGAGTTATCCCGAGATTGTAAGACGGAAATCCCCACAGATTTCAATAATTTTATTAGCTTGATTGGTTACGCGAGTGAATAATATGGATTATTTTACTCCATTCAACTGGGGATTTGGTTTACTGTATAGATATGGCGGGGCGAAATTAATAAAGTATTCCAGCTCTATAGGTAGGTAAAGTAGATATGGGCGGCTCGAGGGCGGTTATGTTCTACACCTGGGCAATACCCGATCGGTAACTCCCCGCCAATTCTCAAGTCTTCTAAGTTCTGTGCTCTTTTCCCCGGTGCCGGCGAGAGAGGTCGGCAATTGATTCATAAGTAGCACGTGAGGAGATACGCACGTCGAGTATAATTAATAAATAGGTAGGCAGGTTTCACAAGCGACTGTATTTTGTTCATATTTTATGACATTCCGTCCAACCAATGGAAGAATTCACTTTGTTGTGTTTTGCTTCTCATATCCTTCCACCTAACCAATCAGATTTTCCATTCACCTTATTTGCCTCGGGGAAAATGAAACAAGAAATGAGATTCTGTCAAAGGAACCGTAATTTGATAATTTCGTGTCCCACGTGACTATACAGCTGATGGATGACTAACTAGGGCGTAAAAAACAAGACCTTGCCTTTCAACTCCATGATTAGTCGAATGATCGAAGCTACTACACATAATCCCCAACCTTTTTCAACTCGGACAACTTCAACATCAACATCCTCGAACGTCCCTTAACTCATTTGATCTCCATCTACTTGAACTTGAGGTAAAGAAAAGTAATCAAAATTTCGTTACATTAGTAGCGACTCCTACCTTCTGCCACAACTCTCTCCAAAATATTATCAGAGTTCTTAAGAGCTCTAGACTTTACGTGACGGTCGCAGATCCGTAGTCGCGATAGATCCGTTCATCAAATTTTTCATCGTAGCCCATAATCTGGAATCGAGCTGGTGAAAATCAAATCATAGAGAGTAATCTAGATTTAATTGTCACCTCGTCGATAACAATTCGTCGCGTTGATTTGAAGAACTGAGTTCATATCTTCAGTGGTTGGGAAGTCATATTCATTATGTCTTCCGCAGTAGCAGAATTAGAAGCCGGCCTTCAAGCCATGGTACAATTAAAACCTCCTGGTGTATCAGGATCTCGAATTCAAGGCCTTACAAACCTCTGCACCCAAAATATCCAGGTATGCAATAATCCCCATATTCCGCTGCTTCCCTTGCCACCATGGCTGCATCTCTCTCCATCTCCATCTTTGCCTGCAAGCTCTAACTAACATCTCGTTCTCTTCGCAGCAAGAATCCGCTTTGGTTCAGAAATTATATGTTCACTTTAAAAAGACACCTGGCACACACAAGCTTGGCACCCTCTACGTCGTAGACTCTGTAACTCGAAAATGGACCGAACAAGCCAAACTTGCTCAACAAACCATAAATAGTTCTGCTCCGGATGGCACATATGCTGCTGGTGTACATAAAGTAAAGGAATTGCTCCCCGCTTTTATGAACGACATAATCCAATCTGCTCCCGATGATCAAAAGGTACGCCCAGTATATTCAAAATGCTCGAACTGAGTCGTTTCCAGCATAGCTACGTTCTATGTCTGCGTGAAAATTTGCTTCCAAGATATCATATATGTTCCTCAACCGAGATATCATTGTGCACCTTCTCTATATCCACCAATCCTCCATATGAATTCCTACTTACTTGACATTTGTTATTTTTTGTAGGACAAGATTAAAAAATTAGTTGATATTTGGGAGAAGGGACAAACCTTCCCTGCGCAAATGTTGAATGGTTTTAAAGACAAGTTGAATGCTGGTAAGATTATCACATATAATCCCGAGAGTACAATGTTGCCGTGTATCTAACCACAATGTTATCGGCCATGTAGAATCTACAACACCTCCAGGAAGCCCCCCCAAAGATCTTCACGGAGCCTTAGGTTTACAACCAACTTCAGCAACTTCGACCATGGCGCCCCCACAACAAGTTTCTGTGCCCCCTAATACATCTTCGATTTTAGCAGCTCTCGCAAATATGTCAAACACTGCCCGTCAAAATGCTACACCTACGCCAGTTGCTTCTACCCCACCTGTTAATCCATACAATGTATCACATGCGCAGCATAATCCCATTCAACCACCTCAAGCAGTAAACCAAAGCTTGCCATTTTCAGTTGCTCCTCAACCTGTAAATGCCCCAGCTACCTCGATGCCTGCTTATGGTCAAGGTCCAAGTAATGGAATGCCGAACTTTGCCAGTAATCCAAATCCTTTCCCAGGTGCAGCACCAATGAATCCTCCCGGTAATCTCGATCCAGCTACGCAACAACAGGTAGCTTTAATCAAGGCACTTGCAGCTACGGGTGTTCCAGCTGAACAGATTGCTGGTATCTTAGCAGCCATGGGTAATCAAGGAGCTGCAGCCGCTGCACCACCTCCATTTGCTCAAACTCAAAATGCTCATGCTCAAAATAATTGGGGTGTCAGAGATGATGCACGTGACCGAAATGGTTTCCAAGATTCTATGAGATCGCCACCTGGACGTTACCGTCGTCGTTCTAGATCCCCATCTCCTCAACGTGGCTGGGGTGGTCGTGATTCTCCAAATGCTCGTCGTCGTGATGATTTTGATAGGGAATCTCCAGCACGTATGAGAGGTTCCGACGATCGTGGTAGAGGTGGACGCGGCCGAGGCAATGATTACCGCCAACGTAGCCCCCAACGCCGTCGTAGCAATACTCCTCCCAGAACAAATACCAGTGGACCTAAATGGGTTGGACACGATGCTTCAATTGGTAAAGGAAATATCAAAGGTAAATTATCAATTTGTCTGCATCTGTGTTTGAAGGTTATTCTAACAAAACTTACAGTTCTCAGTCGCACTTTGTTTGTTGGTGGAGTTACGTAAGTCATGCCCTTGATCTTTATCATTCGAATTAACCCTTTTCGAAAGTTTATCGTTTATACTGACTTTCTATAGTTCTTCCGAGCATGAATTGAAAGGACTATTCAATCAATATGGTGACGTGCAAACTTGCATTGTTAACAAAGAAAAGCGCCACGCTTTCGTTAAGATGGTCAGTCGTGAGCATGCTGTTAAAGCTAAGGAGGCCATGGAAAAGAACAGAAGTCCCGATTCTTCATTGAGAGTATGTATATTACATATAAATACCACCCATACTCTAACGATTTGCTAACTCTTCATTCTAGACTCGTTGGGGTGTTGGCTTCGGACCACGTGATTGCAGCGATTATCAAACAGGTATCAGCATCATTCCGATCAGCAAACTCACGGATGCCGACCGAAAGTGGATGCTCAACGCAGAATTCGGTGGCAGTGGTGGTCAAGAAATTGAACCTGGTATGGTTGTCGAAGAGCCTGATATTGAAATCGGTCAAGGTGTTTCGTCCAAGGCAATTAGCCGTCGCATGCAAACCGACAACGGTGGAAAGAATGGTCCAAAATCTGGCGCTCGCGATTACGAGGAGGATGAGAGACCTCGTTATCGTCGTGATCGAGAAGACCGTCGAGATGACCATCGGGATGAAGGTCATAAATTCCCTGCCAATACTGTCCCACCAGTCATGCCCCCATTCCCATTAGGCTCATTCCCTTATCCTCTTCCAACACTTCCTAATGGAATGCCAATGTTTCCTCCAGGATTCACTTTCCCAGGCGCACCTCCACCACCTCCACCAGGAACATAGTTCATCTCAAATGATGAATATCATGGTGTTGGCCTCTCGCAAAACAATTCCTTTGGCAATTTATTGACACAATTCATATCACGCATTTCTGTGGCGTTTAGGCGTTCAAGATACCTCGATCATGGCTTTGGTTTGCCAACTCGAAAACAAAGACTCAGGGTCTTAAATTCATGAGCAAACAGGATCATTATAGTAATCAGCAAGTTGGGGCAGTAGGCTGTTTGGGTGACCGACACGGCACATATGTACACTTCTTGCGTTTATTGTTTTTCTTCTTCTTTCTCATTTATGTAGCTAGCTTGCTGCCTTTTTCTGGTGTGTACTTAATACAAACACCCAATTTAATGAATACTTTAATGTGCTATAGTGATTCAATGAAAGAGCTTGTGAAAATTCTATGCTAATAGGCCAGCCTTATGATGTCTGGTGGGTGGTGGGGACGGTGAAGCCCTTAATTTTTTAATTATCTGCATCAGGGTAGTATATAAGATGCGCCCAGGCTTCCGTTCACAACTCCTTAAGCAAAGAGAACGACAGAAGCCGATCGTGGGAAAAGGAACTCTCTCAATTTGCGCCATCCTCGAAAAAGACTGACATGACTCGACGCAGGCAGATAGTCTGCCTTGAGGTCGAAGAATTCGAGTGTTTGTTTCTGGTATTCTTGCCATTTGTTCGTTTTCACCGTCAAGGATTTTGTTATCGCTCTAAGAATAGTACGGTTGTAATAGTAATAATGAGTATTCGTCGTTGTCATTGTTATTTCATCACTACTTCCATCATACTCAAGCTCAATTTTCTTCGTTTGTTCTGTTTTTCTCTTGGTTTCGGTCTTGTGACTAGAAAGGTAGTCGGGTATTTGATAAGGTTTATTCATCCATCCTACTCATATTCATTTTCTTACGACCTTATAAACGTTCTTGGGAGAGAGAAAGAGAAGGGAGGAGGGATGGAGATTTTATATACTACATTTCGCAGGTGGAAGGAATGTAGGTAGTCTTTAAAACTGATACCTCTGAGTTGTTGGCGTGGGATGGAGGATTGTTTGTCAAGTTAATGGCTCTTATTAGTACATAGCTATCAGATTATCCCGGAGGAAGGTATATAAAGACTCCATATCCTGTTTGTTTTTATTCACATGTACTCCAAATAACAAATTAAATAAGGTGCATTGGCGACCAACCAATTTTTCAATTTTCATGAGCAACTTTCTGTCGAGTGGTTCCTCTACTAGGGAGGGGTATAGTTTGGTCTTAAGATTGGCAGTTTCTCAGATATATGATGTTTGTGTTGCTGTCGATATAGCGCAATGGTGAGAATATTTGATGACAGTCATTTTTGCATTTTTTGTTGTTGTCTCTGAGTGCATTATTATTGTCGTTGTACCTACAGTCTACACAAAAAACTCCTTCTTTCCAAGCTATAGAATCGGAGATCCCGAAAATCGTAACGGCATCAATACAAGTAGTAGGTATCATTCACATCATTCTCATGTAACATGATCGGTGAATCTCGTCTACCTTACTTCATGTCGAACTGCGATTTCGACTCCAAATTTCGAGAGCAGGAATTTTGGAGAATCCAACTACCTTTTATAGATTCAGCTGCAAGAAAGGAGTAGTTTTCACTGCATTCTAAACATGTGATCTCAACTCGCGCTAACCTAAAGAAAGCAGACCCACGTTCTGTCCATACCTAGTCTCATCCCAAGGTTCATGCTATGATGAAATAGTTCGTTGAAGAGGTATATAAACCTACCTACGCAGTTACCATCCTCTTTGATCATCAATCCGGCAAGCAATATGGATTAATTTCACTGCAGCTTGATTCTCATCACCGAAGAATTAACTCCCAACGAAAATAAAATTGCTGTCCTTTATGCAACTTACTCTGGTCTATATATTACTTGTTGCATTCTCTCTTGATTTCGAGGGTGCTCAAGTTCAACGGGACTTTCAAGTTTCCTCACCTTTCAATTTATGACAGCTAGGCAGTCGTTTCCCTTGTCGTTCTTCTTCTGTTTTGGGGCTCACGTCTTGACCCGTCAGAAGGAAGCCACGCCTTTGATCCCTTTTATAGTTGGTTCCCATGAATTAAATTGTGGGTTCTTCCTCTCACCTTCAAATCACTTATATCAGATGGTGCTCAAACGAACGTTTCGAATACAACATGAATATCATAGAAGAGATAGCGATTTGACACCAGATTCCCATCCAGATCAGCCAAAGAAAAAACATACGGGAGGTTAGGCCATTCATATACAAGCCAACTATAATGACGAAGATTGCCCGGAAAGATAAGCAAGACATGCTAGTTGCACGACAAGCACAGGCGGAAGAGTTGAGACTAAGAAGAAGGTCGGAATATTTGCAAATGTTGGCAACAACACAAGCTGAAATTGATGAGAAGAGGAAAGCAAGTAGGGATGGCAGTGCAGTTAGAGGAAAGGTATATTCGTGGTGGGAGAAGAGTCCCCAAGAAAGAGCGAGCATCACCAAAAGGCAAATGGAGACAAGAAAGGAAAGATTCGTAAAAACGGAAGGTTGCTGAGATTAAGCAGAGACAGGGTGAGAGATACCGCCAAGCGGTAGCTGCCAAAAACAGAAGAGGAGCGACAACGCCCGACCGACATGCAGAAAGCATGGTACGGAGGTCGAACAGAAGAAGAAAAAGCTGTTACCCGAAAACGTAAGGCTGACAGTGTAGCTTTGAAAACGGAAGACGAGCGGAGAGAGTCTGTTAAGAAAATGGTTGAGTCTAAGGCAACAGAATCAGATGCGGATAAGGTGGAACAACATCTTCGGACAAAGGCAACTTGGGCTTCGAAGTCAAAAGAGGATTTGGAAGCCAAGACAAAGAAGACTTCTGAAACTTTGAAGAAAATGAGCCCAGAAGACAGAAAAGCTTCGTTAGCGTTGACTGAAGTCAAGAAGGAAGCAACTGCGGCAGGGAGACAGTGGAGGAAGACTTTGGGCTTACCAGTGGTGACGCAATCAGAGATTAGGAGCCGATCGTGGGAGAAGAATTTGCTATAAACAGAAATAGTTGAAATGTATTCCTATCTTATTATTTTAAGATTGCTATTCATAATCGATTTCGTTCAAATACTCTCGATTGTGAATATCGCTTTTAAAAGAATTTACTTAGCTAGGTTCTCTTCCTATAAACTAACAAATGATAACTCAATACCTAAGATTGCCTCTATTTTATACCTCATATGTATCTACTGTAAGTAATAGAAACAAGTTCAATTTAAGACGAGGGAGATGATTTAGGCGGCGTAAAGATGTCATCGCTGCTGTTGATTCGAATTTGAGGGTATCGTCGTCATCGTCGATTCCATTAGAAGTTAGCTATAGATCTGGAGAAGAACGTAAAAGGAACCATAGAATTAGGGAAGGGAAGAGAGATAAAAATTGAGTAGATACCAAAGTGGATATTTGCTTGTGTATAATACATATGGGTTTCAATATTGGCATATTGGCATATTGGTATGTTATCGTTATCACTCTCTATTACCTCGTTTCTCTCTCTTTCTCTCTCTGAAATAGAATAAAGATAAAATTAGGAAAGCAGCAAATGAAAGGGAAAAGGGGAGAGGGGTAATCACTTTCCCGTGAAATATATAATGTAATTTTAGTAGAATTCGAATTCAGAGAATGGAAAGATGATTTAAGGAAGAGGAAGAGGAAGAGGAAGAGGAAGAGGAAGAGGATAGTACACTCTTAGTCCTCAATTCCAACTCGCGTATAGCTCTGAATATAGTAATTCCTAGCAAAAAGAGTACATATAGCATAGAAAGTTTTTACACAAGAGACCCATAGAACTTAAATATGAATAGTAATATACTTAATGGTCTTATTCTTTATTTCTCATAGATTCACAACCTCATTTCTCCCTGCAATCTCTAACAAGAGGCACGAATACGAATCTCATGGTTCAGGATGACAGGAGCTCAGCAATCTCTCCCATATGAAGCTCCTGTCGAAGCGCATTGCTAATATGATATTTGTGTCGAAATATACATAAAGTCTTTCGAATTCGGAGCGAGAGAAAAAAGAAAAAAGATGTTTATTGTTACCTAGGGATATTTTAACAATTGATGTTTCAAATCGATGGAAAATCTAGGATTTATGTATATCATGTCCTCTCATAAATTGACAGTTCTTCTAGGATAGCTTTCAAGAACCTACTTACTTATTACTCCTCACGATCCGAGGAATCTTTAAACTAGGTAGGTATATATGATTCATTCTTCTAACTATATATTACACCTATTTCCTTCTAGATTTTAAATTTCTTTTTCTATTTATCTAAAGCCTACCTATGTATATATATATATTAACCTATTTCTCTATTGCGAAAAATCCATTTCGTTTTGTGTCTTCAAAGCTCGAAGTTCAAAGTCTTATTTCTACGATTTGACAGTGAAAAACAAACGAGTACAAACAATAAAATCCCTTCCCTTCTTTCGAGATGGAACTTCGAAACTTGTTAGCTAGTGAACATCATGATTCTCAAACTGGGATGAATGTAAATAGATCAGTATCCACATGTTGTGTCTTGGTAGGTATGGAAAGGTTTGATGGTAGTTAAATAGAAAAACTAATCATTGGTATCAGCAGGGTATTATCATTTATCATATGTACATTTCCTCATCTCATGAACTCTATAGAATCGATTTTCAGCTCGAAAATCATCTCAGGGTCTTTATTTATTTCAGATTCTTCCCACTATATCTCCCCCGATTATTGCGAGCCAAACCATGTACTTCTACAAAATCACCTTACTTCTCCACCATAACGCTCTCCGGAACAAAAACGCCTTCACTGCTTTCACTTGCATCTCCCGCCAATCTCTTCTTCTCCGCCTCCTTATCCGCATCTCCCATCTCAGCAAGTCCATACCACGTAATAGTAGCTAAACCCAAAAGCGCAGCCAAGCAACTAAACACCATAGCCACAATTCCCTTTGCCGTGAAACCCGCAGGCAACGGTCCGGGCGCTACATTAGCACCTTTCAGATCCAAGTAATCTTCTGTATTACCAGCCGCATTACCTGTATATGGTACACCACGAGCTTGGCAAGCAGCGATATGATTCTCTGGGATTGTGAGAGATTTTTGGAGCTCGAGGGGCGCTTCGATCATGGTTGCGATGAGACCCTGATCGACGTGCCATTCGATGTGGCAGTGGAAGAGCCACACTCCCGGGTTGTCAGATTGGAAACGGAGAACGAGGTAGCCGGATGGACGAAGAACGACTGTGTCGCGACGCATGGGAACGGCCGGGAAGGATGTCTCCGTTGTGTTGGTAGAATCGAACGTGCCAGCATCTTCATCGGATCTCTGAATTACTTGAAAGTTATGACCGTGGAGATGGAAAGGATGTTTGCCGGAGTCTAGAGAGTGTTAGCGGAGTATTCGGAGATGATGTTCGCGACGACAGGATGGATACCACGTGGTCGGTTTTACCCATCGTGGGTTTGTACTTACCAAGGTTGTTTACGACTATTTCTATTGTTTGTTGGTAATTAAGAACAAAGGAGTGAGTGAACTCTCCATAGACAGCAGCATTTGCAGCATCATCTCCAGTGGACATAACCGAATATAGGGTGGGAACCTTGGGGGAAACATATGTAATATTGTTGAAGAATGCGCTGTCAAGAGTCAGAATTGCGATACAAGAATGATACAAAATCACCTACTATGGTTTGCCATTTCCAAGCACGTCCATGACTACATCGAGACTGATAACCTGATCAGGTTCTGGGAGTAGCGCCATGTGATCGTAAGGTACTAGATTAAAATCATCGAAATCGTTGTATTCGTCAATAAATGCGGCATCCGGAAGAGCTTTATTATCATCATAGACCAGCCATCCCGTGCCGTTCCAATTCAAATCATCAGGAATTACGTCAAAGAGGGACTAGAATGTTTCAGCAAAGACTCTCATTCTAATCAAACATTGTACTTACCGTATCCATGCTTGTGACAAAAGCAAAGTTCGCCGAAGTGTCATTCTTGGTGGTGAGTAAAAAGCTGTATCTCTGAGCTGCAGCGATATATATAGATTCTGCCTCTGCTTTCTCAGTATAGACGCCATCAACTTCAACAATGGTTATATTGTGGCCTTCGAACCAAATGTACTGGCCAGCAAAAGCACCAATGTTGACCATGCGAAACAGGTAGGTCTTCCCGGGCTGTACCGATAGAGTAAGATTCTGAGTATCATTAAGAAGAACGGCTTGAGGAACAGGCTCCGCTCCGGTTGGATTTGCAACTCCGATAAACTTAGGAATCCAGACTTGCATCTCTTCGTGGTACCAGTCTGAGACTGAGAGGACAAATTCCTCGTCAACGTCATCCGCATATGGAAAATCTGGATCCGTGACAATGAATGGTGCTCTAAGTCCATCTGGATATTGCCCTCTGTCGTGGGAATGATACCAGTAAGTACCTGGCTGGTTGACCTGAGATAAGTTTAGTGAGCGCTCACATTGTAACCTCATGTATTCTTCATATATCATGGCTAACTTACAGTAAAATTGTAAACAAACTGTGAACCAGAGGGAATTCCACATTGAGATACTTGTGCAGGTCCATCCATGTGAGTACTGCCATTCATGAAAAGACCGTGAAAATGAAGTGTTGTAGTTTGATTGCCAAGTTGATTGTCAACGTTAACAATTACTTGATCCCCAACATTTGCCCTCATAATAGGCAATGGCCATTGTCCATTGATGCCAATGGTTGGACGTTCATGAGCGCCATCGGGATTTGCTCGTACCCAAGTGATGTTGAAGTCATAAGTAACCGTCGCTGCTTCTGTGAGGAGTGAAAATACAAGAAGCAGCGCTGATAAGATGGGGAAGAAAGATAGAGAAATTGCCATGTTCAAATCAAGTAATGAGTAAAACTGTTGGTAAGATGAAGATCAAACTTTGGTCGAGATAATTTTCTCAAGACTTGAGATTATTTTGTAAGTGAATACTAGAGAGCTCCCAATATCAACCCAAAACAGAGATTGATAACTAGGTACCCAAGGTAGTAAGGGTAGGTAGCTGTTGACTGATGGATGGAGTGAAGTAAGAAAGTGGATACCCGAAAGGCCTGTTGAAGAGGGGAGCAAATTTGCAAGGGCTAGGTAGCTAATAAAAGCTAATGATTGATAAGATGATCTGATTAAATATCAAACGTTATTGTAATTGATGAGTGACACGAGCGTGAGTGGAGAATGTTCCGAATCAGGGAAGGCGTAGTAGAGAATCGAGCTAAGAAAAATCTAGGCTTTGTTTACCCAGTCGCGGTAAATATTCTTAATTGTAAGAAGCTTTTGACCCCCGGTGGTTGTTGTAGGTAAATAAATGACAGGAAAACTGTTGCGGTAAAGTTCTAACCGAATACGCGAAAGAGAGAAAAAACTGAAGTGATCGATATCAGAGCTGTATTTGGTGATATATGATCAGATATCCCGGAAGTCACTTATTAGGCCGAAATGTAACTCGATGAAGGGGAATGACACCAGCGTTAGGAACCAAACATTCGTTATAGGAAGAAGATGTGCTGGTGTACAGAATCAAGAGGCGTTCGATTTGAATCCCAAGCATGCAAGGTCAAAACTCAGAAGACAATCTGATTAAAGACGGGACGGGATGAAGGAAGTGTCAGTTGATAGGTACGATTTGATGGATCAACGATGTTCGCTTCAACACCTCAAACTCTCAGCATGGAACTTAGAAGTGGAGACCAATTCGGGTGATGCAGTGAAGAAAGAAGGTAAAGGAAAAGAATCACTGCAGGGAGAAATGCTTGGTGTTGGATGCAAAGTTGTGTCGACATTCACTAGGTATATTCAAACTCAAATTCAGCCAAATTGAATCCACGTCGAGTCCTTATCTATAAAATCTTTAATGATCTGATAAACATCGTCTCATTTCTTCCCATCGTACCAAAAATTCACTTTATAGACTCGGAAGTCATTGAATCCATCAGATTATCTAGCCTGTGCCGCTAAGTACCAAAATGGTTAGATCAACTAGGATACCAGCTATACCCCCACGGGCGTATAAGCGTTTAGTTCAAGCTTTCGGGTCGTACAGTATTACCTAACCGCAAAGCTTAAATGCCTCCTTGCGGAAATAACCCAGATCGTTCCGCAAAATGGAAAGACGATAGGAGATGGTTTGAATATGATACTTCTGTTGCCTCAGTCTTTCTATGGATACTACGATCGTCAATCAAAATATGACAACTTTCCATACATGAATTTATCCAAGTACATACATGTAGGGATCGATTTAAATCTCTCACAATGAACAGTCGTACCGCCCTCGTATATAATTGAAATCAGATCCAAGGGTAAGAATGACTTTTAACCTCGACCTCTTTCCATCAACCAATCAAGCTTCCCGGGTGTCATTCCAAATCTACAACCTGCCAATACCAGGCTAGCAAACTTTAAAGTTTCTGTATCCTACCAATAGACCCTGGATTTTTTCTCGGGGGTTCTTTTTCTAATAAGGATTAAAACAATTCACTAGCTACTAGCGAACTTCAAGTTGAAAGAATTTTACTTGATCGCTCAGACCCTCCCTAGTGTCTAACTGTTATCAGATCCTCGTTTCCTCTTATCAGATCCTTCCGCCCTTTCCCTCTCCATCTTTCGATCTTGATGGAAATACTGGATAAACGGCATCGTCCTTCCATGATTTGAGACTTTGATTCCTCTTCAAAAAGTTGGCTTTCCTCTCCTCTTGTTGCAGTGCGCAATTGTAACTTCACAATCTCTTAAAGAAACAGAAAATACAACAAGAATTATAGCGAAGATGACTGCTAGCGTTTTCTCGGTACCAGTATTCTTCGTCGTATTTCGAGAGTCTTTAGAGACGGTCGTCATCGTTTCCGTTCTTCTTGCATTCATCAAGCAGAGTTTGGGCAATTCTGATCAAGATGCGACATTGCGCAAGAAGCTGTTTCGACAGGTAAGATATCTGATTATCCCTCCGCTTGATCGTTCCATATTGGCCTGGAATATTGATTATGATTCTAACGAATAGCGTCTAGGTCATTTGGGGAGCTCTATCAGGACTTCTCCTATGCTTGATCATCGGCGGTGGTTTGATTGGGGCTTTCTATGGAATTGGTAAAGATGCCTGGTCCACTACCGAATACTATTGGGAAGGCTCATTTGCTATTGTCGCCTCTGTCATCATCACTCTGATGGGAGCTGCGCTACTCCGTGTGTCCAAAATGAAGGAAAAGTGGACGGTTAAGCTTCGTCAACATCTAGAGCCATCAGAAGATACAAGAAAACGAAGATGGTATGCTAGTTGGCTTGACTTCAAGAAATGGGGAGAGAGGCACTTCATGTTTGTTCTTCCCTTCATTACTGTTCTTAGAGAAGGACTTGAGGCCGTTGTCTTTGTGGCAGGTGTTTCTTTCTCTACGCCTGCAACAAGTATCCCACTCCCAGTCGTTATTGGACTGATTGCTGGATTAGCAGCAGGATATGTCATCTACAAGTAAGTCAAGCTCGTCAATCTTGCTGGTCAGACTAACACGGCACAGAGGTGGAGCAACATCGAAACTTCAATTCTTCTTGGTTATATCAACATGTCTCTTATATCTTGTGGCTGCCGGTCTTTTCTCAAGAGCAGTCTGGTTCTTCCAAGCACAGAGTTGGAATGATGCTACCGGAGGCGACGCAGCAGAGACTGGAGCAGGACCAGGTTCTTATGATATTAGGCAGAGTGTGTGGCATGTCAACGTAAGTCAAATCGACACCATCAATATACGCACCTACTAACACTTCTAGTTTGGCAACCCTGAATTAAATGGTGGTGGCGGATGGGGAATCTTCAATGCAATTCTTGGCTGGCAGAACTCCGCAACCTATGGCTCCGTCATCTCATACAACATCTATTGGCTTGTGGTCATTGTTGGATTCTTTCTAATGAGATATAAGGAGGTTAAGGGCCATCTTCCACTTGCACCAACACTGAGACCTTATTTTGCACCCATTACAGCTGTGAAGGGGCATATCGCAAACATGAAGGAAAGGGCCATCTACAAGGATGAAAAGGTCACATCGAGCGATGAGGTTCAGAAATATAGAAGAACCAGCAGTGAAGCTTCATCGGTGGCTAAGGATCCCGAGAAGGCTATAGATACAGTAAGAGAGGTACCAGTCCGCACTATTTCGGACTAGATGGCCTAGCTGGTTCGGGAACATATAAAAGCCATGTTGTGCATGAAATTTGGATCTGGTAGCACTAGCTAAGTTCTCGGATACAGACTTTTGCAATGATGAAGTTGAGAAATATTAATGAAATACTAAACCATTTTCAGAGATGATGGAGCATATAATTGAAAGCCTCCATGACATGCGTGTGTTCAAAACGTTGAGTTTCCCCAGAGATTGAGTGCTGCACAGTATATGAACATTAGCACTCATTGCCAAGTCTGGCCATTTGATATCTTCGCCGATGTCTTCGCTCTCAAGCTCCATACAAGTCAAACAAGTGCAAGCTCTCCCAACTGTCGAGGCCTCGCTACATCGTCAACATCCTCAGACACGAGCCTAACTCAAAAAGAGCCTGTTTGAACTGGACATGTAGAAAGTATTTCATTATTCCCACCGAAATAATATGGTGCACATGAGAATGTCCCGAACGCAAATTGTCATACAGATATACATATATCTCAAAATACCTATCCCGGAGAATTAATCCTACTATCGACTATCGAAAATTCACAGTACATTTGCCCAGATCGAGAGCTCGATATATGTACCCAATGATAATGGAAGCCAAAACGAAACTTGGATTTTAAGATTCATGAATTCTAAAGAGGCATTGCTGGATATGGCATGTATGCATGATCTTAAGCTTGAACAACTGACTAGAGGAAAAGATTGCGTATCGTTGTAAGATAAATCAGGTATGCAAAGAATCTGAGTATTGTGAAGTTGAGGGATGACAATCAAGGATTATCTAATTGGCCAAAACCATGCTTAGCGTGGTTTCGGTCCCGACTAATTATGGAATTGTTACTTTTAGATGTTGGTGTTCACTTATGCTGGGAGATGGGTACCTAGCAGGTACCTAATTATTAGTTTGATGTATTAATAATGTACATTGTAAGAACACTAGATGCGACAATTCTAATTTACTTGGGTATCTTGGAAAATATAAAATCATAAACTTGGTCGAAATGGCCTGAATCCATACCACATGGTCTTTAGTCTCCTCTGGACCCTACCATAGATTCCAGCTTGCCTGCCAAAACCCGATGCTTTTTGATAACCTCTGCCCATTCTTCATCATCATCCTCATCCTCATCAGGTTTCCCCTCGGCTAGTTCTTCCTGGTCGACTTTACTTCCCATGCCGGCAAGAACAAGGCTGAAATCACCCCCCAATCGTCCCAAACTACCGGCACAGTAAAGAACCTGAGTGAGCAAACTGTCTCTACCACTTTTGTCCCTGACATTAGGCAGATAAGTTTTCAGGGTTTCCTCCAACATTCCCACCAATTGAAGAGGAAAAGTAGTCAGGGCACTGGGTAATGGACCCAATAAATCGTTATCTTCTTTCCCTTGCGTATTGTTCTTAAGTCCCTCTATTGTGACTGGAGCTGTCGGTGGTGGAAATATAGAACGGAACATGGAAATAATTGCAAAACTCTGCTCCCGGAATATCTCAATGTAGCGTTTTAAATATTTTTCCGTCTGTTGCCCCGCATCGAATTTGTTCCCTCCTGCCTTTCCATTCGATGATATTAACCGCAATGATTCCTGATCAGCGAGATCTCGCAAAGGACTGAGTGCATTAAGCATAGCTGTAAGACTGGCAAGGCGACAAACAAGGAATAGAGAGCCTAACGCCCCTTCTCGTGTTTGTGAGGAGCTTGGTATGGATGTAGAAGGATCGAGTTCGGGGGCAACACGCCGTAGCCAAGAGATTGTACGCATAGCAGCTGCAAGTTTGAGAGAGGGTTGTCGCAAGGAGTATATGAGATTTGTGGCCATAGATTGCATCTTCTCCTCCGCTTGTGAGGATACACTCGTTATGAGGGGGGATGTAGGGTATAATGCGTGTAGTCGTCTGATATGTGCATTTAGATCTAATGCAGAAGCATAATTTAATGTGTTGTTTTCTCTACCAGTCGTACTGCTAGAAATTGTGTTCGAAGAAGATATCGCGGTAGAGAGTAAGGTAGGTAAATCGAGAACGTCCGCGAGCCTATCTACGTTTCGTGATAGTAAAAGGGCTTTGCGACGTCGATCGAGGACATCATTTTCAATTCGATTGTTATAGTTTTCACTGAAATGAATAGCTGCATCGTCCAGCTTGGGAAGGGCATCTCGTAAGTCTGCGGTGGCTTTTGCAAGGGTAGGGAGAGTAGTAGTGAGTGTCGATAAATGGTCGGAAGATGCGATGACTGATTTATGAGAGCGCTTGGACAGAGCTTGTAGAGATAGAAGAAGAGAGTGGGATGTTTGGGAAAGCGATTGAGGTTCGGAAGTATTTAGTGAAGAGAGGGGAAGGGTAGAGAGTCGATTCAAATAGGTGGCAGTTGTGGGATCAGTCGACGGTGGTGCTGGTCGTGGCGACGATTTATCGAAATATGGAATGAGAAGCTCATATAACGGATCTGCCATTTTGACACCAAAAGCGACACTGGCTGAGGTTATTTTGTAATTCTGTTTCGTGGTTGAAGTAAAATAACATAAAATATTAGAGCAATGATTAATGCTCACCCCGAGAGCTCCAAAAGTACGCTACTGCACTCCGAGACCTGGCGGGATCTGCACATTTCCCCACATCACTTTCTTTAAATCTGCGGATTGCCAATATCAAGGTTGGTGGAGAGGAGTAAATTATCACTTCGCAAATATATTCAAAATGTCAGAAACCCTCATGTCGAATGTTGAGCAACCGAGGAAGCTACAGGATAATGAAATCTCAAGCTTCAAGAATGTTCATATTCCGGGAGATCCTTCAGACTCATGTCATGATATCAACTGTTTGACGGGCTCTATTCGTTCAATCACACGTGCAGACAACTCTACATCAGACTCCGCGAAGCAAAAGGACTATCGCCTTATAGTTCCTGGCTTGTGTCACCCTCACATCCATCTTGATAAATGCTTCTTGTTATCACATCCAAAATATGCGGATCTGGAAATCAACGACGGTGATTTTTCCGAGGCAATGAAATTAACTAGTTTGTCTCTCTCTGAATGTTTCGTCAATCACCAAGTTGATATTGCCATCATAAACAAATTCTTAACTTGTTCTGAATTCTATATGTGTTAGGTGAAGCCAAGTCACGTTTCGAACATGATGACCTTGTGGAAAGGGGGAGGGCTTTGGTTGAGGAGAGCATTCGATTCGGTGTCACTCATATGCGAGCTTTTGTTGAAGTAGACTTTGGTGTTGGGATGAAATGCTTGGATGCTGGATTGGCATTGAAAAAGGAATTTCATGGCAAGTGTCATATTCAGATATGCGTATTTGCTCAGGACCCAATCTTCAGTTACGAACATGGACCTCGATCAATGTCAGATTTGCTCGAGGAAGCAATCAAACGACCCGGGGTCGAGGTGCTTGGAAGTACCCCATACGTCGAGAAAAGTTTTGCCCTCCAAGAGAAAAACATACAATGGGCTGTTGAAATGGCGAAATCACACACCTTACATTTGGATTTTCACCTCGACTACAACCTAGATTTGAACCAAAAGCCTGCCATTCATGTGGCAATTGAACAACTCCGTAAGGTCCAGTGGCTCACCGACAGAAATATCGCAGGCTCGAAATTTCGAACTGTTGTGCTTGGTCATTGCACCCGACTCACACTTTTTGATGATGATGCCTGGCGGAATCTTCGCCTTGAAATTGGCGATTTACCTATCGCGTTTGTCGGATTACCTACATCGGATTTATTCATGATGGGTCGGCCTGCAAAGGGCGTCGGTGGGAGTAGCAGAGCAAGGGGGACACTCCAAGTGGTTGAGATGATAAGGAAATACGATCTCAATGCAGTCATAGGAATTAATAACGTCGGCAATGCCTTCACCCCCTACGGTAGTTGTGACCCTATGAGTCTCACAAGTCTGGGTATGGGTGTTTATCAAACAGGCACGAAGGCAGATGCTGAGATCTTATTGGTATTGGTGCCTCGATCGACAGCAATTCAGAATACCACTAATCAGGATGTGTAGGAATGCGTTTCTACAAGAGCAAGAGCAGCAATAGGTCTTGATATCACGCGCAGTCTTAAGTTGGAGGTTGGAACTCCTGCGAGTTTTGTTATTTTCGGTAAGAACGGAGCCCGAGATTTCAGAGCAAGAAAGTCAATACAGGAGTTGGTGTATGATGCTGGCGTTGAACGAACGATAATTTTTGAAGGAAAGGAGGTCAGTTCTACATGATACTACGGATCATTCATCTCGTTATCATATCATGTGTATATCGATTCCACGTGGCAGTCTAATCATTCATTTCATTCACGTGTACAACCGTGCAAGACATTTGTTGCTGAAGTCAATTGATCCATTCATGATAGGATCTTGAGAGAAATTAGAAACATGGTAAAATACAAAGCAATGATTCATCAAGTGCAAAATTATTATTAGTCAATCACAACTGAACCTGACCGTAATGTGATAAACCGTAATATAAACATCAAAGAAGAGTTCTGCAGTATTCTCGAGTAAGTTCAATATAGATACCCCATACAAAGATTATACACATCACCCCTGTTCCACTTATCTGTCTCGGTTAAAGATACTAAGATTTAACTTTAAAGTGTAATTGGTTAATTCTCCCGGATCTTACAGAGTACACCTTCAATTTGTTGGGACAGGAAAGTGGAACCTTATTATTATTCGACACCCTCGGTCGGTCGTTACAGACCTGCCTACTTCATCGTACATACATAGATACATAAATATCTCGATTTCCGCATTACAACGAGGAGAGTTAGATTCGCTCCTAAAACACACTCGTTGTGTGTTACGACAAGAAGATTGTTATCTTCTCGTCCCTTTTAGATTTACCCCAATTTTCGACATATCATTTTCCGATGCATGATCCATTCCCTATCCCACCATGGCAATGGCTTAGCCAGTCCGTTCAGCCTTTCGCCGACTACTTCCACCTAACTACACTACCTCTCCACATTCACGAAGTTGTCGGATCATTTTTAACATATACTTTTATAAACAAAGTCATCGCACCCCAAGTTTCCATGCTCTTGTTCCCCGAGAAGTACTCCAAATTTTCGGCAGAACGAAAGCTCAACTGGGATGTACATGTGGTCTCACTATGCCAGAGTTCTCTTATCAATGTCCTGGCCCTATGGGTCATGTTTGCGGATGAGGAGCGCAGCAACATGACAGCACAGGAACGTGTTCATGGATATACAGGTGCAGCTGGCATGATCCAGGGCCTGGCAACTGGCTACTTCCTCTGGGATTTGATGATTACCCTCCAGAATCTTAGAGTTTTTGGAATAGGAATGCTGGCACATGCGACGAGTGCTTTATTGGTTTTCTCGTTTGGCTTTGTCAGTCTATGCCTTCCCCGCGAAATAAACATTGCTAATAGATTCCTCACAGAGACCATTTGTTAACTTTTATGGTTGCACATTTATTCTTTATGAACTCTCCTCGCCTTTTCTCAATTTCCATTGGTTCTTCGACAAACTCGATATGACCGGATCTAAGCCCCAACTCTACAATGGAATTGCCCTCCTCTTTACCTTTTTCTGCTGCCGACTTGTGTGGGGAACATATCAGTCAGTTCGTGTTTACCAAGATGTATGGAGATCTATGCATAACCAGCCTGCATTCTCTGCTTCTATCAATATTGATGCACTCACAAATGGAACTGCCTCTGCAGTTGATGCTGCAGCAGGTCACAGTGCGGCTCCACTTAAAAATGACATCATGCGCTTCGCCGACGACGAATTTATTCCTCTTTGGTTAGGGCTCACATATTTGGGAAGCAATCTTGTGCTCAATACTTTGAACTTTTACTGGTTCGGAAAAATGATCGAGGCCGTTAGAAAGAGATTCCAGCCCGCCAAAGAAGGCAGGCAGAAGGACAAGGCTATTGCCATGAAGAGCACCGGTGCCAATGGCAAAGTCAAGATCAGCGTTGAAGAGAGCGAGGTTCGTAGACGAAAAGGGTTGGACGAAGACGAACCAATCGCCGCAGTCTCGTAGTTTTGTTTGTGTATATGTCAGAGTGTAGAGAATTGCATGGTTTTGAACAACTGGTGATTGGCGTTTGTGATGGATGCCACTCGTTTGGGTGCGTCGAGAGTTCATGGCACTTTACTTCCTCCTTCTGTGTTCGAGAGTCTTCAAGCTTCTTTCAAATTAGAATTATCCTATACACAAAAACATTTTTCCACCTATGATTTATATTGCATTCACATTACTTTGATTGTGATTAGGTTGGTCATTTTTCATACTTCAATTTTAATGAGCAGCCAACTTTTCGAGGAATAGGCTGGAACTCCAGTGTAATAAAATTATGGTATAAACAAACTCCTTATTTACCACAAATAGAATTTGTCCCATATGTCCCTAACCCAAAGCAGCCCAGAAAAGAGTTTAACCCGAAAAGAAACACCTCAAAATCATCTACTCGTCAGAAACTTAGTTATAAGCACCGGCCTGGGGACCGGCAACCATTCCAGGTTGAGGTTGATACCCATTTGCACCGGCATTCTTCTCGAGGAGAATGTAGTCCAGTTCCTTGCTCGTTTGCATCAATTCACAGCAGGCACAACAGCAGGACCCCATGCAGCCGGTACAGGCGTTTCCTTCGAGACCTTGGGGTTGTGTTAGCTTTGATTTCTTGATTGAAAAGAGTTAACTAACCATGTTGTTTCTGCATCTTTTGACGATCAAGCATTTGCAATACGAATGAGAATCCTCCGATGGCCGCAAGACCGTACCAACCGCAGCACCAGCCATTACATGTCGAATAATCATCATCATTTCCGTGTTCAATACGATGGTGGTTACGACCGGAGACGAAGCAGGGACAGCAGCATGCTTTGAGGCCTGGAATGGGTTGTTAGTATGTTGATTTGGAATGGTACTTGGAATTGAGATTGGGAAACGTACAGAGATCGAATGGGGAGCAGCAAGCCCAGAAAGAGTTCTTGTATTCCGTAAGCATGGTGATATCGAGAGAGTTGAGACGTGGAGGTTATATTAAAAGTTGTGCGTAAAGTTATAGAAGAGATATCAACGAGCGATTGATAAAGGAAGAGAAGTTATGCACTACGAAGAGACTGTCTTGGGGGATCAAAAAAAAACCGAATATAGAGGATCACAAGTTGTATTTGAAGTCATCTACACACCCCCATACAAGCATTACATGAAGGATTCACTTCCATACACAACATGGCTGATGCACTGGGCTTCACAATTAGAGCAAAAGAATATCACCACCAGATTAGTAAATGCATCTCATACAAGGGCAAAGTTATAAAAAGAATATAACAGTTGGAAAAGTGTAGTAAGGCTGAAAAGCAATGCCTCGTTCTCATTTCAGGGAGAGCGGGGGCTGGGATTGGTGCATAAGGCGAAGGAGCGAAGGATTGGGGGTCCAATCAATTATTGGGGTTGCTTTGAATCTTATGGGCCCCTGATTATTGTACTCGGCTTTCTGCTTGAAGGATGGACTAGAAAAGAAATTTTTGTGAGACTTATGATAAGTTTTTGTTATTGTCGTACTTCAAATACCACATTGTGTTGTCTGCACTTCACAACAGATAGCTTTGATTAGATGGTTGGCAGGGAGAGACGATGGCACGGCGTGTTACTCGCCAATTTATGCTCACTGCTCACTGCCACGGGAATTGATAAAGGTATACAATAGAGATTCATTGGCATGAAATGCGGAGAGTGATAGATATCTGCAAATTTGGAGACCTCAGCCTCATATCAAACCTAAGAATAACTACCTGGGTGCTACTACGAGGAGGTAGGATAGGGATTAGTTGGTAAGCGAGGTAAGCTTACTATTTGACATTGTAGGAAGACCAAAGTAATCACTTCACACAGGTGTAAGATTGAATGACATTCAAGCTGTTTCGAATGTGGCTTATTATTGTTCCTGTCAGGATTATCTTTTCGGTTTACGGCTAGAAGGGTTGATGGGTTTAGATTCGAGGAGGTGAGAGGAAGGTAGGTACAGTACTAAAAGTGAGTACAAATGCCGAATTATAAATCGTATTTTGAATTGGTAAGCTATAAAGATATACTGTTTCTTGGTGTTCTTCAAATTATTTTTTGACTTTAACACCTTGAGCATGAAGTACAGTACATACTAGTAGTGTCCATAGGCGAAAAGTCTGACGGAGCTCAAGTACCATCAAACCACCTTCATAGAGTGTTTAGACAATCCGCTGAGACTTATTCATTCAAGCCTTTCAATCACGAGTTGTGTAGTCGTGGTCTCGCACCACAATCATAGTTCATAGTCTACATGGTAGTAATGGCTAGTGTGACATGGACGGCTTCATGTGCTGTTGCCAAAAGGAAGAATTGTCTCAATGGCTATGAAATGGAGCGTGTGTCATGATCAAGGAGGATAACATTGTGTAAGAGGTCCGCTAAAGTCTACATTATCAGATTGGCCAACCTACCGTCGTGTATTGCGGTAGGTAAGGCAGGGGATCCGAATCGATTATGCCCGTCATCAAATAATATTTAGTAACAACACTATGTGTATGGTCGACAACTCAATGAGGTCGGTCCGTCACATCAATGGGACGATCGCTGCGTTTAGCAAGATATTCGTTTCGAGATCATCGTAGGATTTTTAATATCAGATATTACCTGGGTATCGTACGTATGAAAATGTGAGTGGCCTGAAATGATGATGCAGTTTGAACCATAAGGCAAGGCAAGGCTACTTATCCGCACCCCTGTCTAGTACCGGAAATTGTGGGGAAAACTTTATGTTCATCCATCGCCAACTTGAGCATATGAACATCCATGGATTGCGATGTTGAATTTGCTAGACAAAATCTTGACAAAAGAACAATTCCTCCAAACATGATCTGAGTACTTCAATAAGATATTCTAATATATTATATCAATTTCCTCGCGGGCCCCGTTTCTGAGTTACTCATTGAAAAACATCGAATAATCGATTTGGGGAAATTAGGTGCTATTGTTGGATTGTGCCTAAATATGTCCATATTGCCGACCTCGGCTGCCCCTCTCAACTCTTCATAAGACATCGTTGATCTCGTTCGATGGTATAGAGTTTCAAAATATCAATCAATTGTGCTTGAGTTTTCTCTTAGGTTTCGAAGAGCTTGACGGTAGATCATGGGAAGAATAAAGCCAATGGCTCGGGGCCCATGGTCCTTGGCAGATTCGTATGGTATGTTTGTTGATTGCTGTTCTATGCGATTCCCAACCACCGCATCTAACACGCATCTACAGACTTCATATCCACCTTCCTCCATGGATCCATAGCCCGCAGATGTCCTTCGACCGCGAGCCCCAATACCGTAACACAAGTTGGTAGACTGGCATTCAGCACGTCACACTCATCTCCCAGGCATCGTATCAGATCTCGCAGATCAGACAAACAAACAGGCCTGCATCAGGATGGACAGAATAGATGGTTCCACGACTACTTCACAACGCATCTTCCCTCTTCATCTCTCCATCCTGATTCTCGGTCGAGCGGCCCTCATCACAAATTGCCAAGATCGGCCTCAACACCACATACGCCCGGCTCAGGACCTTCTCCAGCTGCCGCTCCTCCAACCATTGGAACATCTAGAGAACTTACGGTTGTGCGAATACCTTTACGAAGCGCAAAGCATCATTTCGGAGTTTCTGTTTCCCGTGGTACGAGACCTTACAATGAAGATACATACCAGGCAGGAACGATAGAGATCCCAGCATTTGCAAAGCGGGCTCCTATAAGCCTAAATCGGTCGAATTCAAAAAGCATCACAAGTGGTGGTACATCGGCAGATGGTGCGAGTGGAGATCCACAAGTTTTCTATTTTGGCGTGTTTGATGGGCATGGGGGAAATGAGTGCAGCGATTTTTTGAGGGAGGAGCTACACAAATACATCGAGTCGACAGCAGAAATATTTAAGCTTCCTTCAAGTTTGGACAAGAAGGCGAAAATTCCCAGTTCGGGCACGTCTGTAGCAAGCAAAGAAGGGCAGGACGATGGATCAGGAACACCGATCTCTCAGCAAATTTCTAATAAAATTAAAGCAATTGAGTTGGAAAAGTCACTTGTTTCAGATTGGAAAATAACAGTCGGTGGATATTTCCGCCGTTTCAAACCGGAATACTTTGATCTTCTTGATTCTATGGAAGGAGAGCCAATAAGGAAACCTGTTTCGATCGAAGCAGCCTTAATGTATGCTTTTTTGAAAGCAGATTTAGATTTTATATCAGCACAAGCCCGGAAACCTAGTCCGGATGATAATAACACCGACTCGCCTTTGAATGCGGATGAAATTCTAGGGGAGCCTGCGCGTTATTCCTCTCCACATCGTATTGGAGGGCCTACGCGTTTTGTTGGCGGCTCGACTGCTTCAGTTGCTATGATATCTACTCCAACTCCGACTCCTTTCTGGCATCCATCTTCTCCATCGACACTGATGGTCGCCCACGTTGGCGATACTCGTATAATACTTTGTGAGACTTTGACCGGGTTGGCCAAACCGGTGACTACCAATCATCATCCAAGTTCACCAGTTGAAGGAGGAAGACTAAGAAGATATGCTGCGACCTTTGTCACAGACTCTTTTGGTGAAGAGCGCATGTCTGGATTGGCTAATACAAGAGCGTTCGGTGATATGCGTTCCAAGCGCATAGGCGTTTCTGCCGAGCCGGAAATTAGACGTGTAGAGATATCTCCAGCTGAATACAGCTTTTTGGTCTTGGTTTCAGACGGTGTTAGCGGTACATTGAGCGACCAAGAAATCGTGGATGTTGTGAAGGAGGCAAAAACACCAGAACAAGGGGCGAGAGATATTGTTAGCTTTTCCACGGAAGTGAGTAGGGAAGGAGATAATGCAACATGCTTGGTTGTTAGGCTTGGGGGCTGGGAGAGAAGAATTGAAGGCGGAATGGGAAGTATGGGGACTAAGGAGGTTAGGGATTATAAGAAAGGTGACGCGATGGATCCTAGGAGAGCTAGGACTTAGGGTTAATAGTACATATGAACATATAGACTGTATACCGGAGTTTAATTGTATATATTTAACATGTGCCTGTCGCAAGTTACTTGCGGTCGCCTTTGAGTTCCTCTCAACAAACTTTGGATGTGAAAGATTGGCGAGCCCTGTACCAAATCCGGAACCTTAAATTAGACGGACCCCTTACGTCATATTCACATGACATGATTTCAATATTAGTTCTGAACTTCGGAAATCAAAGCATGTCAACAACATACAATCATGTCTTCAGAAGTCGACCCAGCCATCTTAAAAGCTCTCTCTCTCGATCCTTCTTCGGCAACGATATCCAAGCATGGCGGCGGTGGATTCGCCAAAACATTCAAGATAAGTGGTACCATTGATGGAGTGCAAAAGTTATTCTTTGTGAAGACTGGGGGGAAGGATAGTGAAGAGATGTTTACGGGTATGTATGCAAGTTCACTACTTTTTTTCCTGGTTTCTAGACCAAATTTTAAAGCTTCTTAATGGTTCGATGTACATCTCAATCACGTGCTCACAGTTCATCTAAGGAGAACACGCCTCCCTCAACTCAATCCACTCTATTGTTCCAAGCCTCTGTCCACGGTCCTATGCCCATGGGCCCCTAGAGTCCGGTGGAGGATTCTTCCTCGCGACAGATTTCTTGGATTTGAACCCACGAAGTGCAAAATCTACGCCTGGTTCGGGTGAATCTCTAGCGAGAAAATTGGCAAAGTTGCATAGTGTATCTGCACAGATTCCAGAAGGATATCAGGAGCCGCAATTTGGATTTCCGGTTACGACTTGTTGTGGGGAAACGAAACAGGATAATAGTTTTAAGGAGAGTTGGGCGGAGTTTTATGGGGACAATAGGTTGATGGGAATTCTTAGGGAGGCGGAGAGAAATAATGGGAAGGATGGTGAGTTGAGAAGATTGGTAGAAGAGGTTGTGGAAAGTGTTGTGCCGAGATTGCTAGGGGATGATCATTTGAGAGGGAGTGATGGACAGAAGATCAAACCGGTGGTTGTGCATGGAGATTTGTGGAGTGGAAATCACGGGACTGGACGGATTGGGGAGAGAGGAGTGGAGGATGTGGTCTATGATTCGAGTGCTAGTTGGAGTCATGCAGAGTTTGAGGCGGGAATTATGAGGATGTTTGGAGGGTTTGGGAGTGCCTTTTGGAAGGAATATCACGAGGTCAGGCCGATGGATGAACCGCGAGAGGAGTGGGAGGACAGGTGTGCGTTGTATGAATTGTGAGTGTAGTGAATTTTTGTTTTGTGATTTGTAACCTGTGGGTTGGGATGAAATAGATCAAAGTTGCTGATTTGTGATCTAGGTATCATCATTTGAATCATTATGCGATGTTTGGAGGTGGGTATAAGGGCGGTGCTATGAAAATTATGAGGAGACTTTTGCAGAAGTATGGAGAGGAAACTTGATACAGGAATCAGCACTCACTAAGTAGTAATATTTTGTTATAACGACGTAACAACATTTCATTGACAATCTGAAGACTTTCAAAAAATATTTGACACCTTGAAAGAAACATGGAAAGAAAGTTCACCATAAACCATGTAGCTGCATAGTAGCTGTAACTCTTCAGGGGAGAACGCGAGTGTGGAAAAGTTTTTGATCTAAGCAAGATCTATTGATGATATCACTTTATTTAAAGCATGAAGTGATGGACACTAAGCGTGGGTTGTTGAGCTAACAGTATTGAAGATCAGGCGATACTGAATCCTGCCTAGGTGAGTCAAGTTCAAACTTAGCACTTAGCATTCAATCAAAACTGGCTGATTCTATTTCCTTTTCTCTAAATACACATAAATATGCATCAAACATATCGTAACCTCTCAGAAGTTGTAGTGAACCCCGCGCAGCTAAACAAAATCTTGCTCACTTCTGCTACTACTGTCTCCAAGCAACTTTAAGATTTCTTATTCTTCTCAATGATGCCTGCATCGAATTACGTCTAGACTCTGTTCAAGAATAAATGCTCTACAAGTGGTAGCAGGGATTCAAGGAAATCGTGTTTGTATAATGTTTTTATTACAACAACAATCTCATCTCAAGTGTTATTGAACAAGCCATTATTCCACTCTGTTAAACTAAATCTATCGAAGTGGTCCAAGTGGAACACAGTCGTAGTTGAGCAGAGTTTTGCTTCTTGTCTTTCTTTGTTGCCCCCGTATTTCCAGTCAGCCCATACTTATCTATGACAATTTATGGCTCATGCTTCTCAATACACACACACACACGGGGAACCGCCCTTGTTGCACTTTTGCGCCGTAAACGACACGTCTAACCCCCGCTGTCAGTCCGCTGTGATATAATGTATGAAACGAATTGCTAAAGAAATCTTTAGCTATAGAGGAGCTTCGATAGCAGCTCATATGTAAGAATACTGTCATTTATACTTCGTACATTATATTGTACATTATTGTTTGGCAACAAACGAAGTCACCAACAAAAGCTGATGCAACTCTTGAAGAGGCAGGCAGTGTTGTGTCTTTTATTGGACAGCGATAAGAACCAAACTGCCAGGTACTGATTAATTTATTAGCTGCCAGGTACAAGCGAGATTCCCTTGCGTCTATCAAGCTTCCTGGTGCTTAGCGAGCTTTATGGCATGGATCGGATCCTCTTTCGGATAAGCTTCAGATAGCAACTAACTGTAAACAAGCAACCAGTTGAACACAGGACAATACGTATACTCTGACAACTGCCAAGTGTATTAGTTTGTTTTCAAAATGCCGTGTTCATTCACACAGGAGTTGACCTACGGGCCCGCCGTTCTTCAGTGCCGCAGACCTTTTGACTTCACTCTTCTTTTCGAGGAAATCTTTTCCACAACACTCCCGTCATGTCTTTTTCTAATCGTTGCCGCTATAAGAGTGGTTGCAGTTTACAACAAACCTCTCATAGTCCGACGGGGTACACTTTATTCCCTTAAGCTTGTCAGTCAAAGTCCCTCGGATTCCTTTTAGTAGATAGCCATATTATACTCCAATTGGAACTAGCCAATATACTTAAAGATTGCAGTGATAATCTTCGCGATAACTCAACTCGCCATTCTAGTATTGATTTGCAGTAAACATGCCAGAACTTTTCTTTCGATACCCGCGACCACATTGTCCATGGCTGTCGCGATTTCCTTGACGCTTTTGTCGCATTTTGAACATACACGTTCACTTTCTCCCTCGTTTATAATCGGCTCGTACTTGTGCATCACTTTCCTACTCAAAGCTGTAACTACGCGGACTTATCGGCTCCTTGCCAATACTGACACAGGCTACATACACGTTGCCGAGGCGAGTTCAGTTGCACTCCTCTTCCAAATTATCATCATCGTTCTTGAAAGCTGGAGTAAGGAACAGTATCTTTTTGAAAATACAAAAATTGCGGCCGAAGAGTTGGCTAGCTTTGTGGACCGCTCGCTATTCGTTTGGCTTGACAAGCTACTCCTTTACGGATACAAACAAAGGCTCACATTGCTTGATCTACAACCGATTGATCAGACTCTAGGTACATCCCGCCTAGCGAATAACTTTCATGAAACCCAGAAGCGTCCAAAGCGTGAGTACCTATCATAAGCCATTTCCTCTAATCACCGCCCCTGACCTTTTATACCCAGTCAGGCGCTTTGGTCTTCTAGGCATAACTTTGCGATGCTCGGGCTCATCCATATTCTTTCCTGTGCTACCACGACTTTGTCTCACTGCACAACCATTCTTGGCCACATCGTTGATTGTATATTTTGAAAATCAAGGATCCACAACTTTGAATACGGGGTATGGATTGATTGGAGCCTCCTTCCTTACCTATACTGGAATTGCGGTAGGCAGACTTATCCGTCTTTTCTGATCAATACAATACTTATTGGTCTTCATAGATATCTACTGGATGGTATTGGCATATGTCATACAAATATGCCACAAAACTACGTGGTGGTTTGATTGCAAAGATCTCTGACAAATTGCTGAGGCTCAGACATGAGACAGGCCTTGAGTCAAAAGTTTTCACTCTTGTAATAGCAGATGTTGACAAAATAATCAGTGCTTCCGCATATATACATGGAATATGGGCAGTGGTTATAGAAACTGGTTTAGCAACATGGCTGCTCTGGAGACAGATTGGACCTTCAAGCCTGACTGTCCTGGCAGTCGCGTTGAGTTAGTTTCCATCACCTAAAGCATTTGTATCTTCTGACATTTTCTATCAGTTTGTGCCATGGGATCAACATTTCTCGGAAAACACATTGGCAAGGCACAGCAAACTTGGCTCACAGGCATAGAGAAGAGAATTGCGGCAACAAAGAAAATGCTGTCTTCGCTCAAGGCAGTTAAAATGATGGGTGCTAGCCAGCGTGTACGAATGGCCATCGAGAGATTCCGGGATCTCGAATTCGTGGCCTCCAAGTCCTTTCGTACACTTTTGATCGGAAGTTTAATCTCATGTGAGTGCATCTATACTCAGGATTCTCTACGCGTCAACTGACATTCGTTGAAAGCGTACTCCACTCTCACATTGGCGCCCGTTGTTGCATTTGGAACATATATTGGCTCCACTAGAGCTACGAATGAAGACTTCAATGCCTCGAGATTATTCGGCTCTCTCATTCTCATCAATCTGCTTGCATCACCACTCATATGGATTTACAGATTCTCCCGCATTTTGGAGCCGCACTTGGATGCTTCTCTCGTATAGAAGACTTCTTTGAGAAGTCGGTCGTCACTGACTCCAGAGTAATTGTAGTCGATGGGACCAAGCACGGTAAGGGTGACAGCAAGACTGAGTTTTCAGATGGGAAAGAAGTATCAAACCAAGAGAAGGAAGAATACCCGTTAAATTCAAAAGATCTTTCGATATTATCCATGCGGCACGCAAGCTTCGGCTGGGGCAATGAAACAAGTTTGCACGATATAAATTTTGAAATTGCTGCAAGTCAACACGTCGCCGTTACTGGTCCTGTCGGCTGCGGTAAGTCGCTCTTGTTGCAGGCGATACTTGGTGAAGTCGAACTTAAGGCTGGAACTATACATGCTGGGGACATAGCTATCGGGTATTGCAGCCAAAATCCGTGGCTGGAAAATGTTTCCGCACACGAAAATGCTTTCAGGAGCGCACCTAGCGACAAATCATGGGAGAACTTGGTTGCTGATAGTTGTAATCTCGGTGACTTATTGAGTACGGAAAGTTCGCATCAGACTATTGGAAGTGGTGGAGCTAAGATAAGTGGTGGTGAACGCCAGCGACTAGTAAGTCGCTCTTTTGCATGAACGAGACAACGACTTGCAGAGTTTAGGCTTTAGCACGTGCGATTGCAACTCGACCTGCAATCTTACTACTAGATGAAGTTTTCAGTGCTATAAATAAAACTACAAAAACTTTCATGCAAGAAAAGTTGTTTGGAAGGAAAGGCATCTTGCGCGAGCAAGGAACTACAGTCATTTGTGTTACTCAGGGTCGTAAGTAGGCCCGTAGACCAGAGCTGTGTCATCTTCTAATGCTCTGTAGAACAATTCATAGAAGCTGCGGATGTGGTTCTTCAAATAGACGATGCGGGAAACCTCCAACAAGTGCAGCCCGTGGCTGATACAACACATGCCACTCTGGTAGACAAATTTGATGGGAAAACAATTAGTGCTACAGAGTCCAGCCCTGGTCCTCAATCCAGATCAAAAGTTGCCCATGCCGACCCGACTAAAATCGCAGATAAAAGGGTCTACCAAGTGTATCTCCTTTCCATCGGACGTTCAAACATAATCATCTTCTTCATTGGTGCCATCATATTTGCCTTCACTTTTAGGTTCCCAAGTAGGTTTGTTTCTGAGCGATTACCTTCATTATCATAGCCACTAACAGAGAAATAGATATATGGGCAAAGTGGTGGTCTGATGCAAGTACTGGTAGCTCGACAAAAAGCGTTGAATACTGGATGGGCATCTAAGCATTCTTAAATCTCCTTCCACCGATCGCCATAAGCCTTTGGGCGGCGTGAGTTTATCCCCAGTTTATGAATTTGCCTACGCTAAATAATTTTAGTCACCTCATGCTCATAATTATTCCAACTTCAGGTGTTGGGTTACATGGTAAACTACTCCGATCTGTTCTCAATGCACCTTTTATCTTCATTAGCACCATCGATTCCGGATGCCTCATGAACAGGTTCAACCAAGACCTTTTACTAGTTGATACCCAACTTCCATTTCAGCTTCTGAATACTATTTATGGGTTGTTTGCCGCAATTCTCCAGGCGATCTTGATTACCGTTTCTGCTGTTTATATCGTTGCTATCCTTCCTGTTCTGGTAGCCGTGCTTTTTTTGGTCCAAAATTTCTACTTACGAACATCGAAACAACTGCGACAACTTGATTTAGAGTCTAAGGCTGGCTTGCACACAATGATAGCAGAGATGTAGGAAGGACTAGTAACGATTAGGGCCCATGGCTGGCAGAACATCATGCAAAGAGAGTTTTACGAGAAGCTGGACAGATCACAAGAGCCAATATATCTTCTCTACATGGTACAAACTTGGCTTCAGTTGACACTGAATTTAGTAGTTGCCGGACTTGCAGTACTAATGGTTGGCGTGGCTGTTGGCTTGCGCCACAAGACAAGTGCCGGAGGAATTGGAGTGGCATTTTTGAATCTGGTGAGTTTGGGAGAATCACTGACACAAACCATTTAATCTTGGACAGCTTTGGAGACGTCTCTTGGGGCCATCGCCAGAATTGAAGCCTTTGAGCAAGAAACACCTGTAGAGCAAGAAGTTGCATCGCCAACTGATGTACCCATTACGTGGCCAACCTCGGGCCAGTTGAGCTTTGAAAACGTTTGGACAAGCTATAACCTCGATTTAGAAAAGCCTTCATGGAGTTTGCGAGCAATAACGTTCAAGATCAACCCTGGTGAGAAGATTGCGATTTGTGGTCGTAGTGGTTCTGGAAAGTCGACTTTGTTGCTATCTGTCTTGGCCCTGATTGAAACAACAAAAGGTGCCATATATCTTGACGGTATCGATATCTCAAAAGTCCAGCGATATGTCTTGCGATCCAAACTCCATGTTACCTCACAAGACGCGTTTACAGATGGAGAAATCATTCGCGATGTACTAGATCCAGCTGGAAAATTGTCTGATGAGGCCATCAACAATGCCCTGCATGATTGTGCTTTACTAGACAAGATCAATGCATCGGGGTCTCTCTCTGCCAATATATGTGACGTCAGTCTATCGGTTGGCGAAACCCAACTTTTTGTCTTAGCTCGGACTGTTCTTGGAATTGAGGACTCAAATAAAGGGGGCGTCGTGCTACTTGACGAAGCCACTAGCAGGTGAGAGAGAACCTATTCTATTGAGGATCAATGGGGACTAACAGACTGACAAGCATCGATGTCGCCACTGAGCGAAAAATTATGAATGTTGTCGCCAAAAGACTGCAAGGAAAGACTGTAATCTCAGTTTTACATCGTCTCGAGGCCGCGGTTGAGTTTGACAAAATCTTGGTTTTGGAGAAGGGCGAAGTGGCACATTTTGGGCCCCCAGAAGAGGTCATCAGAGATTCCGATTTATTTTCTTCTTTCAGAAACTGAAATTGAGCTCGGAAGATATCGTATTAGCATATGGACAAAGGTCTCTCTTTTCGACATCTATAATAGTTATTGAGCAGGCTCAAACTCTGCTCTTAGCCCCTCGACGCACATTGGCTTCACAGGAGAACTTTTTATAACTGATTTTCGGTGGTTAAAGATGTTCAGAACCGAGAAGAGATTGGGCTAGGGTGCTTGTTGGAGAGAATTATTTCGTATCTCTATAGCGTAGAATGTTATAGGTAACTTTGCCAACGGAAATCTTTCATGAATCAACGTATTACAATGAACCATTGCGTCTAATGAAATGCTGCCAATAAAATTACTTGCAGAGAAACTCGTCAAGTGCAGTGGGGCTTCCTCTAATATTACTGCAAACTACAGCGACCCTCTATCGAACAAAACTCTGGGCGTTCACACTGCACGAAGAGCTCATAAGCAAAGTGCAAGTTGAAACGTAGTCCATGACTCTTCGACTTCGTGTATCATTTCCCATGTAATAGATGGTGTAGAGGATTGGCAGCACTTTGCGATGAACTCACTCAAGTATCTGTATGGACTAGACTCGCTACGAGAAGCGTCAGAAGTGTAGGGGGACTGGCTATAGATATAGCTTCTCTCTCTTTCACTTCACCTGCACTTTTGCGGCTTGGTCCGCGCTGCGAGTGAGCGAAATAAGTCTTCAGTGGTGACCCTGTGGGCTCAAGACCTTCAAACGTCAATTATATCCCAGGCTTCAACGATGATCTCCAATTTTCAAGAGCCAAGTCCTGAATAACAGTCTTAGGCAACATTCCAAGTCTACATAAAAAGAATAGCTGCCTCGCCTGATTCAACTCAAAGCTTGATTGAAAGAACATAGCCTCAACAATTGAAGACAAAATCTTTCGAGTCTGGATCGCTACTCACTTCTAAATATACATCTTCAGGGTACCTTGACTCATTCTATTTCACTAGGTTCAAAATCCCGACGAACCACTAGGTCCAATGGAGATCGATATCAAAGTCAAATCAGCCAATGCCAACTTTCTTGATCTGCTCACGACCCTAGGACGTGTCGACACCCGCAGACCCATGGGATGTGCATATGCAAGTGTGGTGACTCGCAGGTAGTACCCTCTCTTGTTGGAGCCGACCGAGAATATCGATACTTCGAGCCCGTTCTACGAATACTGTGTCGATTCTCTGCTTGTCATGAAGCTCTAAGATCAGTTTCGAGGAAGTCGTGAGCTAAGATAGCCGTGTTTGACATTATAGGTTCTGCAAATCTCAAGGCATTTTTGCTCACTTGTGGTGCAGAGGAGTGGACTCGAGCCAAATTCTTCAAGTGGGAAACAAGCAGACAACAATGCATGTAGAGGAATAGCTTCTCCGTAGGGAATGGTGGGAAGCTGATACGGTAGAATTGAGGCTATATTGGCTCCTAGTATGTAGTAAATACTAAGGATCTAAGATTCCATGGAAGGGCGAAGTTTCCTTAGTAACATGCTCACACAGTAGTCCCAAACTAGATTAGAGTACACGTGCTACGCAAGAGCGACTCTATCACTTCAATATCACATTCCAACATGGAAATCTTGCCGTTTGATTGCTTCCATATCCATACACATATTTCATTCATTGCGAAGATATATCATCAACTACCATCACTGTCAACATCGATACGACTATTTCCCCGTCATTCGATGATTGATAGAATGATTCACTTTTTAGTAGTGAAATTGTGCTAACGGCGCTAACAGCCTCGGGACGAAGAAACCTCGGATTTTTGGTGGAAGTAGGTAGGTAGATATTTTGCTGTTAACTAAACTTTGCATTACCTTTGGGAATAAAATACAACCACGGGTTGCTTATTATCAGATATCAAAATTAATCAACTTCATCATTTGGAACTTACCTGTAGATAGGGAATTGTTATAACAAATTTAGAAATAAATATAATATAGCATATTTTATAAGGTTACTTTTTATAGGCAGGTACGTGGGTGGGTGGTACTGGTGACCTTCAATTTCAGTGATTTTCCCTTGGACCTGGGGTCACATAGCCGGGATTTATTTCTCGAGGCCACTAAAGGATCTGGCATATCTTCAATTTAGAACTCCCCTCATCAACAAAATACTTCACGCCACACATCCTTCAAAAGCGTAAAATCTTAGGAACTTCCTACAGAATCTCTGTCGCATATGGCTCTATAGCAATTTAATACTATTCACCCTAACAATCACGACAGCTAAAAGCGCGTTCTACCTTTCGTCTGTTTACGCGTAGCATCCAACTTTGATTTCGAGATGGCGCCCGAACAGTCCGCATCGCCGCCAGGAAGGCGGAGAACAGGTGCAAATAGGGAGAATCAGTATTTGTTTAACTTAGGAGTCAAGGGAAGGTTAGTGGTTAATTGTTCTTTTGTTTACACATTGTTAAGATGGGACTAGGAAAACTGGTGTTGAACTCCCAGATACGGGAATTCGCGATGCAAATGGCTTGGAGCCAATGGATGATTTATTCTCTCCCGATAAACCTGAGAGTGTGAAGACCGCTAGAAGCGCAAATGGACCACGGAGAAACGCGCTGGAAGACGCGACAATATCTAGTGAGGAGGATATGGATATGGATGGAGAAAGTATGTTTACATGACCAGAAACGCGCCAGCGCGATTGGCAATATTGACATTCTTTTAGATACAGCCCCGGAACCTACTGAAGTCTTGAATCAACGGAGACAAGATGCGCGATTGGCTCTGCCTATACCTAGATCGAGGTCGCCTTTAAAGACGCACCTACAGTCGCCAGCCCGCAGGCATCCATCATTCGGCATATCTTCCCCCGCCAAAGAAGCATCTAGTGAAGCCGATAATACGGGTCCTGTTCGACGGAAGTTGGATTTCTCAGCCGAAGATATAGCAATCGAAACGAAACAGGTAGCGAGTGCTGCCAATGGACGAGGAAAGCCAGGACGCCCAGCACTAGGTAATCTTACGAATGGCACTAGACTCTCACCTGGCAGACGCCCTCCGCAAACTTTAAACCAGGGTAGCGATGGCATAGAAAATCAAGACGATGGTGCATTGGAGTTCGAAGATGAATCAAATCAATACAACGCTCCGTATGACGATGATGATGACGATGCTGTTGTCGATGCGCTCGAGGGAAACTCAGACTTGGTAGAAGAGTATGAGGAACAAGAAGAGGAAGAAGAGATCGAACAAGAGGATGAGCCAGAACCGGAACCTTCCCCACCTAGAAAAGGAGCAAGTAAGAACAGAGGGGAAGGGGAAGGGAAAGGGAAAGGGAAAGTGATTGAGGAGCCAGAGCCAGAAGAAGTTCCGGAACTAGAGCAGCCCGCACCAAAACGCAGAGGCAGGAAACCGAAGAATTTGGCTCCTCAAATCGAACCTGTGGAGGAAGAAAAAAGGGAAGTTAAAGAAAGACCTACAAAGAAAGCACGACGATCTGCAGAAGCTGTCGAAGCACCCGAACCCACCAAGAAAAACCCTGGAAAATCTGGAAAACCAAGTAATGCCTCGAAATCCACCACTGTACCCAAAGCAGCGGCGAAACCGAAAGCTCGATCAAAGATGGCCCCAATATCTGAGGTGGACTCGCCTCTAGTTCACCGTGGTCCCCCTATTCCTAGGAAAAATGGCCTCTATATTCTTCGACGTGAAACGGCATTGGGTGGTACTGGTATGCTACGAACAAGATCTGGCCGTAACTCAATGAAGCCTCTCGCATTTTGGAAGGGTGAACACGTCGAATATGACGATGACGGAACAGTGCCAGATGGAACCCATGGTGCAAAGATTTTGTTGCCTAGTATTAAGGAGGTTGTCCGTGTAGATGAAGTAGAGCAAGAAAAGCGCCCGAGACCGAAATATCAAAAATCTAGCAAAAGCAAATCAAAGAAGAGGGCGCGAGAGGAAGTAGATGAAGACTCGGAAACAGAAGAATGGGAATCCCAACCTGGTCGCATTGAGAGTTCAGTACGAATATGGGATCCGGAAGATCAAGTTGGAGAAAATGCTGCAGAGAAAGTGGAAGATGTCGCTTTTTCGGCAGCTGCAATCAAGACTCGCGATATTCCAAACGCTTCCTTCAAATTTGCCAAAACCCTTACATTGCCCTTTTTCGGCTCAGGTATGGTTGACCTCGAACCTGGCGCTGTCAAGAAACCAAAGAATTCGAGGAAGATGCAGATGGTGTTTTTCGTGCACTATGGCAGAGTTGAAGTTTCGGTCAACGAAACGACTTTCAGAATAGGCAAAGGCGGACAGTGGCAAGTCCCTCGAGGTAAGCATCAACTTCATTAATCACTCATTTAGTCAAACACTAAGACAATGGAGGAAACTTTTATAGCATCACCAACGATTACGACAAACCAGCGAGAATATTTTTTGCGCAAGGTTGTGAACTTGGAGATTCGGAAGGCGGCGCTGCTCCACCTGCAAGTTAGTAATGTACAAATAATGTAATTCATGTCTACTTGTTTTTCCTTGTCTTGTTGCAACTTGTGCTTTCACTTTTTGTGGTATGACAGAGTGGAAAAATGGGCTTATGTTCTCACGCCTGGTTGGGGAGTTAATTGTTGAAGGGTTTTTGATGATACCATGCTTCTTAATCATCGTCAGCATTTTCATATAGACACCAAGTGCACGTTGATATGTCCATTCTTTGGGGTGTCCATGTAGCGAATGAAGGAAGTTTATCCAACTCTAGAAACGTCTCACATCGTAACTGTCTCGTTTGTTTTTATAATGACATCATGCTAGGTTCAACGTGAGATGAATGGGTGCGTTGGGCGGTGTTGGGGTGTTATGAAACTATGAGCTGCGCGCCGGTAGTTGTTCGCTCGCCAACCCCTGTAAACTAGACTCATGAAATAAAGTGGTGTACGCGAGATCGTCGCGAAACGCGTCTTCCTCAGATTCCCAATCAAAAGAACGCCAAAATCGACAAACTTTTGCAACTCACCAGAATCAATTGAGATATGGCAGACTCCCAGATGG